TCCTGGCTAAAAAATCCGGGAAAAATTCATTTCAGAATTTCTCCTAGCTTTGAGAATTTTTCCTAACACATTTAGGAATTTTCCCTTACTATTCTCGAAGTTTTAGCCTGACTTTCGATTTTCAACTTTCTCCCGACTGACAAGAAATCGGCAGTTTCTGAAGCTTCTCCCAACTACCGCGAACTGGGTTGAAAATTTTTAACTATCATCAGAAATTTCAATTTTCAGCTTCATATGGCTTGAAATTCTGAAATTTAAAAAAAAAAAATTTGAGACCAGAATCAAAACCTTCAATTTTCAGCTCATTTCCAGCCAGCCTCCAGCTTTTCCTGTCTTAAAATCCGAAAAATCATCTCGTCACACACTTTTCAGAAGTCTCCTAGCAAATTCTGAAAGTTTGAATCAAACTTCAGAAATTTCGATTTTCAACCCATTTTCAGCTTCTCCTGGGCTGAAAATGCTGAAATTTTGACTTTCAGAAGCTTCTCTCAACTCCCCGAAACATTTCTGAAAATTTCAGCCTACCATCAAAAATTTCGATTTTCAGCCCAATTTCAGCTTCTCCTGGGCTGAAAATGCTGAAATTTTGACTTTCAGAAGCTTCTCTCAACTCCCCGAAACATTTCTGAAAATTTCAGCCTACCATCAAAAATTTCGATTTTCAGCCCAATTTCAGCTTCTCCTGGGCTGAAAATGCTGAAATTTTGACTTTCAGAAGCTTCTCTCAACTCCCCGAAACATTTCTGAAAATTTCAGCCTACCATCAAAAATTTCGATTTTCAGCCCAATTTCAGCTTCTTCTGGGCTGAAAATGCTGAAATTTTGACTTTCAGAAGCTTCTCTCAACTCCCCGAAACATTTCTGAAAATTTCAGCCTACCATCAAAAATTTCGATTTTCAGCCCAATTTCAGCTTCTTCTGGGCTGAAAATGCTGAAATTTTGACTTTCAGAAGCTTCTCTCAACTCCCCGAAACATTTCTGAAAATTTCAGCCTACCATCAATTTTTTCGATTTTCAGCCCATTTTCAGCTTCTCCTGGGCTGAAAATGCTGAAATTTTGACTTTCAGAAGCTTCTCTCAACTCACCCTACCAATTCTGAAAATTTCAGCCTAACATCAATTTTTTCGATTTTCAGCCCATTTTCAGCTTTTCCCCAGCTTCACCTTGCTCAAAATGCTGAAACTCCCACTTTCAGAAGCTTCTCTGAAAGTTGTTTGGGTCACCCAACGCGCGCATCAAAAAAAAGAAGAAATTTTCTATGCAGAAACTAACCTAGGTCAACGTTGCTTATCCTGCCAGATCGGACGACTTAGCGCACACGGAGTATCAATCTACTCAGGTCCCCTAGATCGATTCCTGCCGCCCGTTTTTTCTTTTTTTCTGATACTTCCGGATTTCAGTTTTTTGCCGCGCAACATCGCTTTTACTAAATCGACTATGCTCTTTCAGATGAAATACAATTATTTTTTCGTGTCGCCCCCCCTTTAATCATGAAAGTACTTCAAAGATTATAATTTTTCGAGAAATATCTCATCTGAAAATTCCTAATTGTTTTTGAATTTTTTAAAAATAAATTCAAACTCGTAGATCTAGATGGTTCGATTTTCCAATATTTATCCTTAACGACTGCTATTCAGAATTCAAGAAATTCTCTGCAATATTTTGAAACATTCTGAAGTTAGGTACTAATAGTTTTCATATTTGAAATTTAGATTCGGAGAAACCTGAAATCCAGGTTTTATCAAGAGCCTTTTTTGAAAATCATGGTATTTATCCAACAAATTCCAAAAGTTCTACTCGAATTCAAAAGTAAAACTTTATGTCATCATAATTTTCCCTCAAAAAAAGTTCATATTAACATTACTAACCCAGTAATTCGAGATTCCGAACTTTCCAAGCTTCCGAGATGACATTTTCTAGTCATGTAACCCCATTTCCCCTCTCAACTTCTTTATTCATATGCAAATTTTGTTCTCACACACTAAACCCGAAACCGTTTTTCATCTGTCGCTGTGTTGCATCCAATTTCCCATCCCATGGGGAATTTGAAACAGCAACATAAATGAAATACAAATAACAATAACATCTGCTTTCCGCGCTGCGCGAGAAAAAAGAAACACACATCATCTGCCCTCTTATTCTTAAAAGAAAAGTGGGACGACAAAATACACTGACCTTGGGGTTAAATGTGAGGAATACATATAGTTAGTGCTTTGTTTTTTTTTTGCATTTCATATTTCATGTTTGTAACTGGGAGGTCTCCCTCATCTTTTCAAAGATAACCTTCATCTCAATTTTTCAACCCCTTCCTTTCTGCACAACCAATATTCTTATTTTCCAGGAAAAATCGTACAATCTATTTTTTTTTGGCTATAAAAATTGTATTTTATTACGACCGAACAACGTAACTAGTACAGCACATCATTTTATTTCTATTTTTGATGAGAAAATCAAAAAACGTCATAAGAGATCTTACATTAGCAGATGGTCGTACTGGGTGGCTCCTACTTTGGCGCAAAAACACCGGGTTAACTTATGAAGCAGCAGCAGCAGCTGTCGGCGCCTTCTAATACCACACCCATTTTTCATTTGAAATAGGTTTGGGTGGTCAGAAATTGTCAAGACTTGGTTTTTGGTGAAACCAAGAATTTTTTTTTGAATTTTGAAACCATGTTTTAGGCTATTTAGGTTTCTTCAAAACATTTTTTCCTAGGGCCGCATGATCTAGATCAAACTATTTTTGTATAAAGTTACCAGGAAATAAAATATGGGCACTTTTGAAATTACTATTCAAAATTCGAACATCTGTACAAATAGTTCTGAATCATAACCCTTGAGTTTTTCACATTTACAATACCATTTTCCCCCCAATAAACCAAACCCCAAAAAACATTGCTCATGTTGTTCAAACATATATTTAAAAGAACTCGCACAAATTGAATTATTTTCTGGGAGACAACAAAAGATGTTATTTTTCTTTCTCTTCTCACATTCAGCTCTCCGAGATTACCAATTAACACATCCCTCTTCAAAAAAATTGCTAATTATCGTTCAAACTCAAATTTGATTATGAAGCGCGCGAAAACAAAGGAAACATTAAAAGGGGAGGAATCGAAAGTATGTTGGAATAAAAAAAAGAGACACTTGTTGTGTTTATGGTCAGCTAAGCCAGGATCTGGCTCAAGTGGCCGCTTCATCTTTTCATTTTCATTCTTTTCCATTTTCGAATCATAACTAGTAGAATCTGAAAAGCATTTCAATTACACCTTGATTCCGAATTATTTGTTTGTTTTCGTAATTTTCACGTTTTTGAGAGAAACAGGGAATATCGCTGATGAAGTCGGCCTAGTATTACGGTATCTTTGTCTATAGACAAAATTTTGCAGAACTTTTTTTGGAGAATTTGTGACGTGATAAATTTGCCCAATATTTTTTTTTCAATTATTCATCCGAAGTTTTTAGAACATGGAAGAGAAAACCACAGTAAACTTGTCGGTTCTTTTGATTTACTCGCTACCGTTTAATCTTCGGGTTACCTGTTCCATATCAATCGTGTCTTCTTGTTACGATAAGAAATTTACAAGTTAGTTAGAGTTTTTGTATTGGGAAATGTTTCTGATTTCTGTGGATTATAGATGATGTGATTGTTCAGATTAATAAGCGAATTGGGAGTTGTGAAATCTACTTACTCTTTAGAATTAGATCAGATCAATAACCCCTTTAACCATACATAACTCGCCACTCGATATAGGTGAAACTAAAAAGGGCCGAGTACAAATATGTACATTTCTGTATGTTATATTTGTGTGAAACGATACTTTTTCTGTTGTTGTTTTGTTGTTCTTCTGTATACATATTATTATTCTTATTTATTTACCTTTCTTTTTGACTTTTGGAGGCAGATATCAACAACACCCCCTTCTTTTTCCACTCGAAATACAAACACATCTCCATCTCTTTTCTTGATTCCATACATTCATTCATTATTTTTCAATTATTAGTATCATTTTTGTTTCAATGCATGTGTCATCTCAATTTTTCCTCAGAAAAAAAACTAATTTTCTTCATCTTTTTTTTCATTTTGGTTATTTAGTATAAAAATGTAACCATTTTAATTAGAGTTTGAAAAAAAAGGAAAAGAGAAATGTAATAAATCTCAAAAATGAGTGAACCAAGTGAAACCTAGTTCAAAAAAAGCCGGAGAAAGTGAAGGTTTTTCGGATGAACTACACATATTATGTTCGAAAATAAATATACATAGGAAAAATAATAATAAGTCTCGGAGATGAGTTAATTGAATTGCTCTACTTTTTTTGCGACGATGTGTTTGTTCAGTTCGAAAATTTTGGTGTGGTGTGTTTTTCTTTGCTGGTGAAATGAAACAGTGTGTTTTTGTGAGTGAAAGAAGTGAAACCCGGTTTTGATTGACCCTTTAATCTTGAGTGTAAATAGAAGAAAGCTAGGCAGATTATTTTTTTTTTCGTTTTTTCATATTTAAATGGCATGCATCATCAAAGTTTTTCTCAAACCTCTAGATCTAAAAAATATGTATAAAAGTGATTCATCTCAATTTTATTCCCAAAATTTATACATATATACTCATTAGGTCAGTTAGTTAATAAAATATGTATAATTGGTTCAATAGGCTCTTTGTCCATATATTTCCATAAATAAAAACAAACAAATCCACCTAATTTATTATTATTTTAACTGTTTCATTCGCTCCCAAAATCTCTCATTTTTCCTCAATATTTTTCTTGTTTCTATACAATCTGAGAAACCTGTCTATTAGTCATTTTTGCTAGTACATTTTTTACATTTTTAATGTACATAAATGTTTGGTATTCTATTTCACTTAATTCGTTTTTTTTCACAGTGTTTTATATTTTTTGTTTGAAAATGGTTTATGCTAATTTAAAGTATGATAACAACTCGTTAATCGTGAATCATAATCATTGTGTTTTTTTCAAATTTGTCATATTTTCAGTATTTTTGAAAATGTCATCAACATCTCCGCCACCGTCTTACAGCCCAAGACGTCCGCCACCACCATACGAAGAGCAAAATAGTCGAAACGCCAAAAAAGTGAGTGTTGTGTTGTTTTCAGAAAACAACAAATCTTAAAACTCTCTGTTTCACCATGGTGATTTTGAAACCTTTCAGTATTTTTTTCCTGCTAGCGTGAGAAAAGAGTGTAGAATTTCTTCATTATTTGACTCCGCCTATTTTCAGTCGGTTTCAGATTCTTTTTTCTAATTTGCGTGTCACATGAAATTCAGGTTTTTATTTATTCAAGATATTTGAGACTTCGTTTTTTTTTTTGAAAGAAAAACTGACATTTTCAAAAAATGTTTTCAGGAAACACCCATGGAATTTAATCAAAAGTTTTTTTTTGCAAAAAGAATAACACACCTCTCAATTCAAAGTGTATAATATTAATAATAAGAATACCACCACACCCATTTTTACCTTCTATTTTTATATTCAAATGTATGTACATTTTCATTTTCAGATAACATAACCTAAAAGTTCTTATTTTGTTTTTTCGCCCGACTTTTCTTCCGTTTTTCATGATTGAAAAAGAAAAACAACTAGTAATCATAAAAGTGCAAAACCGCCCAGCTAGAAAATCATATAATATAGGAAATAATTAGTTTTTTTCCCCTATTTTTTATTGGTCACCTTTTTTGAGAAAAAAAAAAGAAAGTGAGAAGAAGATGAATAATGTTTGAGATATGATTCATGTTTCAAAAATTGAAATGATTTTATTTTTATTTTTCATATAAAATAGTTCTATTTTGATTTTTCTTCTTGATTCAAACTTGATTTTTTTTTCAGGAATGTTCAATGTCTGAACACAATTATAAAGTTTCGCCACCACCATTTGTACCACTTTCCGGTCCATCGACAATTGATGTTGATCAATTACAGGTAAGCATTTTTTCGGGTGATTTGATTTAATTTTTCAAGTTTTAATTTTAGGTTGTCCTAACAACAGCGAATACGCAACCAACAACTGTAGTTATTGTACAAGAAGCTAAACCTGCACCAACTTTTGCCTCATATGAAACATTTTGCCCCACATGTCAGGTAAACCTTTTTTCTTTGTGGGTGGCCCTTTAATATCTGAAAATTTTAATGTTTTTTGTGAAGATGTTTGGCAAACTATGAAGTAAGAGACCACCTTAATTAATAGTTTGACAGAAAAACCTTTTCGTGTTCAAAAACCATGGTCGACTCCTTATTGACCATGACAAAAATTTGAAGTTTTCATAATCGAATTAAAAATGTTCCGTTCTATTTTCGAAATGTTTCCTTGTATCAATAATTTGTTATTTCATGAGAAAACAACAACTAGAAAAATAATAATCAATTTCCCCCTTCCCCGAAAAATGAGAGCATATGGAAAATGTGACTTTTCTCGTGTCGTATAGCTGAGTTCAGCAACACATAATTTTGTGGTGCTGAAATTTGCATATGATATGAGAGAAAAAGGAAAGGAAATAAGTCGATGTTTGATTCTGATCTTGACGTAATTAGCTGAAAAGGGAATTTAATTTTAAGGTTGGCCGATTCCGAAATTTGATACAATCTGACGTATTTTTTCAGAAATCAAAAATGATATCAAATTAGCTAATGTTTTTTGAAGAGAATCCACATTTTTCAGAAACCGATCCATACACTTCCAAAATATGTTAACGGTGCTTTAACCTGGATTGTCTTTATCCTTGTTCTTATATTATTCTTCCCATTGGCTTTTGCTCCATTCTGCTTGGAATCTTGTAAAGATGCTCATCATTATTGTGCTCGTTGCAACACTTTAATTGGAATTAAGAAACGTATCTTCTGAAGAATTTGAATATCACCACCGTGTCTCCCATTCCAACCATTATCGGAACAAAAAAACGTCACTTAAACTGGTATCTCGTTAACGAATTTTTTACTTCTGCTTCTAAAAAATCCCCAAAAATATTTTGTTCAAAACTTGATGTTTTTCAATTTGCTGTCAACTTTACTCTCTGAATAGTACGGATAGGTTTCTAAAGTATATATAGTCATTTTCAGGTGTGAAAACATGAATTTTTATTTTATTTTGTACCCTTTCATTTCATTTTTTAATCAACTTTATTGTATATTTTTCAAGATTCAATAAACCATTTTTTTGAAAATATTTTGAAATTCGAAAGAAACCTGACTATGGAAATAGAATTTTTCAAAAATTGAGGCAATTTAAAAAGACTCATGTCGAACTGCATTATAAAGATTTATTATCGAGAAAAAATAATAAAAAATCAATTATTTGAAAAACTGAGAAATTTAAAGGCTGCAAAGACACGTAGCGGACACTGAGTAAATAAAAAATCAATCAGGATTCAGAAATTTAGAGGAAAGCGAAGCACGATTCAATCAATGCTTGAATTTGTGGGCAAGATGCTTCTGGGAAATAACGTTTAGCGAATTCACAATTTTTCTGGATCCATTCTGATGGATCGGTGATGTTGAAGACTCGAGTGAATTTGTTGATCGCAGCACACTGAAACAATATATTTATGAATTCCTTTCCAAGTTAAAAATAATAATTTTACACTGAAAAAAAACTAACCTGAGTTGGTCTCAAACGATATTTCAATTTTGGTTCTTCTGTAGTTGTTCTAATTGATGCAAATTCAAGTTCAGCTTGTTTTTCAGCAATCAATCTTTCTCTCTCAGCTTCTTGAATTCTTTCCTGTTCAAGTAATACTCTTTGTCTTTCTTCAGCTTCTTTCAATTCTTCAAGTTGTTTCAACATTGCTTCTTTTCTCTCCATCATTTCTGCTCGTGCTTTCTCTTCGAGTTCTCTTTCATGCATTGCTTGAATTCGAAGTTCCTCTTCGCGAAGATGTTTTGCTTGTTCCATTCGAATTCTTTGCTCTCTGATTCGTTTTTCGAATTCATCTTCTTTTGTCATCTCAATATTTGGTTGAGCTCTGCGAACATCACCTGTAGATGGGATGATATCTTGAATATGCTTGTCTGGACTTTGTTGTTCAGATCTTTCAATTGATACTGTAGTGGTGAATTCTGGTTTTTCTGTGGTGAAACTTCCGATAAGTCCAGTAATCAAAGAAGATAGAGCGTCAGTTTTCGAGATGTCTGGTCTAAAAAATTACATGTTTTTTTTTACAAATTCTAGAAATCTCTGATTCAACCCACCTTTGTACAACAGCCTTGGATGAATTTGTAATCTTATTCAACAAATCAGCAGTATTGATTGTGGTTTCATCTTCAGGAGCAGCGGTTACAAACCCTTCTGAAACTTCTTCAGTAGTACTCGAAGGTGCTTCTGTTGTGGTCGAAGATGTTGTTGCTGGAGCTTCTGTAGTTTTCTTGGTACTCTTTTTTGGAACGAAATCTCGTCGAGCAGTAATTTCATTCGATGGTCCTTCAGTTGATGAACTTGCTGAGGAATCAGTGATAAATCCAGCGGATTCTTCAGTGGTTGTTGTTTCTTGTGTAGATGTGGTTATTTCTTCAGTGGTCGATGGTTTTTCTGAGGATGGTTGTTCAGAAGTTGATGTTGATTCAGTTGATGTAGAAACTTCTCCAGTGGTGGTTGTTGGTTCCTCAGTTGACTGTGCTTCTGTTGTGGTAGCCTCTTCAGTGGTAGTCTCTTGTGTTATTGAAACAGCAGCAGAAGTGGTTGATTCCTGGGTGGATGTGATTTCTTCTGTGGTGCTTGCTGGATCTGTGGATGTTGTTATTTCTTCAGTTGTTGAAGTTGCTTGAGTGGTCGATGAGATTTCTTGAGCAGCCTCAGTTGTTGTCTCATCTTCTGAAGCAGCAACTGTGGTTGAAGCATCAGTTGTTGTTGAGGTTTTATCGCGAAGAAGTCTCTTTTGCTCTTTGAGCACTTCAAGTTTTTGCTTCAATTTTGAAACAATCTCTTTCCATCTGAAAAAAGAAGGCGTTTTTGATATTTCAATGCCAGAGAAAAAGTTTTACCTTTCTGGCAAAACTTTTGGAGTTGATGACTCAATTATTGTAATTTCCGATGGTTGAGCGGCTTCTGAAAAATAACAGATTGTTAGATCTCGAAAAATATTTGATGAAAAATGATTCACCTGTGGTTAGTTTTTCTGTTGTAGTTTCAGCTACTTGAGTGGTAGACTCTGGTTGTGAAGTTTCAGTTGAGATTTTTTCATTTTTCGAGAACTCGATTGTGGTTTTTGTGCCTTCCGAAGTATTTTCTGTAGTTGTTGATGGCTGTTCAGTGGATGTTGTGGCTTTTACAGTAGATGCTTCTTGAGTGGTAGTTTCTGGCTTCGAAGATGTTGATTCCTGAGTAGTTGTAGGATTGGTCGAGGTGGTCGAGACTTCTGGTGTTGTTAGATTTTCTGATGTGCTGGTAATTTCAGTTGTAGTTTCCACTTCTTTGGTGGTTGGAGATGAAGCTTCTGTGATAAGTGTAGTGACTTCTTTAGTAAAAGGTGTTTCTGTAGAAGTAGTGATTTCTTGAGTGGTCGTTGACTCGGTGGTAGATTCAGCTTTTTCAGACACCGCCTCAGTTGTAGTAATTTCTTGAGTTGTGGTTTCTCCTTGTGTCGAAATCACAACTTCTAATGTTGTTGTCAAACCATCAGTGGATGTTTCATTTTCTGATTCAACGGTAGTTGTATCATCAACTGACAACTCTGTGACAGGTGCAAGTGTGGTTGTGGTTGTTGTGGATTTTTTAGTAGTCTTAGCTTTTTGTGGTGCCACAGTTTTTTTGGTGAGAAGAACTGGTTTTGAAGTTACCGGCGCAGCAATTTTGTTTTCTGCAGTTGGCTTTTGGGTTGTGGTGGTTGTTGTGATTTCTTGGGTTGTAGCTTCCTCTGTAATCGTGCTGACCTCTTGAGTAGTAGACGGCTCCTGGGAAGTTGTTGGCTCTTGAGTGGTGCTGGCTTCTTGGGTGGTCGTTGAAGGTTCCAAAGTGGTGGTAGATTCTTGTGTTGTAGCTTGTTCTGTGGTTGTCGCTGCTGAGGTTGTGCTAGCTTCCGATGTTGTGGTAGATTCCTGTGGGGTCGTTGGAGCTTCTGAGGCGGTAGTGGATTCTTGGGTGGTGGTAGCTTCTGAAGTGGTCGTAGAGGCTTCTGATGTAGTAGTTGCTTCTTGAGTGGTACTAGAAACTTGGGTGGTCGAGGAAAGTTCCAGAGTGGTGGTAGATTCCTGAGTTGAGCTAGATTCTTGGGTTGTCGTTGAATCTTCTGATGTGGTAGTCGATTCCTGAGTAGTGCTAGCTTCTGAAGTGGTGGCTTCAGCTACTTGGCTCGTTGTAACTTCCGCGGTGGTTGTTGAATCTTGAGTTGATGCGGATTCAGATACTGTTGTGGATTCTTGAGTTGTCACCGGCTCTTCAGTTGTAGTTGCTGTCACAGCTTCTTGTGTAGTCGAAGTTGGTTTTCCAGTTGTTGTAGTGGCCTCATCAATTGAGAATTCTCCTTTTGCTGGCGTTTTCTCAGTAACATGTGCTACAATTTCTTGGAAAAGTGAAGATCCAGAAGGATTTGGATCAACGCTTGGTCCAATATCAACATTCTCATTGTTAATAGATTTTGCTGTTGTTGAAACTTCGAATGGATTTGCAGCAAGATCTGGCACACATTTGCAAGAACATGTACAAGTATTTCTTTTGATGTTTTTCACAATTTTGAATTCTGAAATAATGCAACATTTTTGAATTTCAACCACATTTTTTATCAAAAAACAATACCTTTTGATCCATCGGAATTGATAGTTTTGCTCAATAAACTGCTGGCTGATGTTAATGTTATGAAAACAAGGAAGAATAGCACCCACCTCATCTGAAAACAAGAATAGAGTATTTCGAAAGTGAGTAGTAAAAAGTAGATAACATCAAGGAAAAACAGAAAACGGAAAATCTCAAGGTGATACCTGAACAAAACAAAAATGAGAAAAAAAATGAAACGAAATGATAAAAAAATCTTCGGAAGGTCGAGTTAGTTACCCTAATCTAGGTCAGTGCCAATGGAGTGTGACACAAAAATGATAACAGATTAAATTCCAAAATTTTTTGGATGCGGATTTCTCTAATTTCATCTTGCTACTGTGAAATTTTCAGGTTTTATATGCAAGACACAGAGGTTTTTTAAAAGTACAAAGATTTTTGCTGAAAAAAAGTGAATAAATAAATTTGACATAGTTTGGTTTTTGAAATAGTTCTTGTTCATATTTATATGGAGAGGGAAGATAAATAAATAAATAAAATAAAATAAAGATGTTTTTTTGGACCTTGCAGGTCATTTCACTTTCACGGATAGATTTTTCGTGATTTTCGTACTGTGGAAAATAATATGCAAAAAAAGCTCGAACATCACAAATTTTGAACTTATTGTAATCTCCTAAAAGTTGAAGCCACTAAGCAGGAGACCACCCACGAAGTTTTTGACTATCTAAGCTTGAATAATGAAATATCAAAAGTTTGAAATTCAATACGACAAAAAAATAACTTCATAATGAGCCTATACAGAATAAGATTTTGTATTAAAAAACATTAAAAAAAAACATATTTTCCATATGCAGAAAAACGTCGAAAAACAAAATATAAAGTTTATTCATTTTGAATAAAGACAACGTCAAATTAAGAGAGTGCAGACAGACAAATTGACTTTTCGCACAAAAATACAAAAAACTAATTTGTCTGTCTGTCTGTCTGCACTCTCTCAAACTACTCAAAAATAATAAACTATATATTTAGTGTTCTCGGTATTTTTCTGCATAAGAAAAATCTTTTTTATATTTTTGTATTACAAAATATCATTCTGCGTAGGTCCATAATCACTCAAAATATTTCAAAGAAAATTTAGTGTCACAGAAAACCGTATTCCGGGAATATGTGATTTCACGAATGACAGCTCTCTTGTTCCGTTTTTCAAATCGACCTTGTTCCCAAAAATCACAGTTTTTTTTGTAGTTTTCTTGAGACATTTATTATTGTTATTATGATATATTGTCCTCAAAATGTCCTTGTCCCATATTACATTCTTGTGCCAAAATTTCCAAAAAAAATGGCGCCAAAATGAATTTTGACTGGTTTTGGATAATCCTTTGGTAATCTACAAATGTAACGTGTACAAACTGTGAAAAAAATCATTTTTCAATTTTTGTTAGTTTTCAAAAATGATTCGAAATTTATTTTTACTGTTAGGTTTTCTAGTATTTTTCAATAGTGTTTTATGTCAAGATGAAGGTTTGAAAATATTTCGAGAAAAAACTTAAATTTGTTGTTTTTCAGTAGTTGAGGATGGAGAATATGAAGAACAAGTTGAAAGATTCAACCCAAATCATGGTTGGTAAAAAACATTGACTTTTTGAATCAAAATATTCTGAAATTTTTCCAGATATTCCACCAGAACCAGTGGAGATTCGAGATTCAAAAAACCCGTTTGATTTAGGTAACTTCTATTTATCAGATAAAAACACATAAATAAAAACAGTTGCATCTTTTCTTTGTTTTTTTCAGGGCAAGATGAAATGAGAAGTCACATCAAGGACATTATTCGAGGTTTCTCTGATAAAGGTTTTGATGTAAGTTTGAATTTTGAAATTCATTTCATTGTCAAAAATCTTCCCACAGGAATCGGATAATAACAAAGATGGTTTTCTTGATGTTTCTGAAATTGAGACATTTATCAACGAAAAAATGGGATATCTTCTCAAAGTCAAACCCGCTTATGTTATTCATCATTTTGATATGAACAAAGATAGGAAATTGAACAAGGATGGTTAGTTTCATTTATTTTTAATTGGAAGCAAGTTCTCTCGTCGCGTTCGTGGTGTAATGGTCAGCATGGATGCCTTCCAAGCATTCGACGGGGGTTCGATTCCCCCCGAACGCAGATTTTTTTTTGTTTTTTGAATATACATAGATCTTGCAAAAAGTTTTCGTTTTGTTTGAAGTTTTGAAACTGATTGATAATCTAACTCTAGAATTGTTTAATTTAAAAGTTTTTTATTCTAAAATCTCTGCACGTCAAGCTCGGAGTTCAGAATTCCGAAGAAAAACGTTTTATTTTTTGCAGAAGTGTGGATGATTGTTGAGAAAAAAGATCCAGCTCTATTCAAAGTTCGGCCAGAAATAATGGAACAGAATATGATGGTTATGCAAGGAATGCAACCCGATCATTTTGTAGATGACGATGATAATCAACAAAAAGACGAAGATTTTCATGATGAATTCTAATTATTATAAAAAACATCTTTATGTTTGAAAAACAGTACACGAAAAAAATTAACAAATTGTAGTTTGACTAGAAAATTATCGTTTTAACCAGAGGTGTTTTAAAACATACACGGTATGTGAGTAATAATTTGGGAGTTTTGAAAAATAAACATTCTAAATGTGGAAGCTCATAAAATTAACAATTTCATGCATCATTTCGAGCCGATCTTCACTATTTGGCATATTGAAGAGACCGTGATAAGCGCGTGGGAAATGAATCCATTTTGTTTTCACACCCGAGTTTTCAAGTTTTTGAGCATATTGAATACCTTCATCTCTGAAAAATATTAGGATTATTGATCTGATTATCTATAGAATAGTTAGTTCTTACCTCAAAACATCATATCCAGCGGTCAAAACCAATGCTGGGGGTAATCCATGACAGTCTCCGAAGATTGGACTGCAGTCTGGGTTAGTTGCAACTTTTTGGAATTTGGCAGCCAATTCAGAATCAACATCTCTTCGAGCACGAACAGTATGATCATTTTTGAATTTTTCAGGCAATTTGTCATAATGAAGCAATTCTTGATATGTTTCACTATTCTCGAAGTCACTGAAAAATAAAAATTTATAGTTTATTAATGTGAAGTTTAATGAAAACTTACGCGTCTAAATGTTGAGAGTTTAAAAGCTTTTTGATAGTCTTTTTATTACATTCAAGGCCAAGATACAACAGAATCCATCTAGCCATATGTTTTGGATTCAGAAGTGCAGTTCCAGAATATTTCTTCCAGTATTCTTGATATGATGGAGAATTGAAGTTGAAGACGTGAGTAACCGGATAGATCAACACTTGAGCTTTGACGAATTTCTCATTTTTGCGATGAAGTCTTTGACAAACTGTTGCAGTAAGATTTCCTCCAGCGGAATCTCCTTGGACAATAATTTTATTGCGATTGAATTCAAGATTTTCACAGCCATTGTGGTATAATGAGAGGATGACAGATTCACAATCATCTAAACCAGCTGGAAATGGATGTTCTGGTGCCAATCGATAATCAATTGATACTCCATTCATACGCAACTTAAGGAGCATTTTATAAAGGCAGTCATCATAGTAAGCTGCTTCGCCAACACACCAACCTCCACCATGAATGAAAACAAGAAGACCATCTGATTTTCTATTGGCTACTTCATAAGTAATGCAAGGAACTCCTCCAATCTTTACTTCACGGCGCTGAAAAAAATATTTGATTACACAATTTCTGGAAACGTATTATATATTTTTTTTGGGTGAAACTCACTTTGATCTCCATCGGCTCTTTTGGTGGCATCAAAAATCCAATTTTCAAAATAAATCTGCTCAATTTGTTTCGAACCACACTTCCGAATAGATTTTCTACCAAATCTCCGAAATATTCATTAGACATTCGGAGCAAAAACTCAGCGACTGCCAATTTTGATCGATCCGAAATATCATGTGGAAGTGGAATGTGAAGTAGGAAAAGTGATCCGGCAAAGAATAGGAAAATTAGAATCCAATAGAGCCAGTCGGTCATATTTGCGGGTTTTAAACTAAAGAATGAATGTTGTGAGCAAGATATCAGTTTTGTGGGCGGGACTTATAAGCACAAGGTGTAATTAGAAAAAATTGGGAGAGCAAAAAAAAGTTGTTTGGTTTGTTGTTATCTTTGAACATATATATCTACACATTTTGTGTTGGAATAAATATGATAAGAAATAGCAAAATATGTAAATTTAGCATGGTGGTTTTTAGACTTTGTTGACCAAAATCAGGTTTTTTTCACTTAACCTTTCACATTTTCAAGATTTTATCGGTAATTAATTAGTTCAAAAATTAAATTTCCCTTTATTTTTCCCAGTAAATTTCTATACAAAACCCTGATAAAAACTCAATGCGGAAAAGAACACAAAATATAAAAAATATTGATGTGCCACATGGCCTCAGAGAGCACATTTTGTGCTCTGAGTTACTCAAGATAACACTAGATTCTACCCAATTGGTCGAACCAATAAACTGACAGAAAATGAGAGAGAACAAATAGTTCAAAACCGAGAAAAAAACAAGAACAACTAATAAATGAGGAAAATTAGAACACTGTGTATATGCTTCGATAAAATCTATGCATTTTTCTTTTCTCCGGAGGAAAATGAAAATCTGGGTGAGAATGGGAACTATAAACTGTGTATGAGATAACACACGTAGTTTTGGGAAATGAACGGACGGTTCTTTTGTTTTGGGTGTGGTGGGTACAATAATTATTGGGTGTGAAATACAAAGGTGAAGGCTACATTATAGTATTGAAGGGCACAAACTACAATTGGTGGGTTGTGTTATTTTGGATCACAGTAAGAGGTTTTTGGGAACTTTAAAATATTTAAAAAGTAAGCCTTTTTTCCAGAGTAAAGTTCACATGAATCCAGTAAAAAGATCACTACAACCAAATCCACACACCAAAAAAAAATAATAGATTCCTCATTTCACTTTTTGTCACCTATAAAATTATGAAAAGTATCCATCAGATGTCATTGAAAAATTATTCAATAACAATAGGTTTTCTTCATCATAAAATGTGTCTAACCAAATACTTATATAAGTAGTGGATGTATGCAAAATTACTATTTTATAACAATACCAGATTTTCGCAGTACTTTACCAATTTTCACTTTTAATGCCACATTGGTCATTTGTAGTATTTGACCCAAATTTTTTGTCGGCTTTGTTTTTTTTTTAGTTGTTGAACTCTGAATTTTTAACAGATTTGTGAATTTTTAAAGTAAGAGAACTATCTTTAAAAAATTCAAAGTTCAAAATGTATCAAAGAAGAAAAAAAAAAGAAAATGAAAATGAAAAAAATCCGCAAAAATAATCTCGTTTCACACTTTTGTGGTGGTATTGTCAAAAACGGCAAAAGAAATCATATTTCAAGGCCATTGCAAAAAATTTGAATCCAAAAAATTTTCTTGGAAGACGCGAATCTTTGGCCACCCACATTGATTAGGTGAAACTGAAATGTCTGGAACAAGATTTTTCTGCAGATTTTGTACTGATAAACTGATAAGTTTTGGGTTATTTTTTGGTTGAGATGAACTAATGTTTCGATACGTAAAAAATATGAAATAAAATATTTCAAAAGTCAAATGCAAATCAGCCAAGGCCAATAATGAAGTATTTGCGTAACCTAAAAAATCGCTGACAAGATAAAAGAAATATCGAATTTTACATCGTACATACATATTCAAAACGTAAAAAAGTCAGCAGCCGACAAAAAAACGGTAATTCAACGAAATAGCATACGAGATGAAGAGGAATAGAGAAACAGTGTTCAAAGAAGATGAAAAAGCCGGTATTCTAGGGGATTGCGTCACAAACATAAATGAATGAATAAAATGAATAAGACGAAGAAGATGAAGCAGAAAATGAAGAAGAATAAGAAAAAGACTAATTTAGAGATAGGCTTTTTGCATAGAAAATCTTTTGAATGACTGACTGCCAACATTTTTTCGATATCAATCAGTCATTTTTTGCGGACATTGGTATTATGTTTCTTCTTTGATGGATAACAATAATTAAAACTAATCAGATTCCAAGAGGATTAGAACTAGAAAATATAGTCATATTGAATTTAAAATTCAGCAAAAAAGGTTAATAGCTTCATAATTTCAGAGTTTATCAAAGTTTCTGCTTTAAAAAATAAAGTGATGAAAAACAAAAAATCAGCATTTTCACTAATGAAATTGCAGCTGCCAGCTTTTAGTATTAGTCAGCTTGTTTGTTATAATCATATTCTGTAGTTTGATTTGTTTGGAAAATATTTGTTTATCCAAAAGTGAACCTGATCTTTACCCTTTATCATCACTCTATCCTAAAACATAAAAAAATGAAAAAAAATGTTTTTGTGGTAAGTAGAGTTGTTTTATATACATATAAATTTCATGTTTTGTTTTTGTAATTGAGACATCCAAATCAAAACAATAGTACACTTGATAAGGAAAAGGAAACTAGCGGATTTTTGAATTATTTTCATTTTTTCTCATGTTTTCATTGCTACAAAATAAATTGTTTAATTTGTTTGATTAACAGGGCTTTTCAGACTTTCGATAATTTTGAATTTCGTTTGAAGAATAATCCGGATTTTTTCGAAATTCTGCAATTCATCAATATTGTTCCATTTATTTATGTTCCACATTGAAAAATAATGATAAAAACATTTTTCATATCAGGTTTTTTAATGACTATCTGATAACTCAAAATACCTCGATTTGTTTTGTGATCATTTTGAAGTTTGGTCACATGGTGATAGTTTAACAAAAAATGTGCACATCACATTTTTCCAACCCCACATAAGTTGTTGAGGTCAACAAGATGTTTGCTAAATTGTTCAATGATCTTACCAAGATAATCATTTTTGAGAGAAAAGAAATGACAGTTGGTAAACACATGTGTGCAACGTTTTTTCAACGTTGTTGAAAACTGTTGATAAATTAAAAAAAAAAAGATCTGCGTTCGGGGGGAATCGAACCCCCGTCGAATGCTTGGAAGGCATCCATGCTGACCATTACACCACGAACGCGACGAGAGAGAATGTTTCGCATTTCATATATGAAGAGGCGACTATTAGTTTCATATCGTCACACACACCTAGGCTACGTATACCTTAGGTATACGTTAGGGATACTTTATCCATAACGTATACTTTTTTTTGTCCATAACGTATACGTGTTTTCAACGGATACAAAACGTGTAAAATTTCATGGAAGATTTTGACTGTTTTTTTGGACTAAATCTGTCCCTTATGGGCTTGGGAGTTAGTTTAACAACTTTTCGCGAGGTTTCGAGACCATTTCGAATAAATTTATGGTGAAAGTTGAAATTTTGGAAAAGTGGACGTAACGTGTATATTTTTCATCCGTAAAGTAGACTTGGCAAAAATTGATAAATCATTGGAGGTTTTTCGAAAAACTTAATTTTCGTTGTTTTCTCAATGTTTGTGATGTCAAACAATGAATCAAAAACTCAATTCGATAATCGGAAAGACTTTTTGAAAAGTACACGTAACGGAGATTTATTATTTCCATAACGTACACTTTTTCATCTCCATAAAGTATACGTTAAGTACATTTTTTGTAACCTATAAAAAATACATTTTCATTTTTATAAAATTTCCATCCTACGTCTTAAAGATAAGCTATGTCATGATTTCAGTACTTATTCTTCACTAGTAAATTGTTTTTATACAATTTTGGCCATTTTTGTCTTCATTTTCCACTCAAAAAGAAAAATTTGCTTAAAATTAGGTCTAAGTTTCATTCCTGGACTGATATCCCATCTATTTTCAGTCATTTTCATATTTTATCACGTTTTTATTTGCAACTAAACATTAGTAAAACTCAAAAATTGTAAGAAAAACGCGAAATTCAAAAAAAAAAAGATAAGCCCCGCCCACTTCCCACGGAAAACATAGCGCAGCGCGCAGCACGCGAGGTGTCGGTCGCTAGAATTATATAAGTAGACAGAGCGCTTCTATTTCCCAAAGCGTGTTACGCTGAAAAACGCCGGAGAATGGAAGTTTTTTTGAAGCAATATTGAATTGCAGTCAATTTTGAACTTATCTATAATTGAAATAGATTCACATTATCAATCTTAAAAATAAATTCTGAAATTTCAAAAGTACACTTTTTATGTCCGTAATTTTATCCGTTACGTACACGTGAGAGTCTCCATATGGACATCTCAGGTGTACTTAACGTACAAGTGTGCGAGAATCAAAAAGTGTACGTTATGGAGACTTTACGTATACGTACCCGAGGTGTGTGTGGTTGTTTCTCCAAACTTATGCGATGAAAAACATAAGCCGGTTCCACTACATTATGAAGTTTTTGAAAAATCCATGTATTTTATGAAGAATTTTTCTCTTCATAGAGATTAAAAATAATCAGATGATGTCAGTCAAATGAAGACGCTTTCAAAAATAATTTGGAAATATGAAAATATTTATTCAAGTCTCAAATTTTTAATCAAGCTTCGCATATGTTGCAATTTTCCCAGCTGCCGTGAATAATACCAATGATATCACAGCCAATATGAAATACCAAATTAACCATTTGTTGTTCTGAAAAACAATGCCAGTCAGACACTTTCAAAAAAAATGAAAATGAGAACTCACAAAACCCGAATAGAACCCATAAAATCCGAAAAGAATGCCAATTACAATACTGGAAGCATAAACAACTTCAATGTGATATTTTTGTAGAATTACTTTAGGACCTGGTATGTGCGACAAGATATAAACAGTTCCAAGATAGTATAGAGATGTTAAAAGAAATATGAAAAGTATTCGTTTGATGATTTTCGACTTTGGGAAACTTTTCCAGTTCTGCAAAAATTGTATTTCGATTTGTGGCAAACTAAAACTATGTGAAAAAACTCACTAATAACAAATTTGTCACATGTATATATCCCAAAACTCTACAAAACTGATCAGCTCCCATCAAAACGTGGAAATCTTTTACAAGTAAGCTATATGCAATAAAATAGATTGAAGTGAAAAAATAGATAAATGAAATTTGAACACTTCCGTGAGCAACTTCTAATGGAATTCCAATGTAAATTTCAATCAATAAATTGCACACAAATTGCAGGAAATTAATGTGAATTATATGATAAATAATGAAAGCAAATTGGAAGTTTTTTACAGGATCGTGTGTTACTTGTGAAATCAAACTCATAAAGTAGAAGATGATCTGAAAAATTATAAAATTTCAAATTCTAAATTGTTGAAGTAGAAAAAAGTTCAAAGCTTGTATTTTTCCAAACATTTGTTTTGCTGATATTCTTGAAATTGAAAAAAAAATCTGCGTTCGGGGGGAATCGAACCCCCGTCGAATGCTTGGAAGGCATCCATGCTGACCATTACACCACGAACGCGACGAGAGAAACTGTGTGAAATTTTATATACAACAAACCAACGATCTCTATTTCTCTCTCTCTTTTTTATGTGTAGCTTATATAATTGTCTGCCTCTCATTATTATATCAGATAGATTTGTTTGTCCGTTTAATTATAAAATGAAAAAAGTAACTTACTTGAAATACAATTAGCAGAATCATGAAAATTGGGCGACAATTTTTCGAAAATTGATCCAAAGTTAAAATAGATTCTCCCCATTTCTCCCATCTTCTAGGCTTTTCATCGACTTTCACGGTAATATATTGTGCATTTGTCTGAAAAATGAAAGAAGAATTAGAAGAGCAAGAAGCAAAACCAACCATTTTTCAAAAAGTCATATGATCCGAATTCTCTTTGTCGTTTTGCTGAAAAAAAATATGTGTGGAAACATTCATATAAATGTCAATTTTCACTGTTGATAAAAATTTGTTGGAAAAGATAGCAACAAAAATTCACAGAAGAATTGAAAAAAAGAATGTGTTTATTATTAATTTTTTGAACGTCATTAGATTAATATAAACAAAAATGGAACAAAGCAAACTTATACTATGTTCATGGAAAAGTTCATAGAAAAATAACACATGTTTTATTGATTCTTGCTCTTTTTTCTCAGAATGAACACAAATTATTGCTAATTTGGAAATAAAGAACGAAAAAAATAGTCTTTCAAATGAAGATTTCAGAAAAATCTGGAAATGAAGAGAAATGAAACTGTGTTTCTGAAAGTATTAACAATAGTCATTAATTTCATTTTATAAAAAACCGCGATCGGAATTTCTCATAAATCAAAAGTGATAGAAAGAAAAAAAACAAAACTGATCATTTGATAAGATATCTGAAATTTGGAAAAAAATTCACAGCATTTTAGATTGTAAGTTTTGGGAACGTGAAATGTCAAAAAACGTGCAAAAATTGGAAATTCCAAAGAATTGGCTCAAAAAATCGACTACCATTAACTCCAGAATAATTTTTGTGAAAATCTGATTGGATTTTTTTGTTCTTCAGAGCTGTCGACTTATACGTATTTCCTTAATATTTCGCGATTCTTCAAAAAACACATAAATTCTGACAAAACATACAATTTTTCAGATTTTCACATTTTTCGTTGAATTTAAGCTACAATAATTCGAAATTGTTACTTTCTTCCGAAACGAAATATTAGAATTTTTGTTCCAATTTTTATGTAGGTTTTCTTCGAATATTTTTCTCCTTGATCTTCAATACCAATTTTCTTCCTCCAACATTATTATCCTTGAAACAGTGAGTATTTATTTTTTCATCAAAAATATTCACATAGAAATAGTGGTAGTAAAACGTTTGTTTTAATCTTGCTCCTTGCTACTTTTGATTCTCATTTTTTGAATTTTTATATGATGAGCCACCGCCATATATAACAATTCCAATGCCAGACAAACAAATTCACAACATGTCATAACTGAAACTCCAGACCACAAACCAAGATGTCCACCAAAATCGGCCATCATTTTGACAATCTAAAAAACAGTAGATTGTATTCCGATTATAAAATATTATTTGTTTTCCTACCCCATATGCTTCAGATTCAGTGAGAACTTCAAAATTGAGTGCTTCATAAAATACTTCCAACATGGCCGCGTTTTCTCTGAAGAAACAAAAAAATGTTAATTTCCTTATGTCCCATTATTTTTCAAAGGCAAAAAAATAGGTGTCACTCAACATCAAATGAACAGATTGACAGTAGGAAAATTGAAAAGATTTTTGAATTGGTTGGATGTGTTCATTTGTATCAAGATGTTTTTTTGGAAATGACAAATTGCTTTTTTTTTGAAATTTTGTTCTGGCAAGATTGGTTTGTATTTGAAAAAATGAATATTGATAAGACTCTGAAAATACCAAAAATATCAGGTTCAGGGTCACAGGCTTCTTCTCTAGATTTTTGAATCATTTTCACAAATATATATCGCTGTTCCAAAAGATTGAATTCAACATTTCTACAGAACAGTCCTCTCTGAGAAAGCAACACAGCCCATAATTGAAAAATTATAAAATTCTAAACTATTTTGAGCAGACAAGTTTGACTTCAAGTCATTGTTTTTCTTGTCTGACACCTTGTCTGTCATTTAAAACATTTCAAAACTCACTGATATTCTTCATTACATTCTTCGGCAGTTTTCTCACAATGTCCCAGCGTAATATTCAAAGCCTGTGATGGCCAATTCGCTTCAGAATATGAAATTGTGTATATAGTTTGATTACACGGTTGTTGGCAACGACATTTGAATGACGCATGAATTTCTCCAACTTCGTGAGTATTTTTCTCGAGACATTCTCCTGAAAAAAACCAATTAGTATTAATAAATATTTCTAGGTGCCGAAAAAAAATGAAACTTATTTCATTTTTTTTTTCATAATCCTTTAGAACGGCTGGAAATAATCCATTATCTAGTTAATCTGTACTATTTTTAAAACTAATGATTTTTGCTGGAAAAAAATTCTTTGAATTTAATTTACCCCCAAGAAAATTCTCGAATCTCTCACGATTTTTGGTTTTTTGCTGATATTAATTTGAAATTCACACTTGGCTGACTATATAATTCGACATTCACAGAAAATTATCGCAAAAATGTACTCTGCAACTCCAAAATTATTTGATATTTTCCTTTTTGTTCTTTTACATATACTTATTTTCGAGATATTTATGTATCCGAATGTCACAACTAATCCTCTTCCAGAAAAAATAGTATATTATACGATAATATCTCAACACCTGTCTTTAACCACTTTTTCGCTGACAAAGTCAAGGGGTAATTATGTATACTTTTTAAGATTTTGAAGTCTGAAAACTTTTTTTGGAAAACATTTCACCCTTTATATAAAGTACAATAACAAACATTTGGCACTTTTTCAAAAAAAAAAGTCTCTAGAATATTCTGGATAACCCACAAGTCTTCCCGAATATTCTACCCTATTCATAATTTCCCTCCTCTTCCCACTGACGTCATCCAAACCACCCGGCCATCAACAACTCTCCTCTCCTCTTCCTCTTTTCTTTGTTTGTCACCCTTCCCGCATAATGACGTATCACACCAATCTGTATTCTCCGCCCATTTCTTCACCACACCAGGTGGCCCTTTATTTTGTGACATCACTCATTTATATTTTAGCTCTCATTCAATTGTTTTTTTTTGAGGAGGAGGATAATCCAGAAGAAATGTCGGTCTCCAATGAACAATGTTTTAGTTTTGAAGAGGTAAGATTACACAGTTTTCAAATTTATTTAAAAATTAATTTTATAAAAATTATTTTAGGTTGAAAAAATTCCAATCATTCGAGAAAGAGAAACCAAAGAACAAGAGATCTACTATCAATTTCACTCAACTATTCAAAGATTTGTCGTAAGTCTAATAAATATTATAGCTAAAAAATTATAATTTATTGTAGAACCGCTCTCAATACAGTCCAATCCCAGAATCAAAAGATGCAGATCTCATTAAAATTCACCGTCGATATATCGTTCATCTGATTCGCAAAATTTTTGTTCGAGTGGTAAGTAACGTTTTTTTCTTTGAAAATTCCCGATGTGAAGTCTATTTTTTTCAGAACAAGATTCGTCTCTTCATTGTTGTCCCAGAATATTTTTACGCAGAGATTGAAAATCTCATCGACGTTTTGATTCGCGCCGAAAAAACTTTGAGCACAGAATTGCTCTGCGATTCAGACTAATTGTAACCCCCTTCATAATTTTCCCTAATTAATCCCGATACTCATTTTCATCCCGATTTGCCATACATGTCAACTTATTTAGCTTGAATAAACTTACTATGATTTTTATTGAACACTTCACATGGTCCAACATTTCCAATTGTTGGAAAACGTGGATCACTACATCCACAGCGATTAATAATCAGATTTTGAAAACAGGTTCTATAACAGCCTTCGGTTGAATATAAAAATCCTTTGTAAATATAATCGGAGCCAGATTGAATATCAATACAATCTCCATATGGATGAGGAAGACGGCTCATTTTTTTCTGAAAATTATAATGTTTCTTAAAAATTTAAGCCGCCTTTCAACTAACCATTCTCATACCAAACGATGAAATAAATCCAGTTGGTGCAGAATATCCAAAAGTATCCGGAAATGGGAATTCATTCTTATCATGAATAGCCAATCGTATTCCTACAGCTTCTGTTGTTGGTAAATAATCACTTGCATTCACAAATAACATAACACGTAAGCCATACATCGGACCAGCTCGGACACTATTCTTAATATCTGTACGATTATGATTGAAAACAAAGCAGTTTCCGAAGGTTGGATCAACTACGAGTTTGAAGTCATCGTCGATATTGCAAGGTTTTCCATTGAATGAACATTTATGGATCAAATTGTGTTTAGCTTGCGACATTTTGATTCTGAAAAATGGTGGAACTTTTATTAAAAAATTGGGCCAAACCAGGCATGTCGTTTTCGCGGCCCGGGGCGGCCCGCGGGCCTAGTAAGAAACGAGGCGGCCCGGGCCGGGCCGTTTTTTTTTTGATATGGAAAAAGCCCGGCCCGGGCTAGGGTAGCCCGCGGGCCTTTCAAAGTTATCTTCAAGTAGTTTATTTGTTTAACGAATTCATTAACGACGACTTTATTTTACTTTTACTAGGGAAAAACAACATTTTATTTTTTCCAGGGAAAAACAACAAAAGAAACAATAAAATTTTAACAAAAAAGCATGAAAGAAGAAAAAGACATTTTAATTCAAGGAGAAGGTGAAGAAGAAGAAGGGGAGAATTTGTATTTGGAATTTTCAGTTTGGTTAACTAACAAGAGATTTTCGAGAAGATCAATGGACAAATTACCTCGTGTACTTGTGTATATTCTTTTGGTTTGACTAAATGCCCTTTCATTAGTAGCTTCAGACGGTATAATACCAAATATTTTTTTGGCCACATGATAGAGCTTCGGATAATTTGTTTTATTCGCCGGCCAAAAGAATTCGAAATCCACATTAGTTCTCGTCAACATAAATCTTTGATATTCTTCCCAGAATGTGAATTCTGGTGTGACTGGCGGCGCCGTGAAGCGCTGAACAAACGATGGTGACGGGGGATGAGAAATTTGTGGAGCAATAGTTTTTTCAACTCCAAGAATATCGACAATTTCTTCAAGTTCAATCATAGCTTCTTGTTCAATATCGAATTGAATCTGCAAAGTATTTCTCATTATACTTGTTGTCAAATAATAAAAACTTACGGAGCATTCATCGAATATCTCTTGAATATTTGGAACTCTTCTTGGATCCAATTGGTAGGATAGACAATGAGGGCCGCCGACAATATTTTGATTTTTAAGTAAAACTTCCATCGCACTTTGACCAATCGAACTTTTAATCTGAAAAATGGCTATAAAAGATATCATTAGAAAAATAGCTAACATCATCAGGGTCCTCTTGCCAGTTGTGGAAAGTCTGGAGCAGTCCTGCATAAAGTGGCAAAACTTTGTGGATGAATGGTTTCTCTTCCTGAAAAAATATAAATTATAAATAAAAATGCATGAAAAAAAATACCTGAGAAAGCATAACCATCTCTTGTAATGGTTTCCATGTTTCGACAATCAAAGAGATATTTCGACGAGACAAAGCCAATGTTTCGATGAGATCCGATATGACTTGATCTTCGAAGTCTTCCTCGCATCCACACAAACAGTTTAAGTTTGTTAAAATGCTCAAAACAACCGCGTACCTTGACAACCAGCGCGTTTCACAATGTTGGTGGATTTCAGCTGGCAAATCTTTAGTCAAGCTCTTGAAAGGCTTCAGTTCCTTCGAAAGTGCAATACATTGATCAATCGTATCATTCAAACTATCAAGATTCGACTTCACAGTAGCCGATAAATCGCTGTTGGCATATGGTTGGAAAATTCGAAGAGATATGGTGTTACAAAAATGCGATAAACATCGAATATAGGAGCGAAAATGATAATTTCCAGCAGCTTGCATATTTTTCGCTGAATCTGCACAAAAGTAAGTCGCTTCCAAAACTCGTGGATCCCAATCATAACCCGTATACAGATCGGCAATTGTCTTGTGAATCATGGAGGCGTCTTTTTTCAAATTACTGACAACTTTCATGCCAATCGGCACAACTTTCAATGACCATTGTGGAATGGAGTTATCAAAGCTTTCGTGTATAAATGATATTTTGACTGAGTAAAAATCATGATTCACTTTTCCAAAATCCGATGCAAGTGAAATCATGTTTTCTTCTACGAGTGGCTTGAACTGCAAATGAACTTTATTGTTTTTCATTAGTTAATTGCAGTTTACCTCTTTCTTCAAAAAGTCAAGTTTATCCGCCAACTGCTTCACCGCTTCGTCTCTTATGCAAGTTCTTTTCGGCAAAAATGAATCGAATCCTTCATCGGACATTCTAGAATATCCGGCCATCCGCTTAATCATCTCCCGAAAATGCGAATTTTCGACAATTGCGATTGGCGAGCCGCTATTTATCACAAATTCCGATATAAATACTTTCGCGCGTTTTTTATCCAGCGGTTCACGTCGTTTCTCGGCCAATCTTGTGCATTTTCTCGCATGTCGGCTGGAAATTTGGTTTTCTGTTGTTATATATCATATATCAGAAAATTGACTCACGTTGTATGACCTCCCTCTCCTTTATAACATTTTTCGCAACCAATACACTGTTTGAACCCTGGATCCACGATGCAGACACCATTCGAAACTTTGATTCGTCTGAATTCGCCGTTGTCTTCGACCTCTTCTAACTGAAAAAAAACTTATTACATCTCCTTAATTTTTCAATAAAAGTTACATAAAATCCATGAACTGTTTCCCCGTTCAACATTTTCTCCGTCATAGCGGCATCAAAAACTGTGGAATCTCGCTTGTCGCCTGCCATTTCGCCTAAAATCAAATTATACGGTTACATTAGTCAAATTGATCATATTAAAATTATACGTATTCATTCAAAACACCTTTATTGAAGCAAAAAATGTATTTTGGGCTCGAAAAACATGAAAAATGAAAATATTCGAAAAATAACGATGCGAACACCACCACGAAAAATTACACATTGTCGTCATTTTAAATGTATACAGTAGGTTTTTTTTCACAATTTTCGTTCTCCTCTCGAACGATGAGAAAACAAGCGGGCCGGCACGGCCGGGCCGGCTAGCAGCGGGCTATTTTTTCCATGGCCCGTTTGGGCCGACGGCCCGAACGGGCTGCTTTTTTCGGCCCGACCCGGGGCGGCCCGGGCAAAGACGACATGCCTGGGCCAAACTCATAAGCTAAATTCAGAGTCCTTTTACTAGTCGCATTTCAAAACTAGAGAGCAAGTTAGAAGAGTTTCTGTTTGAAAAATCACCTTTGATTTTCACTCAAAGCGCTCATGGCAAAAATAATATTTTCTTTAGCTTTTGTCACAATTGCTACTTCATCAGTCATATTTCCAAAACCCAAAGCTTCTCGTTCTTCTGGAGTCACATCCGAGAACACCTCTTCAATTTCTCCCAATTCCCACAAATTCAAATACGAAGTGATATCTTTTGTTCCAACACACCAATCTTTTGGTCCAGCCTTCACACATAAGCAAGGTAACTTTGTGTTTGTCTTCTCTGTCCTCCGACCGCCTGCAAAAAAAGAATGTGAAAGAAAGAGACAGAGAGGAAAAGGGAGAAGAGATAGATATGTATGAAAAAGAAGCATGCAGAAACACCACCGTCGATAGCTCAGTTGGTAGAGCGGAGGACTGTAGAGTCAGTGGGTATCCTTAGGTCGCTGGTTCGAATCCGGCTCGACGGAACGGCTTTTTTGCATTTTTTTTTGTTTTTGAGCGGAATTTTCAATAAAAACCAGAGAAATATTCACCTTTTTTGTTAGTATTTTTCTTCGTTGGTTTTTTACTGCAGAAATTGTGATCATCACATTCAACACAGGTTGTATTTTTCCAAACATGTTTTTGATGACAAGGCCAAGCATCGCCACTCATTCGATCATATGCACAAACACACAAAGATCCTTCGCCTTTAGGCTCTCCATCTTCGTGTTCACATTCTTCTTTGGAGTTTTCTTCATTACAATTACAATTTGAGTACGCCTGAAAATATCAAAACTTTTGATATTTCAAAAAATTACTGAACCTACAGGCTCAAATTTCGTTCCATCCGCAGCTCTTCTGAATCTTCCAGTTTGAATAGTGATATCTCCAACTTCAACATCATCTTGAACTTCAGCACTATTATCTCCTGCTTTTTTCATCATACTTTTGAAAACACCCAATATTTTACTGATACTATCATGAGAGCGAATTATACTATCTTTATATGGGTTAAGATTACATAAAGTGATTGCTGGAAATGGGGCAGAATCAAATTTCAGTTGGATGTCTGTGATTTTGTCCATTTTGTTGTATTTTTTAACGACGGCGTAAGCTTGGTTAACAAATTGTGCGGCGCAAATAGTTAAAAGAAAGAGCCAGGCAAAACTGAAAAAAATGTTTGACTGGAAAAGAAGTGTAGCTTTCAAATTAAATTCATACCGATATAGCGAGTTTGGTGCTTGTCCTAACATTGGAATTCCGTGGCTTGAAGTTTTATAACAAAATTGTTGAAGATGATATCTTATTCTCTCATGGTATGATAATCTCGTTGGATCAATTTCCATTCCTCCATTTTCAGTTAACAAATCACATTGAATTTCTTTTTCATTATCATTATTACTTTCTCCATATGCATAACTTGTCATAATTTCAGCGACGTTTAAAAAATTCGTATCACTCGCAAGATAATTCGAAAAATCTGTTTTAAAACTTCGAAGGGATTTGAGATCATCTTCGTTTTGAAAACGATCACGAGCTTTCGGAAGTTGTTGATATCGAAACATTTGACGATGATTCATTCTGAATATCTGGAAAATATTGGAATTTATGGAGAAGAACTAGAAAATGCTGATGTTGAAAAAGAAATGGCCAAGAAAATGTGTTGCGGGAAGAATCCTTTTCCATGCATTTTATATTTTTTATATGTATGCTTGTATGTTGTTTGTCGACTGTTTTAAAAATGGAAAGAATAAAAATCTTGCAATGAAATACGTCCCTTCTCATAATGAGTACTTGTTTTTATGTTGTTTTCTTTTTCAGAACATCTCTGACCCGCATAATTTCAGCATTAATGAGAATTTTTTATTTGAATATTCAATGTTTCTTGTTTGTAGAACTTTAATGTTTGCTCTCAATGTGTTCAACAAATTCCTAGACAGCTCCTAACACAATCACTCAACTTCATCTTTCTGCGTGCTGAAACCTAGCAACGGTGTCACCTTGCACCGAATGGGGCTTAACATTAAAAATCAACATACAACTCGAGAAATGAAGTTTTTTTTTGCTAAAAATAGCTTTTGAATAAGAAAATCAGACTAATTCATGTAAAACAAACAATTTCAAAATTTTAAATTGACAATGATTTGAGTTTATATGATTCAACAAAATTTGAGAAATGTCAACTAACTCGGAGAAGTTTCAAAAAATATAAATGATACAATAGAAAATTCGATATGAAGTATTCTCTTGTGAGAAATTTTGTTTTAATTTTTCCAGATTTTCCAGGTTTTTCTACAAATTGCAGAGCATATTTTTGGTTTCTGGGATGTTTCAATCTGAATGAACATGTTTTTTGAAGTTTGTTCAATTTACTCAGAGTTGCATTCAAAAAATCTGTATAAAAATTTGATAGTATTCATTTTTACTGTTCTTATTTTTCCAGGGCTCTTTCACGTCTTCAATCCATCAACCAATCAACACACTCCAATTTGAAAAAGACAGCTTATCAACATGGCAACGGCTTCTGCTGCATGAAAAAATCGATTTTTTGCTAGGCTTAGCCTCCGTCGATACACAGGCTTAACTTTTCTAACATTCCTCGTTAACTATATAATTTGGTATACAATACTCAACATCTGACAGTACCATTAAATGATGTACAATTCAACCAAACCTGTGGAAAAGTTTCCTTTTGAGGTTTTCCCAGTAGTAATTATCTCCCTTTTCCTTTTCTTCTCATAAAAAAATTATCACCTACCGTTTCCGTCGAAAAAACCTTACAGTTGTTGTAGTTTTGGCGAGCTAAGCTACTATGAACCGAATTTGAATTATATCACTCAAATTTCTACAATTATCTGAAATTTTTCTGAAAAACAACACTCTATTCACACTTTTGAATTTGAAGCAGTTGAGTTATTGAATCTGTAAATTTTCCTGAAAAAAAAACGAGGATACTTGTTGGTACCAGCTAACCAATGAAACCCATAATCATTGTTTTTTCTACCAATTAGCTTTTTTCTGATTTTTAGCTAATTGAAGGTTTTCTGAAAATAGTCATTGTAAACATTTTGCCAGCGGTTACATAACACCATTAATCTTCATCCAATTTAAAGACGATTCTGAGCTGTAACACATGCTTTTGAAAAAAAAAACAAGAATTTTCAATTTAACTTTATTTCGAAGTTGTAAATTATGTTTAATTCAAGTTTTTTTTCTGGCAAGTGGAATGATAATTTTTGTCGCGTGAGATCAACTCATTGAAGTTTTACACTTTCAGAACGCAATCAGTTTAAGATATGATAAAGTTGAGCTCAAAAGTTCGTTTAACTGTTTATTTCTTTTTGTTAGTCCTAATAACAACCAGAGGTTGGTCTCCAATAATAGATTGTTATTAAAAAAAGTGTTTTTGAGCATATTTTATAAATATGCCCAAAAATTGTTTATATTTTGAGAAAAGATACTTTAAACAGAAATAAATGACCAAATTTATAATCATCCTCTAGAATTAAATAATCTACTATATACTAATTGGAAACATGCTTTTCGGAAAATAGTTTGTCCGGAGCCCGTTCTCAACTTCCACTTCATAAAAATTGATGATCAAAAAAAGAAAAGATAGCTTTGCATGGCACCTCGAGGTATTTTTCTTGGATTTTTGATTAAGGTTCTGTGAGTGCGCGGAGAGTTGAAAATTTCAAGAGAGTCAGAAAAATCAATGTATTTTTTGATTTCAAAATGTTCCACTCGAGATTGCTCTGTCCCCAGAAGTCCGTTTTTCATGAGACCTTCACCATTCGATCCCAAATTCTTTCCCATCGATGCGCTAATATTTTGTTTTTCGAAAAGTGCGCGAGTTTTCACGTGAAAAATCAAAACTTTTTTCATGTAAAAAAGAATGATCACGTTTTTATTCAAAAAAAAAAAATTAAAGGACACGTTTCTTATCTGATCGTTCTATTTTCTGAAGAAGCTGAACATTTTGAGTCATTTCTGGATGATAGCTTCTTCCTAATCGGTCGGCTGAATTAATAGAAAACAAAGTGAGTTAACTACTGTGGAAATTTTTATCAGTTATTTGAAACTTCAGATCAATAATGGTTTGAAATGATTCCAAGACGGTTTATGAACTTATGTTGTGAGTTTCGGTTCATCCTTAGACTAGAAAACTGTGAAGTTCATACGTTTCTTTTTCGGGATGAATGAGAAGAGAGACGAGAAAAAATCAGCCCCAGCGTTTTACAGTAATGGACTAGCCTAACCTTTATGATTCCAATGAAATCAGAGGACATGCAGCAAATATTCTTTAAAAATTTAGACGGGATCTAGATACCAGGATTTTTGGCCACGTTAGGTTGATTACCAGAAGGACTCCGCCGGCTATCGCCTGCTCCTCCTTCTGGGTTGTCGGGGCTTCGCGCTCAGTATTCTTTTGATGAACAGTTTGCTCTGAAGTCCTGTTAGGAAACCTATCTAACCTTTTAATGAAATCACGAACAATGATTTTTGAATCGCTTTCTCTGATGACACAGACGCCGTTCTAACCTTCTTCAAAAAGCGGCAAAATGTCACTTTTTACTCACGCCTCGGCCAAGCCGTGGCTGGCCAGAGTACAATTTTTTGAAAAATCTGAATTTAAGTTTTTACAGGTCAAAAATTGAAAAATCACAATTTTTAGAGGACAAAAACTGAAAAATACACAATTTTTGTACTGTAAAAAGTTAGCGTACAATTTTTATTGTGGAAACCACGATTTTGGCCGAAGTGTGTTTTTACTATTGCTAATTTTTGGATTTTTCAACAGATGCTAACGGCAACCATAAGCCATATCGCTATAACAAAAATGTATAACTTGAGTAGTCAGTTTATTTGAGAATATTTGACAACCCCATAGAATTTTAATCTATCAAGATTCAGGAACAGCCGCTAAAAAAGCCGTTGCATATTTTTTGGTTATTGAAAAATTTGTGGTTTCACAACACTGTCCAAGTTTAGTTTTTCACTTGGTCAAATAGTGAAGTTTGACGGGAACAGGAGCTTCTTCTTTTTCAATTTGAGGCACATACAAAAATGAATCCGTATATATTAACAAAAAAGGGTCAGTTCTTGAATTTTCGTTTTGCCAAACGTCTGTGTCATCAGAAAAATCGTCTCAAAAATCTTTGTTCGTGATTTCATTAAAGAGTCAGATAGGTTTCCTAACAGGAATTCAGAGCAAACTGTTCATCAAAAGAATACTGAGCGCGAAGCCGCAACAACCCAGAAGGAGGAGCCGGCGATAGCCGGCGGAGTCCTTCTGGTACAATATATATTATTTTGAATATTGTACGTCTCCTTCCTCTCATTTTCCTCTCACTAATTCCCTCTTCATTTCCCACACTCTCTCATCTATCGCGTCTCCCACTACTCTTCATGTTTTCATAAACAGTTTTGTTTATAGTCTTCTTAACATTTTTTCCTATTTTCTTCCGTTTTTCGCGCGTAGATTAGGTTTAGATTTTATACTTAACGCCATCTGATGTTCAGGTCGAAACGGCTTTACCGCGTAATTTTATTCAATTAGTTTATCTTTCTTTTCTTGATTGAACAAGACTAATGTTGAAAATTATAAAAATTGGGGCCTTAACTCTGAAAAATCGTTGAACTTTTTGGTTTGAAGATAGGTTGTAGATCTTAAAACTATCGGCTCAAAAGAACATTATACATATAACTCATATTTTCACGATTCTTTTTTAATTTCCAAAAAACGGCTATTTTTAAGGTCTGGAACAGCAGTTTTAGGTGCATGCTTTGATAGTTTCTATTTTCAAAGGGTGTTTTGGGTAAATAATACAGATTTTTCAAAAATATTCTCATTTAGTTCAAAAAATATAATTTTTTTCAGATAGATTCAAATTTGAGCCTAAAAGTTTATATTACTTTTATGTTTTTAATCATTCACAAATAGAGATACAAAAATTAGTCAAACCCTATAATTATGGTCTATTTTTGTCATTTAGTTAGCTCCCGTGTAACTTGATCATTTGAATGAATTTTTGTACTTATCGAATTTATCTTCTTATTACAGTTTAAACCATCAACCAGTGCAGCAAATCTAATCGTTCACCACAACAAGCTTGATAATGGTGAGTTTTTTTTGTCTAATTTTCCCCCACAGGCTTTTGATTCTCGATACTGGTTAATTCTATCATGTGATGTGAGAGTTGCACTTTAAGAGGTGAGTGTACTTTAAGGAACACAAAAACATATAGCTTGAAATAGGCGTGGCTTTACTGAACTAATAAAAAAAAACGAACGGCGAACATTTGACTCGAGACATTTTCAAGTCTGGCGTTTTCTGCCAGTGTTTCTCATAGAGGATGTAATATTAAGAGCACTGACTTTCAAGCTTTCTAGGTATCCCAATATTGTGTCAATGGGGTCACATGAAATGTCAAAATGAAAAGCGTGTCAAAAGCTTCTAGCTAATACTAAATTTTCCCCCAAAAAAATTACGTGATGGTCCGAAAAATTCGTTGAAAAGTAGATGAATAATTCGAAGAAACAGCGATAAGCAGAAAAGGGTAGATAGACTTTAGAAAAGGACTTGCGGTTGCCATAGAAAAAGAAGGGAGAAAAGCCGAGCATGCTCTTCAGCAAATCGATATGTTAAACCGAGATAATATTTAGAAGAGAGAGTTGTTTTTTTGGAAAAAAACATATAGACAGATTGGTGATTAAGAAAAAATAAGTACAGCTTTCGAATTGGAAATGATGTGATAGAATGGGGCTTGTGGAAAAAATTGCTTGACGTTCAAAGTCACTGTGAAAAGAAAAAATGTAAAAGACGTTCTATTTCACACTAGAAAAATATGAGAAGAAACCAAAGTTCGGAACAAAGCCATTGGAAAAATAAAAAAAACACTACAGGTTTTACCATTTACAAGGAATGATCCATTTAGTGATTTGAGCTAGGACTAAGCGGAAAGCGGTCCATAAACAAAAGTAGGAAAAATTCTTAGTATTTGATTTTTGATTGAAAGATCAAATTTGTGGTTCTGATGTGAGTTATCCAGGATCAAAAACTTGGTTTGAAACTAAAACTAAAGTAACCGTCCAATTTTTGTTTCTGTTGCTTGAGTTCAAACAAAAATTGCTCTCATTGAACAAGGAAAATTTGTAGGAACTACATAGAGAAGTTCTTGATAGTTACAAGATTTGAGAAACTTTTAGAAATTCAAGCGTATTTTTATTCTACAAAAAATTAAAGCCACGTTCCTATTCTAATAATTGCACAATCCATTCAAAATACTTTCAAATTTTTTTCAGATCAGCCATCGTCGCCGTCACAAAAAAAACTTGTTGTTTTCGTTGCCGTCACAAAAACCATCGTCGCCATCACAACAATTCGCTATTTTATTGTTCATGGTGAGTATTTTCTATGTTTAACAGGTCTCGATATGCGAATGTAAATTAGAATGGTGAGTCTTTATTCAAATTTTACAAAAAAAAAACAAAAATTATGAAAATATATAGATAAGTATTCGTAATTTGACTCGACCATTATTTTATTTCGTTGGGCACTAATATTTATAGTTATCCTCTTGAAATATCGTAATTATTGGAAAAAACCAATATTTGATACAATCAAACAAATTCACTCCAGAATAAAAGAATAAATAAGCGAATCCATATCTGAGAAGAAGAAAGACAACAAACTGCTTAAGGCGTAAATTTCTCATATTTCGTTCTTGCTCTTCGTCCATTATATCAAAATTAGAAATAGTAGAAAGTGAGTAGATATATGAATATGAATAATAATGAAAAGCTATGTTAGATTTAACCGCGATTGTACTCTCCGTATTTCTTATGCATTTTGTATTCTTTTGATAATTAAAAAAAGGATTAGTAAACACGTAGGTACTTACGTCACAGATTATACTGTTTTCAAAAGTTCAATCAAAAGAGGACGTTGGCTTACCTGTTAACAGTAACGAGAAAGTCTTCATGAGTATTGCGGTTCTCTCCTAGGTTTGAAGAATTTCGAGTTTTTCGTCATTGAATTGAAGAATCATACGTTGTTCACTTGATTATCTCTCTGATAACTAGATTTTTTTCTCTGGCTTCAATTCCAACTTTGTTCCATAGACAACTTCGATCTTTTTGAAAAGAAAAATTCAAAATACATAAAGCCCCACATTTTTCTAGACTCCTGGCAATCTTGAATCTTGCAATTTATAATCAAAGATTGACCGATAGAAATGAGATATCCAAGTTCAATCTTTGGATTTTGTGAAATGGGCGTCCAAAAATCAAAAAATGAAAATTTCAAACCTGTCCAATTTTGATAAAAATATGATCTTCTTGAAGCTAACTGAATTCTGATTGTTATAATACAACTTATAATAAAAAATTTAGTTTAAACAGAAATTGGACAGATGTAAAATTTTCATTTTTTGATTTTTGGACGCCCCATCATGGGATACATGTAGAAAAAGTTCATACATTAGAGAAGTGTATTTTATCAAAGAATTTTCATTTCTAAATTGTGCGTTTTTTTCCGAATTGATGAATCAGCTCAATAATTTCATACTTTCTAAAAAAAACACCGCTTCTGTTAGATTATCTACAAAACTCATCAAAGTAGATATTGGTGTTCATAAAAATTGATAATGCGTCGCATTTTTCCCGAATTTTTCTATATCTTACTCTCTAGAAAATCGGAAACGAACTTTTCAAATTCATCTATCCGACATTGTAAGATCTATAATTTGAAGTATTTTCATGTATTGCGATTAACAAAACACAAACACTCAGCAACGCATCTCTTTGGAACATGAATTATAATCTCTTTCCTGCTAATTTTATCTGAAAAGAGAACAACAAAACAACGTTTTTTCTACAACATTTTTAATTTCCACGTGTCTCTTTCAAAAAAAAATTTTTCTCTCATTTAAAATTTAGTCGGAAGACTTTCGAGTCTCTCCAAAGTTTTGGAGGTATTCGCCAAATAGTCCAAAACCATTTGTTTTTGGAATTCGACGCACATCTCTTTTTTCATCTCCGATGAAAACATGACTGGCCAGCTTTTGGCAGCGCGAATTCGCATCCATGGACATTCTGAAATATGAATGGGTTGAATTAAAGTGAGAAGCTAAGCTAATTTTTACCTGGCATTCCATGATTAACAACACCAATTGCAGCTTGTTCGAGGCCGCTTAGAATGCGTTGCTCTCTTCCAACTGCAATTGTTTGGTTGCCAGTATATTCCAAAAGGCATTTTTTCTTTGATGCAGCTGTTTCAAAACGATTGTCTTGTTTTGCCATGATCAAAATATCGTAACACTCTGAAAATTAATTTTTCAAAATCTTCTGGTTTCTCGGAAATTCTGATTACCTTCCGGTGGTGGTCTTGGTAAAAACCAACGCCATCTTGGCAGCTTATGATCCACCGCCAAAGCGGTTTGAATAGCAAGTATGACAAGTATTGTAGAGAACCTCATTGGGTTCTCCAACGTTTTCTGCAAAAAAAAAAGAATGTTTTCTCATTTTCTAAACTACAAAATAGTGAATAAATTATCAAGTGAAATTATTAATCTTTTCTCGAGAAAAAAAGACTGGAAGTCCGAAAGATCATATGAAAAATGTGACTTTTTTCTCGCCATGAAATGTTTTTGACCAAACATTTTACACAAATATCATGTGTGCAATGAAATAACAGGAAATGAGACATTCTCGAACAAAAACATTGTGAAATCATTGAGAATGCTTGATATATACTTTCTGAATTCAACACCCCAATCAAAATTTGTCAACCCCTCAATTACAAATTGTTCTCCTTCTTCCCTTTTTGTGCACATTCGACATTGGGCTCAACGACGTTTTTCTCGTGTGTGCCAGGCACGGCGCCCTGATTTTCAGCAGCTCTCATGATAAGACAGACTGATATGCACTCTTTTTCAGTAGGGTTCTCTAATCCTGCCGCGCGCACGAGCAGGTTAGATATTATTTGAAAAGAGGAGAATTAGAATGATATGGGATCGATATGGGCTGCAGATATTTTTTGTCCAAGAACTTCAAATGATTATAATTAGAATACTCGCGAAGTTTGGTTTTATTACGTGCATAGACAGAAGGCACAAAATGATGAATTCGACATTTGGAATCAAAAACAAACATGTTATTATTTAACATTAAGAAGAAGTTCAAAAGTTATAGAATCAAAGAAATCACAGAACTATGATTCATCAGCACTTTTTGATATACATATGCATATATATATATGCACTTCCAATTAAAAATTCATCCTGCAAGAAAATCAAAAACTAACAACCACAAAAAACGCTCACTCAATCTTATGTCTATTCAAATTTGAGTAACTCAGACTCGGAAATTGTGTTTTTTGTTGTTGTGAATTTGAATCAGAGAGAATAAAAACACCATAAAACAACGATTAAACTAATGTTCTCAAATTATTCCAGAGGAAATATGGTTTAATCGTTTCAGAATAACATTATTCTTTGAATAAAAGTGGAAATCTTTTGAAATGTAAAGATCAAAAATTCTTTAGGTCCTTTTTTAGCCGAAACTCTTTTCGAACCCGTTCAGGTGAAAAGAAACTAAAAGAATAAAGAAATATGAGAAAAATATAAAAAAGGATAGAATAATTTTCTTCTGGAAAAAATTTCAGCGCATTTTTCTCAGGAAAACACAATTTTCTATCAACATCACGTCATAAAGCTTTATTTCCCAAAAAAAGAACAAAATGGTATAGTAATTAGGGTGAAAATGTATCAAGAATTCAGTAATCTTATAAAATAATCTGCATAAATTAGTTGGGTCCTGGAATATGGCGATAGGCACCATAAATTGCATTGGATTTTTCGATGATCATGTTGAGAAATGGGAGAAGTTGAATAACTTGACTGTCATAGGCATTGTTGAGAAGTCCGACAAAGAAGAATGAGAAGTATAAGGCTGGCAGGTATAGCATAAAGATTGTCACCGCAGCTTGAATGAAATTACGCTTCAAAGTTTTATGGTAGAGATTTGTAGTTTGTTCATTTGCTAGAATTTCGGCAATATTCGTGACTTCTTTATACAACGAATAATTTCCCCAAATAAAAAAACCAAGAAAAACAAGTGTGGCAACAGTAATGATTTCGAAAAAGTTGATATGAACAAAACTTGGCAATTTCCAGTAAAGTCCGTCATTTTCGCTATTGTCCGTAGAAAACAGAATGATAATTCCAAAAAATATGATAACACCAGATACGGAACATATAAACTGTTTGAGATAGTTTTTGTTGCGTTGATTTCTGAATTCAGAATTTTGAAATCACAGTTAATGTTTTGCAAAAAAAAGGTTTTTTTTGTAATAAAATTTAACATCATATTTATTTTTATTAATGAAAGTTCAAAAATTCCTGTCACATTTTTTTACAAAAAATTAATCTGCAATAGTCCAGAAACTCACAGTTTGTTTTGATAGTATGTTAAGAGACTTTGACTCGTATGTAACATCGGAAGCGTGAAGAACAGACTTAGATAGAATCCCATAAGCAGTTTTCCGATGAAGTATTCAACATTGATTATTTCGCTGGTGATAACAAGTCCACGATTTTCAAACGAAAATACAGGTTGGAAACAGATTGTCAAAAAGCAGAATACAATGTTGAATGCCGAGCAAATAGTGAATACTTGTTTTGCAACTTTTTTCAAGTCAGACTTGTAGTAAAATGTCATGAAAACATATCCCGAATTGAGAGTCAATGAGGCAAGTGCGAAAATTATTAGGAAAATTTTCATTTTTCCGAATAAATTTTTCGAAATGAAGAAAAGTACGGATTTGGATTAGATGGATACAAAAAAAGATTTTTTTGTATATGTGAATAATATTTCTCGGAATTTTCGAGAAATTTATTATAATAATGATAATTATAATTTGGGAGAAATGGTGATTCTAGAATTATCATTGTTTTTCACATTTTAGAAGTTTGATCAAGGCGGGATTGTATGATTATGAATCATGAGTTTGGAGTCATGTGCACATTTTTTCTTATTAAAATTATTGTTGAGTTGATCTTTCAATATGAGTTTTATGAGCCAGATATCACTGATGTTTGAATTCTGATGGAAACCTTTCAAAAGATATCTCCAATGTTTTGTACCATTCCAAAATCCCTTTTCAATATCTCTATTGTCTTGAGACATCAGCAATTAGACGTTGAGCATTTTTATCTCATACTTTATCAGCTAGCACAGGGCAGCACGGCGCGGCTCCTTTTCCGGCTCGAAAAGCATCCCAAAAACGTCGATAAAATAGTCATGGCAACGTTTATTTTAGAAAAAAGACTGAACATTATAGCATTGGAATGGGTATGAAATGGATACAAAAAAGACCATAAGGGACCTGAAGTTCCAAAATTTCCGAGACAAAAGAATAGAACGAGTAGGAAATTTTGAAACCTAAACAATTGAGCATTTTCATGCAAATTCGGGAGATTCTTTTGAATCTTTGACAGAAGCTAAATTGCATATATTTCAATCAAGAAATATTAACTTTGAAAATTTCTTAAGATTGTGCTAATCATTTTTCTGCGAGAGGGAATCATTGTACCGAAACAAAGCATCTAATGAATTTGAAATTTCGTGAATACAATCTTTTCCCATTACGCCGACATCTCGCTCTTCTATTGGTAGAGAATAAAAGTACTCTAACACTTCAGGACAGCCTGAAAAATAAATTTTATTATCAAAAATTAACAGCAGTATTACCATATTTCAATTTTTCATCAATATGATGCCCATTATTTATGATCTCCAGTATCTTCCGAAATTCCATTTCTTCATCTGCAATAATTTTCATAAAATCAAGTAACCAATCAAATATTGATACCTTCTCCATTTATACGTAAAATGAAAAACGCGTAGCAAATACATATAAACACATTCATTGTATGTTAAATGTTTCTATGAGCAAAAATCAGGAGTTTTTTGCCGTTTTTAAAGGAAACTCCGCCTGAGAAATAAATGTAAATTGAATGAATTAGTGCGTATTTTCTTTAAAAATCAGTTGAGGACAAGAAACCTGTGAGTTTTTGTTAAGTAGATATGTTATTCCTATATTGAGATTTGAAAAATTAACGAATTATGGCTAACAATTTATATTTTGAAATCCGGAAAAAACCTTAAAAATTTTCAAGATTTATAGACAATTAACCGCGAAGAAAATCGCGTTCCATATAGAATTTATTTTTGAGAAATTCGCTCAATGCATAAAATTTGCTCTACGTGTTTTTTTTTCTGATTCGCAATTTCTAGCAAACCTCCAAATTTTATATCAGAAGACATATATCAAAAAGTTTCTCAAAATGTTTGAAAAATCTGCTTCTCTTCATTTTTTCTACATTTTCATTTCAAACAACAATTTTTCATTTAGAAAAACCACAAATTAACATCAAAACGTTTATTATTCTCCCAGAGAGATTCAATATTCAAAAATAAAATACAAATTATTATCGAGATCAACGTTTCCAAAATCCTCTAGTGTTAAGAGCAGTGTATTTCAATGAGAACCAAAATTCCATGTTGACATTTGAATTGTTAATTATGTAGTCATCCAGAATTTTTTCAACTTGATTGAAACGACTGAAACAAGCTGACAAGGAATGGTTTTCAATGTTCCCCCAAGGAAAAAACCGAGAGTATGTGGAATGTTGAGGGTTCCCGTGGGTAAGAAAAACCCTAACGGGAATAAGGAGAAAAATGCCTTATTCTCGAGAAAAAATGTATTTTAGGTCGAATTTTACACCATTTTTTGATTTTTAGAGCATCTGTAACTCGATTTTGAATCTATTTCATGAACTTTTGAGTCGTGGAAGTTGTTCAGAATGGTCGATTACGTGTTTGTGAAACTTTTTATCAAAAAATAAAACATTTTTTGAAATTTGGTTTTTTTAGTCGGGGTTTTTCTGATCAAATGGTCACCAAAAAACACAAAAAATAATTTTTTCCATTTTCAAATGAACGGAACTTGAAAAATTTATGACGGTCAACAGACGTAATTTGGTCCGTAGAATCCAAAAATCATAGTCTCGATTCACACAAACTTCTCCTTCACAACGAAAACGTTGATTTTCTATGAATTTTTCAAACTGGATTTTTGATTTAGTGGACTTTTGGGACCAAAATTATTTTATTCCTAATTTTAGTCGAAGTAATACTAAAGTACGCCGTTTGCGCTACAAATGGATTTTTAGATTGACATTTTTCACCAATTTTGAAAAAAGTTTCGATTTTTCTAAAAAATTTCATCGCAAAAATCAATAACACCAAAATTTTCTAAAACAAGGCATTTTTCTCCTTATTCCCGTTAGGGTTTTTCTTACCCATGGGAACCCTCAACATTCCACATACTCTCGGTTTTTTCCTTGGGGGAACATTGAAAACCTTTCCTTGTGAAACAAAAAAATAATTAGTTAGAATCTGAAATTTTCGTAAACTTACGTCCAATTTCTTTGGAATCTTTTTCTTCGACCAAAACCTGAGCAATGTTTGTGATCAAAGAACTTTTGATAATTGGATCGTTCCAAGCAAATGGATACCCTGAAACCAAATAGATGGGGTGATAATTTTTCAAAAATTAATTTCGTAACTCACATCGAAGATAAGGACATCTCCAATACAAAATTCTAACTTGCCAGTCAACAGAAGTTTTCATTTTTTTTTTGAAAATGAATGAATGAATATGCACTGCCTTTTATATAAAGACAGATAAGAGCATTTAGAGATGATTATCGACTCGTGAAATGTTAAATCTAGCCTGCACTCACAAACAAAATGAAAAGTTTTGAAAAAGCTTAACAAAATGTTGATTTGTTGAAAATCTGTATAGAATTCTGTAACCGTGAACATATGTAGAAATAAGAAAAATATAGTAGAAGATTTTTGAAATCTATTCTGTCAAATTGATGCGCGACTTTCTCGCTTCTCGGGCGCTGTTGCTACAATCTGGGGTCGTAAAACTGATGTTTAAAGAACGATTCCAAGTTCTGACCCATCTTAAAATTCTGAACAAAAATTCACCGCTATAAAAGAACATTTTTGCTGGGCGTGAATCTGAAAAACACGAATATTTATCGAAATTATGGATTTGATCCCACATTTTCCAAATATTTTTTCCATTAATAGGAATAGTTTTGTATTTAGATAAATAATTTTCACAATCAAATAAAATACAACGTTTTTCAAGACATTCATATTCGAAATAGTTGAAACTGAGCATTACCAACCTGGCAATTTAGAGAAACTGGTTTTTTGGTCAGTTAGTTGACGTGTATAAAGCGTGGTGTAATGACAACGTGAAAACATTCACGAAGATATGTTTTTTCTTTCAAAAAATGTTGGAATATGTAAAAACAGTTTATGTCTAATAAATAACATATTAAAGTAAACGAAAACAATGAGATTCAATCAATCTGACGATGAAATTCTCCATAATTCCGGTGATTGACATGCAGTTTTTTGAAGTGCTCTCCATAATTCAATGTTAAGATCCGGATGATTCGTTTTGTAATCTTCGAAAAGTTGATAAATTTGCCTACGTCGCAATGGGAATTCTAAAGAAAATATATTTTTTTACTCAATGATCAAATTTATGAACCTACTTTCAGGATGTTTTCCTTCTCTTTGTTCCACTAAAACAGCGCAAATTCTCAAAATCATTTTGCTTTTCATTATTGGATCTTCCCAATCAAAATTTCGATCTGAAATGATTACAATTTGCATTAAATCAAGTTTGTACTACTATTAAAATAACTTACTTTGAACATAAGGACATTTCATCAATAAAATGATGAGCATTCTTTCAATAGCCGTGTCTTTTTTAAATTGTCGAAACATTCAAAACTAATGAAAAATGAAAAAATGAACGGATTCCAAATCCCGCCTTTATCATTTTTTGTCAGTTTTTCTGGGTAGATTAGTTTCTCTAATTAGAATAAATAATCTCCATTCATCTCACAAACCAAAAACTGTGTTCGTTGAGAAATATATAGAAAAAAAATTCATTGTAATACAAATCAACATGCAAAAATTATTTTTAGAAAGTTCGCATAGAGCTTCAAAGGTTTACTGCAATTATTTGAAAGGATAATCTAACAACTCGTGCATTCCTGAATGCTCAATTTTCGTGTGTATTCTTTCCATTTTTCGTTTATGATAATTTTGAAGTCGGTAAATACACGTCTTCCTATATTTATTGCTGTATTTGTGAGGGATCCCTTTATAATATGAATATAAAAAACTTCTGCCTGTAAAAATTTATTTGAAAAAAAAAAAACATATTTCCATCTTTCTCACAGTAAGAATGGCCTCTCGGTAAATCGAGTTCCTCAAAAATATTCCCAGGTTCTTTTTCTTGCTGTGCATCATCTAACATACTTCCAATTTCTTTATCGAGTGCTTGCGAACATTTTTTGCGCTCAAAAATTGAATTGAAATCAATTGTTGTATTCTCATTTTCATTTTTCAACATTTCCAAACATTCATCACTCACTGTTTCTGAGATTTGAAAAAAATTAGATTAACTAACTGACAATTTTGAGTTACCTTCTTTATCAACAGCTGACGAAAAATAAAAAAACAGAAAAATAATCAACACTTTCATGTTAGGTTATGAAAAATAATTGAACTAGCCTTAAAATTGCGAAAAAAAGTTTTTTATTGTTTTTTCCGAGGAATTGAAATTAGTCAGATCATTAATCATAAAACTTTTTAATTTGCAAAGAATCGAAATTAATTTTATTAGAAGTTTTTGAAAGGAAAGTTTTTCGATAGCTTTTCACTTTTCAAAAATATATCGCGTCGGATTCGGCAAAAAACTTGTGAAATTTTTTTTCATAAAAAAATCAACATTTATTCAAAAAACCAAAAAAATTAATTAGTCAGTGAAATTAGGTAGGTACAATATTGAATTCTTATAATTCAGCGAGAATTATAAATAGTTCAATGAGATAGTTGTTTTTGATTGGTGTTAATTTATTTTTTGACTGAATGAAGTATATTTGACAAAACAACGTAGATTAAACCATATATGGACGCCATTTGAACTTTGGTGGAGGGCTTTAATAAAAATATACGTGAACACCTAAATTGAATACAAGTTTTGAACTCACCTTTGATCAAGTTTTGATACAATACAACCGAAGAGAATGATAACAAAAAGAGCAAAAAGAAACAAGCTAACAAGTGGAGCTGGCTCCATTTTCTTTATTATTTCTAAACTTTTCTCTGAAAATAAATACTTGTAAATTTTTCGAGATAATTATACTTCATGGTTTCTGCTGCTTTTCAAGTTGAAACAACGAATAGAAACGCCTTATATGTTCCATATAACTCGGATATAAAAATTTTCGATGCGTGATTCTTGATAAATGCGATCCATCGTGAATAATGGCTGCCTTTGTTTCAAGATCATATTTTATAAAGTCGGTGCGATTTTGCATTATAGACTCCTGAACTGGAGTAAAATAACAATTCGAGCATTTAAGATTCAATAATCGGTGTGTTTGACCAACAATTTGATTAGATACTACCTAAAAAAACGTATCTATCTAGTTCGTAGTTTTTTTCTCAAAATCAACTGACAGCTGCCTTTACAATACTAGATTGCTCATATTCATGTCCGTACAACAATTTTCTCGCTAGAATACTACTTGTATTATCACGCGATATGTAATAAGGTAAATCAATTGCAACTATTCTTGCATTGTTTTTCAATTTATCCAAAACTCTTTGTGTCGTTTTATCCAGTATTTTGTCCGTCATTCTTGCTTTATAACTTGAATGAGAAAACACAATTTCACTGAAAAAACAAATACTTTTTGAAAAAATTGAATAACTTTCTGTACTAACTTCATTCCTTGAATAATCCATAACAAATCAGGTTTCATTTGTTTTGTTACACGAATACTATCATTTGTATAAGCTGGATTCGCATCAGATAATGGTGCTGAAGATGTTCTTGCATATAATCTCAACTGGGAATAGTTTCCGTTCAAAAATTCAAAAATTGAAGGAAAAGCACGTATTGCTAAACTATTTCCTATCACTAAAATCTTCCCAAAACCAGTGGAATTCTGAAATCTATTTCTGAAAGTAAGCAATTCAAAATATGAACTCACGTGCAAGCATGAAGTTTGTTCAATAATTGAGTTAGCTGGATCATCTTCATAAATACATGGAAGATTGTGCACATATTTAACAAGATGTTCTGTTTTGGTATTCAAAATTATTTGTTTTTGAAGCTCTTCAGGTTGTAATAAAGAATATATTGATTCTTGATCTTTCAAAATATCGAGTGAAAAATAAGATAAACCAGAAAATATAAAAATAACAATCAGAGATGTCGAGAAAGTCCATGAGATAAACTTTTTCTGAAACAAAATTTAGCCTTTTTTGTTGAAGTTTGAAAAAACAGACCTCTAGACTATTATGAAGAAAATATGTGATTGAAAATGTTAAGAAGAGGATAAAAATGGTTTCTAGAATAAAATTGAACTAATTATGTGGAAAATTCGATGATACTAACCTGAGACATCCAAACTTTCAACATCTTTCAAATTAGTGTATCTAATGACCGTGATAATTGGCCAGTGAATGAGATATATGACGTATGACAAATCTCCGAGAAAAACCAAAGGTTTTGAAACAAAAATTGAATTTTCTAATTCTGAACAGTGATAGCAAAATACAGCCGTGAACAAACTCATTAATAATCTGCGAAACATTCTTTGATTAAAAAAATATTTAGTTCCCACCTTGAAAGTTGCTCTGGAAATATTGATTGCGGTGATAATACAACTATCAATAACATGAAAATAAAATAGATGGTCATAATTTTATCGTTTTCTTCTTTTTCTTTTTTCTCTTTCATATTTTCAGAGTCTGGTTTCTTTTCAAATAACTCAAATGCTAAGTGACCTAGAAGAAATTGCCAAATTCTAGAAGGCAAAGAGCTGTAGGAGTATTCCAGAGTTGTTAGAACTTGAAACATAAAAGAGAAAATAATGAAGAAAATTAGAGAATAAATTCGTACAGTATACTGTAATTTCATAGATATGATATGAATAAATGGAGCTAACAAATAATATTGTAATTCTGTACATATTGACCACATATGAGCTAAATACCGAATATTTGATATCTAGAAAAACAACCATTTGGGAAAATTTGAGAATAGGAAAGATAATTTTGAATCATACCGTATACCAATAAGAATGATGTTCAAATATCGATTTATAATTATAACCAATACCCAAACACCATTTCACATCTTCAATGAAATCCAATCGATTATGTTTGAAAACGAAAAACATAACAATTGTGATTGTCATAAATACAGTAATGTAATATAACGGTAGAATTCTTTTTATTCGTTTCACATAAAAATTCTTGAAATTTTTGAAATTTATATGATCCAAAGATATTAGTATTTTGCTCATTAGAAAACCAGAGAGCACAAAAAACCTGAAAATGATTATTATGAGATTGATCAGACATCAAAAAGGTGATAAAAGCTTACATATCAACACCAACAAATCCTTGAACAAAATGTTTTGGAAATAAATGAAACAGAATAACCAAAAATATGGATATTCCTCTCAAACCTTGTAAACATCTCAATTTCAACATTTATAAAAGTACTCGATGACACGATTGTTTGATCCGTGAGGCGGCTAATAATTAATTAATTCAATTGTCGTTTTAATGAGACCTGATATTAAGATGTTATCTCCGACCTAGTCCTATTTTTATTCAATTATTGAGTAAAGTTAAAAGTTTTTTTTTAATTCACAGAAATAAAATAAATAGACGTGCATCACAACACATTAAAAAATATCTTGCTTTATATAGTCCATGATTTTTTTTATATAAAACAACCAATCTTTGTAATTTGTTGTTTCGAAAAGAAGTGAAACTTTATAAAAGTTATTAATTATTATTTTGTCTTTATCTATAAAAGCATCAAAAATATTACATAATCTTTATCGGCACCTTCAAAAAAATTTTAATACGTAGTTTTTTAGGATTCTTAAAGGCGTTTTTTGAAAGTATCTGTCTGGAACAAAGATTTAGAACGTATTAGATCGTCTTGAACTTGAAAAAGAATCTCTATAAATTTTTTGATGAAAGAGCCGAACAAGTTCATGGTTTGTGGTTCACTAAAATGGTTATACTTCGGAATTAAAATGATATAATCTACAATTCTCCTTATTTATACAATAATCGGGATTTTAAAAGTGGGTGTTTTCAAAAGATGACATTCATAATGAATAATGGATCCGTTTTGATGAACCAACATGGATTGTTCCTATTTCACAATAAATCTCGATTTTTGAAAAAAAGGTTTGTAGGAGAAAAATATTACAAAGCCTGTGAGGAACTATGAAAAACTTGGATTTTCATTGGGAGTTTTTGAACAAGGGTTGTGTAGAACAAAGATTTATGAAGATCCAGATCGTCTCAAACTTGAAAAGAATATTTTTCAATTGTTTTTCTGATGACATGTGAACTGTTACCAAAATTCCGTCAGTTACAAACGCATTAGTTTTGTTTCGTGTCGGCACTTTCAAAAATCATTTTTATCTGTATTTTTTTTGGATTCTAAATAGGCGTTATTAGGAAACGGTTGTCTGGACCAAAGATTTATAAAGATCTACATCGTCTCATACTCGAAAATATTATTTGTCAACTGTTTTTTTTTTTCTGATGAGGAAATTCAACAAGATTTGGATTTAAATCTTGTTCAATAATTTTTTTGTTCTTTGAAAACATAATGATATAATCTTTATAACTTTCAATGTTCATAAAATAATCGAGAATCAAAATAATGAGGTTTTTAAAGGGTGAATTTATAACCTTTAATGAATTCTTTTTATTGAACCTACAGGCATGGTTTCTAGTTCAACAAGATGTTTAATCGAGATGTTTCAAATTTTTTTCAAAAAAACTAAAATCAGCAAAATATATTACACAAGCCTGTGCGGAACTTAACAAAAAAAGCATTTCTATCTGTAGTTTTTTTTGGATTTTCATTAGGAGATTTTGAACAACGGTTGTCTATGTTAAAGATTTATGAAGATGCAGATCTTCTAAAACTTGAAAAAGAATATTTTTTATTGTTTTTCTGGTGACTTTTTCTCACTTGTTTCAAAAATCTCGATGGTAACAAATATCTCAGGTTCGTGAAATAGATCAGTTACTCATGAAAAAAGGATAGAGAAGCTTAAGGAAGATCGAAACTGACTAGTTTCAGTTTTTACTTGAGAAGGTAATTTAATAGGCATCAATAATATAATTATTTCTTGGAATTGATAAAATCTTTACAACTTTCTTTATTCATCTATGAATCGGGAATTGACACATGCGTGTTTTCATAAGATAAAATACAAACAAAATAATTAATTGATCATTGGGGCATTTTCACATGTAATTTATTGAATGTGAGAAAACATTGATTTTCAAATAATTTTCTATGAGAAAAAGACAGGAGTTTTTTGCGGTATGAAAATTTTAGATGGAAAATGTTCTATATCAATTTGATGTATCCCTAAAAATAAATCGATATTATGTAAAAACTTGGGAAAATGTTCATCCATGAATAAAATTTATTTAAAAAAAAACAAAAAAAAATCAATTAGTCAATAAAAATAATAAAATTAGATAGATTCATTATTGAATTCTTATGATTCAGCCAGAATTATAAATAATTAAAGGATATAGTTTTATAAATTAGTTGTAATTCATTTTTCGATCGAATGAAGTATGTTTGACGAAGATGGTTTCTGCTGCTTTTCAAGTTAAAACAACGAATAGAAACGCCTTATATGTTCCATATAACTCGGATATAAAAATTTTCGATAAGTAAATCTTGATAAATGCGATCCATCGTGAATAATGGCTGCCTTTGTTTCAAGATCATATTTTATGAAGTCGATGCGATGTTGCATTATAGACTCTTGAACTGGAGTAAAAAAACAATTCGAGCATTTAAGATTCAATAATCGTTGTGTTTGACCAGCAATTTGATTAGAAACTATCTAAAAAACAATTTTATCTAATTTTGTAGTTTTTTTTCTCAAATCTAACTGACAGCTGCATTTACAGTACTAGATTGCTCATATTCATGTCTGTACAACAATTTCCTTGCTAGAATATTACTTGTATTATCATGTGATATGTAATAAGGTAAATCAATTGCAACAATTCTTGCATTGCTTTTCAACTTATCCAAAACTTTTTGTGTCGTTTTATCCAGTATTTTGTCGGTCATTCTTGCTCTATAACTTGGATGAGAAAACACAATTTCACTGAAAAATGAAATACTTTTTGAAAAAATTAAATAAATTTCTGGACTTACTTCATTCCTTGAATAATCCATAACATATCAGGTTTCATTTGTTTTGTTACACGAATACTATCACTTGTATAAGCTGGTTTTGCATTGGATAATGGTGCTGAAGATGTTCTAGCATATAATTTTAGCTGGGAATAGTTTCCATTCAAAAATTCAAAAATTGAAGGAAAAGCGCGTATTGCCAAACTATTTCCTATCACTAAAATTTTCCCGAAACCAGTGGAATTCTGAAATTGATTTTTGAAATTATTTTAATTCAAAATTATAAATAACATGAATATAATCACAAATACTCACATGTAAACATGATTTTTGTCCAATGATTGAATTAGTTTGATCATCTTCTTGAATACATGGAAGATCGTGCACATATTTAATAAGATGTTCTGTTTTCGTATTCAAAATTATTTGTTTTTGAAGTTCTTCAGGTTGTAATGAAGAATATATCGATTCTTGATTTTTCAAAATATCAAGTGAAAAATAAGATAAACCAGAAAATATAAAAATAACAATGAGAGATGTCGAGAAACTCCATGAGATAAACTTTTTCTAAAACAAAATCCAGCCTTTTATTGTCAAAGTCAAACAAAAACAAACCTCTAGACTTTCATGAAGTGAATATGAAATTGAAAATGTTATCAAAAGAATAGAAATAGTTTCTAAATGTAAGATACAATTTATTTGATTAACGGAAAAATTTAATAATACTAACCGGAAAAATCCAAACTTTCAACATCCTTCAAATTAGTGTATCTAATGACCGTAATAATTGGCCAGTGAATGAGATATATCACGTATGACAAATCTCCGAGAAAAACCAAAGGTTTTGAAACAAACATTGAAGTTTCTAATTCTGAACAGTGATAGCAAAATGCAGCCGTAAGCAAAGTCATTAATAATCTGCAAATGAATTTTTTATTTTATTTTCAGAAATAATTTACTTTGAGTTTTTAAATTGAACTTTCGTGAGAAAAACTTTGCTCTCACCTCGAAAGTTGCTCTGGAAATATTGATTGCGGTGATAATACAACTATCAATAACATGAAAATAAAATAGATGGTCATAATTTTATCGTTTTCTTCTTTTTCTTTTCTCTCTTTCATATTTTCAGAGTATGGTTTCTTTTCAAATAATTCAAATGCTAAGTGACCTAGAAGAAATTGCCAAATTCTTGAAGGCAAAGAGCTGTAGGAATTTTCTGGAGTTGTTAGAACTTGGAACATAAAAGAGAGACAAATGAAAAATATTAGAAAATAAATTCGTAGGATATAATGTAATTTCATAGATATGAAATGAATAAATGGAGCTAACAAATAATATTGTAATTCTGTACATATTGACCACATATGAGCTAAATACCGAATTTTTTGAAATCTGGAAATACGCATTGTATCAAGTTTCTATTAAAGAAAATATATTTTTCGATCTTACCGTATACCAATACGATTGATATTCAAATATTGATCTATAATTATAACGAAGACCCAAACACCATTTCACATCTTCAATGAAATCTAATCTATTATGTTTGAAAACGAAAAATAGAACAATTATCATTGTCAAAAATACAGTAATGTAATATAAAGGTAGAATCCTTTTTATTCGTTTCACGTAGAAATTCTTGACATTTTTGAAATCTATAATATCCAAAAATGTTAGTATTTTTCTCATCAGAAAACCAGAAAGCACAAAAAACCTGAAAAATATTTATTACGAGATTGAAGACATCAAAAAAGGATGATAAAAGCTTACATATCAACACCAACAAATCCTTGGACAACATGTTTTGGAAATAAATGGAACAATACAACCAAAAATATGGATATTCCTCTCAAACCTTGTAAACATATCAATTTCGACATTTTGAAAATTGAAAATTATTTCACAGAAACAAGATTAGTCACAACAATTAAAAAAATATCTTGCTTTATATAGTCTATGATTTTTTTTATAAAACAACCAATCTTTGTAATTTGTTGTTCCGCGTATAAACAAAACTTCATATTAAAATTATTAATTATTTTTTTGGCTATATCTATACCAACATCAAAAATATTATCTTGGGCGGCACCTTATATTAGAAAAAAAAACATTTTCAATATGTAGTTTTTTGAGGCAGGCGTTTTTTAAAAACGAATGTCTGGAACAAAGATTTATAAAGTTTAACACTCTCTTAAACTAGAACAGAATTCTTTTATTTTTATTTTTGGGAGGAGTAAATATAAGAATAAAATCGTTACGACCTTCCTAGTTCATACAACAATCTGGAATGAAAATTAAAAAAAATGTACCCCTCCCTAGTCATCTATTCATTTGAATTGAATAAAATATTCCAGTCCCAATAGTTATCAAATAAGTATCAAAAATTTATTTCACAAAAGAAAAACCCTGTTAAGCAATTAAATGTGGAGAGCTGAACATAATTCCACAAGTGCTAAAAACAATGAAAAATGAGAATGTTATCAGACACATTCGATCCACAACCATTGCTGCAAATTTCCAATCATTTGCAGCTTGTTCATCCTGCAATAATTTATTTTAGAACAAAAAAACTGATTGATTTTGAACAAGAATCTCATCTTACCCTTTCATCCTCTTCCATTCTTTTTCTCATAAATTTGATTTGTGTAGAAATATTTTTCAATTCCAAACAAGCTTTCTGCATATATTTATTCATTTCAGTTATCAAACCGTCTTCCGAAAATGATTCCGACATATATTTTGAAAGTGTTAATTTTGGTGGAAGTTCGTGTGGAGAAGATGGATTCAAATGATTATTATGATGATTATGATGAACATGAAATTCTTCATCAATATCAATCGCCTGATGTTTTTCCATTTGTTGTTTTCTAGTTGCTCGAATATTCTTCATCAAAGATAATCCATCTGACGGATTTATCAAATCCGTACTCTTCATTGGGGTTATTTTCCCATTTCTTGCTTCTAATTTCGCTTTCTGTTCTGCTTTTTCAGCTTTGATAAGAGATCGGTTGAAGATTGTAGTGCCAGGACGCCGCATAAAAAGTAACCAGGGTAACCAAATCAATAAAACCTCACGAAGCTGAAATTTTCGAAAGAATAAAATTAACTATTTTCAGGGACTCACGAATGGACTCATTTCATGTGTTTCTGGTTTACGGTTGTGCAAATTCAAAACGAGAACTGTGAAGACAACTGAAGCAGAAACAACTAACATACAGCATGAGAAAAATGCTCCTGGAAAAATAGGGGAATAACTGAAATTAAAATTATTTGAACAACTAGAATTTCGAAAGTTAATGGAAAGGAATTTTCAAAATTGGTTATGAATTCAAAACAGCTATAAAAGTTTGAAAAAAACTGAAGATGAAGTAGAGTAAAGGGCAGAAATTATGCTTATTAAAAAGTTGAAACTTACCAATTAAAGGAACAGCTTCAGAAGTTGGTGGTGTCATATCAGCAACCATACTCAAAAAAGAAACAAACAGACAAAAGAATTGTAATCTCTGAAAAGAAGATAAATTGTTATTTCAAGATTAGAGATTCGATAAAATGTCTCACCAAGAGTTATTTTCTCTCCAGCATCTGGTGGTAATGTAAATCCTAAAACAGTCATAAGTGATATGAGAAATGATGGAATAATTAAGTTGAGGCCTGAAAAAATATTATTGAAATGCTTTCATATGAAAAAACTCTCACCATAATACAAAGTTCTTCTTTGAATAATCAAATAGAAAAACAACGATGGATATGGTTCATTTCCAAAAGTATTTACTACATGTTCCGCTGGAACTGCTGGAAAAAATTAACTTTGAAATATGTTTTTCGGAAAGTAAACGGAAAAAATTACCTAATAGATTCCATTCACCATTTTGAACATAATATGAGATATCAATGCCTTCTTGTGAAATATTTTTACCCTCCGGGCCATTAATTTGGAGATCGATAAAATTTCCGCTATAAGTCCAGGAACCGAACTGAAAAAAAATTGTGGAAACTGAATATGAGCCAGAATTACTTATTAGGATTTTTTTGGTTAGAATCACATTATTCACATTTTATTGCAAAATTTCAAATTTCAATAAAAATAAATTCACTGTTTCAAATTAGACTTCAATTTATCAATAAAAAAATATTTTCAAAATTTTGAAAAGTTTTCTTTTTCATCCTCCTTCTTTCTCCATTTTCAAAAACCAGGAAAAATCGTTGTTTACTTCCCAGAAAAAAAGAAACAAAAAGGAAAAGACAAAATGCATGAAAAAGGACCCTAGATTAGTAGATGTAGTTTTGAGATATGGCCCATTTCACTTTACGTTTTGATTGATATTTCATAAAACACATAAACAACTCACTTTCAAATGACAAACTTGATCATCAAATGGAAAATATGTAATATCGATTTTACAGCTGAGTTTTAAAATTCCTGGTGGAACTTGTTGAACTGCTCCGGTGTTGCTCACAACATAATTTACTGGATATGTTGAATCGAAATTTTCATCAGCACTGTTGTATAGTAAAACATCAGGTTTCCAGATAGCATTTGCACCACCAGGAATTCGAATATCTTTAATTCCACCGTATTCATTTGGTTCCCATTTTAATTTATAATCTGTCCACTGATATTCAATCCAAGCAACTAAAGTTATCACTTGATTTTTCTCATCCTGAAATTGAAAAAATTTAAAAATTATTGTTTCAATTAAAAAAAAACAACACGTACCACATCTAGAATTTGTTGTAAATAAATTTTCACAGATACAACTAATGGTTCACTCGAATTTGCCACGGGTCTTTCATATGCATCATAATTATGTCGAAGATCGGAGAGTAGTCGATATTCATCAGCACTTCCATGAACGCCAAGATGAAATATTATACATTGTAAAGCCTGCAATCATTTTTACAAATCTAGAAAAAAACCCAGAAAAATTACCGTAAATCGTAAAACTGGGGATAACATTACATAGCGAAGCGATTATCTTTTTTTTCGGAACACGACCAATGTTTTTTTGAGTGCAAAAAATATGAATCTGGACACTTGAAGGGCACTGCTAAACTTTTTCTCTCGGGACTTAAATGGCCATCATTTTGTTTTCGAATGGGGGCGGGACACTTTTTGCTTATTTTCTTCTCCCTTTTTTCTTGTGTTGGTGAATGATGCACCTTTTGTGCACCCCAATTTTGAGCGATAATCGTTCCGAAATTGAGATGGAAGAAGTTGAAGAAGAAGAAGGATATAGGAGAATAAAATAGGAAAAATTCAATTTTCGACTAAATAAAATAAACATCCTCCGTTTTGAGACTTGTCTATTTTTATTCGTGTGGTAGGTACAAATAATGGAACACAACATAATTCTCAATGTGATATATTTTCAAGAAATACCAGTTTACCTGAAAGTTTAGCTGAAATACCTGAAATAACTTAAATTTAATAATTTTCAATGATAAAATAAATGACTGGCCGGAATGAAAACATTTTGATACTTCAGAAAAAGACTGATAAATTTTACAGTTAGGTTAACTTTAGTGGAAAGCATAGACATTTTTATTCATGAAAATTTGTGAACAAGTTAGACTAGTTCTCAAACCTGAAATCTGATGTGGTAGAGAATTTGAAAGTCAGGTAAATAATCTATTTGAAATTCAAACAAAGAATATTCAAATGATATTCAATGATTTTTTTTTCATAAATGGGAATTTTCTTCCGAGTTCTATTAAATATTTAGAAATTCTCCGATAACTTTTCCCCCCAAATTGTGTCAGATCTCAATAAAATTCAAAAATTGTTTTGAATATTGAAACTCGATAAATCTTTTTTTTGATGAATCCATGTTCTGAAAACCCGACTTTTGTTCCCATAAATTATTGTCTTTGAAAAATTACTAAAACCTGAAATTTATTATTTTTGTTTTTTCCTCCAAAAAAACCTAATCCCCCACACATTTTTCCTTTTTTCACGGTGTCAGAAAAAACACGTAATGTTTGTTTGAAACCTGCAAAACGAAAAACTACATATATTTCCGGTATGTTTCCTTCGTTTCTAAAAATAGATAAATCTTGACTATTTTTAAATCCCACGCTGCATTTTTAGATGATAACATACATATGTTATTTTCAGAATTCATGTTTTTTCCAGGTGAAAATGAAAAGCAAAAAATAGAGTGGAAGCAAATGACCTTACTGAATGTGAATATTTGATTGATTTGTGCAAAAAAATAAAAGAAGAGGAGAATGTTATTGGATTATGAGTGGTTGAGTTGTTGGGAAAAGGACTGGAGAAAAAATGAACAGAGATCATGTTTCGTAATGTTTTTGAGATTTTATGAGTGCTTGAAATTCATAGAATGAGTCATGTTTCGATTTTTCTGAAAAAATTTAAATCTAGATTTCAAATATTGATCGCTATTTGCTCTATGAAAACAGCTGTATGCTTTAAGTTGAAACTTTAAAAAAAGTTCGTAGCTTTTGAAATCAATGTTTTTAAAGATAAACTAGTTTATCCAATCTTTCTAAAGTTTTCTTACACTTTTAGATACTTCCTGTAAATTTCCTGCAAGTATGTGTCGAAATCCTAACCTGAATCAGTTTCGAATAATTTGTGTAATCACTTCCTGAACTCATAAGTTATCAAACATCTCACTTCAACTCAAAATATGTCTGACAAATTACGGAAGTTTATCAATTTCCGTTTTCAAAGTTCATATTTTCATCAATTTATTGTTCTCACACTTACGAACACACGACTCGAAAATCTCAAAACTCGAAATAATCAGAAAAAAAAAGAATGAAATTAACTTTCAAAAACATTTATGATGATGGTTGATGATGTCGGTTTGGTTGAAAAAATAAAAGGAGATCAAAAAACATTTGTTTGTTCGCGACAAAAAAACAATTATCCGTATCGGAAGAAAGCGTTGTTCAACAAAAATTCATTGTTCAACGGTACCGCATCCATCTGCAAAAACAATAACATTAGATTTTATGTGAATAGTTTTTCACGATTAATTTTTGAAAGTTACCTGATCTCGATTAACTCTCATGAATCGTTCATTACTGTCAATATCATTTATGTGATCACTGTTCTCACGAGCAGCTGAAAAAAACAATTTGCAAATATTTTCAGATATTTTTTTTCTAAATCAAACTTACATTGAATCAAAAAGCGTACATAATCTGACGGCAGAGCCGAAGCTGTTACGACGCAAAAGAAAATGAAAAATACAAGGTGTTTCAACCAATTACTCATACTCTACCCTGAAAATATTGAACTAGGCCAAAGGTGGTTTCACAAAAAAAGAGGCGATGAAAAAAAAGTGGGGGAGGGAGGAGTGGAAAAAGTAAAGTGTCAACTTTGTTTTTTTATATTCTGAATGAGAAATATCGTTCGTTCATTCATATTATTAATATTCAAATTCTTCAGATTTATTATTATTCACACACAAAAAATAAATTATCGTTAAACCTCTCGGGTGGTCTTTGCTTAACTGGGTGGTCTTGAGGAGGTGTGATGTCATGCAGAATGTTTAGTTAATATGAATAATTGCAAAAAATTTCTTGGGGAGAATTTGTAAATGATGTTTTTTCATGAAATCGAGTCAGAAAACAAACATCAAAAATTGGAAGAGTTTTTTTCTTTTTCTATTCAAAAGCAAGGAAAAACTTTAGTTTTTGGAAGATTGTGATGTGACCGACCGGAAAACGGGTTTAGAAAAATCAGAACAGAAAAAATATTTCAAAGAACCCGAAAAACACCTAACAATGTACATATTTTCCAAAGAAGTTTTTTTTCTCAAAAAAAGTCATTGAAGAAGGAGGTGTCAACAAATAACATAGCAAATAGGCGAGTTGAACTTTTAATAGAAAAAATGTTATAAATATTATGTTAAAAGTGTTTTTTATGCAATTTCTTGCTTAAATTGAAAATTAATATTTGATGATGTAGTAAGAAAAGCAGCTGAAACACCGTGAAAAGTTCAAACAACAAAATTTTCTTGATTAAAAAATTAACATCTGCAGAGACAAACGTCAAAACAATTCAAATTGAATCAAAAGTTTTGCTCATTTCGAAACCAGAAAAAAACGGAGGAGAATAAAAAACATACAATTTCTTATTTATCCATCCAATTTCCATTTGATTGCCGTCAAACTTAAATTGAATTTTTCTTCCCCTATCCTTTTTTCAAGTTTGCCTAACTTCAGTTTAATGAAATGAAAATAATGAAAATGAATGTTTGTATAGAAAAAAGATATGTCACAAAACCATAACAGGCATGAATAATAATTTTTTATTCAAAAAAAAAAGAAAAAAACAACTCAAGTATTTTCGGCTTGTCTTCTTCTAGTTTCAGACTGAAAAGATCTGTTCTTCAGAATGTTTTTCTTTGTGTTTTTCTTTGCTCCCCAAAAAAGAAAATGGGGTTTTCTATCAACCGTGATGATGAGATTGATTCCGAAGAACAAATGGAAAAGGGCGTAATCTGATTTGGTACGTACACCCAGCAAGAAAAAAAAATGTTCGGGATGAAAGACGAATGATGTCAGAAATTAAATACTAGGAAAAGAAAGAATCGAGGGAGGTGTCAATCAACTAGAACAACTTTTAAATTTAAAAAAGATCAGAATTTTGCTGCCCAGACAAAAAATAAACTAAAAACTTAAAGCTTTTCATTGTTATTTCTAGAATGTTTTCTGATTTTTGGGATTAATTTTACCAATGAAAAATAAGCCAATAACTTTTATGAGCGTTTACGAAAAACCCAATTTTCTCAGAAAACAAAACAAACATCAACTATTGGAAAGCTCAACTCGAACAACTTATCAAATATCAAAGCTTCCTAGTTCAATTCAAGAACTTTCATCTCATTAGAAAGTCAGCTTATGAGTTACAGTAGAGAAAACGTGAAAAACAACAAATTATTTCTGAAAATAGGCGGGTCTTGAAAATTGTTTTTTTCTTGTCATTTTCAGCGAACTACGGTACACTAATAATTTTACTAGAAGTTTCTTATTAGAAAAAAGCTTGGAAAACAAAACAAAAAAAGACCTCATTTTTTCTAGATATAATCAGGTTAGAGAGCTTCTCATGAGTCAAGTTTTCCTTTTTCTTTTTCCAAGAATTCTCCTCAAAAAAAATGTTTTTCTGGACATTGCAAAAAATTGAAAATTCATATACATTTGCGTGGGTCCAAAAGGAAATCATAGACATATAATTAATAAAATATAACATAGTTTTTGAAGAGAAAACCTCAAGTTTTATACATGTTTTTGTACCCAAACGTGGGTTGATTGAGTTAGGAAAAGTCGGGATGATCAAGAGGAGAGTAAAATAAAAATAGAAACTTGACAGCTATTTTTAGTACCTCCCCGTTTTATTTTTAGACACGTCATGATTATACAAGCAAGAAATAACAACAACACAACAAGAAATGGGAATATGTAAAATCAAATCATAAATAAAAACAAGGAATAATATCATTCCGGTAAATGAATGAACTTTTCTCTGGGGGAAAATGAATTACGATTCTTTTCTTTTCTTTTATTCCAAATAATAAAATTCTAGTAAAATGTACTAACGTTTCCTGGTTGAAGATCTTTGAAAAAAGGAAGATTTATAAAGTTTCAAATTTCTTTACCAATGTTTTTCTTGTTTTCAAAATTAGAGAAAAAGTATCATCTGACGATTCTGAGAAAAATTTGATGAAAAAAAAGAAGCGTGAAAAATTATGATTATAAGTCAAGCATAAATGAAAGTACGTGTGTTTTGATGTTGAAATTTTTTTGATGTGTTAGCACAGGGAGTGAAATTCGTGACTCTTAGGTTGATGGCAGCCACTGGGCTACCTCCATCCCGTTTTAAGATCCAGTATCGCACTTCAGGAATGATCTACGATTTTTTAAGAAAGAACAAAAAATAAAATGAACTCATTTCGAAATAAAATAAAATTCTGAGAATAAATAAAATTCACCTGTCTATCAGCTTTTACTCTCGTTTTTTTTATTCAAAAGAACATTCAAAAAATAGAAATTGTACCAATTAGAATGTTGTCTGGGACAACGTAAAACGTTTTTTTTTCCTTTAACACGAGAAAAAACTCCCACAATGCAAAGCCAAGTTTCAAAGTGTCAATGCGATTTTGTTTAACCGAAATTGAATTTGGTGTCAACAAAAGGAATTGAATCTTTCTCGCAAAATGTTTTCGGCGAAGAAAAAAAAAGTGAGCTAATGAAGATTTGGCGATGAGGAAATGACTGAAATTAAAAGCAAAAAGTTTATTTGGGCAATCAACGGAGGGCAAAAAATCCAAAGCCAATGTTTTTATTTTGTGGTTCAGGTTCAGGTTCAGGTTCAGATTTTTGGATTTCTTCTAGTTCCATTTTGACTTGACTTATTTGGATCAATATCAACGAAGGATTTGGCGGCATTGTGAAGCATAGTTTCCAATGTTTTAGTGTCATTGCCACCTTTTACGCTCTGAAAGAAAACAAATTAAAAAATGACATCATTATTTGTACCGTATACACTAATTGCATTTGGTGTTTTTTTCTGAACAACGAATTTTCTTTTTCAAAAAAAAAACGTTAAAAAAAATGACGTCACTCGCAAGAAAACATTTCACACAGATCCTAATATTCTACGAACATATGTATGTACCTGAAGATTAATAGTCAAGAGTGGTCCAGAAAGATGAGTGAGAGGAACTCCATGTTTTGCATGAATTGGAGCACCAATATAACGTTTCTCATAAAAGTATTCAACACCAGTTCCAGTTTCAAAAACAACTCTTGGGAATGAATACAAATAAGTTCCTTCAGCTTCATCTACAACTGTCATTTTTGTAGCATATTTCATTTCGAGTCTCCAAATATCGTTTTTCTTTTCACTTCCCATGAAACATCTTTGATAACCTTGATAGCAAAGAAGATATTTCAATGCGCGAATTCCCTGGAAAATTTTAATATTGTATGTATTAATTATAAAATTTGTGAAACCTACATCTTTTTTACTATAAATTATAGTGTATTTGTCGAAGTTGGTTTCATTGATATAGAAATCAGTTTGGGTTGGGCTCAACTGAAAATAGAAAATTATATTAGTAATTATTAATCGCAGTGAGGACAGTGATAATAGGACTTACGGAGAGAACAAAGTCACAATTTCCGTCTTCAGAGAGTTCACATTTGTCAGGTGAAGAATAACAAGTTCGGTCAGTAGTGCACAAATTCTGAAATTAAATTTGATGAGAGAAGATTTCTCGAACAATCTTTGACTACTTGGAATTTTTACTGAAAAAATTTGAAGTTTTTTGGAACCTTATCAAAAGCACTATAATTTTTTTTTATTTTCTGGAATTTCTTATTTTTTCATTTTTTTTTCTACTAAATTAACTCAATTTTTTTGGGAAGGTCGCTTCGATTTGTTACATAACTTACCGCGATATCGGTGATTGGTACGGCTGCAATGAAACATTGACCGAAGGCAAGCAACAATGCAATTTTCAAGAGCATTTTTCTGAAAAAACCAAACTTTTTGAGAGTTGAAAAACAAAGAATTCAAAGAATCCGTCATGTGATTTATTTGCGAATCGAAACGTTTCGTGAGTTTCGAGTTTCAAAATTGCACAACTGTCATGATTGACGACAATAGAAAATGAAAAATTTTGGCCCGGCCGGGGAACTATGAAAATACAATTTTGTTTATAAAAGTGTCACATTTCACGAAAAAAAAAACTTTTATTTTTTTTAAATTATAATCATCATCGGTTTAATAATTCAACAAAAAAATTAACAAAAATACCCATAATAAGTGTCATATTTTTCTACATATGTGAAAAAAATAGTTGAGAATCTTATAAAAGAGAAACTTCGCATAATACTCGTAATTAAATTTTGATTTTTAATACCAAACACAAATCAAAAAAAAATAAAAAGGTAGCTGAGATAATTAATTTTGGATGGGTAAAACCCAGCATGACAACAACAGTAGTACTCGGATTGCTCAAATGGGAGGGTGGATAAATAAAAGTGTATGGGATAAAAATCAGATAGGAGGCAATAAAAGTAGGTCAACTAGGCCGAAAGGACGCTAGTTATAGAATGCATATGTTGATAGCTAGCTAAATATGTATATGTTTAATCTGTTTCATCTAATGGGAATAATTCGAGAAGACTTGGTGGAGCAGCCAAATTATTCCACGGTCTCATTGGTGGAGTTGGTGGAAGTTGAATTGGAATGAAACCAGAAGAGGATGTTGGTGGACCAGGCATCAAAATTGATGGATCCATAAGTGGCTTGAGTGGAGACATGTAGAGACCGCGTCCTGGAGTTTCAATAACATTAGCAATTTGTGGACCTGTCTTCTTGGTTCCGTCTGGGATAACATAGTCGTCGAATGGCTCTGAAAAATCAAATTGTTATTATTATGAAGATGAATTCGAAGTTTCTATGAAACAAAAATTGGAAGTTAATGTCTCAAATTATATGAGTTCTACGTCTCAATTTCAAATCTATATTCCCAAATGTTTTCCCAAACTCACCAATTTTGACAACATTTGATGGTCCTTGTTCATAAGTTTCATCAACAAGTTCTTCTTTGACTGGAAGTAATTCAACTTTAACTTGTTTTGCAGATGGCTCAAATGTGGCACAATTATCATTTTTGCACAAATAAGCGGCAAGTTCTTTTCCAGATTTATTTCTGGCAATCATTTGAAATCCACCAGTCACATATGGATCAGCAACTTGTACTTCAACATTGTTCACATAATCTGACACTGATTTGATTGCAATTGATGTTGTATCATTTTGTGTGTCGAGTGTACGAATATCAGAACGTTGAATATAACTGGAAAATATTTGAATGAGATTTTGGAAGTTTTAGAAAACAACTCACGCATATGGCATATCAACGGGATCTTCAGCAGCTAATCTATAAAGTGATTTACAGTCTCGAATAAGTGCATCAATATCTTCTTCTTGTTTTTCGAGTGTTTCAACGTCTTCTTGTAATTGCTGTTGTTTGAGATGATCAGGAACTTCATCTCTGAAAAAAAAAATTGTTTAGTGTTTTAGAAAATAATTTCACTACATTTGTCATTTATTTCAAATGGAAGATCCTTTTGGAAACTTGAAAATCAAACTAATTTTCAGAGCCTGACCGCTATTTTAAAAATTGGCCTAGCTGGTTCTAACAAACATTATACTCAAAAATGCTTACCTCCAGCGTATGGCATTTTTTCCTATTTTCTCAACAATTGCAATACCTTCCAAAACATTGGTAATATCATAAAGTCGACGTTTTGGTACTTCAAGAAAATCAGCTGCATCGTTCAAATTCAAAATCTGAATTCAGTACAATTCCATATTTTTATTCATTTCAAGGATTTTTACTAACCTTATCTCTAGTTATCTGTTTTAGCATCATAAATCTTTGTGTTGTTAATAATAGAGAATTTTCATAACGATTTGAAGTTGTGGGAGGATCCATTCTTTGTTTTTTAGGATGAGAAGGTTCTGAAAAATTAAATGTTTTATTTCAGTTAAAAAATGTTCATAGAAAATTGTCTTACCTCCATTATTAGGTGTTGATTCTTGTAAAGCTTTACGTTTTTCAACAGGTGACGTTCTTGTAAGCTGTTCTAAAGCCGAGGGGATATCATGTAGATTAATATCCGCTGGAACAATATACTGGTCAAATTGTGATTTATCAAAATTCTCTTTATAATTCTCGTGTAAATCGAGAATTAAATTGTTCATCAAATCCATTACTAAAAATGTCGAAATTTTGTTGTTGGTTGTTGGAAGAATTCTTGAAATAATATTTGAATATAGATAGATAGAAGCGGTCACAGCTCGCAACAGATAAAATAGACAAGAAGATATCGTAAAAAAGACATAAAATGACTGGTGACGATGACAGGTGATGACGATTTTTAGAGTCAAGCAGGAATGACGCGTAATTTTGCTTTTGGGAAATTATCAATGGTTATTGTCACATTTTTGTGCCATCCGTTCGGATGAGAAAAATATAAACAACAATAAAAACAATAACAATATTATTATTCTCTACGGGAGACAATGTCTATTTGTGTTTATATTGGAACATTATGTGATGTATCAACTATAAAGATCAAGGGTTGGACAACTTTGAAAGAATATTTTCATAAGTAAAAAGTTAGATTATGATTATGAATTCAAAAGAAGAAATGAAAAGATTTATAATTTTTTAGAAGGAAACTCTGTTAAGTTTCCAAAATTTCTGAATCATTTCGTTCGCGGTGATAATAACTCAAATTATCTTTAATTATTTTCAGACATTCGGAAAACAATAGATTTCACTAAAGTCGAACCAGATATTTGAAAATTCTAAAAATACAGAAAAAATCAAGAAAGAGCCAACCATGTGACTCATATTCCGCATAACATATGAAAAATATCTCCTCAGAACCCAAATGTTTTTGGGTGACTCTATTCGCACAAAATGATGTTGAGATTCGCTATTATATAATTTATATGTCTTTTTCGACCGACCATATGGTTGCATGGTCAAACATTGCGAAACATTTGAGTCTTATGAGGGAAACCATAAGGAGGACATAAAAAATATCGATAAGGTCAAAAAAATAATTGAAATTATTTTTTGTCAAAATTTATATAACCGGGTTGTGGAGTAAATGGGAAATAAAGAAAGAATGTGACAAAAAGAACAAAAAGGTGACAACTTTTTGTGAGAAAAAAAATGAAAGAAAAAGATTATACTACACACGCCCTTTTCTAATTGTGAGAAAACTGTTTCTTTTTGGATATCACGACACAGGTGACAGATTTAGTGTGGGATCTTACATCAAATACAATTTCAGTTCCAGCTTCATTTGAATTATAAAGAAGTAATTAGGATAGAGTTTATACTTCAATACTATGTTAAAACAAGAGTCGATCTAAAGACAAAAACACAAACAACAGTGAAAGAAAAACAATATCCAGTTTTTGCTGACCAAATCTGGTAACAACTGGTACATAGGAAGTTATCTGATTATTCTGATTTCTGACTAGCGTAACCTATCTGGTTGTTGACCCTGTGTTGTTGAGACAATTAGTTAGGATAAAAAAATGACCCGAATTGTTAAATTACTTTTCTGAAATTCTCGAATTTCAAAAAAAATAGTTTGCTAATTTTTGAACCCCATCAGTTGAGATCAAAATAACATATAGATATGCGCTGAAATTCCATGTTCCGTATTCTAGGAAAACTTTTCTTGAATAGTAAATCTATTATTGCGAAATATATATTCGATTTCACAAAGGTTCTTTATAGAAACTTCTTTTTTGTTAAAATACTCTGGATTTGGAAAAATACTCTGGACTCTGGAGAAATACTTTACAAAAACTTTACAAGTTAGTGTAATGTTATCCATCAATTTTTTTCCTTTAGCTATCAGTTATAAATTATCGAGTAAAATAATAACGTTCAATCAACAACATTTTCTAGGATTTGATGAACAATTCTATGTTTTTAAAAAAAATTTCCAAAAACTTACTTGGTGGCATGGGTTTTAATGGAGCTTTTGATAATTTATCTTCATCTGGAATCTGCGAGAAGAATTTTGATAACCTACATCGTTCATTTAGAAACTGCTTGACGGTTCTGAAAAATGAACAACAAATTATATATCATCACGCTTTAAATGAATTCTTACATTCCACTTTCGTTCGAGTCCCCGTTTGTTAAAACACCCGAAGACATTTGGAATCACCTGAAAATAAATTCATTTTTCGCGCCAAAACCTACATTTCAACAATCAAAAAAAGAAAAAAAAGAGAAAGTGATCGGTAGTAACTCACAAGCAAAAAAGAAGAAAAAAAACATTATTTCCGTCTGCGTATCTCACTATTTTTCTCTAACCTCGAACATAGACAAAGGAGGTAAATGATCTTCTTCGCAAAAAAGGGAAAAAATCAATAATTATTTGTTTTATTTCACTTATTCTTATAACCTATATTATCAAGAAAACAAAACAAAATAATCCTGGAAACAAAAAAAAAGACAAACATTGATTGATAGTAACAAAAAACGGAGAGAAAAAGAGGAAAAAGAGGGGGGAGTGAAAAATGGTCTCATAGCGGAGGCAGCGATGTAGATTTACGGCGGGAAAGTTATTTGATGAATAAGTGCAGTGTCATATGTTTTTTCCTCGTATATTTGAGGAAAAGTAGTCGTTTTAGCACAAGAAAAATGTATGAGTAATAAGAAGGAAACCCTGCTGGTTTTTTCAGGGAAAAGGCAACATTTTTGAAGGAGAGGCAGGTGTTGGAAATTAGATGCGGGAAATAATGAAAAAGAAAATAGAAGAGTGAAATAGAAACTAGGGATCGCAAAAAAATTAATGGGTTTTTCAAACCAAAAGTAACCCACTATAATAAGAGCCAAAAATATGGATTATTTTAAAAAGAAAAAAAGAGAAGGAAAAAACTATGTGCCCTTTTTGTATGGATGTTGACCGCAACGCACGCGCAACGCTTGGGCCAAAAAGAGTGACCCGTATAAAATTAACAATGCAAGACTACATTTCTGTGCAACTTCTGACTTTTTTCTAATCCAAATAAACCTGTTTTTTTCAGATTTCGAAATATTTCGAGCGAATATTCCCATCAATTCTAAAAAAAAAAAAGAAAAGAAAGAGTGACAAAAAGTATGAATGTTTCTTACAAACGGACAAAAAAGTGAAAGGTTTTATTGGTTTATCGGTATGCGACAGCTACTATTTCAATCATGATTTGTTTTTTATGGGAATTTCCTCAATCCAAGATATTCATCGTGTTCCGAGACTATAATTATTTCTATTTATGTCATCCTGATCAATAATATGATGTAGTGTTATATTTGCAACAACACATCCAATTTTTATTTTTGTCCAATCCGAACAGATTCAATTTCAAGATTAATATTATTTGAAAGAGGCGCCCTGATCGTATCGACTTGTCGTTTTGGCCTTCGACGGGCAAATTTTGTGGAATGAGGTGGCTTCGAACAATTATTCGATATTTTGTGCAACTTTTGTTGCACCCAAAACTATTACTAATTTCACCATTACGTCTACTCGTTTTATTATTTTCATGGGTTATCCCATATCTTATTGTAAGTTAATTTGGGAAATTACTTCAAAATAATTGTTCAAAAAACTAATAATAATTGATTTCAGTTTACAAATTATCTCGAATCTTGCTTATTACCACTCCGTGCTCTGTGCTATACTCAAAGAGATCTCTTATCTACAAAACCTTTAGCTCCTGATTTTGATACATGTAAGTTATTATTATTAAAAATTATGATCAAAACTTTAGGAGAAAAACGGGGATGTTTTTGAGTTTTTAGAAAAAAATGAAGCAAAAATAATTGTCTATATTTTTAATGAAGTAGAAAACTAGTCGTATAAAAATGGATATATTTGAGAAATGATAATTCCAAAAAAATGACAAATTAGCGCTATTTTTTAATTTCAAGTTGGTGTGATGAAAATACTAATTTGAATACACTGAACTCGAATTTGAAGTGAAAAAGTGTAGAAAAATTATACGGATTTCAATATTTGTTTTTTAACAAAAGTTTTAAAAGAAAATAATTTTAAAACATTTTGTTGCAGGTGTGAAAAAATTCTTTCCAAACCGCGAAGCCGATCCATCAAATTGTGAACTCGATGTTGTTCCCGATGTCCTCATCCGTCCAACTCTTCCAGATCAACCAACACGAATACTAGTCATTCGATCAGGTCCAGGTTCTCTAGATTATCGAAATTTCATCAGAAGAACATGGAAGAAACATGTTGAACAATTATTGCCAGTTATTTTTGTTTGTGCTACATCTAGAAATGATACTTTGAGGCACGAAGCAGAACAATATAACGGTAATATATTTGAATTTGGAAAGTTTCTAGAAACTTTTTGATTTTAGATATTCTTCAATTCAATTTCGAAGATTCATACCATAATTTATCCTGGAAAATGATGGCGATTTATGGATTTGTACTCGGACAACTCCCAACAATTCAACAAATTGTGGTTACAAATGATGATACAATTGTAAATGTGACAGCTTTAGAACAAGTTTTGCATATGAGAGATGGACCAGTGATGTTAGGAAAAGTATCAAGAGGATATCCCCGAATATTTTTACCGTGGTTGACTTGGCATGTTCATTCAGATATGTATCCAAATTTGTGTTATCCATTGTTTGTGCAGGTAACAGTTTTGGACATTACATATATAGAAAGTATTGTTCCAGGGTTCATCATTTGTTTTATCAAAAGAAGGCGCTAAACTTCTAGTCGATAATGTTTGCAAGGTTCCAATGGTACATTTGGATGATGTGTTTATGGGTGAGCTTTTGATTTGTGCTCCGAAATATTCTCAAAACATTAATATTTATTCAGGTGTACTTTCAAATTGTGCAAATCTACGTTTAATACATAACGAAGGTTTCGATAAGCATATATTTGATGATTTTGTAGTTTATCATTATCAATATTCAAGGCATTCTGCCAATTATTTAGAATCTCTATGGAATTCATCTCATCTCAAAACCACCAAATTATAGTTTATACCAATTTTAACTTTTTTTCTGATTGATTGATTGATTGTTGTTTGTATAATGAAAAATTCACTTTTTTTTATATATTTTATTTTTATTGTATCGAGAACGAGATCTGATAAGAAAAAAGAAGACATGCTTTATCTACCACCGCCCTTCCATTGTCCTTTCTTTTTCGGGATTTCGATTTTTATTTCATTGTTTTTCTACATTTTCTAAAGCCTAATGTTATTATTTTCATTGTTGATTTGTCTGATCTGTCTACCTAATTTAATCTTCACATCACAATGTGGTGAATCAACAATTCCATTCAGTTTGGAAGTAAGATTCTCCATTCATTTCACAACATTAAATCATTTACCTTCTAGACTCTTCCAACTGGCCAAGTTGTTTTGGGATGTGCTCGACCAACTTGTTTTGGATGGGATTCAACTGGTGAACCATTGGCAACAACAGCAAATTTTTATAGAATTGATCAACATCCAGATGGATTTTTGAGAAATGATCCAACTTTTATTCCACCTTTTGATAGAGAAGATCCAAAAGTTTATTCAAGACAACTATCGGTGAGAAAAAAGATTTCTAGGATCAATGAAATAAAAATTATTTTCTAGACCTGCGAATCTGCATTTCAATCTCTTGAATGTGCATCAGATGATCAATGGGTTGGAGGCATTGTTCCTTTGTTGAATGCTTCCGATTCGCCGTAAGTTCCTTAAAAATATCTCGGATTTGTTTACAACTCATTTGATTTTCAGAACAGCTTATCAATGTTGCACATTTGAAGGTCTCAAAAAATCAACAGATCGTGGAATTGCTGTTGTTGGAGCTGGACAAGTTGTTGTAGGCGGTGAAGTTTATAAAGATGGAAAACAATATGCTTTTGATTATATTGGTAATGTTGAAAAGAAATACGATGGAAGTTCAGTTTATTATGAAGTTAACATCCGGAGAATGCCTTGTTTATCTGCTCATAATTTTGATGAAAGTATTGAAGAAGTTCGAGATTCTATGGAGAAAATCAGAGAAGTCAATGGTTTGCCAGCAAAAGTTTTTCAATCACCAACAGTAGTTGCTGCGCCTGCTCCAATCGCTGCTGCACAACCAATCGATGCACAAATAGCAGTAGCACAAGCTGCACAAGCTCCACTTCAGTTAACACCTCCACAGGTAACCAACACCGTCTGCTAATTTTCACATTCACTTTGTATTTTTTTCTTCTCACTGGTCATTTTTAATAATATCTGTAAATTATAATAAATTATTTGATTCATGAAACATTGCAGAACTACAATACTCTTCAACTCTTCACATTCACTGAATGTTTGTGAGCTATTTTTTTTTTCAGAAAAAAATGATTATGAATATTTGATTTCAGCTACAATTTATTGTTTTTCTGGAGATTCACAAGTTCGAGTTATGGATTTTGGATTGAAAAGAATGGATGAATTAGATATTAATGACTGGGTGGAAAGTGTTGGTGACAATGGTGAAGTTGAATTTGTTCCGATAAGTTCTTGGATTCACCGGGAACCAGAAACAGTGGCCGAATTTAGAGAGTAAGTTAAATATTGAGCCCGATCTTTGAATTTTATAATACTTGTGTGTTTTGCTCAAATACACATTTCACATTACATACCCAAAAGTACTTATAATTTTCTTATCACCACTTTGAGTCACTAAGCACATGTCTCGCAACATTTTTTGCAGAATTATAATGGCAGACGGTAATCGATTAAAAATCACAAATCGACATTATATTTATAGAATATCTTGTGATGATAACTCAACAGAAATTCAAAAAAATCCAGAATTCGCGGAAAGTGTGAAAGTAAATGATTGCCTTTATAAGTTTAATGAGGAAACAGAGGAAATTGAAAAAGTTCGAGTGACAAATATAACTTCAATAGTATCTCGAGGAATATATTCACCTATGACGTCATCAGGAACAATTCTTGTTAATGATATACATACTTCATGTTATAGTGAAGTCAACAACCAAAACATTCAAAATTCTGTTTTATCGGTGGGTAGTAAACAGTTTTGGAAAACGTTTTTATAATGGGGCTATTCAAGTATTTTCTCAACACGCTGAGAAAACAGGAGAAATGCGGAGAAAATGTATTTTCTTCACTTTTTTCGTATTTTCTCAGCCTACCTGAATAGGTTTTCTTCGCTTTTCTCAGCGTTGAGAAAATAACTTGAATAGTCCCATAATTTTTGATTTTTTTTAGGTTTTCAAGAAGCTTGCTAAATTACGTGGTTTATCAACAATAGTCAACATTTTGGACTTAATAATTCCAATGAAATAAATATAATAAATAAATACATAAAAAATGCGAGAAAAAGTAAATAAGAATAATTTATTCCACGGCTTATTTTCTAACACCATTAGAGTAGTAAATATTATTAGCAATTTGACTAACAGCGTTTCGAATTGCAGCCAAACTATCATTCTCTTTTTGTTTTCCAATTGTAATTAGCATTCCAACAACCAATCCTTTCAATCCATCCATGCCAAAGAAATCTGCTTCTCTCTGAAATAAAAAATTAATTGCTCATCTTATTTTTGTTTTTTCCGCTTCATTTTCGTTTTCATCTCCCCTCCCGTTTTATACCTCCAGTCTGCGCAACAAATTTTCGTCATTTGGCAAAATTGTATTTCTTCCATCTCTCATATATTGAAGAACATGAGAAAATAAATGACCATCTCGATTGATGAAAATTGCACCAGTTTCATCAATCTGAAATTTTGTTTTGTGTTTTGGTATAAAACAAAAGATCATTAAGTTTTTTCTATCTATTTTAAGAATCAAATTACTCCGTTTTCCTTTTTTGTTAAATGTTCCTGGTTTTTTTCTTCTACAATTTTTTATCTTCGAATTCTCAATTCTATATATTTTCTGGTCAATTAAAGAATTGTGTTTTAAATCCAGCACATCTAATAATTTCCTTACCATGACTCTTTTTTGAAGAATTTGAACTTGTCCACTTGTTCTATCAACTCTGATGAAATTCGAAAAATAAGAAGATTGTGTTTGAACCAATGTGTCCAAAATTGTTGTATAGCGAGTTCCCGAAGCATTAATATGCACCAAATCCCTTCCATGGTGTGTGCTCAAATCTTCCTGAAAAAACGCTTTATTTTATATTCCTTTGTTTTATATCCCTAAAAAAACCATTTTTCAAATGATTCAAAACCAATTCTTTTGTTTCACGTTTCATTAAAAAGCAAAGCGAATTTTGAATAAATTAATAATAAAAACAAAACCACAGTAATCCTCACCTTTCTTGGATCAATGCCACCCCGAGTGTCTTGATTATTATAGCCAGGTTGACCTAATGAGACTCGTTTCAACATTTTTTCAATTTAGAATAGGAGTAATAAATGTTATCATTTATTGTCTCATCATTTGTTGGCAAATATTTGTTTCATTGAAAAACTAAAAAAGACTTCATTTTTTATGAGCGTATTATATATATGTACATATAAAATTGTTATTATCACTACTATAATATAATTAGAAAAAAATTTATCAAATGATGGGAATTTTGAAAAAAAAATATGAAAATGGGAAAAAATAAGTTTGGACTAAAATCTGAGAACATTGATTCAAGGACTGAACTACTGTTTCTGGCTGCGCTTATCTGAACCTGAACTTGTTGTTTATTTATAACATATTCTTGAAATATGCTTTAAAAATGTTGCTGCTTTGGAGATCAGATTTCAGTGACTTTGTTCCGTTTTCATTTTTTTTCTCTTGTTTCATTCTGTTTCAAGAATTTAATTTTAATTTCCATCTAAAAATTAAAAAAATTCATTTTCTCTTTTCACTGATCAAATTGCGTTCACTTTATTCCAAAACTTTTGTGATAAGTTCAAACTTTTTGACAGTTTTATAGAAAATTGACACATGTCAAAATGTTCATATATATTTATGACGTAATTCAATTGAAAGTTCAAAAAATCATGTTCCCCTGTACTCAAAATTCAAAATCTAGTTGTTGACATCATTCCTTCTCAAATTCACACGTTGGGTGAAAAGTTGAAAAGTCACACTCAACGGTCACGCAAAAATGGGCACAAAAATTGTTTTTGGTTGGTCAATTATCGAATTCACACATTTTAATTGACCAATTGTTTGATGAAACATATTACAACCGGATTATTTCATTTAGAGTTTGGTTGGTTTTTTGAAGGCAGGCAGGTCAGGTCAGAAAAAAGAACGGCTAATGCACAACACTTGTTCAAAAGTGCACAAACACAGTTGTTTCAGATGCTCACATGTTTTTTCGAATGATTTAGTGGCTCTTTGAATATCTTAACCTTTGTTAACATCAATTTTCAACAGAAAAAAATGTTCTAGATCTAATATCAGAAAGTGATGCAAAACACTTGCTCCAGGCTTGTTTCTAATTCGCATAGACTCAAAAGATGAAAAATCTTGGAAATTAATTATTTGGAAAACATCCAACTAGAGAAACTTCCTGGAGTTTTTGAAAATGGGGATTATAATTATTTAGAAAAATTACAGGAATTTACGAGACTTCCGGATTTCTTTTCTCAATACTTGTGTTTTCACCTAACCGATAGCAAAAATCTTTTTCATTTTTTCTCAATGAAACTGGTATCATAAATTTTGTGGTTTTTGTTTGCAAGTAAAGTAGCATCGTAAATCTGATTTCAGATCATACGATGTTATCAGTAGACGTCTATAATTGACATTTTTCGAGACAAAAAACGTTTTATGATCAAATTGTTTTTATACAAGCCAATGTTTAAGAAAAAATCATAAGATGATAAAACAATCAAAAACATAATTCTGAATCATTTTTGGAATTCAAATGCTATTGCAAAAACCAAACATTTATGTTTTGTTCATTATTTTTCCCCATATGAAAAATTTGTAGATTGAACCTTGAAAACACATAGCATCATTATTTTTTTTGCTATATTATCAAATACTTTGAGAACGTTCAGATATTGGTCATGCGACCCATTAAAATCTGATAATTTATCGTTTCTTTTCTTTTGAGTAATAAAATGTCTTTTTTTTCAATTTTGGTAGAATTCCTGATCATTGTGCCTTGTGATCTTCTTTTTTTTTTTTTCATGATCAGGATCATTCAATAGTTATTAATAATGATAAAAAACTCGAATTCTTTTTTTTCTCTTGCTAAATGTTGATTTTCTGACTTTTGCAACGATGTAAACATATCTTGTGTTTTGAAATAGTATATAAATACCTTGAGAACAACATTTTGGTATCTTGTTGTCGTTCTTCTTTCCAATTACTTTTATTACAGGGCGGGGTACTGGTTTAAAGGATCTTTGTTTGTGAAAATATGGGATTCTGATTTTCAGGGTGTTTGGGAAAAAAAGGTTCATTTTCTTATTCTCATCATCAAATCGTATGCTAGCCTTATGATTCCAGTGAAGTTTTCTGTTCTGGCCTAAAATAGGGGAAATCCCACTAATTTGACGAATCTCAAGGCAAAAGTGCCACATTCAGTTCACTCGAACCTAACCGAGGCTTCATTCAAAGGGGTGATATTAGATTCCTCACGTCTGATGTGTACCGGCTTTTCGTTCTCACCATCATCACACACAATTTTGAATATGAAAAGGTTAGGGACCTATAATATGTATGACCTTGGATATTCAAAATGTCGTAGGTGAAAAACCAAAATATTGTTTACATACTCATTGTCGGAATAATATAATTCTTTACAAATCAGTTGATTTTTTGTTCTTGTATCCCTTTCGCACTTGTTTTCGTTTTTTCTCTCTCATTATCATTTTTGTAGCGCAGGCGCGCGCACAAAAACACAAAAATTGAACAATAAATCACAGTGTTTCTCTCTTTTTATCTCTTATTTGCAATAAAAGAAATCTCAGCTGAAATTCGAGTGTTTTAGTCTATGATCGAACAATAAAAAATGGGCATGACCCTAATTCAAAAATGCATGAAACAAACGCACAAATTCATTTATAGCTCTCGAAATAAATTTGAAAATCAACAACGAGAAAAAAAAGTGTGCGATGCTGCTCGGTCACCCAACAAATTGGACTCGTTTCATACATTTTATTTCAATTTTTTGTTTGAAAAATTGACAATTGAAAAATTGCCAGTCGCCTTTTTTTCGTTCTTGACCTTTAGATAAGATGATGTTGTTTCTCTTTCATATTTCTCATTTTTTTTCAAAAATAATTCCATCGTTTTATTTCATTTTGATAAAAGGTATAGAACAATTATCATGTTGTTTTAGGTTTGATAAAACGCGAAACAAACTAATTATCGATTTTTTCGCTTCAGAACATTTATTTTTTTTGTTGAGAGAAGACAGATGATCTCTTTTTCAATGTTATTTGTTGGCAATTTTATATTTTTCTTCTGTTTCAATGTTCACCTTGTGACATTTTTTGAACGTTTTGTTTGTATTCTAGCTGAAATATTTTGATGAAACATTTTTTTGAATCAAAACACTTTTTCTTTGTGAAAAACTAACATTAAAAATTGTCATTTTTAGTCATAAGACAGAACGTTCAACATATTTCAAAATCATGATTGCGTAGTCGTCACGTTTCTCATCTTTGATGTCATTACTTCTACGTTCTTTCAGATTATTTTCTAGTCTATCACCCTCAAATGAATAATTTTTAGTTAGTCAATTTTGAAAAAAGAAGAACAACACTATTCGTTGATCTTTATCGAATTTCTCTAGAATCACAGCAGAGTACGTCTGTATCTACGTTTGCGTCTTCTTTATTCTTTTTCTCTCATCATGATATATGTTTTTATGTTTGAAACAGCGAAAGAAAATAAAAAAGAAGATGAAAAAAACGGAGATGGTGAAGAAATGATTTTTTTCTTTTTTTCGCAACATCACGTTTTTGTCTTTCTCTGTATCTGCAGAAGACTTGCAGTTCCTAATTTATGAATCTTCTTTTTTTCATTACATTTTGTCGCAATTTTCATTCATGTTTCCATCATTTTCTAGACCTCCAGACATTCTTATCTATTTTATTTAGGTAATAAAAAAACATTTTTGTCTATGTAGGTGTAGGTACAAAAATATAAATTTTTTCAAAAAGGTTTGTTGACAAAATAATTATCATTTTCATTCAAATGGTAGCTGGTATAATTATATGAAAACCCAGAACCTTTCCATCAGCTTGATCAAACATGTCAATCAAATTAGCACCATTACACAAATACTTTAAACTAGAAAATTGTTAGAACTAGAAAATACAAACCGTTAAAAATCGATATTTCTCCTGTCCGTTTTATCTGTTCACCCATCTGAAAAGAACAAACTACTCACAAGAAATAGGAAAAAATATCAATTGATTTCGAAGCGCTGTCGTTGATGTCTGAACTTGTTACTTTTTTACTTACTCATTTCGTCTGACCCCCTTAAGCCACGCCTTTTTTTACCATTTCTCTCTATTTTAATTATATTCATACACGCCCTCCAGTGTTTTTTGATATATTTTTTTGTTCAAAGCGAGGAAAATTGGGAGATTATTGAACGTGTGTTTAACGACTATTTTATTCGACCTTGATATCGTTGTGTTATTTTATTTCATTTTGTTTACTATTTTGTTTATACTATTTCAAAATTTTTTCAGAGCTCAGACATTTGAATCGAAGTTGATTAAAGATATTTTTCTTATTAAAAATGTGCCAATTTTCACGCGGGATATTTTTTGCCGCGTTTTTTGCAATCATCATTAATGGGAAAGAAACAATAAAAACTTCAAAAGCGGAATGTTCAATTGGAAACAACACAGAATGCAGTGTAATTTCAAATAAAACCCTAGCAGATCAAGAATCAAAGAACACATCAGTTATTTGGAATATTGGAATTACCGACACAGTATTTTCATACGCCTTAGAGGTATGTCATTTGAGAAAAGATCGTTAGAAAACCAATTATTCATCACTACCACACCAAAATTAGTTTGTGGATGGACGAAAACTAAATTGTTTTGGAAGACAAAAATGAGAAAGGTTCAAAGTTTTTTTGCAGACAGCGGAAAATGGAAAAGATCTTCTTGTTGGAGGAATTGTCTCATGTAGATTGCTCATGGGAAGTTATTCAAGAAATCGAACAAATAAATTAGATGGAGTTCGAGTAACATTGATTGATGGCAAAAATGGAAAAATCATGCGCATTTTTGACACAAAATTTGACAATGATTTGTTCGGAATTGAGGCGGTTAGTAAAAATGTTTCAAATGTGAGAAATCAAAATTTTGATTTGTTTGTTTTCAGAACCCGGAATTCACACTGGATTTTGATGAACTTTTGCAATTCAACAGTTCATATCGCGTGAAAATTGATTTGTTACCTCTTGGAAACCCTGCATCTAGCGTCAAATGGAACAATCGACAAAATCTAAAGATTGAACCGCGTGTTATTCATCCACAGTGTAGAAAAATGACAAGTAAGAAGTTTCATATTTTATCAAACTATTTTTTTTATTTTCCAGATTTTGCTGATAAATGGAGACCACAATTATCAATTGATATTTATGAAGCTTCATCAAAATTAGGAATTTCTTGGAAAGTTGCTCCGAATTCACTATGCATAAGTTCATATAAATTGACTGTTCAAAACAAAAATCGATCATATTCGTATGAAAAAACTCGAATTCGAAATAATAATTCAATGTTTATTATTGATGAACTTCAAAATGTTCCAAGAGATCAAAAATTGACAGTGACTGTAAATGCACAAGAACTCACTGATGGTGTATGTATTTGTAAAAACTGTCAATGCACAATTCGAAAAACACGAAGAATTGTGATTCCTGCTTATATCAATAATACACAATCAACACTAACTGTTCCTCCAAGAGATGCTCTTGATATTTTGAGATCTCCGGAAGAAAGAGGTCTTCTCGTACCTTCGATATTTGCCGGTATTGGATTAATTGTATTTCTCATCTCACTGTGTTGTTGTTTGGCTGCCAAGAAAAGATCAACAAATTCCACACAACAACAAACATTTTTACGAAGTATTAACAGTGCAATTTTTCCAAAAACAGCGCATTCAAGTAAGTTATTTTTCTAAAATTTTGATGCCAATCATTTCAATAATATTCTATTTCAGAATCTTATCGAATCCTCATTGTTTGCCCAAATATCAATGGAATTGAAAATGAATATATGCAAAGAGTTTGCGAAGCTTTCAAAGAATCCAAACATCGAGCAATTTGTGACAAGTTTGATGAATATTCACATATTGCTGAGCAGAACATGCTTCAATGGATATATCGAGAAGTTGATGCGTCACAAAAGGTTTTTTTTTCCAAATTTCAAAATCAGATTGTGATTTTTGTTTTTAGATCGTGATTTTCCATTCTTCTATGCCAAATGGTTCAATTGGTTTGTATGATGTTATCACAGCATTTTTACCATCACATGATGCTCGAGTTGTGAATGTTTTACTATCTGAAAATGTGAAATGTGACTACCCATGTGAAACAAAATATGTTCTACCAAGAGATGAACGAATATTTGAGCAAAGTTTTGATTTGCAAATTCCACAACCATTGGTGCAATTTTCACCACCTGCATCAGTTAGAAGTGTTGTGAATTCTATTCTGAAATCAAAAAGTTATGAAAGTATTGATGATGAACAGAAAACACATACAATTGATTCGGGAGTTTCTTCGATGTCGAGTAATAGTTCTGAAACACAAGAAAACTTGTCAGAGGTAAGTATCTTTTTTATAAATCTGAAAACATCTATAGAAACCAAATTTTCTAGACGCTTCTGCAAACTGACATCGACATTGAACACAATCTAAAAGCCGATCATCCACTTCTCCACCCTCAACAAGTGATAGTCGTGTAACATTACTTTTCAAAACCATGTATAATTTTGTTTGTATTTACTTGAAATTTATCTTGATCTCCAGACAATTTTGGATCTTTTACCTTAAAAATTCAACCAACGGGATAAAGAAATGATTAGGAAATGTCATTTTGACGGGTTCAATTTATATATTATTCTAACCTCACTTAATCGCTTTTTTGATTGTATTTGTTTTAATAAATTTAATAAAGTCATAAACTTTGCTTTGAAAATGATGGGAAGAAAATACGAGGAATTTTTTAGAGGATGAGGTAAAAGTGAACTTTTGACAAAAAAAGTTACAAAGATAAGGTAAGTAACTCAAATTTTAATCAAATATGGTGCAAAGACCGTTGGACCTGAAGATAAAAATAAAACAAACCGCTGGGAATTGCTTTATTAAAAGTTGAAAAAGGCAGTAATATATAGTTTTAACGTGAAAATACATTTAGAACCTAATAAAATTGGGCAAGACACGAATCAGGTTCAAAATTCCCTACTCCGATTTCTACATACAAGGGTTTCAAGATTTTTCAAGATCACAGAAGTTTGATTTAGAGCTCCGATCGTTCTTTATAGTGTTCCGTTGAAATAAAATTCCATGTTGAATATGTTTTTTTTTCAAATCTCTGCTAACATCAAATCTCTGCTAAATATACAAACAGTTTTACTATTTTCTATTGTTCCATTTTTTCAGATTTCCATTGTTTATCCAAAACGATAACTAATTTATCAACTTCCAATGAAAATTTCTCTCAAAAGTTGGATTTCGCAATCGAAAAGTTAGAAAAAAGAAGAAAAGTGGGAAACATTGTGTGAAATAGGAGAGTGTAGACGATGAGAGATGCGATGGGGCGCATTTTGATGATTGAATGCTATTCCGTCCCTGTGACAACTGATTTTGTGTACTTGAAGAATTGGAGCTAATGTACTCGGAAGAAAGGGTATAAAATGTAGCAAATTTGAGATGAGGGAAATTATGGAAGTCTTTGTAGTTGGTATAACACATTTCATTTTGCTTTTGTAGTTTAGAGTGCGAAATTCAAGACAGTTTAGGTTCAAAATAATGGTTTCCTTTTCGGATAATTAGAGTTTCAGAATCAGTATCATTCTCCAAAATCTTATTTAAAAAAATTCTGATTTATTCGACTGCAAATTAAAAAAATGGTTTGTATCAAAATAACAAAATATTTACGAATATGATGTGCAGCTGATTTCTTCCACATCAATAGAATTGAAATTTAGAATTGTTCTGAATCATATTGTATTTTCTATTTTTGTTATTAGTCTTTTCTATTCCGTTTTTTTTTGCTCGCTGGAACCAAATTTTTCAGCCTAATTAAGTCTTGAGAATATATATCAAACATAAAAACATAACAAGTTCGTTGCCTAGAAGGCTGTCAATAAACTCATTTTTCTCTGTTACGAATATTATAAATCTAATTTCATTTTCAGACACAATAAAAATCTGGTGTCCCCGAGACATTTACCCTTTTGTTATTTCATTCATTCATTTCCTTGAAGTTGAGCAATGTCGTGCACTATCTCTGGTTATTTAGCCACTCCTGAATTCCTTCAAACTGCTGCAAGAATCATTGGATGTATTATGATTCCTATGAATTTATTCGGTATATTTTGTATACTTTATAAAACTTCAAGAAAGCGACAAGAATTGAAACTTTGTATGTTGAATCTTCATTTATGGACATTTTGGTTCGATTTGGAATACACATTTTTATCCAATTTATATTTTTTCTTACCAGCAACCGCTGTTGCAGGTCTAGGTATATTCAAAGAAAGTTTGATTCAGAGTAAAGACAATTTTCAGGCATTTTTTCAACTGTCTTTCATATTCCAACAAAATTTCTATATTATTTGGATAGTTTTTCGTCTGGTGGAATTGCGATTGCTGTAGTTATGCTTTTCGAAAATCGTCATTTTAATATAATCCCATTCACAAGTAAATTACGAATCAAGAATTTTAAATATCGAATTGTTCTTGCCATTTTCAATTTTATCATTGGAAGTATTTATGTTGTTCCTGCTCTTTTTTTCAATTTCAATCAAACAGACATCAAGAATAAATTGCTAAAGGTAGGTGTTTTATAAAGATAATTGAGTTTGCGTTAGGTTTTCTACTAATTCGATATTGCAAAAATCAAGAAATCACAAGGTTCAAAACACTGCAAAATATTGGATGAAATTTTTAGAAATCCAAGAATACATCTTTTCAGATTTACCCATGCCCGGATCCAATATTCTTCACTGATCAAACATTTGCTCTACCAGAAGAAGCTAATAATTATCTAGGTGCATTTTCATCAATAGCTGGATTGATAATAATAATGCAACTTGTATTCTTCATCTCTCATATTTGTTATTGGCTATACAAAGTTCGAGAAACTTCAGCAATGTCAGAAAATGCAAAACGTATGCAACGAAAATTTTTCATCGCCACTTGTATCCAAATCATCATTCCAATATTAGCATTAGTTATTCCAACTTGGTATATGGGTTATGTTATTTCAAGTGGCTATATCAATCAAGCTGTCCTCAATATTTTCACACTAGTTGTTCCATTACATGGTACTGCAGCAACAATTGTATCAGTTATTGCAAATAAGTCATATCGAGATTTTACAATATCTTTGTTTATGTGTCGAAAAAAGAAAGTATCCAGTCAAATGCATGTGACAAATGTTAGCACAGTTATAAAGAGATCAAATTATTGATATTTTTTTATGTTATGAATCATTTTTGTTTTTTTTGTAAAAGTTCCAAATCTTCATTTTCTTCGAAAAAAACGTTGATAAACCACCATCGTTTTTTTAAAAATAAAAACACGTAGCAGGGTCGAATGTTCTCAAAACAAAAAAAAAAAAGATAATTGCTTTGCTCAAAAATGTAATACAGAAGTTATTACATTTGTTTGTTTTGCCAAGAAACTGTGTAATTTCTATACGAATCCAATAAAATGTCGTCATGCAGCATAGATTAGTCAGGACCATTTGAAAAGTTCACGTCCATTTTTTTCGCTATAATTATTGATGATTCATTTGCTCCTCCCACTTTTTCTTTCCGTTTTATCATTTTCTTGTAACGATATTATTTCTCTCTCTGTGTGTTTTCTGGTTCATCGTTTTTTACCATTGTCAAAAGATTTGGCAAAAAAGATAGAGCAGAAGTTCAAATTTAATGCTTCTCAAGTACGGTATACGTTACTATGCAGAGAAGTACAGCCTTATTTTTATAAATTGGTCGGCAAAGGATACCGTACTTGAGAAAAGAAAAATTTGAAAAATTTCTGCGTTTTCTATTTTGCCAAGTATGTTCTGTTTCAATTATAGAAGATCGTCAACTTGCTATGGACCCGCTTCATCCTATTCAAAGAGTAAGTTGATATTTATTTTTTACCTTAAACAAATAATTGATTACAGCAACTGATCCTCAATCTTCGCGCCCTACTTGTTGCAATCAACCAAAAATTGCCAATGTTGAATATATACTTCCCACCTACTGTACGCTTCAATTACATCAACTTTATCAATTACTATAGTGAATATCTTGCGAGAATCAACACTCCACAACAATTCAATGTGAGTTTGCTAAAAAAAAAGTCATCAAAAATCCTTAAGAATTGAGAGAAAGTACCAAAATTACAAATAACTCTTGTCTCATTGGGACTAATTTGTTTGTTGTTTCATAATAAGTTGCAAAAAAAACCTTTCTAAAATTTGAAATCTGAATCTGTTTTGTTTTTCCCTCGCGAAACGACAATTAACAAATGTTTTTTTACAGGAAAGAGCACCAATCTTGGCATTGGCGATTCAAACAACTCACGATGCAATTGATCAGTTGATCAATAGCTGTCAACAAATCGTTCGCATGCAAATTGAAATCAGCTCCCTCGATATTCCTCCACCATAATTTTTGTTTCCACATGGAGTTATCATCAATCAATTCTACAATAGTGTTTTTTCTTAATCATCCCATCGATTTTTCACGTTTTCGGTAATTTATCCTTTTTTAACAGTAAATCATTCTCTTTCAACATTGCTCATAATATTGTCAAAAACCAAATTCTGCGCGACAATCTCTTTCTCTAGATTCTCTCCCTCTCACCATGGGTTCCCGGCAGAAGAAAAAAAAACTATTTTGAACGGAAAAAGGGAGAAAGCTGTTTCTCACAAGTATCTCTAAATATGACATTTAAAACAAAAAAAGTGCATATTTTTCTTTTCTCTTTTTTTTTGAATAACAACGACACCTGTACGGTTTCTCGATTTTCTCACAAAATGTGATTTTTCCCGGTAAACAAGTTACTCATTCATTTATGGGTTTCTATCTATTCTCTTATTCTTTTTTGTGAACGTGTTTTCCATTTTTTTTCTGTTCATAATGCGGTGATCAAAAAAAAAGCAAAAAAAAAACACAAAAGTCGAACTGTCTGCTTCTCTCGTTATACACACTATTTCTCTGTTCGTTGCGAGATCTGTTTGCATCGTCTTTAGAATAATGTACAAGATAACTTTGGACTTTTTATTCTGATTTTTTTTTCTTTTTTTTTTTGCATTGCGCATATATGCATAAATTCTTTGAAAATTTTTAGAAAATGGTCGTCGTCGAATTGTCACAGGAAGACTATGTAAGTTTCAAATTGCCGTGAGAAAACAGTTTTGTTTTTGTTTACAGGAATCGATCAATGGAATCCGCCAAAGAGTTCTCGAAGTGAAAAAATGGACGGTAAATTTTTGTTTTTTTTCAATATTTGTATTTTCATTTGATATTTCCAGGGGTACATCGATATTGTTGCGAGCGAGGAAATCAAATTGCGCACAAGAAGCTTGTTTGCCCAATGCCAAGAAATCCGGGCGGAAATTCAAGATTTTATGATCCATTATCATCAAAGTGCTGATAATCAAGTAAGTTATATTATTTCCAAATTTAAGAAGCAAAAAATGATCCACCACAAAGTCTTAAACAATTGATTCCTAGTCAAAAATTTAATTTTTAGTCGAATCGGGAACCGATCAATAAATACAGACCAGCCACGAAGCCCCTAAAAAGTTCATTACCCTGAATCCTGCAGTTATTTTTTTGGTGAAACTTAGTGTGTATAATACTTCGACTATGCTGGAATCGATCACAGAGGCAGAAATTGATATTTCAGCCTTGTTGAACAATAAGAGGGCATCAAACTGAGAATTTTGACTTTACGGATAAAAATCAACATGGTAATGTTAGTTTTTCCTCCAAGTTAAAAAAAAATTCCAGGAATCCGATAATTATTTTTCACTTAAAAATTTTTAACTGTAATCATTTGTTCACATTTTCCCTCACAATTCAATTTTTTAGGAAAAAATCGCCCGCCTTCGCAATCGAGTTGTGACTCTTTACCAAGTTTATCATCAATTATCAACCGATCACAGTGCTCAACTTGTTTCGGGTTTTAAGAGAGAAAAATGATGGACGAGAGGATTGAGATTTTATATGCATTGTATATTTTGTTGATATTTTTGTTGCACTTTTTGATCCTTTACAATCGCTCAAATATATACATTATTGTTAATATAACCTTGTTGAATATGTGTTTTATTGTGTTCAAACATAATCGGTGAACTCTTCCGATTTTTTATTTTCTATTGATGCTTTATTTATGAAACCAAAAGTTAATCGAAAAATAATGATGAAACCTATACAATTTTTCTAGTTATCTTTCTCCAAATATTTTGAATAGGCTTCATTCGAAATGACCTTCACCATCCAGACGTTTCTATAGAAAAAAATAGGTGCAACACATTTCTTTTCACAATTTTTTACCCGGTTCAAAAACACACTTCTTCTTACGCTCCTCCCACTATCTCACTTTGATAATTTATTTTGTTCCCGTTTCATTCTGTGCTGTTCACAATAGAATATGTTTTTGCAGATGTCGTTCGATTTGTTTGATTTTCCAAACAGATTCAATCCATATATTCCTCCTGATCCATATTATCTCATCTCCATTGAACAATTGGTATGTTTTTGAATAGATTACGGTACTTCAAATATTATGATTTTTCAGAAGGTGAAACGATTTTTGATGGAAAACATCGAGAGCATCTTTGATAAGGAGCAAGTAATCTATCAAAAAACAACGGCTGAGAATGCGCAGAAACTCATCAATGAAACCGAAGCCGTTTATTATGAAGTCGGACAAGTTTTGACTGTTTTTGATTACCATGTGAGTTTGAGTTGAACCTGGACAGGGCTGAGATGTTTCGGATTTTTCCTCAAACATTTGATATTTCAGCTCAACATGGGTGAACTCCTCAACAGAACTATTGCCTTGCTTCGATACACTGGTGTTATTCTCACTTATCCACCTTATTTCCAAATTCCTCCACTTGAGGCGTTCCACAACAATCCGTACATGTAATTTGTTCAATGCTTTTTTCAAAGTTGTAACAATTTTAACGTCTCTCCATTGATTTTTGCACAAATTTGTTCTCTTACATGACAGTTTTAATATTTTCAAACTCTACCTCAACTATAATTATCCACCTTTTGATAAAATTGGAGAGCAAAAATAATAAGCACTTTGTTTGTTTCATTTTCATAATTATACCACCCATATTAATACTAAATGCTTAATTTCAAACCCTTTTTCTATTTTTCTTCCCATAATTTTTTTGTTGTTTTCTGTTATTTGTAAAACACAAGACAAAGATCCAATTTGTCGTGATTCATTTATTGATTTTCAATTTTTTGCACATCATTTTGATCATTCAAATAATATGTTTTTTCGCCCTAATTATCCTTATTCAAAACCATTCTCTTTACATTTTTCATCATTATTTTTTTGTAAAATGTTTCTTCTTCGTTCACTAATTATCTTTTGAATAAAACATTTTCGAATTTTTCAGTGTTGATTGTTTCAAAAATGGCAGATTTGCGTCAATACACCCATGTTGATTTGGTTAGTTAGAAAATACCTGTTTCCTTTAAAATCCCTAAAATTTTAGGAAATCCGTGATCGAATGCTTTATCGTATTCAGGTTTTATTGGCGCATTATCAAACTGTCTGCACTCAAATTCCAGCAAATATTTACAGTTTGTTTTTGAATTGTATCCAGCGTTTCATGAAAGATATTGAAGAAATTGGAACGAGCCAAAGATTACGTGTAAGTTTTTTGGGCTTTTTTTTTCGAAAAGAAATACAAAAAGACAGATTTTGATTGTCTATGTTTTGTTTTGTGGTTTGATAGATAGTGTAATGCACATTTCTTTTCCTTCAATTTTTAGTTTTTTTTATTTATATTTGAAAATCTAACTTTTTCATACAAGAAGTATGCTCCAAAAAGAAGGGGATCTATGAATCATATTTATTTTTCCCTATTTTCTCATAAAAATCAACAATATTATGAAATATTTTCGAATTTTTCCTCATTTTTGGTGTATGTGGAACTTGGGGCCTAATTTTTTTTTCCGAATTGAAACTCATTATTCAGGAATTTGCTCCATCGATTCATAATGGCCTCGACGAAATTGAGAGAATTCTCTGCTTTCACATTTCTCAAAGAGTCCAGGAAATCAACACCGCTTCAAGGCCCAACATCTAAATCATCTTTTTTTTCAAGCTGAAGCGATTTTTGATATTGCGAAGACCACCCATGGCGTACCTACAAAAATTGGATAAAAATTCCAGACACTAAAAATATCTCGATTCCTTTTCCCCTTTTTTTAACAATTTTTTTCTTCACGAAAAAGAAAAAAAACTTTTGGAAGACCGTCATTGGGCAGGTACTGTAGGTACAACAAAAAAACTGGGTGGTCTTTGACATGTTTTTTTCTCTCCATTTATATAATTTTATAATGTTTCGTATTTCTACTCGCGTTCGTTCTTATTTTTGCATTTCTGTGTTCTCTCATTTTTCACTTTCGTTCTTTTCTCAAAATGGGACTTTTATGTGATAAATATTTTCTACAGAACATCTGGTTAGTACATCTTTCCTCTCACACATTCTGTTTCACTTATTTTGGCCTCGGTATTGGTGGAAAATGCTGAATGAACGGGAAAAGGTTTGTCGAATAAAATTTTCAAACATAAAAAATTGTTTTCAGGTCTTTTTGAGCACGCTGTTCCAATTTCTGAAGGTGATTTATGATCAAGCAGATATTGTTGAACACAACTATCCATTCATCGTTTTTGATTGCTATGCTGATTTGATAATCAGTTATGGGGAAACTCTTTTTTCAATTGATACGCACGAGAAGTTTGAGGTTAGGAATATTTTCTTGTTCATTTTGAGGCTCCAGAAAAAAAATAGATTCAAAATCAAGCGTTTCACATATACCTCTCATAATCAAAATTTCAAGCTCTCCTGGAATTTCATAACAATTTGTAGTTGGGAAAATTTCTAAACCAAAAAATCATATTTTTGCACTTATTCACTTCATTGAGCGGATGTTAATTTATTTCGAAAATCATTTTTAGTCACATTTTCTAGACAACTTTATGTTAATATTATTCTGACATTTATTTTTTTGAACTCTAGATGCTCATCAATGTTTTTTTGAGCTGCGAAAACAAAACATAGAAAGCGACAAATCACACATTCGAAGATTTATTGATTCATTAGCGCCAGACCTGTCGTTTTTGGGCGGCCGGGCCGGGCCAGCCCTTCAAAAATCCAAAAAATGCGGGCTATTTCGGCCCTCCGGCCCTTCTTTTTTTATGAGAGGCTGCTTCAGCCCTTTTTCAGCCCTTCATAAATTTTTGATGACAATTTGGGATTTTTACAAATGGATGATTTTGCTCAAATTTTCTGCATTTGGGCGAATTTCGTAAATCAGAATAACTTAAATTGGTGTTAGTGCACCAATATTTCTTCGAAGTACTGTTTTGGTGCAGGATCGTAATGGTGAAACACATGAATTTCAATAAATTTTACTTTTATTGTCAATCCACCATTAGAAACACGAAATACGGAAATATTCTTCCGCCAAAATGCAAAAATTCGAAAGAAACACCATTGAAATATAGTGGATTTACACAATAAAATTTGTTTGAAAGGCCGGGCTGAGCCAGCCCATTTTCCATATTTGGGCTGGCTAGGCCGGCCCTTCAAATGACTGGCCCGAGGGCCGCAAATAGCCGCAAAACGACAGGTCTGATTAGCGCCAAAAACATTTTCTGTCCTCGACAAAAAAAACCAAAAGATGTTGCAGGAAAAAGCGGGATCTCTTCGCGATGACATTTTGAATCTCTATCGTTCAACAATGATTTTCGTCAACCGCAACGAACCTCCAGCTCCTGAAATTTTCGAGGATCTTTTTGGTAACCGCAATGCCCAAATTTAAACATGTATCAACAGTGTGCTAAATATTTATTGTAATCATCATGTATTAATTAATCAATCCGGAAAATGAACATTTTGTTTGAAACATATAAAGACAGGACAAGACAGGATAGGGTTGTTTTTACAAAATTAAATTTAATTACAAAGAGATTGGTTTTTTAAACCGAAGCATAATTTCTTTCCATGAAATCGCTCAAATGATTGTTGACAACTCTGCGAATTTCAATTCGAGCATCACGAATGATTGTTGACTCAGTGTGGGTTGCAATTTCAACAAGGCTCTGAAAAAAAAACGCTTTGCAAATTTTTGCATGAATGTTTATTGAAAAATCACCGCATATTCTTTTGTATCATTTTGTGGCAAAGCCATGTCAAAAATGAAGACAATCATTTTGAGACGCAAGTGGAGATTTTGAATTTTTGGATCTTGTCTGATTTTGTTGCACATGTTCTGAAATTCAGACTAATTTATCGATGTTTTCAAAATTTGAAAAAAAAACTGACAAGTTTCAACATGTAGAGACGCATTCGTGAATCGAAGCCTTTCAAGACTCCCTAAATATAAAATTTTTATTTTGTTTTTGATAATTAGTTTTGACTAACCATTTGTTCTGGGGTATATGGAGTGACTGTTAGATTTTCAGCCATCTCGATCTGAAACAAAATAATAATAATGATGTTCTTGAAAAGGGAAAGTGAGAAAAATGGGCAAAGTGAGATAATCCGCAGCTACAAATTAATGAAAAAAAGGGGAGGGGGCATATGCGTGCATGATTCGTTTTTTCGAACACACATACATACACACACATACACTCACATTATAGAGATTGAATTGTTGAGCTCTGCGAGAGAACGAGAATATTATGTATGAAAAAAATGGCTGCATGTTGAGAAAAATGAATGTTTCTAGAAAATGTACTAACCAACAAGAAGAAAATCCTGTCGATATGCAGGTGAAAAAAGGGCCCCCGCTCGAACACATTTCGCCTGCGCGGAAAAAATCGGAGCGCGGCTGAAATTGAAAAAAAACGAACGCTTTTTTTACTATGATATCATAAATTATATATGTTTATTATAGAGAAAAGCTCAAATGTCAAATCTTTTAAAGAGAAATAATCGCTGTGGCGGGGAAATGAAAAAGGTTTTCTGAAACTTGAAAGTTTCTAGAAATATTTGTTCGTTCCTTATTTGAAACAGTTAACATTTTGATAACAGTTCTAACGTCACATCAATCAAAAACATCATTTTTCTAATCGAAGGATGATTTTTTGTATGTAATCAGTGAATGTTTGGTAAAAAAATGTTCTCTGAAAGTATAATTTTTGATGATTTTGATTTCAAAAAATTACGAATCATAGATCAGTCATACGACTTTTTTGATCAGTTAGTTTCAAAATCTTTGTTCGAGCATCAAGTGATCAAATTAACAGGGGAACGTTTTCTGAAAAAAAATTAGCCTGGGCTGAAAAAATCAATGAAAAAATATCGTGTCAGGACTTTTTCAGAGTTTGCAAAGGTTTCGCTTGGTTACCAGACCCTTCTTATATTTGGACTGGAATCGAACATTTTCGGTACCTCGGCAACTTGAAAATTCCCGATTTCAAAAAGTTTTTTTTGCTGTCTCGGGTAATTATATGAAAATGAATTTGGTACCGTCGCTAATTTTTTCCCACGCCAATAATTTGTATGAAAACAAAAAGTCAATATACAAATGCTATTTTTGTTTTGTAAATTTTACTTTATAATATTTTCCAACAAACATTTTTATATATTTTTACCAAAATTTTCAATTTTTCCGGTTTTTTTCTGTTCATCTACATTTTCAAAACGTTTTTCCAGGACCATAATTGTAAAAAATTGAACTTTTGATTCCAAATCAACCCAGATGTTAAGTACAATAAACGTTTGTTTTTCACGACAACAAAAATAAACAAACGGATTCTTCCAAACTTCCACAAGCCGCCATTTTGAGTTACAACCCGTCAGAAACTCCGTATAAATAAATCAAAGCGCAATAAACTATGGAGAAGGTTTCTCTTTGTCTCCTCAAGCACATGTTAAAAAATCGGAGAAAAAAATCAGAAAAAAGAGGGAACAAAAAAAGTTATTCATTCAAACAGAAGTTAGTCACATGTATACGGTAGCGCATATTTTTCTTCATTTGTATTTCTCTTTTCTTTTTTGTTTCTTTTCATTCCTAACATCTGCCCGATATATGTATGTCTTTCTTTATTTTTTTCGGTGCTCATTAGAATTTTTTGAAACTTGGACCGATTCCAATTTGTTTTCCACATTGTTTGCTGTGATTTTCAATTGTTTAACGTTATTTACAAACAATCAATTTTTTCCAGGGACCAAAAAATGAACCTCGAACAAATGGACGAAGTTTACGCCCCATTCTACGAAGATGACAAAATCAAGGTAAGAAACGATATTTTTTAAATCATAATTTATTATAATTTCCAGGCCGATTTGGTAATGTGGTGTCCTCCAATTCAACAAAAACAACCGGAAATAATAGAAATAGTGGTGAAGGAGGAGTCGAATCAATCGATGTGTCAAGAAACAAAATACGAGGTCTTAATCCGAAGATTCTGGAAGTTGGTAGAAGATCGTCGAAATGTGAGTTTTATCTTTTTTTCTGTCATTGAGGCTTGGATCATTCATTTTAATAATTCTGATAATTGTGGCAAGCTACAATAAGTCTGCTCTAAAAAAATCCGAGAAAAATATACGCAGAAAAATGTAAAATTCAAGTGATGAATTTGAATCATACAAAAGTTCTATTTTTTTTAATTTCTTGGAAGATTCTAATGGAACCCTAAATTTTTAGATTAATTTTATTTCTGCTCTATGGGGCTCGATTTGATAAACACAAAACATATCATATTTCAGAGATACTACGACGAAGTGATGTACTTTCACAAAAAAGTCAAACGAGAACTCAAACAATTCAGATATGTTCTTTCCAAAAGCAAGTTCAGATTTTTCATGAAGCTCATTGGCGTTTACTTCGCCAACTTCATTTCTCTCCTCACAAAAGATGGCTTTGTGGTAATCTATTTTTTTCAAATTTATTCAATAATCAATATTATTTCAGAGTAAATGTCAAATGTTCATCAAAGAACTTCGAAACATTCATAAGTATCTTGGTGCTCGCCTCGCTCGCATTATGAGGAGACAGGCTGAACGTGCACGTCTCTGTTCTCTTTGAACTTATCATTATGTTCTCTGTGAACGTGTGCCTCTGTTAAAAATGTTTCTGTTAAATTTGTTAATTTGTTTATTTTTGTTCATGATAAAATTTTGAAAAAAACAACTCGCAATATAATCGGCAGAAAGAAAAATAATGAAATCCTTGGAAAACCCGTGAAATTTTTAAAGAGGAAAGGGAATAAATTAAAAAATCCATCAAATTGTCAAAACTTTGATAGCGGATTCAATTGACAATTGAAGTTTTGAAATAGCAAGTCCCAAAAGTTTGATATCTTCCGATTTTCCGTATAAATGCACATTCTTTGCGTTGTCTTGAATTGATGCCAAAAATGCTAAATGATGATAATTTCGAGATTGGGAAAAGATAACATGTCTGTTCAATTCAGCCCCTAAAGTCCAATCAATAAAACATCTTTCAATTTCAATCAGTCGATTATTAATTATTGATATGAGTTTGAAATCAGCATCTTTGGAACCAGTTTGAATATCTGTGATTTTTGAATGGAATTCACGAGTTATATGATTGAAACGCTTCAAAGCTTCTTTCAACATGAAAAATTGATCATTCAAAGTGCTCACTGTTTGTGTGAGATTGAGGTGATTAAGATGAGATTCAACCTGAAAAATCTTGAATGTTTTCTGGAACAACAATTTTCAAAACCATTACCTTTTGAACCAATCCAGATACCACTGTTGAATAATCAATCACATCAAACGGAATAATTGGTGAGTTTGCTAATCTATGAATCAACTCCATCCAAAATTGTCCAAGTGTTAAAAAAGATGTGAATCCAGGATCCATCAATGTTTTAACAGTCCACGGTGTTTCATACATTGAGTGATATAAAGGGTATGACATTCCTGGACTCTTCTCAATTTTCAAATCAGCTGATGGGATTCCAAGAAATGAGATGAATCGATAATAATCACTTCCTGAAGATGGGAGACCAATTTCCGGAACACCGCGATCTCCTAAAATTGGACCTTTTCCTCGATGATATCTCCAAGAATCAAAAAGACGTGTTCGACCCATTGAGCGTTCCAGAAGGTTTTGTTGTTTTGTTCTGTAATTATTTGTTTCAATTGAACAATTTCAAAAAAATGAAACTCACTTTTTAGCAGCTCCCACTATTGCTCTATATAAAAGTGGAACACTTTTCACATCAGGCACCAAGTTTCCAGCGATATGATCCACATTTATATAAGCAATTGCTCTCCGATGCAAAATATGTTGCATTTCTTCAATCCATTCAGTTGAACCAATCAATCCATATTCTTCAGCATCCCAGTGACAAAACACTAGAGATCGCTTTGTTGGATTCTTTGAAAACACTGAACTCATCACTCTTGCAATTTCTAGTTGAGTAGCAGTTCCAGATATTGGATCAATTGCTCCCTAAAATTTGAAAAAAATTTAAAAATTCAGAAAAAAACGTACATTTCCCCAAGCATCTACATGATTTCCAACCATTATCCAATTATCCGGTTCTGTTGCCCCAGGCAATGTTGCGATAACATTTGAAATAGTTCTATGGACAAATCTTGAATGCACAGTCATTCGAAACTCTTTTTCTCCAGTTAATCTGTACACAGATCTTAATCCACCTTTCCATTCAAATGACTGAAAATTTTTTATTTTATTCAATCTTTGTTTTCGAAACTTACGGGAACAACATCACCATCTAACAATTCCATAATTTTATTTGCATCATTATAACTGATTGGTGTGACAGGAATATTTGGCATCAAACTTTTGGCTCTTGCAGATTTTTCAGTTTCCTGTCGTTGTGTGTAGATTAGGGATGGAAGAAGTGGAGTTAGAGGATCTCCAAGTGTTGCAAGAACAGAACCACGTTGAGCGTCATCACCGGGTAGATAAATACTTTCTGGGAACACCTGGAAATTCAGAATTATTTGTCTTGGGTTTAGAGCAAAAAGGGTTCAAAATTTTGATTTTTTTTTTAAATTAACAGTCCATAAAAATTGTAGAACTCACATTTGATCGATTATTTGAGGTATAATGAACCGGATCGCTGAAAAACAGCACACCAGTCATTCCCATATTTTGAGCAATTCGAACTTTCTCATTCCGCTTCAAAGCGCCATATCGAATCAGCGCTATTTTTCCTCGAACTGTCACACCCATCTAGAAAATTTACTTATTTATTTTTAAGAAATTTAGTTCGTTACACCTGTGCTAGAACATCATAATCATCTTTAGTTCCATAATTACAATAAACAATTTGTCCAGTCACACTTCCATTTGCTGAATATGCATTCCACCATTGTTGAGATCGAATATCTTGTTGTTCATCGATTGCTTGTTGTGGACCTAAAGGTGTTCCGCGTCCAAAACTAATTGTCATCCATTCATCGTTGTATTTTTTGAGTTCGACCAAGTTTGGCACACTGATTTGAGGGTAGTTCAAAAGAACCGTGTAGTTGTAGATTTTCACAGAGAATCCGTAACTTGTATACTGTAAAGAATTAGTTTTATATTATTAACTATAAAAAAATGCAGGAGTAACAAAAAAAAATTTTCTTAAGGTTTATGAATAAATTCTAAAAAATATATAGTTATTCAAAGAGATTTTGACGCTTCACAATTCTAAATATGTGAGATTCACTATAGTTATCTATCCTTCAATTTTTTAAAAATGAAACTAACTTTTTCTGCCAAATAATGCATTAATTGTGATTGCTCCCTGGTTCCCGCAATATGTGTATTTTTTGCCAAAATTTCCAAATTATTTCGAATATTATCAGCATTCAGTTCATCCGCAAGTTTTTTCGAAATAAAATTGAGATCTTCTGCAGAATCGGAAGAAGATTCAGAAGAATTATCCGAACATTCATTTTTCTTGATTTGGAAAAATGCGTTGAATAATAATAAAGCAACAATAACTAGTAATAGAATAAATGCAGAACAAATAAATGATGAGAGAATATTTTGAGTTTTTCGGAATGTGCTGAAAATAATTGAAAGTGTATTCATTTTTCAAAATGTTTGGGAAAAAAAACAACATTTTCAACATTAATAATCTCTTTGAAATGTTTATATTATAATTATTAAAACAACTGACCTCGTTTTGTATAACAATTCATCGTTTTCAGAAATTCTCGACGGCGAATCACTAATATCATCAGATTCTTGAAGCAAAACACTTCCAATTTGCGTAAATTGTGAATCACTAAACATTTTATCTACCTTTCCATTTGACTCTATAAAAAATGGCAACAGTTGGAAGACAAATATGTATTTTATGTGTGAATCATCAAGTCAAAAAGCAAGAAAGGGGAGAAAAAAAAGAAGTTTGCATAATTTTGACTCGTCATGCATTTTAAACAAGTGTTTTTTGGCAGTTTTTTGAAGAAAAAACGGAAGAAAACAATGAATTGTTAGGAATAATTAATTTGTAGTCGTGAGACATTTGTGTTAGTTTTTTGTAGTATTATACGAACTACAAATTTGAGATTTTTTGACTTTTTTCGGAAAAGAAAGTGAGGAGCTAAATTTTCAGATTTCAGGCTTTTTTGGATATAATTTTGAGAAATTTGAAAATTTGGGAATTTTGGAATTTTCAAATTCAATTTTCTCATCTGAAACAATTACTTGTCTGGCGCATTTTCGAAACACAAGTTGAGAAATTTTGATAAATTTCACAAGTTTTTTTTTCAAAATTATTGGTCTGTCTAAAATTTTGAGTTTTGAAAATTCTGTAAAATAAAAATGAACGAAAAAATGACCTCACGAACTCTGAAATATCAATCTAAAAATTCCAAACTTTCCCAAAGTCTAGTCGTGAAAATTAGTACATACATAATTGTTTACAACAAAATAAAAAAATCGAGAAAATGTTGGATGGCACAAAAATGTAAACTGATGCCATAGGTGAGAGGATATCCGGAAGAAGAAAAGCAGCAACGAGAGGGAAAAGAAGAAGCTACTAAAACAATCATGTTTATTGGCTTGTAAAAACGTTGGCTAGCGGACAGCTCCTCGTTCGCGGAATGTTTGCGCAAGTCCTTCTGCCATTTTTTTTCGCCGTTACTCAACAGACAGAAATTTCTTGATGCTTGATGATGAATAAGAGAAGGTTTGGGAAAGAGTGAGAAAATGGCGAGTGATCAAGTGAATGAGTGAGTGTAAGGATAAAATGTGAATGTGCGACATGCGGTGTAAGTGAGAATAAGTGCGCGTGTTAACACCACTTATTCACAGATTATTTGGAAATTGAGATATTTGACCAAATAGATAAATCATGATATACAAATTGAAAGAACAAATAAACATGAGGTGAAACATTTCTGAAGATTACTGTAGTTCCAGTGTTCCTTAATTCAAATAATTGCAGAAATCTCAATTGGTCCCTTGAGTAAAAAACCAAAACATTCCAAAAATGTTGTTCGAAAAATCTTAAGGACCACTCAATTGTTCTAGTTGAAGCCCCGTCTTTTTTCTTTGGAAAAATGCAAGATTTTTCTGGCTGAAATATTTCCGAAAGCTTTTTCTTATCAATAGGATTTTACACAAAAGTTACAATTTTGTGATTCGAAAAAAGCTTTTTGAAGAATTTTCTGGCTGAAATTCTTTACAAGGCTTACTCTTGTCAGTTTTTTTTCAAATCAAAAACAAAAATCTGGTGATTCAGGGCCTCGTTTTCAAAGAAAGGCAGATTTTTGATTGAGACAAAAAGTAGTTGTATAGCAAAAACGGAAAAATTACGATTCTCAAACAAAAAAAGAAAAAAAATTATAAGGGGAAGGAATTTGTTTTTCACATGGGAAACAACAATTCGAACGAACACACCTTTGGTTTCAATAAACATTTATTTATTTTTTCTATTTATTTATTTATAGTTAGTATAAAACAACTGAACCCAATGTTTTTTCAACAATACATACAAAAAGAAACAACAGGTGCGAACAAAAATTATAGAGATTACTGTAAATGTACACCACCTGCTTTAAATTGCGAAAAAAAGAAGAATCTCATTTTTGAATCTAACAAAATAAAAATGCAATAAAATTCGAAAAAAAAAACTTGTCACCTTGAACCAGCCTAATTACAAGATTGTAGAATAAAAAATAAACACATATTTTTTGGTCTACTAAACATATGTTTATTTGGCTGGGTGGTCTAATTGGATTGTCTCGAAACATATTATTAAAGTGACAAAAAGGTGACATCCCTCCAAGTTTTATTGTTTTTTGATGGACCATTCAACAATGCGCGAAAATATGGGGGAAAGAGGGAAGAAGGAGGAGGAAATGAGGAGTACGGTAGGGTGGGAACAAAAAAGAGGGTAATAAAAAACAAATTGAGAAATTGAACAAAAGAAAAGTTCTGAATCGGTTTGAGAAAATTGGAATCACATAATCCGTGAGAGCTTGTAAGATTTGGAATGGTGAGAAAACATTTGAAAAATTTTGAAAGAGATTTTGAGGCTAGGCTGGGCTAGGTAATCGGGTTTTGGTGTTTCTGCATCAGAAGATCTTTGGGTTTTGACATAAAGTTTTATATTGATATTTGAAAAAAAACTCTATCGATGTCAATTTACTAAAGCTAACATCAATTAAACCTAACTACAATATTTTCCAAAATCATCAAAGCAAACCTAAAACCTGAAACTATACAATCACTCATTTAAAACCTCATACTCATCCTCTTATACAAAAAAAGCAACATAAACATCAACAAAAAAGTAATGGTGTCAGTTTTAGCAAAACTTGTTCTCTTTTTTTTTGCGCACCCGATGTCGGAAGTCTTATACTTTCATTCCCCAAGAGAGCATTCAACCAAAATTCTTGATGGAAGCATTTATTATGACAACTCACTTTTAGTTTCTTTTTTTCTTTCTTACACCTCAAAATGGACAACAATTAAAAAAGTTTTTACTAAAGAAAGTGCTTTACTATTTTTATATATAATGAATGAATGAATGAATGAATGAAGCAGCAAATTATTATTTTGTTAGAAAAGAAAGAAAAAACCTTGAAGAGCAAAAGTGTTTTGTTTTGTTTTGTGGGTTTGCATGTCAAATCTAAGAAAATTGGAATAATTGGATTTTTCAAGTGGGACCAAGTAATAAAACATATTTATTTTCGTTTCCTGGTGACCTGGATTTAATTTACAGCAATTTGTGAAAAAATGTTTTCGTGAAAATAAATATTTCAAGGATCCGCAAAAGTATCACAAAAAAGGTTAGAATTTTTGAAAAAAAAAACAAAAAAAAAACAATAAGTTTCGAAACAGTTGTAAAAATGTTGAAAATAACTCACTAAACCACCCCGTTTTTTCAACATACTGATAAAGGTCATAAAGATAACTATATTGTTTTATTATTCTATGAAAAATAAAAATAATATGAATAAATATTACTGGAGGGGCAGTAGAAGAAATGTTCCAAATTCAATTATTTTTTGGGTGCAACAATAGAAATTTGTTTTTCTTTTGAAAAATCACAGCATGTGCTCAAAGAATTTAGAGTCAGTTCAAGTTTGAGTTTTTTTCGGTTTGAAATGAATTTACAAAATTTATTTCATTTCACTGATCCAAACTTGATAGCAAATAAAAATTTTACAACATGGCATTAAATGAGTGGGGGAAAAGTGCATTTATCTCTCATTAATCCACGAAAAACACGCGTAATAATAAATACCTCATTTGCATCTTCTTTTTCCTTTCCTCATCTCATTTTCACTTGTTGATGTGATGTTATCGTAAATCCTACCAGCCGTTAAATTTATGTGACAATTAAACGAATTATTTATTAAAATTAGGAGATGAGAGTGAGAGAAATGGAAAAAACTTTGATTAGACATTAGTATGACACATTTTAAAATAAATAAATGAAGGAGAGAAGGAACACTTCCCGGGATTAGAAGATGAAATCAGGATTTTCATAGAATTTTTCTGTCGAAAAGCCTAGAAAAAATTCAATTTTAAGTGAATCTTCACAGCTTTGCAGGAAAAATATTTCCAATTTGTATAGATAGATAGAAATGTGGATTCTCTATCAAATTCCACCCAGATGTTTTTATTCCGCTTTTTTTCTTCCGACAAAAAAATGTGACCCCAATCTCATCTATTATCCAAAAAACTCTTTGCCAGAAATAAATAACTCATTTATATATTATTCTATGTAAAACCCAAAAAATCACAAAAATAAATGCACAAATATCACACATTTTCAATTAAGAGAAAAAACAAATATAATAAATAATATTTACAATAAATAAATATTGGAATATGTTATTGCATAAAGCTAAATTGTAAAAGTTGTCCAACTTGTTCGGTGCTCAAATATTGCATATCATTATAGCCATTTGATTCATCTTGGAATTTTGAAACTAAACATGAATAGACTTTCAATAACTCCGACATACTTCGACTTCTTACAGTTTCTCTGAAATAGTCATAATTATCTCCAAATCTCTCATGTTTTTGATTTTTTTTCTCACCTAATCCTTGAACTTGATATTTTCGCAACATGATCCAAACGACAACTGTTTGGATTATGCAAAAACATTGAAAACTCGTTGAGAACTGCTGACACATTTGCTCTATCCATTCCGGTTATTTGAGAAAGAGGTCCCTGGAAAAATCACAAATGTTTCAAATGTCTTCAAATCTTCATGCAATCAATCATAGTCTGATTGATTTACAACTGATGTTCGAATTGTTGACAAAAGATATATGTTGTGGGATGGGAGAAGATAAAGTTTATATTAGAAGATTTGTGGTTAGGGTTTCTGATCCTTTAGATGTTTGTGGAATCACGAACAGCAGGAATTCCGGAGTTTGAATAAAAAATCGACAAAACTTCCGGTCATTATTTTGTTGAACAAGAAGAGCAATTTTTACCAGATTTTTTTTGTTTTCTATGCATAGACTTTGGAAAGAAACTTCGGGGACTTTTCCAAATCATTGTGAAAATTCAGATCACAAAACAGGTTGAACATCTAGTTTTCAAAATCCTTTCTATATGATATTTTCAAACTTCTTCGCCAAGATTATTAAAAAAAAAATCTTTTGTAATCAATTGCGTCAAGAATTTTTTGACAGAAAGATCATCAAACTTTGAGAATTCAGATTGTTTTAATCAGCTTCACTTTCAAACCAAAATAACTTATTTCACACTAACCTGTTCTTTTGAGTGAGCTGCTGCTTTTTGATAAATAGTCAACAATTTTGTAGTGCTCAAAATAGTCGAAATCTCTTCTGACACCAAAACATCTTCATTACTTTCAATCATCGCATTGATCATCTCAAGTCTTTTGTCAGTATATTGATATAAAACTACAACTGATTGAATTGAAGACAAACAATTCAGTGTATAAACAGCAACGTCTGAAAACAATCACTTTGAATAACTAATATCATATGCATAAAAAAATAGAAAAAAATCAAACCTAATGGTGAATGCAATTGTGTTGCAGTTAGTTGAATCTCTCTAGTAAGAGGATCTAGGATGATTTCAAATATTTTTTGGAATCCTTCCTTCGCAAATTGTTTTGTACCCATTCCAGTATCATGAGTATCCAAAACTTCTCGGAATAACATAAGACATTGATGGACTGCTTGAACTGGCAGAAGATCATAATCAGGAGCTCCCATCTAGAAAAAATAACTTTAAAAAATGTCAAATGAATCTATGTTTCATAACAATATATAAAAATCCAGAAAAATTTTACCTTTGTCAATAATTTTTGAACCGATTGAATAAGTCCAGCGTGGAATATCGTCATTGAAATACTGTGCAAATCATTCAAACACAAAACAAGTTCCGATTTCGGTCCAGTTAATGGTTGAAATTTATCCATATAAAATGTGAACAGATTTGATACATTATACAAAACAACACAATCCGTTTCACTAGCCAGTGATTGTTCAACTCGAACTTTGAAAGGAGACGCAAGTACTTTTGTGATATTATTAAGAACTGACAATGAATATGTTTCAAGAACATCTGCTTGACATTGAGACAGTAATTGAACAACCAATTCTTTCTCATTTTCAGTTATTTCATACATAAATGCTAACATATCTCCAATATATCTTGTTTTATCATGACTCATCATTTCAATTGGTTTTCCAGATCCATGTGGTCCTTTTGTAAGTGCTTCAATATATTGTCGAAGAACATCATTTCCTCGACTTGTTGAATATTCATCAAGAGAAACTTGGAGCATATATGGAAAATCTTGAAGAGCACATAAAGCGCGGCTAATCACATTTTTGGCGTCAATAAAATCCGAACTCAATAATCGGAATTCTCCTGAAATTTCAAGTTATTTTTTAAATCACCATAAATTTTGAAAAAAAAGCTCACTAGAAATTTTATTGAAAATTGTGGTATATGCTCCTTTCATGATTTTTTCCATAGATTCCATAACCTCCAATCTGGAATAATACTTGCTATCATCAGTAATCTTAAACCAGAAATAAAAACTTACGCGGCAATATGATTTCCAGAATTCTTGATCATCTCCTTGCTATCATCATGAATTTCTTTCGCGCGATTCAAAGCTGCGAAAAACTGTGGAGTTAGCCGAACTTCTTTATGTTCACAATCCAAAGCTTCCAGCTCTCCTTCAGTCAGCGAATATTTGTCAAGGAAATTGTCGATAGCTTTTTGCTTGACTTCGATGTTCTTTTTGAGCGCTTGAAGTTGAGTTGTTTGATTCAATAAATTTGTATTTGTCTGTTTCACATTCTCCAAGCGAACACAAAGATTTGTGCAAGATGCATTCATATTTTGAACAATGTTGTCGAATTGTTGAACAATTTTATTAACCTGAAAAATATACACTCAGGAGAACGACCGCGAAATCTGCGCGAAAAGCGGGGTCTCTGCGATTCGCTCAACCTTCGCGGGAGAATCACGCGTTTCGCACAAACCTCGCGCAATCTGGGACTCGGTCGACTGGACGTCGCGAAATTTGCGCGAATTGCGGGGAACTTCGCGTTTCGCGGAAATTTCGCGGGCTTCCTCGACCGAATTGGAGCGTTTCGCGACATTTTCGCGCAGTAGCATGGTATATAAAAACATTTTCGCTATTCGCGTCACGTGCGCGCATGGTCAAGTGGGTAAAACAAATGTATTCGAGGTGAGAGTAGTTGTTTACTGAATCAATATTAGCACATTAATATTTAAAAAAATACAGACTTCATCAAAAAATTCGAGAGAAACTTCAAAAAGTTGTTTCCTTGTCAATTTTATTTTCATATTAACATTTCCCTCTTCGAAATTCTAAAAACTCACTTTCTCAAACTCGAGAAGATAATTTTTATTAATTTCAATTTCCCTCGCTTCCAATTTCCTCGACAATTTCCGTTCAGCATGATTATCAATATCTATACTTTCCATAAGTGGCGCAACATAATCCACAACTTTCAAAAATTCCTTATCCAGATTCAATTTCCTTGTCACCACCGCATCAATCTTGCTTTTCAGCGGGTTCACAGTTTTTCCCGTTGTTGTCATCTGAAAAAAACCGAAAAAATTAACGTTTTTCCGGAAAAAACTAGCAAAACAAACAGAAAATAAAAATGCAATTGCCAACGTTATAAAAGAGTGCGATAGAGCGCGTTTTCACCATCTATTGACTTTTTTCTCGCATTTGTTTTATTTTCATTTTATTTTTTGTCTCATTTTTCCTGAGTTCTCTTTCTCTCGCATTATTTTCCATAATATACAATTTTTATAAACACAGAAAATATGGATATTCTTGTGTCATGTCGGCAAATGATCAAAGAAATGATAAATTTATCCGGCACGCAGATGAAAATTTTTCTTATGGATAAAGAAACGGTGAGATTTCATTTTTTGCAGAAATTTTAAAAATTATTTTGAATCCATATTTTTTCAGACATCCATTATTTCATGCTCATATGCCCAATCCGAAATTATGCAGAAAGAAGTGTATCTTTTTGATCGACTTGATTCAAAAGTGGCAAGAGATAGTATTGGACATTTGAAATGTATAGTTTTTGTGAGACCGACTGCAGAAAATATTGCATTACTTGTCAGTGAATTGAAGCGACCAAGATATAATCAATATTATATTTGTGAGTTTATTTATTTTCATATTTATATTCTGTTTAGAAAATGAATAGTTTTATAGATTTTTCAAACGTTGTGAATAAATTTGATTTGAAAAGTTTGGCGGAAGCTGATGAAAATGAGGTTGTTCGAGAGGTTCATGAATTTTTTATGGATGGAATTGCACTTCGGAAAGATTTGAATACGATTAATTTAACACGAATTTATGAGCAAGGATTTTCCTTGAAGCAAACTGCTGCTGAAAGAATCAAACAATCAATTATTGCTCTTTTATTGCAACTCAAGAAAAATCCAGCAATCAGATATCAAGCATCATCTTCAAATTGTTCCAAATTAGCTGATGAGGTCTCACAAGTTATTCGAAGAGAAAATACATTATTTGAAACAGCACAAAGTGATGTTGTATTATTGATTCTCGAAAGATCTCAAGATGTTGTTACACCACTTTTGAATCAGTGGACTTATGAGGCAATGATTCATGAATTGATTGGAATTACGAATAATCGTGTGAATGTTGAGAATCAGAGTATGGTTTTGAGCGAGTTGTATGATGATTTTTTCACAGAGAATATTATCTCAAATTTTGGTGAAATTGGGCAAAACATCAAAACTTTGATTAGCGAATTCCAAGAGCAATCAAAAATCAACAAAAACCTTGAAAGTATTTCCGATATGAAAAAGTTTGTTGAAGATTATCCGCAATTTAAAAAAATATCTGGAACAGTTACAAAACATGTTGCATTAGTTGGAGAACTGAGTAAAATTGTGCAACAAAATAATTTATTGGAGATATCGGAAGTTGAACAAAGTATTGTGGCTGATGGAGATCATTCAAGATGTTTGGAACGCATTCGAAATCTTGTATCGAATTCAAGAACAACGAATTTGGACGCAGTTCGATTGGTTTTGTTATATGCTTTGAAGTTTGAGACAAATCCAAATAATGAGATTAGTTCACTGATTGGAAGTTTGCGATTACGTGATTCAACGGCCAGTAGAGTTGCTGCAAATATTCTGAAATACGGAGGACAATCCAAACGTTCAGCAGATCTTTTTGGTGGTGGATCAACAATTGAAATCACAAGAAAGTGAGTGTTTTTATTGTATGAATGAATATTTGATTTGTTTTAGATTCATGAAAGGATTGAAAGGAGTTGAGAACATCTACACCCAACACGAGCCATATATCAAAAAAGTTGTTGAGCAGTTTATTCGAGGAAAAATGGATAATTACCCATTGATGGGTAATGATAGGTAAATAATTGAATTTTATGTTTTTCAAAAATAGATTTTCCTATCTCATTCCGCTTTTGCAGTTCTCGCCAAGACAATCTCATAATCTACATGGTTGGTGGTGCCACATATGAAGAAGCCGCCTACGTCAGATCAATGAATAAGAAACGGCAACAAGGATTTGGCGGACCCTCAATTATTCTATCAAGCAATTGTATGTTGAATACAAAGAGCTTTATTGATGATTTATCTGTGATGTGAACATAATTTTATTTCATGTGTGACTATATTTTCCACGCGAAAAAATAAAACAAAAAATAAAACTGAGATGAATAAAAATGAGAAAAGTGAAAAACATAAGGAAAATAATGATTGTTTTTCGTTAGATATAAAATGAAAGAGACATTTCGAGCGATGTGATTAAATCATTCTTCGTAAAGCTTCCTTAAAGAAGTTTCCAAGCGTTGGAAATATCGATCGAATGCATCTCCATTGGTGTTCTTCATATTTTTCAAGATAGAATGATTTAAAAATTCTTCCTTTGCCTTATAAATATTATCCAAAATATCCCATTTTTTGAAGTATGCGTTCAAAGTAGAATGATCCAAAGACGAAGAAATAGTTGCATCGGAGAAGATCATCGCATAATTTATCTGAAATTAACAGACTGTATATAGAGAATTCAACAATAATAAAATTACTCCAAAATCAATGATTCGAAGTTGATTTGTTGCCGTCGTTTCGCTTTGTAAAAGAGGTTCAGAAACAATTCCATAATTTCCTTCGTTTCTCAGAAGATCGTTCAGACACAAGATTGAAGATAACACTTTTATTTCTTGTATCATTCCGGAGTCGATGAAGACATTATCTTCTTCTAAATTTTATATACATATATTATCATAACATTTTCTTGTATACCAATCCAAATCTCACCTTCAGGCAATTTTTTGTTATCAAAAATCCTTTCAGCAGACACTCCAGAAGCAGTTCGGAATCCATCAACTAAATTTTTAGATAGAAAATTATTATGAACGAAAAATATGGAAAGGAGAATTTTATTTCAGTCGCGACGGATATTTCAGGTATCAATTAAAAAACTGTGGTGTATGAGAAAAAACAAACTCATGCTTACCCATTCTAGTTCCGATATAAACAACTTCCTCTTTGTTAGTATCAGGTACGATATGAACTTCTTTAGGTCCTAATCCAATCAGTTTCAATAAAAAGTATACGAATATCTCCAAAAGATCAATTTTTGTCGAGTTTGGAAAATCGATTTCTTCGCCTATTTCAGGGAAGCTACCTAACGTCTTAACATAATAGAGAGCCTTGTCATCAACAAAAACGAACATTCCAACCTGAAAATTCATGAAAATGATAGCTAATAAGCAAAAACATACATGTATTCCATCAAATTCCTTCGATTTTTTAACAATCTCAACTTTTTGATCCATGTGACGTTCTTGAAAATACTTGAGCGCAGAACGCGCAAGATATTTTTCGATATTATAAACCAAAAACATCATTTCATTGCTTATTTCCATTTCTTCAATAGCTAATGAAGGATATATCGAGAAGAAATTTGAAGCAATCAAAGGTGACAGTTGTTTTCTGGCTTTAATAGCAAATTCGCGCCTTGCTGATGTGAAACCCGAAGATGTCATGGTTTTGATTATATTGATAATTTCTATGAACGTTTTCCAGTTGATCAACATCGAATGGCTCTGAATCGACAAATAATGACTTTTTAAATCTGAAAAGTTAACTTACAACCACAATCTCATCAAAGTTAGCCACTGATTGAAGAGGTGTTAGAGTAGACGGAAGTCGCTTTCCATATAATTCGATGTGTTGCATTGCCGGAGGTATTTGTGTTATCAATTCAATTCTTTTTTTCAGATTATTGATCAAAATCTGAAACTCATATGGAATAAAAATTATCAGCTATAAAAATAGAAACCTCTGAATCGAATTCAATGTGATCAAAGATCCTATCTTGCTTCTCGCCAACCAATCGAATACTAAGTATGACCATTTTTCAAAACCTATTGATAATGAAATAAGTTCTGATTGAATAGGTAAGACATCCAGCGTCCAAGGTTTCAAGAATATTGATTTTCTGAAATTTATTCTCCACAAAATGCAATACGTACAGTAGAATAGGAAGAAAAGAGATTAAACACACCAAGTCCTGCTGTTGAGCTAGATACGGCCATAATAATATTGGGTCACTCTGTGTGTACACTTTGTGTGCCCACGCTAACATGAAGTTGTATATTTATTTTATTATTAACATTATGTGTAATATTACTTTAAATCTACTAACATTACATTTAGTTTTTAAAAGTAACTTTTTCGTACTTTCTTGATGATTGGGATTCATTAGTCTTCTTCTTTTTCTTTTTTCTAACAATTGGGGGACTAGGTTTTACTGGCCTAGGAAACCAATACTTACATAGCAACGCCAGCGCGCTCTCTCTCTTTTCTTTCTCTTTTCCCTTTTCTTTCCCACATTTTCACACCATATTATTATTTATATTATCTTACTTTTTTCTTTTTGTTGTTAGCTAAACTTTTGTTTTGTTATTTGATTAAATTGTCAATCAAATTCAATTTTTTAGAACAAAAATGGAGCCCGGTTCATCGAATGAACCTAGTAGTTCCTCCTCAACACGAAGAAGGATCAGAGATTATGATTCGAAACCTTCAAAACCTATAAGTCGTGTGAATATGTTGCCAGAAGATGAGTTACGAGAACTTGAAGAAGTTTTGACAAACTCAACGAGGCAAGAGGGTAAAGAATTGAAGCTGAATATGTATGATAGGGTGAGATTTTGAAAATAAAAAGAAATGTTCATTATTGAAAAATGAGAAATGAATTGAATTGAATTTCAGCAACGTCAAAGAATGCCAGTTTTCAAAACGCAGCCAGTTGTGGAAGTTGATATGAAACAAATTATACCCAATTTATCTTGTGATGTTTGTCATGATTTGGTGACAAGTTCAGTTATGACTAAAAAATGTGGACATCGATTTTGTGACCAATGCATTATGATATGTATTATGAGAGCCGGTAGTAGTTGTCCAACATGTCGACAAAATCTTGCATCAAAACGAGAACTCAAACAAGATCCAAGATTCGATAAATTCATTGTTCAATTGGTTGATCAACGGTCAGATGCTCCTCGATTTATGGCAAAACCTGGTGTTGAAACTGAAGGATATTCAGATGAACCAGATTCTGATGAAGAGAGGAGATATCTTGAAGAGGATAGTGAAATGGACGATGAAAATGAAGAGGAAGACGGTGAAAGAGAGGAGGATGAAGAATATGAAGGAGAAGATGAGGAAGAAAATGATGATGGATCAGGAGAAGAGGATGAGCAAGAACAAGAACAGGAACAAGAAGAATCAGAAGCTGGCGAAGAAGGAGACATTGAAGATGATGATGATGAAGGAAAAATGGAAATTGATGAGGGAGATGATAATGTTGGAACTTCAAACAATGGTGACATTGTTGAGAAAATTAAGGAGAGAGAAGGAAGTCAGAGTGCTTCTGTTGTGAGTTCTGAACATTTTACAACTGGTGATGAACAATCAACTAGAGATACTTCTCCTGAAAATGTTGTTATTGCAAATTTGGAATTTTTGGCGGTTCATGTGAGTTGTTTTTAATTTTAAAAATCTAGAAAATAAATTAATTTCAGCGTTTGCCTTGTCCTGATAGTGATAACGAGACAGAAATTTATTATTCTTCCACTCCAGAATCTGAAGCTGAAGATGAGCCAGCTTCCGGTTCAGGTACAGACTCAGAAGAAGCTGGTTCAGAAAACGATCTAGAAGATGGGGAGATTGATGAAAATGAAGAGGAAAATGCGGGAAGTGCTGAAAGTGGCAGTGAAGATGACGAAGAAGAATCTGATGAATCTGATGTAAATTCTGAAGATATTGAAATTAGAGTTAGTGATTACGAATTCACCGAATCCGATCAATCAGCATGGAGTGATGATGAAATTATTGTTTTACAAAATGATCAACCAGGCATCGCTTCTGAATATTCCGATTCAAGTGCATCAACTTCTGAATATGAAACTGACGATGAAGATGAAGAGGAAGAAGAAAATTGCGAAGTTGAAGGGGAAGCTGTTGATGGGGAAGAGGTTGAGAGTGAAACTGCAATAGGAGAGGAATCTGGAGAAGATGTTTCTGATGAAGAAGAGGAGGAAGAAGAGGAGAATCAAAGTGATGATTGTTCAGCAGATGATGAAGAGGAGGATAGTGAAGAGGATTCTGAAGAAAATTCTTCCGAAGAATCTGATGATGAGGAAGATGGTGGAGAATCTGTTGAATCGTTTCCATCAGTGGTATATGGTATGTTATTCATTTTTTATTTTAATATTTTGTGATATATGAGTTGTTTTATTTTCAGATACTGTTATCGCTGATGAAGATTTCATTGATGATACAAGACTTATCAAATGTTTGGCTAGAAATATGAGAAAAGAAAGATATGACAAATTGCTTGAGCAAGAATGTTTGTATGAGAAGCGTAGATGTGAGTTTTTTAGTTTCAGAAAGAGCAACAGTAAATAAAATATTATTTTTTCAGTAGAGGAATTGATGGAATCAGATTCAGACTGTGATGACGATGAAGATGGTACCGAAAATGGTGAAGGTGAAGAACCAACTGGTAGTTTGATGAATGGTGTTATTGGAGGGCTGTCTACAATTCCAGAGGAAATAATGGAAGAACGTTCACTCTCCAGATCTCCTTTTGCTCTTCAAATTTGTGAAGATGAAGATGATTTGGGACCCCAGGATTCCGGCGAAACTGAAGTCGCTAGACCAGGTAGAATGAAAACCAAAACCCCAGAAGATGTTGCAACGAAAAATGAGCAAAATGAAACTGAAAGACCATCGAGATCTAAAACAAAAACTCCGGAGGAGGTTAAAGTAGAAGAAAATGTTCCTGATGTTGATAGGCCGGGTCGAAAGAAGACAAAAACACCAGAGGAAATTGCTCAAGGTATTCAAAACCGAGTTATTGCGAGAGCAAAACGATCAAATACTAATACACCTGAGACAATCATTCAAAGCGTTGAACAATCTGAACCAGTTGTACCAGCAAGAACGAGACCATCAAGATCGAAAACCACAACACCAGAAGGCCTTCAACAACCAGTTCAAGAACGGCCAAGTTCTTCTGGCGTGGGAAGACCGAGACGATCAAAAACCAACACACCTGATGTTTATCAACAACAATTCGATGACTCTCAAGTTGGTAGACCAACAAGAAGCAAAACCAAAACACCAGAAGAAATTACACAAAAAGTTGAAGAACTTGAAGAAATTCTTCCAGAAAGAAGGCGATCATTAAGATCGAATACTAGAACTCCAGATGTGATTTCAAGAAGTTCGTCGGTTGTCAAAACTGAATTGAGAAGTAATGATGTTTCGGAATATGAAGAGGATGAAGAGGGAAGCACAGAAGAATCAAGTTCTGAAGATGAAGAACGCAAGAAGTTTATTGAAGAGCTTCTAAACAACAGCGATATCAGCGATTCTGAACTTAAGATTAAGCGAAACGGTGAAGATTTAGAAGAAGATGACAAACTCGATGCTGAAGAATTGTTATATCAACAAACTGTTCAACTGTTGGAAAAATGTCAGAATGGCAAGCCATCAGCTGATGCAGTTCTTCATTTGTTAAGTAAAGACTATGAAGTTGAAAAAGATATGGAAGTTGGGAAAAGTGCCGAAGATTTGGAATTGGTGAGTGACTTGAATTTTTTTTTTCAAATTTCAAATTTTTTAATATTTCAGGAACAAATTCTGTCGGAACCATTTGAAACTGTTGTTGAAGACAATGAATATTTGGTGGGGAAAAATTACAATATGATTGAACGGTTGATTGTTGAAGTGGCTGGAATGATGCGAATGCAAACTATGATTGATGCTGAAGCACTTGAACATGTAAGTTGTTTTTTTTTTGGAAACTTTGTGAAAAAAAACCGATGCATTTCAGCCAGAAACATTTATGGAAGAGCAGGCTCCGAATAATATTTTTGATCCAAATTTCAATGCAATTGAGCAAATTGATAAAATTGATTTGGGACAACTTGATACTCGTCCACCTTCAACGAAAACAACGGATGTGCCAGTTATTGAGAAGAATGAGGAAACCCCAAATGAGAATATGGAAGTTACGAATTCGGACATGCCAAAGTTATCAGAGGAAAATATCAAAGAAAATGAAGAAAGTCAAGTTCCAATCGAAGATGGAATCCTGAAACAAGAACCGGTTTTGGAAGAAGGTGAAACTTCTAAAATGGAAGTAGATACTCCTAATGAAACTGTTGAACAAAATAATGTTGAAGAAGCTGCAGATGTTCTTGAAAAAGAGGAAAATAAGGAAGATGACAAAGAAATCGAGGCTGATGCTGATCCTGAAATTGAATATAACGAAGATGATATTGAAGAGATCTATGAGGAAGATTATGAGTCAGACGAGTATGAAGAAAGTGACAATGATGAGATTATTGACGAACATGCAGGTTCAACATCGGATTCCGATTCAGAATCTGATGCAAGTGTACCTGATCCAGATGAAGAACCACCATTGGAAATGCCTGAATTCTCACAAGCCTTGTTGGATAATTACAAGAAATATAAAAAGAACAGAGAACGTCAGAGATGTAAGTTTTTTTCGATGGAAGAATTAGATAATTTTATTTATTTTTTTTTGCAGATAAGGATCGTGTCAAGATGACGAAGATGGCGAATATTCGATTGAGAAATGTTGCATATCGTCCAACAAAATTCGCGCATCCCCATCTTCCCGCTCGAGCATATCAAAGTGGCCCAAGTTCTTCAGAAAGACCCAAGAAGATTGCGAAAATGTCTGGAAATGTGGTGAGTTTTGGAATAATTTTTTGGAATAGTTTTCCCGGACGGGAGAATTTTCAGCAAATGTCAATTGTACAACCCCCATTCCCATTACATCAATTGCAATATAATATGGTATTTTTTACAAGATTTTTTTTTCCTACATATTTTCCTTTTTGAAATGTTGTTATGGTGGTGTGCTATAATTTATGTGCTTTTGGGAACCTTTGGGAAGACATTGGGAAAAGCTTTTCTCATTCTGTTGTACTGTGGCTTGATGAAACATCTGAAAATCTTTATATACCAATATTTTTTCAGAAAACTCCATCAAAAATCACTGCCGTTCCAAACGTCCATCCAAATCAAGAATACATTCAAAAGTATCGTCAACAACAATATATGTTACAACAACAAGCGGCACTTCAAAAACAGATGCAAAATCAGCAAAAAATGTCGATCGAACAACAAAGAGCCCAAAATAATGTGACAGATTGGTTGAAGTCTCCAGAGCTTATTGCGCAGAATTTGAATCGTGGAACTGAAATGTGTACACAATTGTTCAACTCGCTTCGTGTTCCGCAGCAACAAGTTCCGCCGCCAACAACCTTGCAACAACAGCACCAATTGCAAGCTTTGCAACAGCAACAGCAATTACAACTACAACAGTTGAATCAACAACATCAATTGCAAAAACAACAAATGCAGCAATTACCGTATTCTCAACAACAAAGAATTTTGCAACAGCAACAAATGCAGCAACAACAATTGCAACAACAAAATCAACAGCAGCTACAACAATATCATTATCAAATGCAGCAACGTCAACTTCAACATCCTGGAATTGCACCAACTCCTCAACCAATGCATGCTGTATATCCGCAACAACCCGTTAATCCATATGCAATCGTGCAACAACCTGGAATGTATCCGCCTCAAGCAACACCTCAACAAACGCAACAACAATTTATACATTTGCAAAAACATCCGCAACCTCCGCAAAATCCGCAGCATCAACAACAACTTCCACCTCAAATGTTTTGGCAAGCTCAAAATCAGCAACGTTATCAGCAGCAGCAGCAGCAACATATTCAGCAACAGCAACAGATTCAACAGCAGCAACGAATGCAGATACAAAATCAGCAAATTATAGATTTGCACGCAAAAGTTCTTGAATTAGAACCACATCAAAGAGCTCTCCTCGGACCTGGTGTTCTTCAACAAATTCAGCAAGAACACGATAAGATTAAATTCAAGAAAGTTGATACAGAAATTGAATTTGGAAGAACAGTAAGTTCATTATTCTCCCCTTATTCTCTTTTTCAAAAAACTCTGAATATTTTTCCAGCACACAATTGAACTCCAACTTTGGCCAACCAACGGTTATCAAGAGAAGAAACGAAGTCTTGGCCGAAATGCTGAAACCGTTTTTTGTAAAACCGAAGGGCAATCAACTTGTAAGTTTATTTTTGGAATATTTTTGATGATATCAATTGTTATTGTTTTTCTCATTTCAGTCTCCCATGTGGCGGAATTACTTCATTGTCGGTTGCCTGGACAACAACAAAATGCTCAACTTGGCAGCTTTTGGGTTTTTGTGAGTTTATTTGGAGAAAGGGAAATTAATTGAAATAAGGGGGGAGGGGTGCTTTTCTACGAGGGGTTTTTGAAAACGTGAATCTTTTTCGGCATGTTTCCTTTTTTTTGAAATAACTGAAACTGTTTCTAAAAATCTGAAGAAATTTCTACAGAGACACTTTAAGTTTCACTATAAAAAAGATGAGATCTGAAAACTCAGATTTCAAACTTGAAGCGATTTGACCGTAATCTAAATTTCAATAGCCATGGAATGAATTATGGGATATATTATTGATCGTCAAGATATTTTTCAAAAATATTTTTGGGTCAACACACAGACACAAATTGTTTCATTCAAAAACCTCAATAGAAACAATTTTCAGAAAAAAGACGACAATCAAGTTCGAAGATTCACTCCAAAACAAACTCTTTTGGATGCTCAACGATTTGTTGGTCAACCGCATTTGGTCATATTTTACGATGAAGCTTCAAGAGCTGATGAAACTAATGCTGAATATATTATCAATTCAGAATATCTCGACAACAAAAAACCGTAACCTCATATTTGAATGTGTCATTGTGATTTACCATATACTAATCGTGTCTTAAATTTAATTTCGTTTTTTTTTCATTTCTCTCAAGATTATGTATCCCTGTTATTTATATTCTATATTTTGATACTCTTTTCTGTACCGGTAAATTGACGCGTTTGGTGAAGAATCTCTGGGTATTATTTATTATATACACTCACCATATTTATCATCTCATTTCATGCTGTGTTATATATAAATCAATTAATTTCAATTACATTGTTTATTATAGTTATGATAAGAGATCGAACAACTTTTTTTTGGGAAGAAAGACTTGACTATATTAAAGAGACAGATCATTCAAGAAAAAACAGTAAAACACGTAAATTAGGATAAGGTTTTTGAGACTTGTTCGATGACTGAGGATAAGATTTCGGAAATCACGCAATGTTCGGGAGATTCGGCACGAAGACCTGAAATAATATTAACATAATTAAAGAAAACTTTTCCAAGAAAAAAACTACCTCGTATTCGTTTTGAAAATCGTACTGATTGTTGAGCAGGTTGAGAAGATCTTCTACGTCTCAGCGTGGTTTTCGGAAGAGCTGCATGTTTTTTGACAGGAGATGGTTCTTTTATAAATTCTGGACTTGGGGTATCTTCATTTTGATTTTCAGAATCCGGTTCAGGTTCGGGCATTGCGATATTTTGGAACATTTCATCGAACATTTCTCGAGCAAATTCAAACGCTCGAATTCTATCCAATTCAAGAGTCATTATTTCTCCCCGTTGATAATTGAAATGTTTATATGATTTTGAATGCTTCTCACGAAGTGCGTAGCAAACTTTGGTGGCTTCTTTGGTGTCGTTGGAAAATACTTCTTGAGAAAAACCAGCTTTTTCCATGAAAACTCCTTTACAGTTTCTGAAACAGTAATTTATGTATTGATAAATAAAAAAAACTAACTTTTCGCATGTGACACATTCACATCGTTCATTGTTGTCTCCAAAGAAATTTTCACCATAAAAACAAGTGATTTCATCACCTGGAGAAAGTTCTCGAATCACTTGAACTATTGCAGTTTCTCCAGTCGGCACGAATCGACAATTTGGATTGCAATCATGGTTGATATAGGAAGCCGGGCCAAGCCATAATTGAGCTTTTTGTTTCCTAGAAAAATATGTGAATATACATAAAATTATTCAAAAAAGATAACTAACCTGGTTGAAAACATGACTGAAAAATCGTTGACATCCTTTTTCAAAATTTTAGCTTCTTCTTCCTCTGACATCTCACCAATGACACCTGCCAAGGATTCGATGATATCTTTTTTGAACCATCTACGAGTTGCGATCATTTTCACGCCAATGCAATTTTCAGCCGAATATCTATGACAAGGCTGGACTATGAATCCGGAGTCGATATTGAATAGCATTATGAAACGGATTAGCTGTAATTTTTCAGTTAAATTTATTTGAAGGATATTTTTTTGGAAAAATTGCTTGTATTTGAACATTCAATTTTCCAAATTTGATAATGTTGAAAAACAGTCTGAATATCTGATTATCTGCTTTTAGCCCAGTTATTTTTGAAAAATATACTCACATGATTTCGAAAATTACAACTCTCCTGCGGTTTCAAGTTTTCCACGTATTGCTTCACATGATCCAAGGAGAAAATATGCTGAAAAAAACGTTCTTTTTTTTGACCCCCAACAAAGAAAAAAACTCACATTCAAGGTAGAATTGAGATCCGAGTCATAATTGTACTTTTTGATGAATTGCGAACAACAAAGTTGGGTTGTTTCGGAAGGTGCAATATAGCTGAAAACATTTATCATGGGTTGGTTATTCATATAAGAAAAACTATTGTTTCATATGGTTATAAATAAATCATTGAACTTACTTTTGATGCATTTTATGGGTTTTGAACCCTAAAACAGGATCGACTATGATAGACGATGCAAAATCGTCATTATCACATAATTCTTGTATTGCCATGGGACGACTTTTCATTGAAAAGTCGTCCATTTTCTGAAAAAAAATCAATTTCAGCAAAAAAAAAGTTCAATAATGAAAATGAAAAATATATAAATAAGTATAACCAAATACGTTCAATTAAAAATTTTGTGTAATTTTTGTTTCTTTTTTCAAAGGAAATTGTGAATAGTGTAATAGTAAAAACTTGCGAGCGATCGAGAAAAAAGAGTCTTGCATATTATTTCAGGTAATTCTATTGTTATTCGTATTCTGAGAATTTCAGCTGCCTAAATAATATATTATAATTTTGTAAAAAAAGGAAAATGTGCTCCAATGATACATTATAAAGACGCTCGGTTTGTTGTGCGTAGTATGTGTGTGTGTTTGTGTGTGAGAGAGTGAGTAATTTTTGTGTGTGTGTGCGCATTTGTGAGTTTTGTGTTGATGAGTGAGAAGAATATAAGTGCGATTATGATAATTGGTGAAAATAGGAAATGAGTTAGAATAATTCGTTATTCTTTCAAGCAAAATATTCGTTCGAATAAATTGGATTTTCTAACATCTCACATGAATAGGGATTCGTCTAGAAAGGCCACCCACGTGGTTTTTATTACATTTTATTATATTATCAAAGTCGTCTACTATACAAATGATATTTTTCTGATAAGAACATAGAAAAAAAATTTTTTTCTGATAATCTGTGAGAAAATTCTGAGAGAAATAATTTATATGTCGCATGATAAATACAATTGAAATGAAAAAAAACTTCACGAAGAGGAAGAAAAATTCGTATACTTTTGGATTACACCTTAATCCTCCCAATAAAGCTGATTGTTACTTATGGCCTCTTGGAAAATTATATAGAATATCTGGATTTTCATCATTTTTTGTCAGCAAAACTACTGAAATCTTTTCATCAAGAATAATACTGCTTTACTTGGAAAATCGGGAAAATTTTAGACTTATCCTAATCATGTTGCCGATTAGTTTCATTCTGATAAAACAGTTTTTCAGTCAAAAAATATTCCCAAGCTTATCGATTTTCTCAAGAACATGTCCATTGAACAAAATAAATACAATCGAAAGTGGATACAATCTGAAAAATTCTTGAGATTTTAAAATTCAAAATGTGGCAACATCACGCGGCATTTTCGCATAACTGTGGATCTTGTTTTATATTCCAATTGATTTCAGTTTAAGCCAACCTAAATCCGAAGCTTTATGGGAAAACAGCATCAGTTTAGTTTAATTCTGAAATATACGCGGAATTTCTTGATTTTTCAACAATGTAATTGGAAAATTTATAGACATTTGTTTTACCAAGGAAACCAGCCGTGAATTTTTTCAAGAAACTGTGAATGAAATATTCATTTTACTGTTTGAAGAAGGTTTTTTGAAAGTTTTCCTGATATTCTGTTCTTTGGCATTTTAACTTCTAAACTTTGAAAATATTATTTCATGTCAAGTGATAGATTCATGTCTGTGCTTCTATGACCAATATAACAATCATAATCCCTGTTTCTCCAAACCATCCTCATCTCAACCAGACAATTCAGAAAAAAGTTTCAAAACAAGAAAAAATCAAATTTTGTTTATTGTGTAGATATATATTTCTTTGTTCCATTGTCAACAAAAATTGAAGAGTCATGCAAAAACATATCGAAAAATGCTATTTTTTTGAGGAAACCTGAATTTTGAGCAATGTTTACAGTGAATTAATTTATTGGTTGGATATTTGTCATATTTCAGGATGAAATGCTATGAATTATTTAGTGTTTCATCTTTATTGTTTGACCTAGAAACAAATGAGTTCAAGACTCCAGTTTGGTTGGTGATTTTTTTTTTGAATTCTTGATCTTGATGACTGAAGAAAAGTTTGGTTGGCACTGGCGTTTTCGAAAAACTTGGTCCCTCTAGGGCACCAAACAATCGCTTGGCGGGAATGCTTTGGTGCTTTTTTTCCAGTTTTTATCTGATAGCTGAATTGTTTTCCTGTCAGGAAAATCTATAATTATAGTTGGGAGCTTTTGCAAAAGTGATTCTTGATTCGAATTTCTCCAGATTGCCTAGAAAAACATAGAAACACGAGCGAGGAAATGACGTGTTGGTGTTCTCGAAAAAAATTGCAACTAAAAAAATAATTTCAATAAAATTCGACCTAAACAAAAATAAAAACAAGTTGGATTCCGCTCGATTTACTATGAACAAACGACGCCTAACTCGACACGTAAAAGTACACAGTTTTGCTTGTTCAACTTTGCTCTTCTTCTTGTTTTCTTTCATCACCAAACAATCTCCATTTTTTTCGAGAAAAAAAAACTACATCATCATGGCGGGCGCAATTTGGGCCTTTTGTGCGTGTCAAACCAACATCACTTTTTTGTCACAATTTCTTTTGCGATACAAGACTTTTTCACCGCCAACAAGAAGAAGGCAAGGCAATTTTCAGCCGATTGTTTCGTTTTCTTGTTTTGTGGTGTTGGTGGGAAGAGGTTTGTTTCTTCTATTGTTCAACAATGATCTCATTCTCTTCTTCTTCTTCGTTTTTTTGTGTGCTTCTTCTCAGCCTCCCCATTAAAGCTCTCTTCAGACTCCGCCCCTAAACTATTCCATTCTTCAACAAAACCAAGACACTATTCGGTGTGTTGACCCAAAGAAATTTCTTCAACTAAAATAATAATGAATTTCTTATTTGCTATCACACTTTTGTTCGTCTGTGTCATCGCATCTTTTGCCCAAAAATGTAAGTAATTATTCCGAAACTTTTCTAGTTAGTATTCTAGTCTTTCACGGAAGTTAAACCTATATTTTGAAAGAAAAATGTTGCGTTTCAGCCAAAGGCTCGCCAGAATATATTCAACAACAACCTGCGTATGATTCTGATAACAATCACGAAGCTTTGAACAAAGTTAGCGCACAACTTTTGACTGTTTTAGCCGAGATTGAAAATATGCAAGAGGGAAATCAACAATTGAAAATGGCAGCTGAGAAACGACGAAACAAGTTCGAATTCATTCGATTCGGCAGAAAATAAATCTATGTTTTGTTGTCCCTCAATAATTGTCTCATTTCATTTTGTGATAGCATTCGATTCAATCCCAAAATCCCTTATTTTTTTCGAAAAATAAAACAAAAAATAAATCTTGAATCGTTGTTTTTGGGTCGTCAGAAAACAAAACAAAATACTTGAATTCTAATGAACAACACAACAAAAATGCACCAGATTTATTACTCCGATATACCCAACAAAAAGGCAAGAACTTATTCATAAATAGCAAAAAAAAACATGACCAAAACTTTGTAAACTTCTACAGAAGACCCGAATAAATTGGCTAATTTCGCTCATTTATTTCAATCGCTTTGATCCTTCTGAAAAAGATTTAGATTATTATAGAAAAGTGAAATTGTACATTTGAGATTATTTATAATTTCAGTTTAGTGACATCAAATAACAAAAATAATAATTCGTACATTTTTTAAGTAGGGTAAACAATATCCTAATAACATTTGGATTATTGTAAATCTTTATGGAAGTTTCCCGGATCAAAATATTCAATTTCATTTTTTCTTGGGATTAGAATTTTTTGAAGGGAAGGGCATTTCGAAAATCTAACGACATGAATAGTTTGAAAGAGATATTTAGAATGGTCCGAGAATTTCAGCGAGAATTAATTAAAATAAAATGTCGCTGGAGTCTACAAAATTCCAGAATATTTTGTTTTTGAAAACCTGATGAAAATAAACTTCGACACAAACGTCTAAAAATCTAAATCTTCAATTTTTTTTCTGAAACTCACATTTTTACTCGTTTCTCCCTCTTTTTTCACATCATTTTCAGATTTGTCTTCTTTATTTTTCTCTTCTTCTTTCTTGTCAGCAATCACAGTTGGTCGAATGATTGCTTGATTTGTTGGTGAACGGATCGGAATGTTTTGCCTGAAAAACAAACAAATCAAAACTATTTCAAATACAAAAAATCAGACTTACGGAGCAACTTTTGATGGATTGAAGTGTCCACATTCAAAACATCTGAATGAGATGAATGGGTATTCAGCTGGAATTGCCATACCATTATGAGTGTGACAAATCGAACAAATCAGTGCGTTTCGACATCCCGGGCCATCAGACATAAAATAATCGAGAAGTCTGTCAACAGCTCCAGTTTGACGAAGATATGGTCGAATTGGTCCTGCATTGCGATTTGGATTCAGATTTCTTGGTGGCAAATTTGGTGAACGAACTGTTGTATTGAGCGATGCATTTGGATTGATTGGTGATTCTGATTCCGGTTTGTTTGCATCTTAAATCTCTCATCATTCAAAAAATCTGAATTTTTCAAAACAAAAAATTTACCCTTTTTCGGTGTATGAATCACAGTTTTATTCAAATCCCCTTTCGTTTGTCGATTTATGACTGGACTTGCTGGTGCACTTCGATTCATCATTGTCATATTTCGATCATCTTCTTTAATATCATAACGATCCAAGATTTCTTTAGCTTCTTTGAATTTGAGCGTATCTTTAACTAAATCCAGCAAAACTCCTTTTTGCGAAATTGTATGTTCCAATTTCTGCGAAGTTGAAGAAGTTCTCCATTGGAAAAATGATTTGATAATATATCTACCAACAAATAAAAGTGCAAATGCTCCAATTGTCAATGCTCCAACATAGTATGTCTGCAAAAGCATTTAAAATGTATTAAAATTGAAACGTTTTTGCAACAACTTACCCTAAGTGGATGATCATAGCGTAACCAAGTATGTGCAATTGAAACAGTCACCAAAGTAAAAATTAACATACAATAATAATAAATATATATTGATTGTTTCTAAAATATTTGATTTTTGCGGAATTTTTTAAAGAAAAAAATTACCTTTGACAACTTTTCAAGTTTTTGCTTCAAATCACCAATTTGCAGGGAGATTCGCTCCAATTCAGTCGCCGGGCTTCTTGAACGTGAAAATAATGCACCCATCTATAAAACACGTTTTCCTATGATGATAATAAATGAAGAGAATGAGACACAAAATAATATAATAACATAACAAAAACAACGAAGGACACTATTTAAATGTGTGCGATAGAGCGCGCATGCCCAACTCACCATTTTTTGAATAAGTGTGTGTTATATTTTCTGCTAATACGTAGAGGTTTTTAAAATTATTGTGAAAGTAACTAGATATTTTGTGTAGGAGTTGAAAAAGTGTTGAGCAAAAAAAAAGATAAAGAGATGATAGAGGTTTTCGGATGGGAAAGATAAAGAAAAACAGACAAAAAGTTATTTTTGAGAAACATTTCCGGTTTCAGGTTTTATGGGATAGAGTAAATGTTTCCTCTTGCAAAATAGTAAAATTGACGTGACTTTATTTTTTAAAGCTGGAACAATTTGCAACTGGAATGTGGAAGAAGAGAAAATTAATTTTTTCTTGGAAAATTTGATTTGTTTGGTTCATAAATATAAAAACTTATAGGGAAGTTTAACAGTACATATTGAATTAGTTTTAAAAATAAAACAAATATTTTAAGGTGATGTGTGTTTCAGATGATCCATGGTGTATAAAAGTACGAACCAATACTCCTATTATGTATAATGTGTTTGGGATTTTTTCAAGTTGGAAGAAGAGGAAACTAACAAAACTCAACCATCAGTGTTTTACTGAAACTGTCTGAATAAATATGTTTTGTCTAGAAATGAATTGAAAGAATTTTTAAAGAAAATAGAGAGGGCTCACTGAAAAATGTTTACAATATCGAAAAGAAATAAAATGAATATGAATCATAATACAATTAAAATGGGAATTTGTTTCTGGGAATGTTGTTTTTTTCTTTCAACTAACAAAAAAAGTTTCATTGATTATTTTAAAGAAAAAATAGTATAAATTTGTTCAATTCAAAATTCCTTCTGTTACTATGAAGTTACTAGAAATTCAAAATGTATGAGTTTCAGAGTCACTTCTAGGTTTCGAAAAGTTTTGAATTCCCTTTTCGCAGAATTTTTCGACAAGCCTTTTCCGATATAAGAACGCGTACCTTTTTACCCTTGTGTATAATGAATTCTAGAAATGTTCTACTGTCTGTAATTGTTTTTCTCACAGAATATTTCAAGAAAATCCTAAAATATCATGAAATTAAAAAAAACTGAATTTTGATCATATTTTCCTGGTTTTGTCTTTTCCCATGTTTGAAAAATTCCAAATATCTCCAAGGATTTTCATCGAATCAAATGTGATCTTTGTGAGGTAACATTTTGATCCTATTGTGCTCTAGTCTCACAAAAATATCTGATCTCATCAAAAACCGGATAAAAATGCGACATGTAATAAATATCCTTCAAACTCTTCATAGCCTACAAAAGTGTCGTTGTCAAACAGCACAAAAAAGTGTCTATTGTAAGTTTTCGAAGAAAAAAAAGAGAAATGGGGCGGGAAGCAAAACTCGGGTGTGAGGAAAGACAAAAACAAGAGAACGAGACCGAAAGAAAAGTCTTATTTGGAAAGTGTCACACTCAAATACAAAAGAAAAAGAGATAGATTTTGGGGTGTGCGCGTGCGAGCATTTATCCGTCATTTATAACATCTACTTTATATTTATATTTATATTTTGACAAAACAAAGTCACTCTTTGTATTTACTCTCAACGATTCTTTTTGATTTTACCGTACTTCATTTTTGGGTTTCCGTTTAACATTCCTTACATTATTTCTACTATTATTTTATCTACTTACAAATATTTTTATCATGCGCATATTGCTCGTCTTAGCTTTTTTGATTCACGGTATGTTCTGAGGAAAATATGGAAGTATGGAAATTTGTTGGCCTCAAAAGCATCTTGTTTTTAGAGCCACCGTGTTCATAAAAATTTTCTGACATTGAGTTTTCAAAAAATAGTTTTACGTGATCTGAAAATGAAAAAAATCAAAACGGTTAATCGCAATACTTTCTGAAATTTAAGTGTGAGTTGATCTTTATTAGATTGTAAAATTCTTCACCTTTCCAATTCAAAGCGTAACATATTTTGAAGATTGCTTTCCTAGTTGTTGAAAAAAAATATCTTTAAAAAATATAATTTATGACTGTGATTATGATTTCTGCCCAATACATTTTCCGAAAACCCGGAGAACAACAGCTTCCAGAAAAAAAAAAAAACAAAACAAATTTTCGCATTGAACCTGAGAACAACCTATTTCAATGTTTTAATCAGAAAAATAAATACATAAACATTGTTTATTTTTGTCCTAAATTAGAAATGAAAATAGAATCATCGAGGTCAGAAATCCATCGTGATGATTTCTAACAAAATTATTTTTTTTTTAGAAATATCATCGAGATGTGCAGATCATTCATTTATTGGATGTATGTTACGATTGAAAACACAACGAGTACCGATCGAGAAAAATATCATGACATTGATTTTTAATATTGGAACTGAAGCTAGACTATTGCACACTTGCAAGTGAGTTTGGGTCAAAAATATATTGTTGATTGTGAGAGGAAAACATTACGGGGAACAAAATAGGGAAAAAAGTGGTCTAGCTAATGAATGAAGAGTAATTGAATGTCAAACGCAGAAACATCTGTGCGCAAAAAAAAACTCTGTTTCAAAATGTTATTTAGAAGTGACGAGAAATCCCGCGTGATCTATACCGGGATTTAACTCTTGAAAAAACTCATTCTGATTTTTGAACTTTTACTGTGCTAATGTTTTTAATGAAATGATATTTGAACAAAAAAAAAGATCTCTTCAATCTCGCTGGCAACCTTGAAATACTTTCAGAATAATTGTTTTTCAGAGTATATTCAGCAACATTGCCATGTTTTCAAGATAAAATTCGTGATTGTGGAGACGATAAACAAAAACGTGTTTTGAACGAAGTATCGAAAACTATTATGTATTTATGTTCACCGTTCAGTCTACAACGACAAAGGTAACAATTCCATTCCTTCTCTCATTCCTGAATTTTTGGATGAAAACAAACAGTTAAAAGACAGTTTGGTCACTCTTTCGAAGGGTCAAATAAATTAATAGCCCCACGCCACTTGAAATGTGTCAAGTCAAATAAATAATAAGAGGGAGGAAATGTTGTTGACATTGAAAATTGAAAAGCTTCCGTGTGGAGTTTCGGAAAATATGCTCGAAAACAAGGAATTTTTCTCAGAGCGGTTATCAAACATCAAAAATGTATAGCGAGTGTATTATCGTTACCAGCGTCGACTGGATGTAATTTAAATGAACACAACTATGGAAGACAAGTTATGGAGTGCAAGTGAGTTATTTTTGCTGAAAGTGCATTGGCTTAAAGTGCTTTTTGGCAGCTGAAGTCTAGATATGTGTTGAACATTAGTAATCAAAAATCGAAAAAATTTTGGAAAAATGTTTACTTGATGAACATTTAGTTGGGATAACCTGAAAAAGTTTTATATTGATATAAATTTTTTTCATCTACAAGATCCCAAATATTTTGGAAATACTAGTTAACGTTTTTTCACCGCAACAAAAATCTCCTAATTATTTCAGAAAAGAGTGCAGCAATAAGGGTTCCGATTTCATATGTATGATGAGAACTTGGATCTCTGAACAAAACACTTGCACATTGCGGGACATTGAACGTAAGTTTTGTGAAATATTTGATTTGAATTCCAGATCACTGATTTCAAAATCGGAATTCCAGAAAAATGTGGTGATGAAGCATCTGGACTTTTCCTTGAGTTGCAAACAACTGTTTTCGAGCCAACATTCCCCGTTGTTTGTAGTTATTCAAATTCAACTTCTGAAATAATTACAACTCCAAAACCTGCAAATGAACGAAAAGTTGCAACATTCAAAAAAGAGAAAACTAGAAGAAAGCCAGTAAGATTTATTTTTTTTGTTGATTTTGTTCTTTGAGTTATCCTTTGTTTTTTTTTTCAGATTCGTAAATCTAAGACTGAAATTCAGGAATTCCCATTGGTCCTTACCACTTCAACAGCAGCTTCTACTGTCAATAATATTTATATCGAAATACCCAAAGAAGAACAGCAACAACAAAATATTTATATGAGACCTCCGAATCCTCTGGAGACTCAGAATTACACAAACTTGCAAGTTGAGCAGAGTGCGAATAATATTTGGAGAAAAGTTCAGAATAATCAAAAAGTTCAGTATAACAAGGAAGTCTGGAGACAGAAAACTAAATCAGGTTGGTTTTTAATGACATTTTTATCATGGCTGAATATTTTCATATAATTTTCGGATGAGAATTGCTAATTTGAAGATCTCTGTTTTATTTTTGAAATCTCGTTACGACATGGCTTTGTCTTAAAGGATTATCCTAGCTTATTTTAATATTTTTTATTCTAATCAACTAGAGTAGGAAATTTTTCTATTTTTTTTAAATAGAAAAATTTTTAAAAAATCTTTACTCCACAAGAATTTACATTTTTCAGGTGAATTTGTTTTCTCTACCCAACATCCACTTTTCACAACCACAGAGGCTGGTGCCACACCAAGGCGTCATAAAGTGATTGATATTTTGAAATCTCTAATTCCTGCAAGTCTTCCATCTCAAATCACAGCACTTCTTGAAAACACTTATGATAATAAACATAACTTCCAAGAAACTCAAAGTTATAATACTCCATCCGAAGTTTTGCCAGGTATTTCGAATTTTTTGAGAGACTTATACATATTTTTATTGTAGTTGCGACATTTCCTGCTGAAGTAATCACATATCCACCTTCGACATCAATGATACCACCAAAACCAGAAATTCGTATCCATGAAATTCCAAAAACCACTCATAATGTTGTTGTTTTTGCTCCAGTTACCTATGCTCCAGTTGTACAACAAACGAAATGGAAACCTTGGTACTTATCCGGAAGCTAAATTTTATTTTGAATTTGAAAAACAAATTTTTGAATATTTTTTTATTTTGTCTTTGAAAAATTAATCGATCTCTCTGCTCACTATAAATAAATATTTTGAAGTACAATTGAGATATTTACAATAACAAAAAAAATGGGGTAAAATTATTGAAAATCCTCTGGGAAGTCTTGCGATTGCTTGCAATTTGAAAGAACAGAATAAACTGAGCAAGGGTATAATAAAGTAAATGCTCAGATTTGTATTTAGAAAAAAAAAAGAATTTAAAAAATGACACAGTACGGTCAGAAATAATTATCTCAAGGTAAAAAAATGAGAGAAAAAAAGAAATCGAAAAAACCGTATTTTCAAATAATAATTGTATAAAATAAATATATATAATTGAGACCAGCTCGTAAGAATAGTAAAAATCTAGCGATTTATCAAAATATATATAAAAACTAGAGGTTCAAACTATCTTGCTGACAATGTTTTCATGGGTGTTGAAAACGCTAAACAATATTTCATATATGCACTTCGCTCGTCTAAATATCGATTACAATTGTAGATAACTAGAATAAACCAGAATTCTAGAGCTAATGAAAAGGCGTAGATGAAAAGCATTGAGTAGATTCGAATCATTGTACCTGGAAGTAAAATTTTATGGTGATTAGACTTTTCGTGAATTAAAAATTTTGTTCTTCGATAATTTTTTAGGGTAGGGTGGCCCAGATTACATTTAAAAGATAGAGGGATACATTCAAAAAACAATATTCCGGATTCTTATTTGAAAATACTACAATTTTTATTTTAAAATGAAACTATTTTTTAAAGTTCGCGGGCATGAATTTTATTCAATACTTTTTCTGATCTACTTTTTTTTCACTCATGCCTTTTTTCACACAATTGGTTAGAACTTCGTAAGTTGAAAAATTGTGAAAAATTTCAAGTAAATTTTATATTTAACATATTTATGTCAATTTGAGAATTAATTTTAAATCGATTCTGCAATCAATATTTTTTTAAAACTAAATCTACACCCTCGTCAAATTCTCCTGAATTTCAATTCAATTTGCAATAACTTCTTCCCCTCCACTTTGCAGCAGTTTGCAACAACTCGAAACAATTACCAGGATATTCCAATCCCCCTTCTCCCTCCTGCCAAATTTTTCTCATTTCCTCATTTTTCCTCCTGACACCCTCTAAAATCCCCGTCCAACCACCATCCGTAATTACACCCTCATTGACGCGTTTTCCTCCCCTTTTAATTAAAAATGTTCATTCGTTTCCTATGTTCTTGCATAATTCATATACTCACCTGTATCCAACGCAACCGTATTATTATTCGGGTGCTCAATAAATGGAGCAGCGTTCAAAAATCGATAAAACACTGCTGAATCGGTGCTCAATGCGATGATTCCAGATATCAGCACAAGGATGAAGGCTATTATTGCGATGACCTGGAAATATAAATATTTTTGAAGTTCAAAATTCAAAAACAAGTTTCTTACCTGCATGACAATATGAGGTATAACTAATAATGCAGAATTCCTAGATAACGCTATAAATAATAGAAAAACTGCAAAAAGTCCCAATCCTAGTCCAATCATTTCAGCTAAAAATGAGCCAAAAACATAGTTTTCCTTCACACCACGCGCCTGAAACAAATTGAATTTATCAACAAGAAAAAGATGTGAACAACTAACATGTTGTAACCTTCCGTCGTGTTGAAAATAGACAAAAAGACTATAAATCAGGAAGAATAGAATCATCAGAATATGCACACATCCAATGATAAAAGCAGCTGTTTTGACGTGGAAACAATTGCAAAGGCAGCGATATTCTTCAGAACTTTCGTCGAATTGAATTGATCTTGGAACCTAGAAAAATGATATTCTTTGAGGCAAATATTTTATTCATTTATTTTTTGAGGTTCAGAAAATCAAGAGGCGAGGGAGCCTTTTATAAATAATATATGAGACCACTGTTTTTCTTTATATGAATCCATAAGAATAGAATAAATAAAAATGATACATTAGGATTATTGAATCTGACTTTGAAAAAAAAAATGAAAAAGGTCAAACTTACATGATCAACGGACCCGTTTTCTTGTCGATTATTGTTTCGGATAAGAACGGACCTAACGGCCCGCCCATTCATCATATTTTTAAAGTTCGTGCTCGATTCTCTGAAAAAAAACAAGTCTTGAAATGCTGTTTTTTTCCAAAGACTAAGAAAAGCAAGGAAATAAATAAACAAACAAATAAACATTAAAGCATATATATGCAGATATGTATATATGTATAAAATATATATATGCGTGATGTATGTGCACACAACAACAACTAACATGAAAAAAAAGGAGAGAAAGAAAAAGAAGAAGAAGCTATCGATTGGCACCAACACCATGTCTGCTTCTTTTGAGCAGAGAAACAGACGCAGAGAAAAGCCGTGAGGCGGAAAATGCATACATGCACAAATTTTCCGTTTCCCTTTGCCTGTTGTCAAAATAAGAGCAACAGCAAAAAAGAGGAGGAGATGCTCCACCTGCTTTTCCCTCCCTATACACGGCATGCGGTGTTTTTTGTTATTGTTATTATAATTTTTTTTTGAGTAATCGCACAATGTATATATGTGGTTTCTATGGAAAAATGCATAAAAATAAAATTGGTTAGAAGAAAATATTTTCGAATAAAAATTTATATAATAATAAAATTGATCGATTGGTTGTACGGGGGGGGGGCGGTGAGCAAACAAAGTTGTTATGGTTGAAAGAATTGAACGGAGGACACATATTATGTTTTTGTATGCTAATTTTTAGATAACATTTCATCTTGAGAAACAAATAGTGAGTAAGGGTACTCTAAAGTTTCAAGGTAATTAATTAGAAAATTTCCAATGGAGTTTTATTATTGAAAATCTCACTTTAATAAGAAGTTTGTAATTTGTTTAAAAAAATAGTAACCAGGCCTTTTCAAAATTGAACCTTTTTCAGTTGAAAACTATTTTCTACAGATTTCAATATTCTCATTACCTTAAAATTAGAAAGCTGAAATCTCGAATTGAAAATGCCGACATCGAAAAAAACTTTCTTACTGTAAGGAAACATTTCATTCTAATTTATAGAAATATTTTGAACTGGAATAATTTGAAATTCAAAATTTTGTACAGTAATCCTATTGGTGTCAATTTTCAGTTGACTGACTAAAATTTTGAGCTCATATTTTTCCACGAAAATAAACAAAAACAAAATTCTCTAGTTGTCAGAGAATTTCAAAATTTACAGAGACTATATACTTCAAAAATTTCACAAGCCATCAAAATTTACACATTCGTCAAAAATATTGCCCTCACCCCACCAATTATATGTTGCCAAGGACCACCCATATTTTCTTCTTCTTTTCAAAAGGAACAACTTAAAAATTCGCAAAAAGATTGGAAAAACACCGAAAATATGCTGTCATTTTCCATAATGAAAAATGCACAAAAAATAGTATATTTTTGGGTAAACTAACATAATTTTCTCTTATTTTGCTTTTTCTCAAACAAAACACAACAAAAACAAATTTTTGTCCAAAAAAAAACGAAAAAAAGAATAGAAAGAAAAAGTAGAGTGAACAAAAGTAATCACATTTTCTCTCCCAACCGACTACTTCAACAAAACATTATTCTGAATCGGTTAGATTCAGAAATCCGAGTTAGAAAGAAAAAAGAAAACGAGCAACAAAAAAAATAGAAATACACGGAAGAAAAATGAAATTCGTATTTCAAAGAGCACTTGAGTCAAAGCCACAACAATGGCCAATTTTTGATGGTACTCAAAAAAAAATTTCTTGTCTTGTTTCACATTTTTTCTTTTTTCTCCATCCATGAAAACCTAGAAAAATCGAATAACAAAAGCTACTGGGATGGAAAGAAGAAAAAAGTTTTTGTTTGACCTTTCATCATCGTTGAACAACAAAAAAGGAAATAGAAATAGAAATAAAAAAAGAAGAATAAGGGACCAAAGAAATATGAGACACAGGGCAATTTGAAGTCAGAAGAAGAAAAAAGAAACGGAAATGAGAAAAATGGCCAACGCACCAAACAAAAAATCACATTTTTCCATAGCTCGTCCGTCGGGAATATGCTAAAATTTTCTTCCGACAAAAAATGTGTATGGAAAGGGGAGGAAGAAAATAGATCTTTGAAACATATCAAAACATGAGGGTAAAATACATACTACGAAAAAATGAGATCCAAGCAATGTTGCTGCAATCTGATGAGGAAATCAGTGATTGTGCTTTTGATTTCATATAAAAACATAATACAAGTATTTCTAGATTTAATGAGTATGGATTTAAAATTCAAATGTCATTCATACATTGTGAAAATTTCTGATTTTAAAAATCTGATGGAGAAAGATCGTCATGAAATTTCAGAAAAAAAGCATCTCCTTTTTTTTACTTCCAATTGTACAAACCGGTAGGCTTCACAAACTTCTACTCAATAAAACTTGAGCATATTGACAAAAAATCAAAAAAAAATCAAAATCAAAGAGCTTTAGATAAATTATTAAAAATTCAACTTTAAAAACTTTTCATTTCCCCCAAGAAAACTCCAGAATCAATGTGAAAATGTATTGAAATCTCTTTCAGATCTATCCTAACTTCTTTAAAAATTTTTTTCTATCTTAGAAATGTTCTATTTTATCCTATATTTGTTGTTTTGTTGTTCTTCCTTTCCTTTCCTGCAGGTATGATCATTTCGCCGGCAATGCTGGCCGTTCGCCGTTTCAAAAACGGCAACGGCAGCCGCTGCCGTTTTGAAAAAACAACACTAAACAGCTTGCCGCGGCTGCTGTGCCAAAATGCCGGCTTTGCCGTTTTGCTAATTCAGTAATTTCTATGGAAATTATATGTTTTCTCACTTTCTTGTCAGTTTTCAGACTACTGTGTTCAATCAAATACGCAACAAACACCAGAAATGACGAACAAACGCAGAGATGATGATAATTATTTTTTCCTTTTGTTTTTGTTTTTTTGAAAAGTCGATAAAAACCATTTTCCTTGTTTTTCCAGTAAAATAATTCATTTTCTGATAAAACTTGATCGATTGGTAGTTCGGTGTCATACATCATATCGATTTTCAACTATTATTCTCATATTTTCCCGTGTATTTCACTATGATATATGGTCTAAATTGTTTTCTAGAAATGTCAAACTGCCCGAGTCCGTCAACCAATGAATTGTTCGATGCGCCGAGTGTTTCAGATTCCGGAATTTGGGTGGAATGCGAAATTGGTGATTTGCAAAAACATCACATGATTATGATGTTAGGAAATGATGAGACTCCTGGACAACCTGTTAATGGATATCGTGTGGTCAGTGACTTTATGACATTTTTCCCTCTATTTTCAAATTTAGGCGCGAAATCCTGCCAACTTCGACTCCATGCCGGATTTATGTCTAACTGATGGAAAAAGTTTAATCACTACAAAATTTGTGTTTTGTCGATTTTGCTATAAAATTTATTCGAAAAATGGAGGGCAAGCATCGTGAGTTATATTCCAGTTTTTCGTTACAATTAGATTATTTTTTGTTTTCAGAGTTCACAGAAGAGAGTGTGAAATAAAAGAAATGGATAAGAAGAAAAATAATATTGATTCGATGGGCGAAACTTTGATTGGTGAAAGTTCGAAAGGAAAATTAGAAAAATCTACCATTCAGCATATTATAACAAAATATATTTTGAAAAGTGGAGTTGCGCTCAATGTTGTGGAAAATGATGCATTCAAAGATTTAGTGTTTGATTTGTTAAACATCAATTATAATTTATCGGAAGACTGCTTCGAGAAGATAATGCCTAAACGAAAGTCAATTCGAGATCTTGTGGAGAAGGAGGCGACTGCGGCTATAAAGGCAGTTAGAGATGTTTTGAAGCCTGAGATCCTGTCAAAGATGGCGTCATTTTCTTGTGATTTCGGTAGAAATCACACAGATTTTTTCTGTTTAAAATCTAGCTTCGTGCAAATTGTGACCGATCAAAACACAAATAGAAAGAGTTGGGAAATGAAAATTTATCCCATGTGTATGCAAGTGGTGAATGAGTCGTCAAAAACATCTGTTTTTGTAAGTATACTTTTCACTTTTTAAACATTGCATGAACATTTTCCAGGTAGCAAAACTTATTCAAGAACAGTTGAAGAACATGGAAATCACAAATGTGAATTTAAATGATTATTTTTTGATAGCTGATGCAGCTGCTTATAATCGGAAGGCTGGAGAAGATCATTTTATCACATGTAAGAGAAAACCATTGAAAAAACATTTCAACTCTTGTTTTCAGTTATACGCTGTGCCGCACATATGATGAATATAATTGCAGATCGTACAACAGTTCCATATTCAAAATCAAAACTTAGCAGTGAGGATAAAAGTAAATTATGTGATGTTCGATCAACATTGAAAGATTGTAATGAATTGATGAAGAATATCAAGAAAAAGTTTTATGTAAGTTCTTGATTGCAGTTGTTTAAAGAAGAAAAAACGAGTACAGATCCGCTCCCAACTTCCAAAGCAAGTTCAAACACATGTCGAAACACGTTTTCTATCTTATAAAAAAGTTGTTGATAGTGTAATTGAAAATGCAGATGTTTTGTTGAAATTCAAATATATGATGGAACCCGATTTGGCGGATGATGTAACTAAAGTTTCGCAAAATATGAAAACTTTACGGTCAATAACTAGCACATTGAAAATTTTCGACGAACTTTGTGTATTTTTCCAAGTAAGACCTCAAAAATATCTAAATATTGATTATTTATGCATTTTTCAGAGCGATTCAATACAAATCCATGTTGTTGTGCCATGTGTTATAGGAATGCTGAAACATTTTGAAGCGCAAAAGTTGTCGAATGATGAAACACTCCGAAGTTTAGCCAGCGCTGCTGTCGAAGCACTGCGCTTCAACATTCACGATTTAACCGACTTTCATTGTCTAGGATATATGCTAGATCCACGGAGGCCGCAAACTTTACAGGCTGATATTGATGCACTCAAGGTGATTTTCCGAAAATTTCTGAATTTTTGACAGTTAATCAAATTTTTTACTTAGGTTGATCTTGATTTGAAAAGTCGTGCACAAAATGCTCTCGAAAAACTCGCCAACATTTTAAACATTTCGATGAATGGCAATCCACCATCAAGACCTCGCTATGATTCGCCTGACTCGTTTTTGGCCAAATGTTTGCGACGGGAATCTCCCAAAATGTCGTTACAAATTGAATACAATCACTTCTTGACTTTACAAAGTCATCTGGAAGTCGAAGAATTTTGGCCAACTAATGAACATAATTTCCCACAATTATATAATATAGCTCGAAAAGTGATGGGAATAGTAGCCTCCGAAAGCTCAACAGAAAGAAGTTTCAGTTTACTTCGAAATATATATAGAGAAAATCGTAGAAAATTAGAGTGCAATTTGTTGGAGAAGTTGTTTATCTGTTACGAACTTTCCAGAACTAATTAGAGATTTTATTGTTCACACTTTTATATATTCACTTCTGTTTTTTCATGAACTCTAGAATGTGTTTTATTTTCATATTATATTGAATTCTTGTTTGCTATAAATCATGTTTAAATTGAAAAAAATAAGTTATTTTATAAATGAAAATGTCATTTCATAAAATTGTTCGAAATAATGCCGAAATGCCTGCCGGCATCCGCGGCTGCCGTTTTTTGCTGTTTTGTTCCTCGGCTAAACGGCCGGAAACAGCAAGGCCACGCCCCCAACGGCAGCCGTGCCGTCCGGTCAGCAGGCGAAACGAACATACCTGCCTTTCCTAATTTTCTTCCACAAAAAACAACAAGAAACAATGTGTCTTTGAAGAGAGTCAGAGAAACAGAGATATATGCATGTTTACAGGAAAAGGATAAGAACAATCTCTCAAACTATATACAAACGAGCAATAAAACAGCGAGGAAAAGAGGAGTCTAATGTAGTCTAATGATTTTTGATCTTTGAACTTAAGGATATACAAGGGAACATTATTGACATAGCATTCATTCATAATTCGTTTTTTTTTGCAACGAATAGCGATGGACTTTCTGGAGAAGCGACGTCGAGCGATCGCCAACAAGTGGAGCAAATCCACTCAACGGCCGAGTTTGCGAGTCGCGCAATGGAGCGAATGGCACCGCGTGCTGTGGCGCAAGCGACAAAGGAGGCGCCCGGAGGATGTGAGACTTGAGATGTGGTATCTCACCAAAATTTGGCGGTGGAGGGCAGGTATGGATCTCCACGGTTTTTTTATGTCTATTAGAAAAACCGGGTATCGATCCAACATTTTCCGAATCCGCCGTGCTCGGGTTCACGAATATTTCCCGTTCGCGAGAAAGTTTCGATGAACTCGACACACCCAACTGTCTCCTTTGAGACAACCCCAACCGAACCCAACAGCCTTCTTTAAGGCTACCTTTCTTATTATTGATTATTTGATGAATAAAAAAACATGTTTGCTTTTTATTTTTTATTCGATATGGAACATTTTGGACTTGAAGTATACATTGGAGCAGTTATTCGACATAAAGCAATTATGAAGTGAGAGCATATTGGGACATGGATTTGGTTGACGCAGATATATCGTAACTTCCATTTGTGTGTAACGTGAGTTTCTTGGGGATAATTTTGACGTACATAATTTCTTTTTGGCATTTCTATTTGGGGATAAAGTAGTAAAAAATTTGAAATTTCTATTACAATTTCATTTAGGTCCCAACTCATCGACTTCATTCTTACATTTTTGGATTATTCCAAATCTGTTACTTTTTACACAAAAATCGAAATTTTGTCTTTCGTGTAAATCAAAAAAAAATTTCAACTGGGTTCTCGAAAGATGTTAAGAACAAGAATTACAATCAAATTCATAGAACATTTCAAGTTTTTCGTTCAAAAAATTTCTCGTGGCAAAATCAGGAATGGTTCCTAATTTTGCCATGGATGACGTCATCCAACAACAAAAAATTATTGTTTTTTAACAGTGTTAAAAAAAGGAAAACTTTGAGCCCAATCCGATAAAGTTGAAGTGATTTATAGCAAAAAAATCAAAAGGTGATAGCTTTTTGGCCACTACTGTATGCAGTCACAGTTTGGCATGGCACTTATCATATTTTTTGAAGTAAAATTGCGGATTTTGAAAATCAACAAAAGATTCTAGGTGTTTTTTGTTCACGTGAAATTGTTTTTTTTTTCATTTTTGGTCATTTTGCCCTTCAAATATAATACGATTATAATACAATTTATTATTCGAGAATCACAAAACGAGAAAGAAAGGATTAAATACGATCTTCATCAAAATTGATCTGTGATCGTTTACGTTCGTTTTCAGTTGTGAACAGTGTTCTCGATTTTTTATGTTGAATTGGTTGCGCTAATCTTCCACTTCTATCATAAACCGATGCCATTTGTTCAATTGACACTGAAATAAAAGTACAGTTATTTTTAACTAGCATAAACTATATATACAACTCACTTTCTGGGTGAATTCTCATCACTTTTTTCTTGTCACCTTTTCCAATATAAACAGTTGTGCTGTTTGATTTCATACCGTGAGCATTTTCAAATTCATGCCAACCATGTCCATATGCTCGAAGTGGATAAGCCAATTCTCCGTGTTTGAAGACATCCAAGCCATTAATCTCAATTTCTTCAGGAACTCGAAGTTTGCCGATTTTCTTCAAGACAGCAAACACTGGATACATAATAACAAGTGACCAGACAATAATTGCCAACGCACAGATCATTTGCCAACCAAGTTGAGCGAATGATGCTTTGATAAAATCACCAGAATTGTCTGCACCAGTGATCAAATCAAAGAGTGCGTACACAATTCCACCTTTTGCAATAATCGATGCAGACATCAAACCCCAGAAACCACCTCCAGCGTGCACAGCAAAAGCATCAAGTGGATCATCAATTTTGAATTTTCTAACAAGTCTGCTCAATGCCAAATAAATCAAACCAGCTCCAACACCAACCCAGACACTTCCCCAAGTTTCCATTTTATTACATCCAGCACACGAAGCAACCATTCCAGAGAGACAAGCATTTAAAGTGAGAAGAAGTGTCCATTTTCCGTATTGATAGAAATAAACAATAAGATATGTGATAGCAGCAAAAGCACCGGATAAAATAGTATTAATCATTGCAAGTGCAACAATTTGACCGTCTCCTTCATTTGACAAAGATCCAACTGATCCACCGTTGAAAGCGAGGAATCCGAACATCAAGATGAAACCTCCCAAAGCTGCAAATGGAACTGAATGCCCAAGAATTTCATCTGATTCATCTTCATCATCTTCAGGGAATCTTCCGATTCTTGGTCCCATAATCCAAGCTGCCAAGAGTGAAATAGCTCCTCCACACAAATGAATAACACCGGAACCAGCGAAATCATCATATTTAGTGTTGATAACTCCAGAAGTGATTCCTTGTGCCATCCATCCGTGTTCATTCCATCCCCAATGAGCCAAGAATGGATAAACAATTGCTGAAACATGTTTTTTTGTTATTTTCAAAACAAGATGAACTTACTGGAAATGATAAGACAGTATGCAACATAACAGGCAAATTCACAACGTTCAGCGACAGCTCCAGAAACAATTGTGGCAGCAGTTGCAGCGAAAACATATTGGAAGAAGAATTTCGAGTAATCGGTATATCCAGCGAGGAAAAATTGAGAATGTCCGACAAAAAGACCGACTGTTTCATTGGCTGATTCACCGTAAGCAAATGCCCATCCAACAGCCCAATAACCAATAATTACAATTACTGAAACATTAAATTTTTGAAAATACAGATTTGAAAATAAAAAAAACGAGCTTACATGAATCAAGAAGATTTTTGATAAGAATATTTGTGGTGTTTTTACTTCTAACAGCTCCAGCTTCAAGAAACGCGAAACCACATTGCATAACTGGAAAAATTGTTTGTTTTTTTTAAATTTTGTTAATGTTCGTTTACTTACAGAAAATAATCAAAGCCATTGAACATAGGAAAAATGAGTTGACATTATCGGTGAAATCATGTTGAAATTTAGCTGTTTCAGTTTGTAGCCGCACAAGTTCAGCCGTCAAATTCACCGCCGACATCACTCGAGAAGATGAAACAATCTGATGAGAATGATCTGAGAAATAACTTGTAAGTATCGCTAGAAGGGGGAGGGGTTATCGAAAGGTGGGTACAAATATTTTTCCTTTTTTTGTGGTAACCAGTTTTCCTGTTGGTTGAAAAGGTAGGTGAGAAATTTCGGCGCAAAAAACGCCGAAGATGATATTTTTCTGGTCAACGGTCAGTAAATGAATGCCGTTTGAAACTCGATATATCATTCAGTGTGATGTGATAACAAAAGTTTCATTAAATTTTAGAGAAAACCAAAAAGGTCATAATTTATCAATCCGATTGATTACTTTTTCTAGTTAGATTTCACAAAGTTTTTACGAGAAGAAAATGTTACGATTGTTCAGAGAACAAACATTTATTGACAATGAAGGGATACAAGAATCGTTTCAAATGTTTTTATGGCATTTGGAGAAAAAAGGGATTGAATTTTCTGAATTTTGCCAACAATTTCACAGGGTTTTACGTTTTGAACTTTTCAACTGCATGTTTTCATGAAGTTCTGGATTCTGATTTGTATATCTAAAACAATGTCGAAGACGGAAGATACAATTTCAGAATGTTCAAACATCTTAAATTGATAAGATCACAAAATTCAACATCGTGGTTTCCAATGTATCTTCAAAATATTATCATCATCATCATCGATATTTTCACTGATTTTTTTCCAAAAATATTTACTTATCATCAAGAGTTTTTGAGTGGAGAAAAACATCGTTAAGATACAAAATAGTTCTAACAATATTTACCTTGGATTTTCTAGAAAAAAAATATCTTGGGTTTTGTTGGAATCTGCAAGTTATATAAAACATATTTGTTACAGTGTAGATTTTTTCTTGAAAATGTGTGTCGTTTGAAATTGTTGGAAATAAATTATATGTAAATAAATCTCTTCGTGAAAAATGAACAGTGTTCTTATTGGATATAACAAGGTTAGATTTGTTTTTCTCATAATTGACTGACAATAAGAACATGTGCCAAGTTTCTTTCGAGCCCTTCATTTCAAGAATTGCTGCTTTTTCAAAAGTCGATTATTTCAATATAACGTTCGAGGTCATGTGGTTTCTCGCCGATAAGTATTTTATTACCACTTATTTTTTCAAACCAGACAACAAGAAATCAATTCCTTTTTTGACAACTTTTCATTTTTTCTTCATTGTACAAAAGGTCATAGATTTCCCAAAAGATATTGTTATGATAACACACCAAACATCATTTATTTCATTTCATCAAAATTCAGAGAAAAACCTATTTACACCTATAAAAACAAAAATAAATTAAAATTACATCCACATAGTTTCATGTTCAGTTTCTGATGTTTTTTCTTTTTCTTCCGATGATTTTCTAGTATTCTTTGGACCACTTTCATTATACAAATCAAAATCAATCATTCTTGATTTTCTTCTTTCATTGTGATTCATAAATAATCTTTTTGGTCCACTATCACTTTGTCCAACACTACCACTTCGTTCATAAACTGATGCCAAATGTTCCAAAGACACTAAAAAATGATGTTTTCTTTTGAAAATTTGAATTCTACATACTTTCTGGATATACACTTTGTCGTTTCTTTCCAACTGGTAAATGTTTGTGATGAGTGGACGAACTTGGAGCCTGGAACCGTGAAAAAACAAGTTTTCTACAGGGTTATTTATGTGTTATTTTTTTCAAAATTGTTTTCATTTTGTTTTGATAACAATTTGAAAAATAAATAAATTTTATGGGTTGTACCGTGGGAACGATTTGAGATCATGTAAATGAGAAGGGCAAAAATGAGTACTGTACCTTTTCAAAATCATGCCATCCGTGTCCATAGGCGTGCAATGGATATGCAGATTCTCCGTGTTTGAAAATATCTAACCCGTTGATTTCAACTTCTTCCGGAACCCTAAGTTTTCCAATTTTCTTCAAAAATGCGAAAATTGGCAACATCCATAAATAAGACCAGGTGATAATTGCAAGAGCACAAACCCATTGCCATCCAAGTTGTGCAAAAGCTTGAGCAATTTGATTCCCTCCATCAGAAGCTCCACCAATTGCACTTGCGATAGCATAAACAACACCATTGTGTCCAATAACTGCAACAGAAGTCAAACCCCAGAAACCACCTCCTGCGTGCACAGCAAACGCGTCAAGTGGATCATCAATTTTCATTTTAAGAGCCCATTTACTCAAGCCCATATAGATCAAACCAGCACCAATTCCAACCCAGGTACAAGCCCATGGCTCCATTTTATTACAACCTGCGCAAGATGCAACCATTCCAGTTAGACAAGCGTTGATTGTTAGAAGAAGTGTCCATTTTCCGTGATAGAGAAAATGAATAACAAGGAATGTGAGAGCAGCAAATGCACCAGATAAAATTGTATTTACCATAGCAAGCGCAACAATATGACCTTCTCCAGGTTTCACAATATCTGCCATACTTCCACCATTGAACGCGAGGAATCCAAACATCAAAATAAATCCACCTAAAGCAGCAAATGGAACTGAATGCCCAAGAATCTCATCGGATTCTTCATCTTCGTCTTCAACAAATTTTCCGATTCTTGGACCAATAATCCAAGCAGCCAAAAGGGAAATCGAACCACCACAAAGATGAACAACACCAGACCCGGCAAAATCATCATATGTTGTTTTTATAAATCCAGCAGAGATTCCAAGACTCATCCAACCTTTTGGATGCCATCCCCAATGAGTTAAAATTGGATAAACGATTGCTGGAAAAAGTGTTCATTTAATTTCATTGTTTCGTTTTTTTCTCTATCATGTACTAACTTGAAATAACTGAACAATAAGTAATATAATTTGCAAATTCACATCTTTCTGCAACAGCTCCCGAAACAATTGTTGCTGATGTTGCAGCAAAAACATATTGGAAAAAGAATCTGAAATATCAACCTGTATTTCTGTGTCTCTATGAAATTATTTGTCCTGAAAGTGAGAAAGTACTCGTAATTTTATGAGGTAATAAAACATATAACAAATTTGTTTATCAGTATTGCAACATTCCACCTCGCACTTATTTTTGAAACATCAAAAATGAAATAATCCAAGGGTTCAACAATTCATCTGCCGCTATTATTCATTAATGAACTCCGATTGTACACTAGAATGACTACACATACCAAAAATAAATCTATGTTTTTTTTGAATAACAATTTTTTTTTTTTTTTTCAAAAGAAAAGAACATTTTGAGAAACTTACTTCGGATAATTTACGAAATTTGCCAAGAAAAATTGTGAATAACCCATAAACAGGCCTATCACATCATTTGGACAATCTCCAAAAGCAAGTGCCCATCCAAGAGCCCAATAACCAATAATTGCAATACCTAGAAACGTTATATAAAAAGTGTTCTCTGAAATTTGATTTCTTACATGAATCTAATAGATTTTTGATAAGAATATTTGTTGTGTTTTTACTTCGAACTGCGCCAGCTTCTAGAAAAGCAAAACCACATTGCATTACTGAAAAAATAAACTGTATTTTTTCATGTTAGAAATACAAAAAATGGTTCAAAAACTTACAAAAAATAATTAGAGCCATTGAACATAGGAAAAATGCATTATCGTTTTCAGAGAAATCAGATTTCATTTGATCCATTTCTTGTTGTAGCAGAAGAATCTGCGCCGTATAATTTGGCGTTGTTGCCATTTTTGACTGAAAAAAGTATGAAAAAATAAGTGCAAAAAGTGTGTGTTATCGTTATTAAAGCTATAAAATAGTGTTAAAAAAGATTTTATGCATTTATGAAAATATTTTTTATCTTATCGGCCGACTGAAGTTTTACACCTTTTTGGGGTCCTCCTCTTTGTAGGCAAGAGACTCGAAATTTGATTTTGAGTTCAAACAACCTCAATTATTGTTTGGTGCTTTGAACTACGAACTGTTCAAAACTGATAAAATGCGACAAGAGATGTATATATCAAACAATTCCTTGTTTTCTCTGTATTCTTATCGAATTGTTTTTCTGAGCATTTGATTTTTATAATTTATCATTTCCCCTCTTATTGTTTGTTCATAACATAACACATAAATTCATTTTTTGACCTTAAATTTCACCTGCTTCCATCTCAAAATTTTACTCTCACTTTCAGTGGCTGCCTGAAAAAATAAAGTGTCAGAATTTTTGATGCGGAAAAGACTAGGAAAACTCTGAAAAAAACTTGCAAATTATTCCGTCGTCAAAAAAACATAATTTCAGCTGATAAAATATGAACGTGTTCTGGTGATACTGATTTTTTCGTCTTTGAACAGATTTTAAGGAATTGAAATTTTGAAGAATTTTGAAAAAAGGACATGACACCAGAGAACATTTTTTTACAAAAATGAGTATGTCTACCCAGAATGAAAGAACGAAAAATTATGGCAAGACCAAAAAAACTTGAATTTGAGTGTTGGATTTTCAGTAATTCCGAATCTCAAACAAAGGTTTGTGGATTCAACTGAAAAAAATTGTCTTTAATTTCGGAAGTTGAGAAAGTTCGCCCAAAAAGACTGTAATTCATTTTCCAAACAATATTTTCAAATTCTGATTTCACAAGTTCTTCAGAAGGATCCACCAAAATTCAAACTCGTTATTGCTTATCTATAACAACACTGTGAACTCAGAAATAGGAAATATTGTTTCTTTGATGAATTACGGTACTTGAAAGTTTCGGTTTCTGGTGAAGTGTTCTTTTAACTTCCAAAAATTACAGGAAAAGTGAGTTCGCGACTTTCCCTTGTTCTTATCAGGCTCAATATCTATTTCTGTCATTTTCATAATTTGCAAATGTTAACATTTATTAACCTTATTTTATTCATACAATAAATTCAAAAAAAAAGTGAAATCAAACAATTCTCGGAGACAAAAACACATTAATACAAAACTCTTTAGGTTTCAGCAGTTTCGGAATACAATGGAACTGGTGCAGTTGGTTCACTTCGAGCAGTTTTTGGCGGAACACCCGAAAATAATTTCATACAACTATGGAAGACGCTATTTTGGAAACAGTTACTATGACATTCGACACGTGTATTTGGAGCAATGTGTGATTTGAGTTCGTGACACATTAAGCATATTCGATTCATTATTGTTTGCACTGTTTCGAATTGAGAATTTGGACACTGCAAAAAAAAAACAAAAATATGAGTTTTTTTTTGGAATAAATTATTCAACATAAATTTCCAGCTGACTTGATCTACTAACCTTTTCTTTTTTCTTCTCCTTCTTCTTTCTCTCGACGTATTCGAAACATTGGTGGCTCGTTTTGTGTTTCAGTTTGTTCCATTTCATTTCCTCGTTTGTGCATTTCATCGACCATTTCAAACGATGAAGGAACTTTGGAATATTGAATCAATTGATCCAAAGAAAATTGTGCGGATTGATTGATAATCAATAGAATTATTGCAGATTGAAGAAACATTTTCTCGTCGTGTGTGGCCCGTTGTTTGCACTTTCTGATCAACAAGAAAATTAGTTTTGAATTGTGAATTTTCTAGTTAGAAAAAAACCAGAGAAAAAGAGTAAATGAGATTCAAAAAACAAACATCCAAAAAACAAATGACATGAAAATTGTGATTCTTGAGGATAGGATGAATGTGTAATGAGGATTTTGTTATTTTTTCGATAATTTTTTTCCGAAAAAACCGAAATATGGTCAAAAATATTTTGCTAATATACTTGTTCGTATTACATCCGATTAGAAAACTACTTCCAATCGGATTTCAGATTACATGTATTCTAGTAAGCCCTTCCTGAATTTGAAAAAAAAACAGTTGCAGATAGGGCAATAAATAAAATCTAATAAGATCAAGAATTCTATCCTGATTCTGAATGCTAAAAAACACACTACATGGGAAAAATGTGAGTAATAAATAGAAAACAATAATAGAAACTATTCTGAAAACAATCGTGAGATTTTGAATAGTGAGTGAATGATGTTTCACAATGTCTGCTAACAAAATATGCCATTTTCTATCTCCCGCCCATTTATACGTTTTTTTCCTAACAATTTTGCACCTGTTTATTTCCAGAAAGGGCACTATTTCAGCATACTCAATTTGAAAATCGAGTGCTACGTCGACATCAAATTTCATCTGGAAAAATGTCTGAGCACTGAAAATTTTCACTCAAATAAAAAACGAGGGAGAAAAAAACACATGAGTATGTATGATCGGTTACAATGAAACTTCCGTTTTGTGACGTTTCAAACATTTGCTGGTAATTTAAAATGCAAAAAACATCTGAACGTTTGTTTTAACATTAAAAAACTAGCGTAGTACTATGAAGTTTGAAATAACACAATCCAGTTTTTTGGAATATGTGTATTGTTCTAGCACTTTTTGAATCAATATTAAATAATGAGAGCTGGAAAGAATCACCCTGATCTCGAGTATTCTAAAAAATATTGAAAAAAATAGAATGATATATGTGGTCGCAAAAAAAGAGGCGTGGATAAAAGGTTAATTTAATGTACTGTATCCAATTATTTTTTCATAGGAAAAGTTATTATTTTAATTAAAAATTATCACATCATCAAAAACATTTCTATAAAAATTTAAAGGAAAATTGACTCCAACGAAATTTGGAAAATATTATTACAAACAAACAACAACAAGGTTTTTGGGTGATTTATGCCAAGTTTCAGGTCTGATTGGTTTTTGAATCTGGCTCACTATCTTGTTTTGATGTAAAAAATACATAAAAATTACAGCTCCATATAAGAGCAAGATCTCATTTTTGCCTTCAGGACCGGGCTCTTATGTAAGCCCTTCCCTGAAGCTCAAAATGGGTTCGGCTTTGGCTTCTTTAGTAAGCTTCAGCAGATGACTTTCAAAAAACATTTTCTGCAAACTATGAGTAAAAATCACTCCTTATAATGCGCTTACCTCAATCCTAACTCAATTTAAGGTAACTCAATTTCGAAGTTCACCTTACAAATAAAAGTGATGTTTTTTCGAACGATCAAAATTTGCTTTCAGAATGAGATCAAGCTTGGGCAGCCCACTATTTTTAAGAGGAAAATAAAAAGTCCCGTGGGATGATCTACTGTAGTCAGACAAAAAATAGTACAGTGGTTCGTTGTTGTGATAAAATTAGAATTTATTATTTTATTTTGAATGTTGTCATGAAAAATATATAGAGATGCTCTAGAGAATTCAGTATATCAGACAGCAAAAGCTATTTTTTGATTTTACCTTCGTGATGCTATTTTTCTCTGATAGGATTCTCAGAAAAATAGAAAAAGTACAGTATCTGGGGAGCCACTACGGAATACACAGAAAAATAAAAGTGATGGCAAGACTGGGAAACCTCTTTATATAGGTGAAAAGTGATGTGAGATTTTTGAAAAAAAAAACAATAACTATTTCTCAGAAATCATGAATCAAAAGCCTTGAAATTGAACATTGTCACAGAATATCCACAGTAATCCAATGAGTTTTATTAGAAAAAAGTGCAGACAATTTTGTTTCGCTATCGTGCAGACTTTTTGTCTCGGTCGAGAAGAAAAACAAGGCACGAGTAAATTAGTGTCTACCTCGCAATTCAAGTGTAAAAAATTAAAAATGACGTGACAATAAATTTTTCTGGAGAAAAACATAATAGAAGTTAATTTTTTTATTCTTGTTATTATTATCATGAAATAGAAAAAAGAAAAAATAAAAAATAAAATTAAATCATTCAAAGGCTTTTTCAAGTTCTAATGTATTACAATTCAATAAAAAGTCTAGGAAAAAAGAAAAAAATAAGGCAGCATGGTGATGCCGATTGCAATTGGTAATAATTTGGTAGAAGGGGGAGAATATGTTCACCAGTTTCTAGGATTGCAGAAGTTAAGTAAAGTATTTTTTCTCGAGGATTGGGATTGCTAAAATTAAAAAAAAACAAAAAATATGTACACGTGCGTGGAAAAAATTTAGAAGAAAAGACACATTAAAACAGGGAAAAGTGAAAATGCGGAAAAATAAAAGCTATAGGATTTTGCAAGAAAATTATGAAAAACCACCTGAATATTATTAGGCTAGACATTAAAAACTAGAAAATTTTGTATGTGAAAAATAAAAATTAGCACATTTGACGATTCATCTGATTTTGGAAAATGCTCAACAAATTTCTCATCGCCGGGTTTTGCAAAATATTTGGCATCATGGGTGGTCCCACAACTGGCGGTGGAACTGGAATTGGGTTTGGTAAAACCATTGGAGGGAATGTGATTTTGCGGAACATCTCGATTTGGTGTTGAAGATCACGAATTTGTTTTTCATAGTTTTTACATTTTTCTTCAGCAGCAGAAAGTTTTCCTTTTGCAACCTGCAAACAATCAAATTTGATTATGTACATATATATTTTTAGAACATGAAAAACATACTTGACAATCAAAACATTTTGCAGATTCACCGCTATGACTTGATGATCCAGAAATGTGTGAATCAGAAACTGTTGGAGATGGTTGATCGTGAGAAATATGATGATGATGGTGATGCTCTTCTTTTTCAATTATTGTCATTTTCAAAGGTGGTTCGATCTGAAAATGGGAATTTTAGTTTTAAAATTTTCAATAAGGTATAGGTAACTCACCTCTTCGTCACCTTCAACATCAACATCAACGTTATCATCATAACTGAATTTTCGTTTCTTCTCATTTTCATTTTTCACAATAACACTTCTTGGACTAACAATCAAATCATTACTCATATCTTCTTCAGTTGTACGAACTTCTAATTCATCATATTCACTCATATCTTCAACTTTTATTTTTTCCTCTTCTGGTTTCTTCAAAAATCCAAGATTCGCAGTGTTCAATGGATTATTAGCTAACCAAGCAGTCAAAAATTGATTTGGCCCAACAGAAAGATCCAATGGAAATGGGGCTTTCGAAGGTGACGACGTTGATTCACCTCCAGGTTTCACAAGATTAGGGAAGATTGAACTCATATGATTGTTATTGTGCAGATGTTGTTGATGATGAATTATTTGTTTTTTGAGTGAAATTGGAGATCTAATCGGTGAATCATCTCCTTCAGAAGAACTTCTTGCAAGAACTGCAACATCTCCTGGTGATCCATTTCGAAGCATTGATTGCATATGAATATGGAGACTTGTTTTATCTGGGAATGCCCAATTACAACAACGACACATGAACATTCGAGAAATATTGTGAAGCCGGAACATATGACTTCGAAGAGTATCGTTGCCTGAAAAACAAATTGTTGAAGATTCTAACACCTCCCCTTTTGACCTTTTTCTTGTATGTATTTAGAAAAAAAGTGAAATGTTGCGGAAAATATGCAAATGCACATACAAAAGCTAATAAAATAAACGAATTCATTATACGGTGTTATATTGGATGTATTTACTGCCATTGAGCTACCCGCCAATCCATCAAGTGCACGCCATTTAAAGGCATTTCGACAAATTGACTAATGTTTCTTTGTTTCCACACTAATTTGCATGTGCCAACAGAAAGAAGGAGAAAACCTAATAAAAACACCGCCAAAAACGGTTTCTCGTTATATAAACGATCATAAAAATTAATACCGACCCAACATGATCCGATCCGCTTAGGCTTGTTGCGCAATTCGAGATCGGTTTTAGGGTTTAATATATTTTATCTCTCTGTCTATGTTGTTTTACCTGTTTCAAAAAAAAAACCAAAAAAATCTACCACACAATTAGCTGTATGACCTTGTAGGTATGGTCCAACCATTAAGTAATATACCTTGCGGAAGCCGCCTCAATTAGGAACATATATGGATGGACAAACAGTAAAACATATAAGATGGAAGAAAAGGGTGTGGCGTAACGTAATGTCTTTCAGAAGGTGCTAATAACAAGACTTTTTTAATGGTATTGTTGACAAGGTCATTTTAGAAAAAAATTAACCTGGAATTTATTTATTTATTTTCAAACATTGTTGCTTATTCACCGACTAAAATGTCTTTTTTCTTAACAGTAAAAAAAAACACATTTTGAATTCAAATGACTCAGCTAAGAAGAACTTATGAAAAATGTATGATTAAAAAATTCGCGAACAAAAAGAAGCGAGCGGTTATGTTACTTTTGTTGTCATCATTCCTTTTGTTGTTTGATAGAATATTCATTTTGAAGAATATAGAAACTCACTTGAAATTTCCTGATTGCACTGTGTACATGTATAACTTTTGAAATGTGCCTGCATCCGATGTCGACTTAACGATGAGCTGTGGCAGAAGATCTTTCCACAAACTGAACATGGGAAGGAACCTTTCAAATCAGGACGTTTCAATTCAGCACGGTACGGCATCTGTAAAATATTTAGAATGAAAATATGGAGTCGGTCACACAAATGAGAAAAAAGAAAATAAAAAGCAAATCAAAGGATCATAGAATACACTTGAAAAACAGAGGCTCATCGAAGGTGACACATTCTATTTACACAAAACCACCAGCAAAATAAATCTAACAATAAGTAAGTATACATTTATAATAATAAGAATATACTAATAATGACCAATAAGAGCATGAGCATACATACTGTCAATAAGCTGCGAGAAAATGTGGGCGGGGTCAAAGGGTGGAAGGTTAGGAGTACGGTAGCTCAAGTGTGCTCGAAGGTGCGAATATGCGGAAGTTTTTTCGGTTAAGCGAAAGGTGTCAAGGTGGTACGATTCAAGAGGTTTTGATGAGAATAGAGGAGCAAAGTTGGATGGAGGGTAAGGTGGTTGAAAAAGTTTTTTGGCTTGTGATGTGGTATTCTTTCATGGGCTCGCTGGTTAAAAATTAATGGCTTCTGGAATTCATGAATTCAGTTCAGGTAATAGTAATTTTGAACTATTTCAAAAGAATATCCTCTGATATCTGAGAAAAGTACTCGACAAGCGAAACTCTTGAAAAGTTCTATTCAAGAAGCTCCTCAAAAATATCAGATTTTCATGAACTTCAATTCAATGCACTAAAAATGCCCCTTTAAAACTTTGAACAGTTCAAATACAGTAATCCCACATTCAAAAAACCAGACAAAATGACTATGGCAACAAAAAAAATAAAATGAAAACAAGCCTATAAAAAATCGTCAACCCTGTAATTTATATCTCTTCTACAGTAATCTTGAAAACAACTGACTTACTATTAGTGAGTGAGAAAATATGTAAATACAAATAAAAAGTATCAAACGAGACAGTCACCAACCACCCGAAGAAAATGGCAACATTAACTTAGCCAGCTACTGAGGCGAGCATGTTCCCTTCTCCTCCCATTTTCCTTCTTCTTGTTGCCGATACCCGGCGGGTGCCCAACAAAATGGGCGGAGTTTTGTGGAAACTGTCGAGAATAATAATATTAATAAGAAAATAGAGGAGACACAGAGAAGAATTCATATTTGGTAATAATAGCAACTTTTTTTTGTGTGTATGGTTGGTTGAATTAACTGTTGAGTGTCTGTGTGCTTCGAGAGACGCAAAAATGGAAATAGGGTTTCGAAATTGGAGAGATTCGAGACTGTAAAGTAGCTGCGATTATTTTTTTGGCTGTGGGCGCGCGCGATGGCAAAGTGCACAGCATTATTTTATTTTTTTATTTCGAGCGCGATCATTTATGAAAAAAAAGTTGGGAATACCAAAAATAGTTGAAAACAGTACAGACAAGAATAAAATGATTCGTTCTAGAAAAAATAAAGAGACCAGAGCGATGTAAACATCTAGCAGGTGTTTGTCAGATGAAAATGTCTTTCTTGTTGTTTTCATCAACAAAAAAATAAAATAACAAAATTTTTCGCGCATCCTAAAATATTTTTGAATGTATTTGTTGGGTATTTTTTCGAACAGGTGTTTGTAAACACAAACCTCACACAGCTTATTTTTAAGATACATAAATCCATGGCACGAAGGGATTTAATTAATGCGCGAAAACATTGTGTATTTGTTTTAGGGTGTTATTAATAATGAAAATATTAATAAGACTACTTGTAACTTATACAAATATTATTGTTTGGGTTTGGTTTTACTGTATGGATTTGGACCACTCATGTTTGCAAGGGTTCTGAGTTTGAAGAAATAATATATTTGAATTTGAAATGGAGAAATTATGAAAATAAAAAACAAGAAAATGAAAATCTATAAAATGAGTAATCTTTTCGAAAAATTTTTTACACGGAGTATACCTTTTCAAAATTTTATCTGGTAGATAAAAAACATTTTAATCTAAATCTCATAGGGTTTGAAAAAAAATGAATCATCAATTAGCAGAGCGCAGATCAACAGAAAAACCTAATGACGAGAAAAAATCAAACTAGATTTTAAAATTCTTTATTTAGCAACTAACTGACACCGCTATCTATAAATCAATACATTTTAAAATCTCAGCTGACTAAAAAGTCACAAGATACCTAATATATACAGTAATTCTTTTCGAAAAAAATTTCATTTTTTTCCGGAGAGATATTTATTTTGACGCTCTTCTTCCCCGAACACCGAATCAAATAAGCAACCAGAAAAATAAGAATCTGGAGAAAAATGAAAAAAAAAACAAGATGGAAACGTTTTTGTTTCAACCAAAAAGGCTGGCCGACGACGACGACTCTTAACCTCGTGGCGGCGGTGGCTTCGGGGGCACAGTGAGAAGAAAACTGGTTTTGTAAAATTGAACATCGATTTAGTTAGGCGCCGTGTATGTATGTATGTATGTATGTGTGTATGTTGCGCAATGCTATTCGATTTCGCTCGCTTGACAGAAGAGGCAAGGCGTTTCCAACAGAATCACGCGGCGCGCTCTCTCTCGACCTCATCTCACTTTACCTCACCTCAAAATATTATTATTTTTTTATTATGTTTTTTTTTGTTATATTGAAAAATATAATGGCGATAATCAGGGCCGGTTTCTGTCTCTTTTTTTCTCGATTCGCATCGATGAGTTCAACTCGACAAAAAAATTCAATTTTTGGCTAGTTGACCTTGATATATGTATATATACCTTCAGTCATTCATTCTGGATTGAGGGTGCTGGTATCTCCGTAAAAGGATATATACAAATATGAATGATTATGCAAAAATAGTAAAAGATGATATTCTTGGACACTGTGTCAGAGAAGGTCATGACGAGTTCAGATGGGTAAATGAGATACATTTTTGGGCTATTACAATTATTTTTAGGAGAGACAAGGAAAAAAAGATGGTATCATTTTAGCGGAGAAAGAAGACGGGAAAAAGATAAAGAAAAATATGGCATACGGATACTTTTGACACGAGATCGGGGTCTAGGCTGATTTATTTAACAAGGTTACTTTACATGGAGCTGTGTATAATCAAGATGAGGACTGTGGAAAAAATTGGGGAATTGATAAATAAAATAGTAGAGAAAAAACTGTTTGAAAAAGTTTTAGGCTTAACGTTTTTCGAATTATAAAATTGTGTGGGAGTCCTGAAATAATATACCGCCAGAATTCAGAAGGATTCAGAATCAATGAACTTCACAATTTCAGATAGTGGAATAATGAGCTGCAGGACAACATCATCAGAAAAATGTATTTTGAGAAAAATTCCATGATCTCATGATCTTACTGTTCAAATCTTCCCTTCGACTTAAACTCAAAATTCTGTACTGAAATGGAATTTGGAGCATCTCAAGCTTTTCAAATCCTATTAACAATCATTCAATAAAAATACAGTAAAGCGGCTTTTGCGAAAAACACAGCAGAGAATCTCAAAAGCTCAATATTCTTCAAAATTTCCGGCTCCTGAAAGCTTTTATCTTCATCATATCAATGCTGTTTAACACAAAACAAAAAGAATTTTTCTGTTTGAAAATTCAAATAAAAAACAAAAGATTTCGTTTCCATCCTATTTCACAACATTGTCAACTTCAAAAAAGGTCGGGGAAAAAGTTGTTAAAAAGCCAAAGGCAAGAAAAAACTAATAGAAAAAAGTGGTTTTTTGGAAAAAGGACAGTATTACGTAACGAGAGAGAAAATCTTGCAATGCTTACTCGTTTTTTAGGTCAAAACCCTTTGGCCAAGCTAATCGTTTTAATCGTTGGCTGAAGAGAAAAAGATGAAGAAAAAAAAGAAAAAGAAGAAAACCGTCTTGACATACTATTTTTCTTTTTTCCGTTTTTTAATTGAACTTTGTTTGATTAATTATTTTCAATATTAAAAAATCTTTTCTTCATTTATATTGAGTTATCTTTTTTCAATAACTCTCTTTTGAATAACCAATTAATGAAATTGTAAACATTGATTATCTTCAAACAGAATTTGCCGATTTATTTTATTTCCAATATAAAAGAGAACTGACAACTAACTACAGTAATCCTCGGCGAGAAAAAATGAGAGAGAACGACGAGAAAAATTGTTGCGCAATTAGCCGCACCCGGTTGGTTCGGCGGGGTTGAATGTGTCCTTCCTTCGATCAGCTGGGGGGATATTTGTGTATCTGTCGATGTCGGCAGATAATATCAAAAGTAGTCACAAAAATCAACGAACGCTCGTTATCTTCTTTCTTTTCTCTTGGTTTACCTGGCTGTATAATTTTTCCGAGAAAAGAAATCCTGGATTCCGTTGGCAAAATCAGGGGTTGATCTGGAAATTTTTTGTGTTTTATATATTCTAGCAAATAAAAATTTTTTAGACAAGCATTTTCCAAATTATTGAAAAAAGAGAGTTTCGACATTTTTTATTTTTCAAAGTTCCGATGTTTGTACTTCACTCTCAATAAAATAACACATCTTGCCACAGATGTCCAAAAACTGCAGCTGTAAGTTTTTCAAATTTTTTTAATGTGAACTCACACCTGCACAAATTGTCTCCAAAAATACTTTTTTTGAAAAATTATTATAGGGTGGAGATTTTCTATCAAAATCCACTGAAAATCAATCAAAGCTACACCATTTCGTGAAAAATATCCAGAATGGATTCGAGAAATTGTGATTCTTTTGTCTAGGACCTTATAAAATCTCTATATATTCCAAAAAGTGACAATTCCTAGGACTTCAGGCTTTCCATCACAATTAAGAACTTTTTGATGTGACAGAAAAGTAACAATCTGACATGTTTTCCCACACTTTCAGGTTTTTTCAACTGTGTACTGTACTTTCATGAACTTTGAACATTACTTCCAAGTCAAGCATCAAAACTAGAGTGCTATGCATTTGTCCAAGCTTCCTTTTTAAAGCACAAACTACCCTGTGTTGTTTTTCTCGACTCACAATCCAATTTCAAGGAACACTCTTTAAACATCAAAAAACAATCAACTTATTCAATCAGATGACGATATTTTTTTTTATTTCGAAACCGGATTTCACATTTTCCTTCCTTTTTCCTTTATTTTCCCTAAAAAGTACAATTTCCTTATATATATATTCTACCTAAAACAAGTAAGCAATGTATTGAATGCCTAGAAAAAAAATGAAGAGAGTCAAATTCTGGATGTTCAAACAAAATTAGCCGACATACAAAAAAAGACTACTACTATTGTTATAATTAGTCGTAGAGTGTCATATAGATATAATAACAGCACAAGAATATATACAAACACATGACCTACAGTATACCTACACTTAAGATATGTCGGTGAGCCTTCTCACTAATGGTATTCTATTGTATTTGACTTCCTTTCCTTATTTCCTGGCTGACTGGCTGGTTACCTTTTTCTTGGATGGTCCTGAAAAAGGTCATATGTTTGAAGAAAATACAAAAAATATATAGAAGAAGGGGATTGAGATTGAGCTTCGTGGTTTGTAATTAAAAGATCATTAAAAAGAACTTATATTAATTATGATTTCTTGAGTTCGCTTCATTTAACATTGAACAAAAGGTAATCGAGGTCAACTTTTTTTGGACGAAAAATTAAATCATGGTGGTCCAATGAATTGAAAATTGTGAAGAAAAATTGCCTACGTGTATGATGAAACATTAGAACAGAATATATCATAAGTGAACTTATGTTTATCAAACATTAATTGTTTGAAGTTAGTTAAACTTCACATCGGCTAAAGATCGCAGTTAAGTTTGTCTGATACCGTATGTGAGAATTTTAACGTGTGAATTTTTGTGTTATCAGAAGAAAGTGATGGTATTATTTTGTGCTTCATTTTAATATTCTTGCGATGATGAACTCCAGAACAAAGTCATGAAGAATATAGAAGCATTTCTGTCAAAAAATGGGGCATGCCAAAGGTGTGAAGTTTTTTGCAGAGGAAAAGCACACCATAAAACTTTGCTTCCAATCCCCTCTGATAACATAAAATAACACTCCTAGCTTTTTTCTTGTTTTTTTCAAGACACGGTAATTATTTTCCCAAAAAAAACGAAGTTCACATGACCTTCTTCCTACCAGCTAAGACGTTATTGACCAGATGAACGAGAAAATGTGTGAGTATTTGTTGTATTGTCATAATTCAAGGCTGCACACTAATTAAACGATTATTAATAAACCTGGTTACTCATTTTAACTTATGGGACCACCCAGGGAGCGTGAGAATTTTATCCAGGAGGAAAATGCATATGTAGTAAAACAAACGCGCGAAAAAAACAAATTTGTGAGGGTTGGATGAAAAAGTATACATATATTTATTAGTCATGGATGTTTTTGCATGTTTCATGTTTGTACAAATAACAAAGTTTTCGTGGTTTTATATCAGTTTTCAAGAAAAGCAATTGCCAAATGTTACGAATTTTGATATATAGTATTTTTGTTACTAGAATTGTAGATTGTATCAATTGTTTTGAATGCACTTCATCACAAGGTGTTGAATGCAAATATTCAGCAGCTTCTTGTCAATATGGTTTATTTGGATGTGTTAAAATTGCAGTTATGTCAGGAGGTGTCGATAAAAGTGAGTTGTGAAATATTTATGAAATGATATTGAGAAAAAATAATGTTTTTAACTAATCATGTTGATTATAAAAAATTAATACTAAAAAATGTTACGAAATTTCAAAAAAAAAATTGGGAAAACTTTGATAGTTGTTAGTTATTCTGTTTTTTTGGAGTTCCAGAAATCAACTTTCTTTTGAGAGTTTCTGATATCCCAATTAGTCTTCAAGAAAATTGGAAGCGTTTTGGGTTTTTAGTAGCACATTTAGACTATTTTTTAAATTCCAACAAATCCCAGTTTCTCAAGCTTTGTATCTTTGTACTTTCATGATGTAGCAATAAATCAGAACATGTTTACCAAGTCTATAAATCCTTGCAAAGTTTCAAACATGTTCTCTTTCTCAGAAACAACCATAGGATTAGAAGTTTTTGGTAACACATTTCAATAATCCCTGCTCTTTTGTCTCAAACAAACATTCGCCGATTTTCTCCATGATATCATTTTATTTATTTATTCACCAATTATATTTGTTCTAACCCAATTCACAGTACTTTCACACAATGATTTTTTTTGAGAAAGGAAAAAAACCTAAAATTATATTGGCGGCTTGAAAACTAATAATAATATGTTTGTGAACGAAAATGTATTACAATTGTTGTCAGGCAACCATTTTTCAGCAGAACAGACAGGGCTGAATGAATTTCTGACGAAAAAGTACAGAAGAATCCGGAGAATCGTATATTCCTGATAAAAAATTACTATTTTCAGAACTAGTAAATAACGCAAATTCCAAAAATAATTATTTTTCCCAAAAGGTGCCTGATGAGGTAATTGTGCCAATTTCTTTGGAAAAAGCAAATCGCACAAATCTGATTTTCACAAATTAGGTTCAACCTTTTCAAAAGAAGAATCAAACAGCAAAAAATTTCCAGTCTGATGAAACATAATCCGATAACTAACATGATTATATTGAAAGAGCACGTTTATTCCCTAGAATCGTTCAATTTTCAAATGTTTGTTTCCTACGTAGATATATACTTCAAAAAGAGTCTGTTTCCTGCAAGAAATAATCACATCATAATCGAACTCCAAAGACCAATAAAGTCTACGTTCTAGTTTCAATTTTATTCCGAAGAAAATTCATTTGGAATTCCATTTTTTTTTCGTTTCATGTTGGTCGGAATCGGTAGTCTCATAAAGTTTTTTAATTAGTTTGATGAAAAATGCGGGGTTGGTTTATGTAAATATTTATTCGGAAACATTTGCAAAAATGTTCGTTATTGGGATAAAACTTGGGTGGTCTTGGGTCTTGGGTCACGGACGTTTTTATCCAGGAAGTGAATGGGATAAGAGACAGGAATTAGCTAACAATATAGGTAGAACTCAAGAATATTATCTGAAAATACGGATTTTTCACCCCATGTTTCGGATACTGAACGAATTCACAAACAGGAGAATTTTGAGAACCTTTCTGAAAATATATTTATAATTTTTTTGGATAATTTATTTTCAGAACCTGAACATTCAAAAAAGGTTTGAAGATGTTCAAAGTCTTTCCACAAGTTTCTTGAATTTTCAAATTTTCTCAACCATAGAAAAAACTATACGAAATATTGTTCATTTAAATTCCAAAAAAAATTTGAATAGTGTTCCAAAGAACATTGCTTCCAGAAAAACAATCCAACAATAGTAATTCCCCAATTTTCTACATCACCCTTATATCAAAAACAATAAAGCTCGTTATAAATGTCTTGTCTAGAAAAACCGTTTGTGATTCGAACCAAGATCATATTTTTCACCTAGGGGGTCTTTTTGGATAAAAAGTTTCATAACATTTTTTTCCGTTGATAGCGGGTTTCTAACTTTAAGTTTATAACTTTTGGTTAGCAGCAAACCACAAACATAAATCTGAAATATTCTATAATTAAATATCACATCATAATTTACAGATGACTAGACTTTACTTTTGGAACAAAAACCTTGAAAATACTTCCGTTTTCCCCAAATGTTCTAAACAAAAAAGCTCTGTTTTCAGTGGGCATGTTTTACGAACAAGATCGAAGTATCATTTCAATGATGCGAGGATGTGCTCTTATCCCATTTGGAGGTTAGTAAAATTTCATAAATATTCATAAGAGTTTCATTCATGTTTTTTGTAATCTTTTTTCTGCAACCTTCAAACTTCAATGTTTTTTTCAGGCGTCGACATGTGCGAGCAGACATCATTATTCGGAACAAGAGTTCTCAAGTGTACTTGTTTCAATGATTATTGTAACTTTGTGAACTCTTCCAAGCTTTGTATCTTGTTATTTTTGTTACCAATTTGGTTGTTTATCTGGAACTTTTGAGAGAAAAATGAGAAAAAAACACAATTTCAACAAATGTTTGACATTTCATGTGCAAATCACTAAAAAACATAAATTATTGAATTGAATTTTTGAAATTCCATTGCATCATATGCCATCGTGTCCCCAAACTACCATCCGTATTCGTTGGTTGGGATCCAGTATTGTTCGCTGAATAGTTTCTTTCCTCTTGGTTCACTGGGTGGTGCCAATGATCGGAAGACCTCCTGGAAAGTTAAGGTTTATCTTGGGGTTTCCTCGAGAGAAAAACCAACCTGGATTCTGGTCATCGCATGTTGTGGTCTTGATTCAGCAAAGTAGGCCATTTGGCAGACGAGAACGACAAGAATTGTGAGAATGAGAATTTGATTCATTTTTGTTTTGTTTTCCGAGTGTGAGAAGGCTGAAAGGAACAATTTGTTGAAATGAGTGTAAATGACAAAAAAGAAAAGATGAACTTCAAGACTGATGACGTATTTTTTTATTTGCTTAAACTGCAGCAAGATTTCTATATATATATAACATAAATATGAAAAATATGCTCCTCAAGACATCAAGAGGGGAAGAAATATATGTATACCCCTCGAAATATATATATATATATATATATATTTCGAGGGGAACATTTCGAAAAAAAAAACAACAAGTTCAAAGCCTGCCTTAAACAACTCTAGAAAATATGACAATTTTATAGGCGCTTTTTTGGAGGCGGGGATTTGTGGGGCGGCGCTTCTGATGGAATGCCTGCTCTGAAACACCACACCTCCTGACTGAATCTGAATCTTTTTTTTTTCTATTTGAATGAATGGGGAAAAAGAACACGAGGATGAGGAAAAAATGGTCGTATGATGAGAGAAGATCATTAGAATTTATTGAACGGGGGCACGGCAAAAACTTGGTGGTCCTCTTTGCATTTTTTTCGAACGCGCGCACTAATGGAAGTGAATGGAAGAAAAAAACTAAAATAGAATGGGAACTTGGAATATCTTATTTGTTTGAGAAACTTGGAACTAGGTACTAGGAACTAAAGATGTGAGGAGAATAAAAATAGATTTAAAAAAGAATACATTTTGATATTGGTTGGATTCAAAATGTATAGTTTGTCATAATATTTTGATCCTTAAAAGAAATTGAAAGTCTTCATCAAAATCTCTCCCAGAAATAAATTTTCAATGAATTTAATTTTGAAAAAATGAAGGAAAAATCATAATAACAAATTTGCGTTCTTTAAATATTCAGCTGTTACAGAAAGAACAAATGCCAATCTTGGAATTTCTAAGAACTCTCTTCTGATCACTGCATTCCGTTCTTCTTGACAGAACATTTGGAAAAAACATAAGTTTGAACTTTTGACTTTCCCTCTTCCTAAAATGTGTTTTGCCACCCAAGTTTTGTTAGAAATTCAATACACGACCTTTACCAGAACAAAAAAAATCCAATAAAACTTTGGAAAGCAGCCAAAAAACAATAAAACTTTAAATTTGGGTGGGTGGTTTGTTTCAGAACATTTATTTATGTCAATCAAAAAAGAGTCAAACTCTCGCACCAGAACATATGCGTCATTTTTATTTCTGCACCCTCAAACCAAATTGTGCAATTTGTTGTAGGGAACAACAATGAAGTTACTCTTTATTTTTTCGTCTTTGCAAAAAGTCCAAATTGTGGTCCGAGCGAATTCGTCAACAGCATATCATATTTCCTGCTTGTACTGTAGCGCTCAAAAAAATCTCATCAAAATTCAATGAAAATTCGTGTTGTCATGACTGATCGAAAATTTATTCATGAAAAATTCCAAAAATATCTCATTTTTTTACTGCTGAAAAAAAGTGGAAGATCAGGCTGGAAAAGGTTAAAGAGAACATTTTTATAAACACATCATTCTGCTAAACTTTGGCTTATGATTTTTTATTCTGAATAGATTAAAATTAGACCACACATTCGTTTTGAACACGTGATATTTCTTGATGAGTTCATTCAATCTCATTTCCATAGCTTTGAATAATAAAAACATTCATCTACATCAAATGACGAGAGGATACTGTAGTTCGCAGCTGAGTTAATAATGTGCAGTCAACCGAATTTTAGTTCTCTTTTTTGGAAGGTGATGTAAGTAACTCAACAAAAATAATAATAAAAAAGAATAATAATAATACAAATAAGATTTTTCTCTAGAATAACAACAATTCAACCAAAAGTATGTAGACTAGAATTAAGTTAACCACAAAATAATTATTGTTTTTCGATATCGATAAAGTACTTTCAAATAATTGGAACCTTTTTGTGCAAAATAAAAATATTTATAAATATAAAGAATGTGAATTATTCAATTTTTTATGTGGGCGACCAACACCTGAGTGCTTTATATTAACTTCAACAAACCAATAAATAACCATCTCGAAAAGGGCGATTTTTTTCCGGATGCTTCTTTCTGGAACCTACAAGTTTATTTTTAGAGGTAATACAATACAATAGGAAGTTGTTTAGATTTATGTGAATTTCCTTGAATTTATGTGCTCTTGACAAAAAGTATGAATTATGGTAGGAAGTATTTTTGGAAGGTCTGGAGCTTTTTTATGTGTATTTTGTATGTGCATGCGTCAATGAAGAAAAGTTCTTGGAACATATTTTCCACGTGGATGATCCTATAGAAAAATCCAAAAAAAGAACGGCTACGTGACTAGAAGAAATTGGTAGTTTCCGATATGGGAGGTCGCAGAACACTAGATTATTGCAGCTTGGTTGGTTGGTTGGAAGTTTTGGTTTTGTATTTGAATGCTATGGGATCTTGAAAACCTGAAATGGGTAGTCTAAAAATTTTCAAATTGTAAAGGCGGTCGGAAAGAGATTGCGGTTAACCGAGACCACCCACGAAGTTTCTGAATAAAGGCCGATGGACTTGGGGGGAAATTTTTTGATGTTTCCCCCAAAAACTCGATTTTTGAACCTTATTCTGCTCGAACTATTTATTTTTGCAATTTCTATGTGTTATCAGCACATTTTTCAACGTCAAACACGTTCATCAGAAGTCCACATGACAAAATAATAGTTTTATTGTATTGGTTCGCCTCAAATATTTTCTGATAAAAAAATGAAACGAAAAACTTTTTACTGATAAAATCGAACAACCCGCATTATTTTATGCTACAGCTTTTTTGACGAATAGTTTTGTTACTGTAGGGGAAAAAAAAGTTATCACAATGATTTGATTAGATACATATGTGTAGAAGTACAGGTTATTATATATATATATTTGAAATAAAATGTTAGAAATGTGGATTGACGTAGTTTGGCGGGGGAATGTTGAGATCTTGATATGCTCCGTGCATTTGAGGATATCTGAAACAATATATGTATAAATAGTTCTTTAATTATTTTCAGATCTATGAAATACTCACGGCATATATTCAGGATTGTGATTCATCCACGGAAGATTATGTGGTTGTTGTGAATGCGATTGAATGTCATTTTCCATCATTGGTGGTCTAAAATAACACTTCCTGTTTTCGAAATTATTGTGCTCTGGAGTTTACACTTTTGAAAACACATTTAAGAATTTCCAGACAGGTGAACTTAAATGTTTTGAGCTGGATATTTGCTTAGTGATTCTGATACTTTTTGCTACGACACACACAAAACAGGTGAAATTGTGATTTTGAGAGCAAAATAAAAAAGTCAAGGGGACAATCTTCGGAAAATAAAAACTTACATATTATCCAAGGGAGAAACACTGGTTGATGGAATCATTGTTGGATCTTCCTGGTGATGCGGTAGATCAACACACGGCGGACATTGAAGTGAATCATCTTCGTGGCTCATTGATGGGTTGACATGTGGACGGATGTGATGATTGTATCCACTTTCAGCCAAAATGAGTTCTTCCATAAGCATATCAATTCTTGCTGCTCCACACATTTTTGTGAACATGATATCTTCAGAAATTGTTTGTGACAAAACAGATAATGGAGAGAGGATGAAAAATGTTAAATCTCCCAATCTTGTTGTTTCAGTAGGCTTGTTTTTGCGGATATATTGTTCCAATGCGCTGAACACTTTACGACGAGTTTCCAGAATTTTTTGACATGCTAATTTGGATAAACCACGTGCTACTGGATTGAATAAGATGCAGGCTTTGAGAGCAACAAATTCAGTGTCATCCATGTTCAGAAATCTCATTGGAGCAACGAGTTGATCCATAACTTTTTCACAATCACGGAGGTAAAATCCATCGACTGTTCTGAAAAAAAGTGAGATATAATCAGAATCAACTGTAGTTTTTTATTTGAAAAATGTTGTAAGAAATAATTTCCGCACTATTTTTTTGTAAGATCACAACAATTTGGAACACGTTTTCTCTCAAGAAATATAAATAGATTCATAAAAATAAGGAAACATGTTTTTTTTTCAGTTTCATCAATATTTTATAGACCTCGAAACAGGAAAAAGGTCCCAATTTTCAATTAAAATCACAATTTTCTTCGCCTACAAGTGATGTCAATCTGTACGAAATTTCTGACATGTGTCTATATTTCACACGTCAATCTTATGCTTGCATAAATAACACACCAAAAATGAAAAGACCAAGGGACCACCATGACATTTTTCAAAAATGAACAGAAGGAAAAAAACAAAACGAAAACCTACTCTTTTCCATTTTTACTTTTTGACGCTCTTGGAATACAGCGATCATTGAGCAATTTGAGAACATCATTCGATTCGCGAGAACGATAAGCGACACAAAGTGTAACATGTTGACCAGCAAAGTTTTTCAGTAGAATTGTTTGATCTTCCGATGAGAGTTGAGTGAATTCTGGCAAGGTTTTGGCCCATTCAATGACAAGTAGCAATTGACTATGCATCGATTTCAAAACATCATTCAAAGAAGCTGTATCTGTATTATTTGCATCATCTGAACTTTGACTATCTTTTGTTGTATATTCAACATTTCCAATTTGTTTGATCACTGTATCTCTGAGACTATGAATTGTTGATTCTGAACGAAGAAGACAGTTGAGAAGATATTCGTGTTCATTCCAGTTAGGTTTGTTCAATTCCGGAGACGTTCGCGGAGATTTATCATCCCAGGATTTGTTGTTCTCCCCTTTCACACGTTTTCCAATAACATCTCTTTCCATTTGAACTTGGTCATCTCTCATTCCAGAACGAATGCATTTCATATAGCGACAGTATCGACAAACAGCTCTGTTATCTGGAAAAATATGGATTTGATTGAAAATTAGGGGAATGGTGGGTAGGAGTTAAGAAAAGGTAAAAATCGAAATTCAAATTTGACGGATGTTCGATGAGGATTCTGCGGTCATACTATACTGACCATCTATTTTCAAAATAATTTTTCACGTGACCAATATTTTAACAAAACATAATAATTTTAAGGAACTTGGGTAAAAATGGGAGTTTTTGTCGGCCAGATTGCAATTTTGAAAAAAAAAAACCAAATTTTATTTTGTTGTGGGACAGATTACAATTTTGAAAACATAACCAAATTGGTTTTTTTAGCTATAATCAGCGCAGTTATAGTCAACTGTGGTTCAAATTTACTTTGAAATATGTTTTGAATTAATTGGAACTTCAGTTTTCCAGCAATGTAATCTCCTATCTACAAAAATGTTTGCTTACAAAACTTCTCATCTCAGAATCAAATTACACAAATCTGCTCGAATTTCCCAAATTTCCTGTTCACTTTTTTAAAAAACTCTTACGTTTATCAATCTTGCACTTTGAATCAAATCGACATTTATATTCATAAGCTCGTCGAACAGTTCGTCTAAAAAACCCTTTACATCCATTACAAGCAATTGCTCCATAATGACGACCAGTTGCTGTGTCAGTACAAATATGGCAGAGTACTGTATCTTTTTCTGGAATGTGATTGGTTTTCTCACAAATTAAAGAAAATTGTGGGAAATTCTAAAAAAAAAACTAACCTTCGTAGAAATCTGAATCGGGATCAGTTTTCAATTGAAGAGACATTCCGGTTTCCTGCAAATATGAAAAATTTTGTATAAATAAAAATATTTTGATACATATAATAAATAAATGCAAATATTCGAACTCAATCTATCCACGATTATTTATTAAAAATAAAGAGTGCAAAAAATCAGTCGGTTAGGTAAACAAATGAAAAAGAAAAGAGAAACAGTGTATTGATTCGATTCAAAATGATAAGAAGCAGAGATTGATTGTTTGATAAATACTAATCAAAAAGAAATAATATTTTTGGTTTGATGTTGGGTCGAAATGAGTTTTTTTTTATCTGCACTAAAGTGGCATGATGATTAGAGCAACAAACCAAATTTTTTGAGACTATTTTTTTCGATTTTTGACAAGAAAAAGTTGAGAGAAAATAAGAAAGAGAAAGATGAACACGCTGTTTTACACTTATCGCAACCTTGGACACTCACATGTGCTACATTGTAGGGTTCAGAATGTAACAATGCTGATTTCTGGTATACTAAAAATTTCTAGGCAGAATACATATTTTGCATTGAGAAACTTCAATAGTTCTGAATACATATTTCTCTAACATTTAAAAATTTTGTTTCTGGTAGATCAATTTTTCAATTGTTTGTTGATTTCGCTGATTTCAGTCCAAAAAATTATAATTTCATACGCTCAGGACTATACTAAATTGAAATATAAAAGCTATTTTTATAAAAGCTGTCCAGAAAAAAAATTCAAAAATAAACCCTCCAAAAACTAAAGATCTGCAAATAAACCTTATCAGCTGTTTTCCCCCATTCTCTATCCGGTTAAAAATCAAAGCCAGCTTTTTTCTGATAAGAACTAGCGAGTAGATATCAGTTGCCATGACTTTTTTCAAAGAAAAAAAAAGAAAAAAAACCAAAAAAAAAAATTTGTGCATTGAAATTCGATAATTCACGTTCGCAAATCTTCTCGAAATTCAATCTCTGTAATTTTTTTCATTTTAAAAAGGCAAAAAATCTGCAGAATGAATAGAAAACTAAAAAAAAATATTGGAGAAGATTACGGGTGGCCTTCATCCTTCAGATATGATTTTTTAACAGAACAGAAGAAAGATTTTTGTACAATAAATGACTGGAGAAAAAATGATGGAATAGTGTTCTGCAAGACAAAAAAAACAAGTAGGAGAAAAAATAAATGCTGATCGATATTGGACCAAAAGATAACGAGAAAAAGAACAACAGAAAAAGAAAAAAGGTATAAATTGTGGGAAATTCGCCGGCTTGTCAAATAATTGTTTCATTTGAATAAGTTTTTTTGCAGCGAATTTGAACATTTTTGATATAAATAGAACGAGGGAAACAGAGATCATTCGGCTCTAATAAAACAAACTAATCAACAAATTGTTCGCAAATGTTAATTTTTCGTGAGAATTCAAAAGATATTTGTTTGTAAATAATTTTTAAAATTGTTATTTTCAAAAACAAATGATATGGGTGGTATATTATTATTGATCAAGTGCCACAACATTTATTTTGTCTTCGAAAAAAAATAAGCTCTTTTACAAAAGTGATAGCAGTGTTTCGATGAAAAACTAATCAGATCTAAAAAAATTTGGGCAGGTGAAAAAGCAACTGAAACTGAAAAAAGTGTGCAGGTGTTTTTTTTTTTGAAAAAAAAAAATATTCGAATTTTTTGTGATATTATCAGTGGTGTGGTTGGTTCGAAAAGTTCTTCGTTTTGAAGACGAAAGAAGAAACAACTAATCTGGGACAAACAAAAGGGTATTTTCGATAATGGGGAACTAAATTTTTCTTTCGATTTTTAAAGTGAATCTAAAATTATTTGTTATTGAGTGGGTGTCCAAAATTGATTTGATGTTAACATTAAAATGATCTTGTGAATTCTAAAAATCCCATAAACTAGAATTAAAACATCATAACATTCGAGAATTCGATTATATGCAAAACCATCTCACAGGAAAATCATTTCTTGAATACAGTTCTCGATTTACAATGTTATGAAGATTTCTCGGAAAAAAATATTATTCAATCTAAACTCAACAAAACTGATTTTCAGTGAATTTTAATAGAGAAATTTTAAAAAATCACCCTTTAGCAGCAAAAACTGCGCTCATGTTCCAAATAGAGCAAAGACCAAAAATTTTATACGTTTCGCCCATCTGAAAAACGAAATCAATTTCAAATGTTGTTATTGAAGTGTTATACTTGAACGATTTTGATCGAATGTGATAATCACATTTTCAAACATCATTTTTACATTAGATATGAAAAAACCAAATGTTTCACGCATGCACAATTTTCTCATTCTAAAAATAAAATTCTAAAAATCTCAACAACAAAAAATCTAATCTCTAATCTTGGTTTGGAAATAAGCCTTGTTTATAAATATATCACCTGAATATGGAGCATAAATCACGGCGCATAATCAATAGGTTTCAGTTGAAATTTTGCAGTTTTTTCGATAATCACAAAGCTCGCCTTTGTTTCTCTGAACATCAGCATCAAAAATTTGCTCTTGGAGCTGAGAGCTCAACGAATATTTGGAAATAAATGAGTGAGCTAATAATATGGTGACAATAATTATGAGCATTTCTTACTCATGCATTAACCAGATCATTACACAAATTCCAAAAAACAAATATCATTCTGAAATTATCAAAAAAGTTCAAAAAACAACAAGAATGTTTCAAAGTATTTTATTAGAATAAACCCAGTATCGATTGACACGAATGCAAAATGAGAAGAGCTTGCATTGGTATTTCACAACACAAGGGGACATAAAAATAGTAAAGAATAAGTTGAGAAGAGAGAGAGAAGTATATATCATAATACAAGAAGTAGTCCCAAATAAGGAAATAGGGGAAAACCACGTATTCAGTGATTTATTAGAGAAAAATAGGGGGAAGTATTCATCTGAATAAGTTAACGGGTGAAAAGCAACAACAGGTCAGCAGACCCCATTTGACATAGATATTTGAAAAAAAATGAGAGAGGGAGATAAGGCAAGTTGGAAACTGATTTAAAGTTCGTTGTGTCCTTCTTCTTCGGCTTCTTCTTCAGCCTTGTCTTCATCAGAAGCTCCAGCTCCGTCCTTTCCGTTGGTCTCGAGGAATTTGGTGAATCCTTCGATGGTACGATCTCCAGTGTAGTCAACAACCTTGTTGGATCCAGCTGGGAAGAATTTGATGGTTGGGAAAGATTGGATCTTGACATCTTCGACCTCGTTGAGGGTTGAGTCCATCTTGGCGATGACAATGTTTTCGTGGTCGGCGAATTTCTCTCCGAGTTTGTCCCAGGTTGGGGCCAATTGTTTGCAGTGTCCGCACCATGGAGCGTAGAATTCGACGAGGACGTTCTTGGTTTGATCACGAGCAACCTAGAAAAATTTAATATTTAAATCAGAAGTCTAATGCGATCAACTCACTTGTTCGAAGTTCTTTCCGACGAGAACCTTGACTGGAGCCTTGTCCCAGTCTTCTGGAACATCTTCGGACATAAGGTGAGCCTTGACGGTTCCGTCCAAGTAGGATTGGGTGAACTTGGCGATGTTTTCAGTGTTGATTTCTTCGAAGTCTGGCTTGAATTTGGTCATGTCTTCTTCAAGTGAGATCAAACGGATGGCTGGGAGATCTTCTTTCTTCAATCCGAAGAATTCCATGATTCTGGCGTTTTCTTCGACATCAGTGTTGATGTAGACGAACAAGACTTTTCCCTTGAATTGCTTGGCGGCGTTCTTGAATTCTCCTTCGAGTTTGGCAAAGTCGGATGATTCCTTGGAGACGAACAACAAGTTGTGTGATTTGATTTCTCCTCCGAAGATGACTGAGGCGGTTTCTTGGGTGAATTCAGAGACGAGAGCGAGACGGTTGGCTTGGATCCAGGTCTTGATGTTTTCAGCGGTGAATTTCTCATCGAAAGCAACACGTCCATCATCGAATTTCTTGAAGAGAACGATTCCTTCTCCCTTGAGTTCAATCTCCTTCTTGACGGCTTCTTCAGTTGAGATTCCGAATGGAATATCATCGATTCCGGCGGCGACTTCGAGGAAAGCCTTGGCATCATCAGATTCGGCGTTCTGCAAAGAAACAAGGTTTTAGATGAAGAGTTCTGCTACATTTCTGTAAATAAACCAACCTTGAAGTATCCGATGACAACAACATCAGCGGCTTCTTGGAGTTCCTTAACGGCATCAGCATCATTGAGTGGCTTGGCAACTGGTCCAGTCTTCTTCTTCAACCAGGCGATGATAGAATCGTGGTCACGTCCTCCGTTGTATTCTTGTGGTTTTCCGTTGCGGAAAAGCTTGAGAGTTGGGTATCCACGGACCTGAAAAACATACACTTTTAGGATAAATATCTACTTTTCACGGTGTTTTCTTCAAACAAATCGGTCAGGGTCATTTGTCATCTCAAGGCCATTTTCTTACCTCGAACTTGGATGAAACATCTCCGTGAACGGTGGCGTCGAGTTTACCGAGCTTGATTTCTGATCCTTCTTCTTTCAATTGAGTGGCAGCCTTGGCGTATTCTGGGGCGAGGGATTTGCAGTGTCCGCACCATGGGGCGTAGAATTCGACCAAGATAAATTCGTTTCCATTGATGACTTCGTCAAAGTTGTCCTGAAAAAATGTGTTATTAGGGAAGAAAATTAGAAAAAAACGCTGAATTTTCAAAAGCTATCATATTTCACAATAGCACATTGAAAGAAAAATGCTCTAAAATATCACAAACCTTGGTGAGAACAATCACATTCTCCTCTTCTTCAACAACAGCTCCAGCTGAAACAGTCAAGACAAGGAAGAAAAGAGAGGCTGCAAGCCGCAACATTATTATGTCCGATGAATGAATCTATGAACGGGAGTGTCCGAAGGTATCCACGCTTACTTGTCCGTGTCCCCTTCTTATTGGCTAGCGTAGGCCACGCCCACTCGCATTTTATTGGCCGAGCAGTTCGCAAGACGAGGTCGAGGACAACGGCGATTAGACAGCGTGTGCGACGGTGAGAGCAGAGAGATAAAGACGCATTTTTTTGCACATAGACAACTAACTTGTAGGTCGGCCATTCGATTTTTGGGATATAATAATATTTGGGTCGAGAAAAAAACGAAGGAAATGAATGGAATGAGTGTAAATAATAGAGTTGTTGAGATGCCCGCCCGAGAAAAGATTATTTGTTTATTTATTTATTTATATTTCCTCATTTCATATGTGGTTTTTGTCGAAAAAAGTTGAAAAGTGCAGATGACACATGTTCCGTTTTTTGAGGGAGAGAAAAAAGAGACAAAAAATGAATCAACTTTGCTTTTTTTGTTAGGGAACAAAAAGAGAACTTCTATAAAGGGAAATTGAAATAATAGAGATTCGGAGTAAACACTTTTTGAGGTAAAATAGATTCGGGAAACCAATGCTAAGAAAATGGTAATTTGAGAGGTTTTGACATTGTCACAAGGTTGTTATTAATTAGTTAAAATGGAATAAGTTTGGAGAATATCTTCAGATGTTCAGGAATAAAAAACAAATTATTTAGAGATTTTGACATTTTCAGAAAATTTCAAGAATAGTTCAAAGTGGGGGTATAAAAAACAAGCGAATAAGATATTTTGACATTAGGACAAAGTTTGGTGAGAGATTTTTTCTGAAAAATGAGCTTTCAAGGTTTTGGGGCTGTGCCTGGGAAGAGAAAGATAGGTTTAATTAAAAAATTCTTCCATTTGTTTCAGTTCTTTATTTTGTCTGCAAGATGGCAATAAAGTGTTTGAAGAAAGCATTTCAAGAGAAATTTTCAAGTTTTATTAAAAGATTTTGGAGCTGTATAAAAATTATTTTTTCAGGAAAAAATCAAACCTGGTTTCTTTCTTTGACAAACAAGGTTTTATTCAGGAAATGAAAGCTTGTACAAAAACCTTTCGTGTATATTTTCCCATGTATTGTTTCTTCACAATAAACCTTTTCTCCCGAAACCCTTCTTCTTTTGATTGTCAAAATAAACCGCGAGCTTTCTTTCTAGTTTTTTATTCAGGTTTTCAGCCAGTATCAACATAGTTCTTAAAAAGTCCTGACTGTCTAAGAACAACAAGTCAATTTGATATTAACGTAAATATTTTTCGCATAACAAAAAATGCATGTCCTTTGCATCCATCTATACGAAATTAATTATTTCTTCCATTCTCGTTTCAGTTTTCTTTTTTTCCATTTTTTTCTGCAAGTTAGAGCAATTGCTTTTTGTTCCAATATGTATCTGGGAGGTCTGTTGTTTTATTATTAGTATATTTATTATATCATTGTGTTGTTCTCGTTTCCCAAAAATATATACAACGCTTTGTGTGTTTAGTGTATGTGCTTGCTATATTTTGGGAAAACAGAATATAGATTTTTTGCACAAGAATAACTGTATAATTGAATCATCATATCAATTTGAATCAACCGAATACATGAATTTTATGATTTTTTATTATAACGTTTTAACCAATAAATCTTACAAAAAACAATCGAATAGAGGTCAAATTGATAGGGGTTGGTAGTTTTTGAATGTCAAGGACAACAATCTAGATCGCTAATATCTTATCTCGTAAGATCATATAGAAAAAATCACAGAAAGGGTTAGCCGAGCAATTACCGATGAATGAATGATGATCAAAAGTGCAATCGTAAATCAAAAAAATTATATTATATTCATATTTGATAACTATATTAGGATTACCTAGGAGAAATGATAAACATACATACATATATGTTTACTTATTTTGGTTGGGCAGAAAAGATAAGGAAAAGGGTTTATTGATTTAGTGACTATTTGTTACTCGAGTTAAGGTTTTATTTTTTGTCCACGACGCACGCCATGTCTCAAAATCGGAGGTTGGTTTTTAAAACAAAAATTTTGTCAGGGAAAAATAACCGGTATACAATTTTGTTGACATAAAAATATTGCAAATATGGAAACAGTCTTCTCGAGTTTTTTTTAAATAAATTAAAAATGATGTTTGAGTGAAAGTTTTATGATTTCTCGCTCCAGAAAACATTGATAGCTGTACATTTTTTTCTAGACACATATTTTGTTAATTAACATTTTGCTTATCATTTTTCAAAAATTTCAAAATTTATTGCGAAATTTCTAATTTTCGCCACGCTTTTTCTTTCCTTTCCCCTAGAAAAAATGCAAAATTGAAAAGTGAGCCCATTTAGGGAACGTATTTTGTTATTTTGTCTTGTTTCGGTCTCGAATGTCCTTCGGTTTTGTTTTCGTTTTGTTGTTGTTCCACTAGAGAAAAGGGGTGAAAATAGACATAGAGTAGAGAGATGAAAAAGAAAAACGAGGACGGCCGGAGCTTTTCATCGATTTTTTTGGTCGGCGCGCACATACATCTCGTTTGAATTCAATTTTTCATCATCATTATTATTATTATTATTAACCTTATTCTCATTTTTACTCAAAATTTATCATATCTTATCAAATTAAAAAATTTCGGAGTTCTCAAAAGTTTAAATTTTTCAGAATGAGCAACGTTGGTGAGCAAATGTCGAAAGCGGCTGAAAGTGCGCGAGAAACTGTGGCGAAGGTCGGCGAATCGGTTACCGACTTCTTTCAAGGAAACCCTTTCACAACGCCGGTCGGCAAAAAAATTGGTGCGTTTTGGGTGTTCTTGGGTGGTCTATTGGTTTTACTGCGCATCTTTTGATGTCTTCGGATGTGCCGCTTTATGAATGAAGGATTAGAACAAATAGGCAATTGCGTTTTGAGAACTTTGGAAGAAAATGGTTTTATTTTGAGGGGATTTCCTGGCAATTATTTTGTGGTTATAAGAAATCTATAGATTTTTTTCCAAAAAATCCAGAGTTCGTATATATTTTCAAACATGTATTTCACAACTTCTTTTTTTACAAAAAAAAGTTCTGATAACGCTGTCATGGCAACGTATTTTTCCCAAAACTAAAACCGTATAGTGGAATAATATAATTCAGCCGTCCATTTTCTGCTAAAAATATAATTAAGCGATGAAAAAACCAAAAGCATAATTGTTCTGGTTATAACGCAATCCACTTATTCCGTTCTAAAAACTTCTACATTTTCATCCATTCAAAACGTAAAGAGGAAGAAAATATGTTGAAATAACCGGTTCTTCGATTCAGGACATGAATTGAATGACACGTCGACTTCTGTGTATGTGTGTGAAAAATAACAAAACAAAAAAAAGATGATGAGATGAGATGTGGTTAGAATTGGGGTTAGAAAAATGTCAGGATATTTCGGTTTTGAGGGACAAAAATAAAACAAGAGAAATAGAGAGAGATAAGTTTTTTATTTTCAGAACTCGCCACTGATGCCAAACTTCTTGCTACTGAAAATTGGGGATTGAATATGGAAATCTGTGATTTCATCAACAGCCATGAAGACGGGTAAGATTTTTTGATTTATTCACGAAACATAGAACATTTAGACTTCAGAAGACACTCTATGGGTAACATTTTAACTAAAAAAAATAGGGTTCTGGAAAAAACTTCAGAATATCAAAAATCAAAAATAGCTTGTTTCCATTATAAAAAAATAGAGATCTGAATAATTAGGAAACCATCTCAAATTTCAGACCACGCGACGCAATCCGTGCAATCAAAAAACGTCTTCATTCATCAATGTCCAAAAACAATGCAATCGTTATGTACACGTTGACAGTTCTTGAAACCGCCGTCAAAAACTGTGATGGTCAATTCCACGAACTTGTCTGCAACAAAGACTTCATCCTTGATTTTGTTCGTCTTGTTGGCCCAAAATACGATGCTCCACCAATTGTTCAAGAAAGAGTTTTAGGATTGGTGCAAGCGTGGGCTGATGCATTCAAAAATGATCCAAGATTGAATGGAGTTGTTCAAGTTTATGAAGATTTGAAAGCAAAGGGAGTTGAATTCCCAGCTGCTGATTTGGATAGCTTGGCACCAATCAAAACACCGAAAAGAGTGAGTATTTGAATGGAATTTATTGATGTTGTATTGTGTATTGTGTTGTAATTTTTTAGACAGTATTCACTCAACCATCTCCATCGATTTACGAGCCACCACCAGTGACGACACCATCGGTATTGTGTTTGTGAAATTTTTGAGTATAAGAAAAAAGTCTTCGGAGATTATTGGAAAATTATAATTATTTCAAGATTTTTAGTCATTTTCAAATCGTTTTGAACAGAACCCCAGCTAACCTTTCTTGATTTTCAGACATACGATGTTCTCACAATCCGTGAACAAGGTCAAGAGCCAATCGTTGCCACTGCTGAACAACTCACCAAACTCCGATCCGATCTCGATGTTGTCAACCAAAACATCAAAGTCTTCCGTGAAACTCTCACTGGAATTGTTCCCCGTCAAGAAACCGCTGAAGAACTTCAACTTCTCACTGATCTTCATACAACTTGCAAACAAATGCAAGCACGGATTTTGGATTTGATCAAATATGTGAGCAATGAGGAAGTCACTTGTGAGTCTTGAAGAAAGCCTTGATTTCAAGTGAAGAATTTTAATCGTTCCAGATGAATTGCTCATGGTCAATGATTCGTTCAACAGTGTTTTTGAAAAGTACGACAGATTTATCGCAAATCGCGAGAATCCTAGTCAAAATTTGATTGATATTGGAGAAGATCAACCACTCGCACAGCAACTTGCACAAATGAGTGAGTTTCTTGTAAATCACACGAGCAAAACTGATATCTGAAAATTTCAGAAGTCACTGCCGCTAGTGCCGCCAATGGAGCCACCAGCTCAGCAACTCAAGATGCATACAAAGCCAACGCTGAACCTCAAACAGATGTTGGTTTGGCGACTGCTGTAAATAATAAAATTCCATCTGAAACTGAAGCTGCTGAAATGGAACAATGGTTGGAAACTCAAAAAGAGACTAGTGAGTTAACTTGTTTTTTGGAAGTGGTATACTAACTGAATTATATTTTCAGAACCATCGGAGAACGATAAGCTTTGAAAAATCTTCTGAAAACCAAGCTGTGTAAAAATTGAACAAACCGCGGTGATACTTCTGAATCTCTCCTTTTCCTTTTCTATTTCCATTTCCATTTTATTCTATCCCAAATCAATCCAACCCACAATTTCTGTAATTTTTGTAAATCTACTGGTTTTCAATGTCCGAATAACCCCATTTTCCAACCAATGAATACTTAACTTATTTACTTTCAAAAATCATATATGCGAATAAAAAATGAATGAAAAAGTGAACTAGAAAATAATGACGATTGAATTGAATTGGTTTGATAAATGAAGAAGAAAACGAAAAAAGAGAAATAATACCGGTAGGAAAATAAAAATAATCAATAAAAGTATGGAATTCAAGATTAATCTTTGGTGATGTGCAATGTCCAATTCCAATCCAAATAAACGTGTCCATCGTCATCGGTGATTTTTGAGTGAACCTTGTATTTTCCACGATGAATCATTCCTTGTGGAGCTTCTTCGTTTGGCGATGTGTATTCTTGAATCTCAAGCTTTGGCGCATAACTTCCCATCATGTATTTCTCGTTTTCGACAGTGATTCCCGAACGCTTCACTTTATGTTTGTAGCTGCAAAAAATGTTTTTTTTTGGGATCTTTCGAGATATCAACAGTTTTGTTGTGGTACAAAGTTTATCGTTACAAAATCTCACATGACAATCATCAGATTTCTAGGAGGAATTGTGTTATAGTCAGGAATTTGATAAAACTTTTCCGAGGCCTTCGCCAAAAAAATTCTCCCAAAAAAAAAACTCACTGAAGACCGGATGCAATTTCGCGCTGAACATGGAAGGTGAATTTCAATCGATAAGTGGAACCCTCTTTGATCGACAATGACAAATCCGAAGTTTCAACTTTCTCTGAAAATTTTCAAATTGACTTCAAAGTTCCTTCCAGGTAAACGCTCACTTGGATCGGAAAGATCGAGAACCTCATTCTTGATGCCTTCAATCATCAATTCAACATTTTTCACCAAAACACGACGTGGATCATTTTCATCAACAACAACAGTTCCTTGTCCCAACAATTGTTGCTTGTATTTTTTCAACGATTCGTCTTCCTGAAAAAATAAAACATCTTTTTTGATTTTACAAGCTAGTTCCGGAAATTCTTACATCATCAGATTTGAGAAGTTCTCCAATTGTTTTTTGTGGTGGTTGTCTGTATTCGAAGCCATTTGTGTTTTCCTCATTATCCGACATTTTTCGAGAAGAAGAACAACTGAAATAAGTGAATAAATAAATAAAATTGAATTGATCGATAAATAAATGAAGGCAAGTTTCGGAAAAACACGAACAATTACATTTGGCTTATCGCGAAAAAAGAGAAAAAAACGACAATGATTCACCTTCAGGGGGCAAAATGGGACAAAAGGAGGCAGAAAAACACAACAACAACGTCATTGTAACAAAATTAGAAAGTTTTCCCACCATAAAATGTTCTTACTAGAGCAAAGTGTTTTTGTAACAAAATGTCAAAAATGCAAGTCAGTCAGTCAGTCAGTTAGTTTGTCAAATATAAATAAAACGCGTGGAGGCGACCGTTTGCTTAGGCGATTTAGAAATACAGAGACCACCTTTTCACTCATTCAAAAAAGAACCAACCATGCCATTTTTTGCAACAATTTTTAATGTTAGTGATGGATGAAAATGCGGGAAAAAATAAAAAATGAGAAGAAAAAGAACGGATCAGGTTTCATAGAATGGGGATAAAATGAAAGATTTCTAGAAACAAAATAAATATTTCAGAGGGATGAGATAAGATATGAAATCTATATTGTTTGTTGTAACAAACAACAAATCAAACATTTTTCCGGCTGGCAAAAAAAGAGGAAAAAACTATGAAATATGTATGCAAAGACCAGAAACGTGACTAGTAAAACCTTATCATCCCAAAAAATCAAGACATTTTCTGGGGTATTTCATGAGAAATGCGATAAGAATATTTCAAAATGTATAAAAACTATCGAATCCTTATCAATGATTCATATGTTCAGTGAAATAAACAAGTTATTCAAACACTTCGATTAGAAAAAAAAACAAAAAGGCAATAATAATAATGAAGAAGAAAAAAAAATGAGTGAATGAATGACTCACCACTTTGTCCTTATCCTTTTTTATGACCCTAAACAAACAAACAACAAACAGTTTTATCATTAGAGCGCACTTGTGTGATTACAATAAATTGAAAAAATGAAATAAAATATCTCACTCTCTTAGCAGTGGAAAAAAATGTGTTCGTAGAGAAAATTTTCGAGATTGATGAATGAATAAATGATTTTTTGCATACATTTTTAGTGGACAAAAAAAGAAGAATAATTGTGCTTGGCTAACGTTTCACCAGAATATTCTATATACATTCTGTGAACCAATGAAACACATAAACGTTTTTTGTTTCAGTTCACTAAAATAGGAAAGTTTTTGAGACAGATGTTTGAGAAGAAATTGGAGAATTATCATGAGAAAATTCAACTTGAGAAATCTTGGATGTCTATTTTTTAAAACTACTCTTATCTGTCCTGGAACAATTAGTGTGGAAATCTCAAAAATTCAGCACAAAAATAAGAGAGAATACGCGTTTTCCAATGGCAACACTGAATTGAGATGAAACCAGATACACGATGTTCCTCCAGATGGAACAAACAGACATTGTCATCAATTATATAAATCACCGGAAGATGTTCATGTCATGGATTCAGGTACGAGTGAAAAACATCCGAAACAAAATGATTTACAAGACATTGAAAAGTTGCACTTTTTAAACGTACTATTTATTTTTAATTGAATTCAAATAATAAATTAATGCAGGAAATTGCACTTTGGAATAATTGTCTATCATTAGAAAAAAGTAGAACGAGGCTCTGTATAAATTTTTTCTCAGGGGATCACACTCCAAAGTGGGAATTCAACGTTTGGTTTTTAGATAATTGAGCAAAGTATGAAGACTGAATTAAAAAAGCCTGGAAATAGTTGCTTAATTTTTACTAGATAACTTGGAGTGGTTTTTCGGAATGGTAATATTCAAACTGATATAAAATTTTTTTCACCACCATTTGTTATGTCTTTATTCTCTTGATTTCAATTGCATTGTCTAGACCATATGAGCAAATTTAGTTTTGCCAATCGGATTTCAAACATTTATCATGACGGTCAAAAAATTCATTTCGCAATACGAATATAAAGTGTACAAAGAGTCACGAATCTCATTTTATTGGAATTTTCATTTTGATTTGTTTTTGTTCCGAAACACGAATTTTGGCTCTTCGAAAATGCTTTTTTAGCTTGAAGAGTCCAACTTCTTCGATTTCTCTAAAAGAAATTAGATATTTTCTGTCTATTTGAACTTTTCGAGCTGATTTCTTATTAGGAACAATTATCAGTGCACTCTCCAGACACAAGAACTTGCAAAAGTAAAACTTTTTATACACAAAAATATTTGTGAGGATGAAACACATATTTTTGATGAATGTTTTTATAAAATAAAATTCAAAAGAATTCAACGATTTTTGTGGTAATCTCTTGTTTTTAGAAAAAAAAATTTTCTCCTTGTTACTTTTTTTCCGATTTTTTTGCTCTGGGTTTCTTGAATTCCAAAGAGCTTTCCGCCGTAACTAACTCCAAAAAATTGTACATTCTTCTAAAAAAACAAATTTTCAAACTGCCGCTAGTCCCTGTGAGAAGAGCCGCTTTGCAACGCTCAACGCGTCGCGGTATTTTTTTCTCTCGTTTTTTCTTTTATTCATTTCATTCACTCATTCAAAAACCTCAGGGAGAAATAGAAGAGAGTACACGACGGAAAATAAATATAGAAAAAGAGAGGCAATACATACATACACACATATATATAAAAAACTAGTCGAATGTATGTTTTACGTGAAAAAATCACTAAAAAATGATGGAATTTGACGTTTACGATGAGATTCTAATTGCTATATTCTTTGTTATTATCTCAACAGTTGTTTATTATTTGTTTCGAAAGCTTTTGGCAGCCAGAAAACGTAAAAATATCAATGATACTCAAACAAAAAGTAAGTCAGGAAATTGCAGTTCCTCCGGAAATATATTTAATTTTTTAATATTCTTTTTTTGTCTAGGCGGACATTATTGGTCACCGATTGATTCAGCAGATCAGGTTTATTATTGCTCATGTTGTAAAGAACATATTGTAACGGGTTATGAATGTGATAATTGTTTATTAAAAGTTGATAACGTGAGTTGATCTTTAATATATTCAAAAAATAATCATGGGAAAAATGAGAGAGAAAACAATATATAACACTTTCCATAGATAGTAGACAAAATCAAAAGTGACACTTTTTTTGCATGTTATCAAAAAAGAGATAGAATGATAGTTGATTTCAACATTGTGGGAGGTCTCTTCCGAAACAAAAAACAAAGATTTTTATGATTTCTGTTGTTTGTAGACACCGGAACGTTGAGGTTTCTTTGATTTGTGTTTTTTATTTCAGTTGAAGAAAAAATTTAAAAAAAAATCAGTTTTTTTTAAATTTTTACTCTGATATTAGAAATCGAGAAATATTTTACGTCTCAAAAATCGCGGAAAACTTGAAAAAAATTTCAGAATTTCAAAAAGTATTTCACCTTTAGGTCTGTGATGAAAAAAACACACATATTTTAGAATCTTTGTTCTTCCTAGACACCTGAAATGCGAGAGTTTTATAGTTTTGGTTCGGGTTTATTTTTAGTCAAAAGTCACCGGAACCAAATACAATTTTTCAATTTTAATTCTGCACTCATCAGACAAATAATGTTTTTTTTAGTTCAGAAAAAAAGACATTAGAAAAATTGCTAATTTCAAATTAGGAAACATTTGCTACTTGAAATTTTCAGAAAATTTAAAGCTTGTTTTAAGAGTTTCGAAATATGGTCTGATTATCAGTTCCTCAGAAAAAAAACCAACATTTCTATATTTTTTCGTTGTGATCTAGGATCTGAAGTTTTCACAACTCCAATTTGAATGGTTTCAAATTCCAGTAATTAAAATAATTAGTAAATTGTTTAATGCTTCTTCTAAACATCAGTTTTGACTATGTAAAAATTTTAGAAAGAAACATGTTTTGATAATTTCAGCGAATGTTTCTCTAAACAAATGAAACCTTTCTAGTCAAAAACAAGTTTGTCCCGGTTACTTTGAACTTAGAAATCAAAAATACACGAGTCCCAGTTTTTTGTCTGATAAGTGTTGAAAAATACTGAACATCTACGAACTTTGGAATTCTATAACTTTTTCAAAACACAAAAATCTAGAAGAAACACAATTTCACAACCATCTGAATCATTCATTCTCTTGGTGGTTTTGTTTCGAAATTTGGAAGCACGCATTTCCAGAAATGTCAAATTTAATCTTTTGTTTCTAACTAAATAAACAGCAAACTATTTTTATCACACCTCACGTGCTTTTATTTTTTGATTATTAACCTCGTAAAATATTTTTTCGGAAAACACATTCCGAAATAATATTTTTTCTGATAAAGTTTTTTGATTCAACAATTTTTGAAATCACGTGTTTATTGAAACTTTTGAATGAAAACAAAGAATTCTAAAGCGAAACAATTTTCGAACAATGAAAAAACAGAGGCATTCAAAAATTTTCAAATTCAATTTCACATTACATTATTCTAAAAACCAAAACGTTCAGTTTTTTCAAGATCTAAAAGAAATAGAAAAAAAGAGCCCATAAAAGCCAAAAACGTAAATGACCTCAAATGATACGATTCGAACCCATTCCAAACATCTGGTCAGACGTTTTCAGTATTTTTTCTCTGCAAAAAGAGCTTAAGCTACAGTAGTAGTTCTCTATGGTTTTTGGCCATTAAATCTGAAACCACTACGTTTTTTTCCTGCTGCTGAAAATCTGAAATGTCACACTAGTTTGGCTAATCAGGAAGGAAACGATGTATGCAAAAAAAGAACATGTTAGAAGAAAATGCATTTTGTTAGGAATCGTTCATGTTTCTCTTTCGTTCAAAAATATATATAATATTCTTTTTCCAAGTCCAAACTTTTTGATTTTTTTTGGTTGTGATTAATTATGTGAATCTGAACTGATATCAATCAAAAAGCAGATGTTGTTTTGTTTTTCTTTTTCTCTCTTTATCTACTTGATAAGTGGAAAAATTTCAGATAAATTGCCTTCGCTCAATATCAACAAAACTTGTATGTAAAATAATCACAAATAATCGACAAGAAGATTTTGATCATCACTGGGTTAGTTCATTTTATTTATTTTTTTATTTTTGAAAATTAAAAGGATTTGTTCAAGTAAGCCCGAGAAGCCGGGCCAGGTTGAACTTTAAAAAATTATTTTTTGGTTTCAATTCAGAATTAAAAAAAAATACCTAGTCCAAATTCTTTTTGTTTGCTTATTCCTATAAAAAAGTGAACACCCTGGTTCGGTCCTGGCCTGATTCCTCTGGTTTGATGAAAAATTTTCCAAAACATCTCTTTTTTTCTAGATCCCTGGAAACATCGGTCCAGACCTATTTTGTGAAGTTTGTGAAGAGTTATGTGGAGGAGGAGTTGGTCTACAAGATTTTCGTTGTTCTTGGTAAGTTTTTTTTTTAAATTTCTCCTTATTCTCTCAAAACGTGCCGAAAAAGGTGTCAAAAATCTCTGTGCCCCCATAATAAAAACCAATAAAGATAACCGATTTGTCATAAAATCGGTAACCTTTTTCATCATTTTTTCATTCGTTTTTTCCCTTTTCAACATTGGTAAATTCCTTGCAAGGTTATCAAGTTTTTGTTATTTTTTGAATGCGAGAAAAATATTTTTTTCGATGATGTATGTTATACAATTCTAGGTACAATATGAGATGAAAATGTGATATATTTGTAGTTTTCATTTCAATTTCGAAGAATTGTTTTCATAAAAAAATAAATTATTAGGCAAATTCAGCTGTCCTGAGTTCGAAAAGCCTTTTTTGGTCATCTAAACTTTCACGGTATTTCATGAATCAATAAATAGTTCTCACATTGCACTACCGTAGTTTTCGTGAATTCTAACTTATGATCAAAATTGTGATCTTGAATCCCCAGCATTTTCCAACAATCCTCATTTCTCTGCAACTCCCTCTCTGAGTTTTTTCGATTTTTCCGAACACAAAGAATCATCGATTTCTTTATCGTTCAAAACATCAATTTGCAGATATCTGGATGTTTGTCCTTGACAAAAATTACAGATTTTCCTCATTCTTAAATTCTTCCTCTTCCTTCCCATTTTCCGTTTTATTTTATCAATCAAGCAACGCTTTCCCAGTTTTTTTCCGAAACTGCAAAATAAAAAAAATTGAAAAGAAAAACAAACACTTGATGATATTTTCCGGGTTTGTAAATTTTATTAATTTTTTCTCACTGTTATCATCAAACAAACACAATCCTGTTTCAATTTTATTTGGTTTGTTTTTTTTTCTGTTCAAACTTTGTTTTAGTTCAGTTCAATTTCCCCATCTCTGCTAATGAAACATGACATTTTCCAGATATCTGATAAGTAGCTACAATATTTTATGACGTATGTAGAGAAAACTCGAAATTAGCCAACTTGAGAAATTCTTGTAATTCTGGAGATATGTTGTGCTTCTTTTAAAATATCAAAAAACATGATTAGGTTTTGAATTCGTCATTAATTTAAAAAGTGTTCGTTTTCCACATGAATGGCTTCGATTTCACAAAAAAAATTAAATTTCTGGGAAAAAAAAACTGATATCTTTCATGTGATGTTTGTTTGTCAGATTCCAAAGTTTTATCGAAAAATTTGTGCTTTCTAATTAATAATACTACAACTTCTCATTTCCACTCATTTTTCACCTCAAAAATAAAATGATAAATTTTCTGTTGAAAATGAAAAAAAGGTTCAAATTTTGCCGTGTTTGTTTTGTTATCAGATAAGTGGTTTTGAAGGTGTGACCGGCACTTGACGAGTTTCGATAATTCGATTTGAAGCTTCTTGGGGTTAGAAACATGTGTAGTTTTTTTGTCTGAAAAAAAGGAACCTTATTAAATTTTGTTACTGTAACAACCTTTTGTTATCAGATGGCAAAAAAGTGTTTTTTTTCGATAACGGACCAGCGATATAGATCTTCTAATTCGTTTTTTTTGTATGTCAGTCATTTCTAAATTTTTTTCCCAATTCGGTCTTCAATTTTTCCTCAATCCGGTTTTATCGTTGGTTGGCTGGCTTTCCTTCGCCTGTACAGTGTTGTATGTTTGACGACCGACCGACCGACCGATTTTTTTCCATTCCCTCTGATTCTTTTTCCTCACAAATATAATGCTTTTCTTTTTTCTTCTTCTTTTTTTTCTTGCCGATTTTTTCTTCTTCAAAACGCAGTTCTCTGTATGTATCTGCCTGTATGCGTGCGCGTGTATTTGTATGTATTTGTGTGTGTTTGTGTTTTTTCTCACAAATATGTATGTAGAAATACTTTTTTGTACAAGTTCTGAAAAAAATAATTTCGATTGTTTTCAAAACCAGATTTTTTTTTCATTTTTCATTTCACATTTTTCGTTCCAATTTACTAGAACCATTTTTCATTGTATTCTTTCCCGCGAAAAATAATTATGGGATTTGAAAAAAGGTAAAATTTATATGTTTTTTTTTCAATTTCTCAGCGAGAAAGTATAATTTTAATCAAGCGGAAGATTTTTCGAAAAAAAAAGAAAAATGAAACTCATAAATTTCTCATTTAATTTCAGGTGTTGCCGCGTTGTTCATACCAAGTGTAAATCAAAATTTGAAAAATCTTGCGATTTTGGACGATTGAAACGAACAATCATTCCACCTTATTGTGTTGTTACAAGAAAACCAGGAAATCGAAATCAAAGAATGGTCAGTTTCTATTTTTTTTTCAAAACGTTTTTTTGCAAGTTTTCATATCAGTTATTGATTCTAACAGCTAAAAATCTTGGTAGATCAAATGAATTTTTGTGAATGAGATGTAGTTTCCAGTAAAAAAATAGATGAATCGAAAAACAGGCCTTCACCGGACTCTTAAAAGTTGATGGCCGAGGCTCTTCTAGAATTCACCCAAAAATGTATAGTTTGCTCCCACCAAGGACAAAGAAACATACATAAATAACACAAAAAAACTTGGTCTAAGCAAAACGGTAAATATGAGCGAGAAATTATTTACCATAGATTGCTAAAAAAAACTAATTTTCGATTGCTTCTCTTTTAAGTTTTCCTCCCACCTTGATACACTTCAAAAAAACACAAAAATTCATTTTTCATTCATATTTTTGTTGGCGGATTATCCAAGATTATCCAAGCCTCATTTTATTCATTCATTCAATTCTATGATAATGATGATCTGACGAGACTAAATAATAAATAAATAAATATTCTTTGGTTAATTTTATTAATTTGATTTTCTATCCTATTATGTGTGGGTATTTGGTAAGTTCAACAAGATCAAAAATAAATTTGAAATATACGAAAACTTTTAAAATTCCTGATTTTTTGTGTTCAAACATCTATATAATCCAGGAAGCCGAAGTTTTTCATTCAATCTTATTTTTTTCTCATTCATCCCTGCACATAATCCTTTATCACGTAAACATTAATATTATTTTCAAATCATTTTTTCTCGCGTGTGGTCTGTGATCACATTTTTTTGTTTTTAACTGAAAAGGTAGGTACAAATGATGTCAGGATAATCTATTTGACAAATAGTTTGTATCGTATTAAAAAAGGCCCACGTGACACAAACAACTTCGCGCTACGAGAAAAAAAATGGTTTTGGTCTTTTAAACTTCTTATTTTTTGCCTGTAATTATTATGAGTTCCCGTATATCGAAACAGTTCCGCTTCGAAGTTAGTCTAAATTTAGAATAAACCAAATTCCATTTTTTTCAACAATAAAATTTCTAATCTTTCAGTATGGTTGAATTAACAAAATTCATTGAGGCGTTATTTTCTAACTTTTTTTCGGAAAAAAAACCTCTTTTTTTCCTGATAATCAAAAATCATTACTGTAATCATTTTTCTTCTTCTCAAGATTTGATTAAATTTTCAGGCAGTGATTGATCAAATCGAGAAACCCGAAGACGCCACGGATTGGCGTCCGATCATGGTGATCGTGAATCCGAAATCCGGCTCAGGCGCAGGAAAAGATTTGCTTCGCAACTTCAGAGCACATCTTCATCCAGCTCAAGTTGTTGATGTTCTCAAGTCAAACATCGCCGCAAGTCTTCGATGGATTGATGAACATCCAGATATTGATGTCAGAATTTTGATCGCTGGGGGTGATGGAACAATTTGTTCAGCTCTTGATCAAATTGATAATTTGAGCCGGCGAATACCAGTGAGTTTTAGATTGATAAGAACCTCAAACTTCACTGATTTATTTTTCAGGTTGCTGTACTTCCACTTGGAACTGGTAACGATCTTTCTCGCCTATTACGATGGGGCAAAAAATGTGGAGGAGATATTGATGTTGACAAGGTAAAAAAGCAAATAAATAAAATCCTGTCCGTTATTCGTTTCTTCTCGTGGTCAACATTTTTGAAAGAAAAACCAAGATCAAAGTTTAATGACATCATTATGCAAATTTTCTCATGGTCAGACATAACGAGAAATTAAAAAGGAAAGGATAGGATAAAATAAAAAAAGAATGGAATTGTCTGAATGGGAATAAAAAAAACCAAAAAATAAATATTTTTCAGTTGATGGAGGAGATTCAAGATGCTGAAGTAACAATGGTTGATCGTTGGACAATCGATGCTGAAAGTCAGAAAAAGCTTGGAGTTCGTCTTCAATCCAACAAAAAATTCTCCATGACAAATTATGTTTCAATTGGTGTTGATGCTTGTGTTACACTTGGCATGCAAAATACCAGAGAATCAATTCCACGGGCAATGAGTTCACGTCTTCTTAACAAACTCTTGTTTTTCACATTTGGCACAAAAGACGTATTCGAACGGGTTTGTAAAGGTTTAAACAAACGGTTGGATTTATATTTGGATGATGTATTGATTGAATTACCGGATATTGAAGGATTGATATTTTTGAATATCCCATACTGGGGTGCTGGTGTAAAGGTAAATTTCTAGACATGTTTAATGTTTGATGTTTGATGTTTTGTAGCCTTGGTCAAATTACAACGAAACCCATCGACAGGATTGTGATGATGAGATGATTGAAGTGTTCGCCGTTACATCATCTTTCCATATCGCACAAATGCAGGTAAGGATAATTAGACCTAGGAAACTAGATATATATTTATTAGGTTGGAAAAATTAGAAAACTAATTGTGTAGTTTTGTAGTCAAGGAAATATGGGCTACATAAATTTTAGAAAAAATTGACCTTTTTGAAAAAAAAACAGATTCTGAAACTATGAATATTTTTGTTGTCTTGAAATTGAAAAACAAGATTTCTTATGGCAATAAATTTTTTGATGCTAGAGAACACTCAAAAAACGAGCAGACAATAAAGTTCTGAAAAAAACTTTTGAAGCACTTAAACTAGGAAAAACTTCCCAATTTTAGTTTTGAACAAATTTTCAGATCTTTGTTTTTAAACCATCTGAAAACGATGTGTCAATCGGAAATTAGTCAGGATTTGATATTAGTTGTTAACTGATGAAGGTAATTTAGTTGAAATAAAATGCACTCAACTTGAGAAATGCTCTAATACAGGAAAACATTAACGATATTAAATTCCATAACTCGGAAATATAGAATAAAGGTTTTTGGTGCCACACCTGATAAAACAGCAGAACTTGAATCAAAGTTAAATGAGCACTACAGTACTTGTTGAGTGTTTCTGGCGCTCGAAAAATCTTTCTCAGAATTATTGAAAAAAAAACCTCATTTTGCTAATATCCGAATTAGTCATCAATTTCCCTTTAAAAACTAGCAAGTTTTCTATTCTAAACTCCAAAGAATAATCAAGCATTTTATTCTCCTCCATAAACTTTGCGACATTTTCCAAAAATTCTTGATTAAATTAACCACAAAGCTTAATTAAATTATTCATCATCCATTGGAAAATCAATAAATTCCCGTTTTTTAGGTCGGTCTTGCCAAACCAATTTGCATCGGACAAGCAAAAAATGCTAAACTTGTTTTGAGAGGAAATAACCCGTTCCCAATGCAATCGTAAGTTTGTTGTTTTTCATTTTGTTTCACTTATATTGTTGTCTTTGAAAACAACAAGAAATAATTTCAGCGATGGTGAAGCTTGGGTTCAAACAGCTGGTACAATTTTAATAACACATAAATGTAAAACTGCCATGCTCCGAAAATCGGATAATAAAACCAATGGTGGATGTGGAATGTTTTTCTAACCAATTTTATTTTTTTCCCAGTTTTTTTTCTTTTCCTTTTTTGAAAACAAACATTTCTTGTGTCTCGATTGATCTCTTTAGAAGAAAAAAAAATAACTATAAGAGTTTTTCTTCACATTTTTACCATTTTCCTGTTTTCTTTTCTAACATTTTGTATGTAGATGCTCTTTTTTTGGTCGGTTTTTACAAAAACTCGTGATAATATAAATAAATTTTGGTGTGTCATTTTCACTTTTTTTCAGACGCTGCACTTTTTACAAACTTAATTCCAGGTGCAATTAATCAGAAAGGTTTTTTTCGAGTTCTAATTAACTCAATTTGTCCTTCCTCATCAACTTTTTTTCGCGGTTTTCAGAGGTCATTTTATTGTAATCTGACCTAATATAAAGATGAAAAATGAGATTATGAAGACACTTTTGAACCCTAATTATCTAGATGATCCAGAAAAACAAAGAATTTTGCGGAAATGAACAACCAAGAATCAGGGAAAATCCTACACGTCATTTTTTCTTTTATTTTTAGACTAGCATTACTTGTTATGTAGAAATAAAACCCTGTTGATCTGAAAAATAGCAGAAAAAAATAGCAGCTCGTCTAGAGAAAATACAATTTTCTCTGAAACCATGGGAATTCTCATAAATATTTCATGCAAACTTGCTTTTCTCTTGACACGCACTTTTTGTTATTAATATGATCAATTTTTCAAGTTGGAATGATACAACAACAGTTGAATAGATTAAATCAAATGTGAACAAGAAAGAATTCCTATTGGAATTTTATTTTCAGAAATTTTCTAGATACTTCTCTGAAATTCAGAAAATTCGAATTTCCAGTTACTTTATAAAAACAAAATAATTTATGAAAACAACATTTCTATGAAATTTTTTAAAGGCTTCAGACTCTTTTTCCCAATCAGACAAAATGACATTATTTGAAAAATGTCCTAATTTCCCCAGGAAACGAGAACGAAATACGAAAAATTCCAATTTCCCGTCATTTTTTGTTCAATTGCAATTTCAAATTCCATTTTATTTTATGTCAAAAAATGGCGAGAAAATCAAACATACGCTTAGGATTTTATGGCGGCGTGCTTTCTGTCAATTTTTTTGCGGGCTGTACTCTTTCAAAGTGCGTTTTCTCTTTTTTTCTCCGTTCTTATTATGTTAACAACACGAAAATATGTAAAAGTTCTTCGATTTTCCAAGGCAAGATGCTCTCAATGATTTTTGAGACATTTTGGGCGCTAAAATGAAATGAGCTTTCTCTTTTTTTTCTGTTTCCTCGCTCGAGTGATTTTAATCTTACTCAAATTTATTCTCCTTATTTATTTATTTATTTATTTCTGCCTTATTTGGCGGAAAAAAGGGAAATTGTATTTTTTTATTTGGAAAATAGAAAATTTATTGAATTGTGATTTTGACTTTCTGATCCTACGATTATGCAGCTTATGACAGAATATCAGTTCCAAGAAATTGTCAAATCAAAAAAGTTTCTAAAACAGATTCAGAATGTCAATTATGTTCCATGTTTTCTGATATCTAATCCCTTTCTCTCGATGCGATCTTTTCCAAAATCTTCTTGTTCTCACTGTCAATATATATATTTATGTACATATATAAAACAGCAAGAAAAAAAAACGAATCCTTGCGTTGTCCCCTGTCATAGAATAGGGTTCAGATACGGCCTGGCCTCGGTGCCTCGGGTGGTGACGAACACAGCATCGACATCGAGAGTCATAAGTGTGTTTTCATCAAAATATACACTATTTGCTATGCAAAACCTTGTGATACGCAGAGAATAAGAGATGTCTCCATCTCTACCCCTCCGATTGCGCCCCTTCTTAGACCGGTGGCTCTCTCATTTCTCGTTTCGTTTTCCCTCTCCCTTCTCCCCCACACTCCGCCCTTTTTTCCGCTCACTTTTTTTCGTCCCGACCGACGGCCCCCTGATTACTATTATTATTTTTTCAGAGTTCCAATTCACCAAACTTTTTTTTTCAAAACTTTTGAATTTCCAAACAAGATGACTCAAAAATACTTCTTCGTCTACTATCCATGCAATTCTCAACTCATCGTAAGTTTTTTGTTTGCAATCTGATGATTCAACTCTGGTTTTTTCAAAGGTTTTTATTATTTTTCAAATGTCTTGATGTTTGTTATACACACTCTTATAGTTTTGTGAGGGTTTTCCAATTAACAAAACTTATTTTCATACATTACAAAATTTTTAATGAGATTTCAAGCCTAATTACACTTTTACAAAGCGAACTAATTATTTTCGAGTGAATTCTTTTTTTCATCTAATCAAACCTATTTTTGAAATTTTTCAAAAGGAAATAAAAACCAATCTACCGTATGACCAAATTTCAAAAACATATCAATTGACCTCAAAAATTATTTAAAAATATTTTTTTATCTCTCCAGGTTCCATCGCCACATCATTACGAGACCGAAAAATGCCAAGTTTGCAATCGCCCATTCTGCTTCACAAACTTGGATTATCATATTGAAAATGGTTGTGCTGACGAAATGTGAGTTGGCCCCTTTAGACTATAATTATAGAATCAATAAAATTTTGCCTCTCTCTCGTTTACAGCTTGAGACGCGAAGCGGAAAAAAACAAAAAACTGGCCGCCGAAAAAAGTGAGGAGGAGAAGCCAACAGCGACTATCGCACCACCACCAGCAAAACGTGTAAGCTTATAATTAAGCGACATTTATTTCAAGATAAATGTCAAAAGACTAAACATATAAATCTTTTGTTTCAGGGACGCGGGCGCCCACGTAAAGAGAAAAAAATTGAACCAAAATCGGAAAGCGAAGAGGAGAAATAAGATCCACGCAATACACACAATAAAATCAAATCAAATCTAAACATTTCATTTTTCTACCCGTTTTTATATGCACTACTTCTTCACGATTACAGTACTTTTTTATATCACTCTGGTCTCTTTTATTTAAATGTTTTCTTGGCACTGGTTAATATCGGTTTTTATTCCCCATCTTTTTCTATTTTCATTCTTTTCCTATCACTGTTCCCTTTTAAACAAGTCAGATCTCCTCAAAATTAATTCGCGTAGTTAAATTTCATTTTGCAGATGCAAGTTTGTAAAATAAAATTGTTATTAAAAAACGATGTTTTGTTTTTTGTCCTGTTACAGATAAAACAAAGTCCAAAGTATGTTATCAACAAAAAAATGACGCTCTGGCTCGAAAGTATTTTTTTTTATGTATTTGAAAAAAAATGTTGAAGAGTTGTTTGTTTGTTTTACTAGAAGATAGCACACGTGATTTTGGTGGATGTGCTCAAGAAACCAATTTTTAAATACATACGAATCACATGAGCAAAAAATTATTAATAACTATATATAGCCAAAACCAAATAACAGGATTCAATATTTATTATGATGTGAATATTAAAGCATTTACGTAATTGGTTTTTCTCTGAACTTTATAGGAATTAAATTAATTTCGAAAAAAAAACACAAGGGATTTCAGGATCGGAGAACAATTTAATGCATATTCGAGAACATTATTTGATAAACCAAACAACATGTTCAACAAATTTCAGATCAAACTAGATACACAAAATAGAGTGTGCAACATGTTTCTGCATATTTTTCAGGCTTGCATATGTAATCAACAAGATTTGTTATTTTCTAAAAAAAAGGAGTTGAGGGAAAGTTGAGATAACTTGCATATGGACCTAACAGAAAAATCATTTTCAGAATTCTTCACTATAATAATCTTCTGTGTAGCCGTAAATGGATCATGGATTTTCTGAAATAGTTTTTTCTACTAGGTTCTGCAAGCTTAAAAAGGATAGAATTTTGAAATTTTAAAATTTCTTATTCTTCACGAGCAGGGAGCAACTATCGTAAAATTTTATGGAAAGTGCTTAGAACCCATATCTTGTTTTTGATTTTTTTAAGAACACGTACTTTCTTAAATTTTAATCTTTTTTAATGATTAAAAAAACAAAGATTGTGTTCCCGAAGTATCCATAAAGTCCATATTACAGAATTTCAATAATTGTATTTTTAATCCATTCCCTATTTTCTCTGACATGAATTTTCAATCGCGTAGTTCTAAAACTGAACTTGTCTCTGTTTGTTTTCTAGTTATAATGAGTAAAATATTCAATGCAGCACGTGATTCATAGCACATTTAATTTTGTTATTCATTATTTTTTTCAACTTGCACGATGAGTCTTTCTAATTTTCTTACACTCTTCTCGCAATTCTAGGGAAATAATCTTTGATCAACTGCTCTTAATTTCGAAAAGAAGAGTATGTAGTTTAGTTGATGCAAACTTTTACACAAAATCTCATTCATCATGAGTTATGAAATGATTATCAAGAGTATTTCGAAATTATGAAATTTTTTTGAATGTAGGTCTTGGCAGGTTTTTTATATCGAAAATTTATTTGGCTCCAAAGATAGGTTCTCGGGTTCAAACAACCAATAGTATCAAAAAAGAACTAAAGGGCAGAGATAAGGTAATCCCTAATTAATAAGTTACTTTAACATAGTGCTAAAAATTTTTCATAAATATTTTTCATGTGAATCCTCCATTTGTCAATATTTTGGAATCTCTAAGCAAAGCTTTAATGTTTCTCAATGAATATTTTAAAAAATGTTCATTTGAACCCAGTTTCAAACTTTTTCCTAATCCGGTTACAAATCCAACAAGCTCTATTCATGTATGAGGAAACATTATTAGTTAATTTTTTTCTCCAGAAACTCACGAAAATTTGGAATTTTATCTTTATTTTGTAGTTGTGAATTGTAAACTTTTTTTTTGAAACTCTTATCGATAACGTAATATGATCATGATATATGTAGTTTGTGCCGGAATATTTGTGGTAGTGGAATAAATTTGATACTGAATGGCATGGATCATGAAAACAAGAAAGATTACCCTTGGGATGCAAACTGATGAGAATTATAATCTTCTCCAAATTATGTTTTTTTTTTGATTTTTGAAAAACAAAATTGTTTTTGACTTGGTAGATTTTTAGTTTTTCTATGGGTATTGAACCACGGTAATACCCATTTTAAAAAGAGCAATGCTCATGTGTTTTTCAAGTAAAAAATTTTGATCCAATTATTTAAAACGTGTTTACAGAAAATAGGATTATGTATGTGTCTCCGCATTTACATTAGGTTATAATAACTTTTTTTCTGACTTGGAAGAAGAGCCTATGAAAATAAAACTTGTGAACGTTTAACTTCTGATTAATTCCAAAATATAGTTGGCGAATTTCATGTGTTCCACCGGGGTTCTTTGTAATTTTCAATCTGTTTGAATATATATTTTTCTACAAGTTTTTGCCGAACACAAATAACTAAAGCTCATCGGAACAAAACAGAACAAAAAACACCTGAAAACTCATTCCCAAATGATTAGCTAATTTTAATACTTATTGTAACTAGAAAAAAGTCATATATTTTGGCAATTTTCATTATTTCAAAGCTAACCTTCATTCAGTTCCTGCCATTTTTCTCCTCGAAATGACCCTGTTCGAAAAAAAGATGAATGAATGTGAAAATGATTTTAGCGGCCTTGTATCCTCCGTTTTCCTTCCTGTTCGTAGTACTATTTGATTTTTTATTCATTCATTTATATATACAACCTATTTTTCTTTTTTTTTTTCTTCAGCTCGTTCTAGTTATACATTTTTTAGTGAATGAAACATTTGTAGAGAAACCAGTTTTTTTTTCAAAACTGTTGTGAGAAGTGAAAACATATTTATAGTTTGTATGTATATTTATTTGCAATATGAAAATCCCGAATAAATTTCTCTGTTTTCTTTTTTTTCCACATTTTTTTCAAATGCCAATATATTTCGAAAAAAAGTTCATTTTTCATTGAAAGAGATACAAAAAGGACGTTTTTTTCTGGATGAAATAAAAAAAAAACAAAAATATTTACGAAATAACCTCAATTTTATTATGCCGATTTTTGGTGTATTTATTTTCAGCTTGAGATTATGACTTTTCTTAAACTGTGACGCATTTATTCATCTGATTTACTGATTATTTTTGTGGTTTTTCGAATTGACATTAACTAAATTAATTTTTTCGAAGAAATAAAAATAAATAATCAGGAAAACTTATGAGATTTTTTATTGCTTGCTCGAAGAAATATGCATGAGATTTTTAGTCAACACTTTTTTGGTTTTTGCTTATTTTTTATTTATAAGGTTTTTAGAAATTGCGAAAGAATTTTTCTAATAACATTACTTTTAAGGAAAATTATAGGCCCAAGATTCAAAATTATTCAAGCTAAACTTGATCTCGAAAATCCAAATTTTCAGGCCAAATTTAGATTCGAAAATCCCATTTCATGTTTTTGAATTTCCCCATTCATTTTTGTAGGCTTCTTCAAACTTTCCCAGTGAACTTTTTCAATTTGAAAAAAAGTGCACAATTTTGTCTCAAATTTGTCCATCAAAAGGCGAAACTCAATTAAAGTCACATTCACTCTACATTTTTCGTTGAAACAGGGAAGTATAAAGTTCAAAAAGTTTTTTCTTGGAATTCAGAAAATATTTTTTTATGATTGACATCTTCCTGATTCTGAAGAACTCTATATCATGTGACTTATTTGAAGAAAACTTTTTTATTTTTTGAAATAACATTTGCAGAATGGCAGGGAACACTTATTTCTCTAGAGATAACCATAATTTATTCACAAAATTTCGTGTTGACCCAAGGGAACACCTAAAAAACTGAAACGAACTTCTAAAACCAGTGAGTCAGAGGAGAAAAATGTGAAAAAGGGTCCGCGCGATTGAGCCATTCTATTTTGTGCAAAAAAACTCTCTCAATTTCAAATACTATTTTGCTCTTTTTTTGCTTCCCAACATTTTTCGCAAGCTTCTTGTTTTTCCTCGACATGTTTTTCGGGATTCTGGATTTTTTAGTAACTTGAATAATTTTATTTTTGTTTTTTCCAGATTTCATTATGTACTACGACTGAAATGTTGCAAAAAAGTGAGTTTCTTTAATTTTTTTTTAATTTTGAAAAAAAGTTTCAAATGAAAAAAGAAAAACCAAGTAATAAATAAATAAAAAATAAATAAAAAAGGCGAGAAAAAGTGAAATAGGTCATCCATCTCTTTTCTCACTTACCATTAGACAATTTTGTTTTCTACATTTTTCTGAGACATTTTTTTTGTTTGAGAAATCTAAAATTTCACAATAAGATTTTATTGGATTCTTCAATTTTATAAAAATTCATTTCCGGTTGCGTCAACGTCAAATTAAGAAACTTTTTGCATTTTTTGTTCTTCTCATAATGTTGTGCTTGAAATAAAAACGTCTAGAGATTTTTTTACGAAGCCACTTTGGTTTCTTAGTCATTCTGAAATGTTCATTCCGTCTTTCCCTTGCAGCATAAAAGTACAGGAAATTAGTAACTTTTTCTGTTATTTGGCTCCAAAAATCATTTATTCCTCATTGTTTCTACACATATTTATGTAAACGATTTATTTTAGTATATTGACACAACTAATAGTAATGTTTTACTGTTTCAATGCTCATATTAGTGTATTTTTCATTTATTCCTTTGTTATTTTTTTTCCAAAATCCATTAAAATTGAAAAAAAACATAAGATAACAAAAACAAATTTGGATGTCTGCGAAAAATTGTTTTGATAGCAAAATATTATGGGCCAACCCTGAATTTTCTTGGAAATCTGAAAAAAAAAACGATTATAGGACGGAAGTTTTCGACACGGAACTGTCTTTTCTTCAGAAAAAATTGAAAAATGATGAGATGAAAATGATCCCCGAAAAATTGGAGAATGTGCCAATTTTCTATTTCTGTCCATAGTTGTTTCGAGTTTAATAAAAAATGACATCAAGCAATTATTTTCATATCCAATTTTATTTCAAGATTTTTACGCAAAGTAGAAGTGTAGAATTAATTGTCAATTTGGCAATTAAGCTTAAGATCTGGCTGAACTTTTTATTTAGAAACATATGAGATTTTGACTAAAGTTTGACATTTTCAAGAACTGTACTTTTCTGGAAAAATCATTTTCCTTTTGCAAATGAACTTCCCCATCTTCCGAATTTTTGCAGTATTTGAAAGTTCACAATATGTTTTTTTCAGAAAACAGTGAAGCTTGGATAGCTACTAGATCTAGATCAAAATACAATTTTTCGAAACATCAATAACAGTTTTCGAGTTCATCCACTTAAGACTTTTCAATATATTTTTTTTCAATAAAAAAACACAATGTTCCATTTTAAACTTCTCAAGTTACATATGTATTTTGAAACAGTGACCTTTGACATCAACAAATTGGATTCTCCCCCATTTTTATATTTTTTCTAATCAAATATCACACAAATCATGAGTGAGAAAAAAGTGCCAACTAGTTTCTAGAATCCCGAGATGTGTTATTTTCATCAGAGGAAAGAGACAAAATTTTGTTCGCGCCACCCGTCGGTGGGTTTTATTTGCTCAACTCATTATTGCAGGCGGGCACAGTTCTACTTCCACCCACCGATTTTTTTCTGACAATTTTTTTGTTGTTTGAAAAAATGTTCCGTTTATTTATAAATAAAACATTTGTGATATAGATAGATGTATATCCAAATATAGGACTCATCAATATAATATCATCGTGCGTATTATATGTTTATCTTTCTCGATCAGTATTTTTTCTTTTTTTTTCTTTTTCATAAAAGGGTACTAGACAGTGATTGAACGTTTTCATCTTTTTTTTAGTTCTCTTTTTGATAGTCTTTTTCATTCTTCAAACTTACAACAAAAAAACAGACAAAAAAACAACAACATAATTAGTTCAAATTGGGAACTTTTGTTAGTGGTTCAAAGTGGATTGTTCCAATTTCAGAGTTCTTCTTTTCTTTTTTTATTTTTTTCTGTTCTTCTTCAATTCACTATTTTGTTTCTTCTGAAAACTTTTTAAGAAATTTTAGAAACTTTTTTTTTCTGAAATTTCTCGAAAAGTCGTGAGAAAAATTGGTGGAAGCCATAGCGTTGCTATGCGGTTCTTTTCCAGTGTTTTTCTCATTTCCGTACATTTTTTATTTATTTGTTTCGTTTCTTTGAACTACTTTCTTTTCATGATTCGAAAATTGGATTGTTTATTTTTTTATTTATTTGTTGTTTTCATTTTCATTCTTAAAAAAATAAGAAAAAAAAAGCAAAAATCTTTTTGAACTTCACTATCTTGTTATTTTGATTTATCATTTTTTCTAGGTCAGAGATATTCTAGCGAGTTTTTTTCTCACAAGGGAAGTGTTTTGGGTCCCAAAACCACGGAGTGGTTTTTATCATGGTCAAATCAGAAGGTTCACCAAGTTTCAGTCATAACCAGGATCTGAAACACTCCTCTTGAAAAAAAATCCTTAACCTTTTTTATTGGTCCACCCACTCGAAATTTATTTTACCGTATTGAATTTCATTTGAAAATTTCATTTTCTCCCACAATTTTTGAAACATGCAAAAAAAAATGATTTATGAGAACCCCATTGATTTCATTTTATTTCATATGTGTTTTTGTTGGTTTTTCGGTGAAACATTTTCTAAATATTTATTTAACTTTTTTTTCACCACAGTCATTTTCAAATACTCAAATAATCATAAACCAAAAAAACAAATCCTTTTTTTCAAAGTCCACATTGTTCCAAATTTCATTTTTTGTTGTTAAATTAACAACAAACAACGCTGATAATTTCTGAACTAACTCATTGTTTCTTTTGCGGTTTTTCTGTGCTTTTTTGTCAATATGAGTCATTTTAAACAAACATGCAATTTTTTCTATGGTCTGTGCACTGTGACACAACATTGTTTGTTATTTTTTTTTCGGGAAAAAATGCGGGAAACTTTTTGGTTTGTCCCCGAAAAAAAACAAAACGAAAAGGAACATTTTTAGCTCCCTAATAAAAAATGAATCATCAATTATTTTTATTGTTTCATAATATTTTTTGGCGCAAAAAAAGAAACCATTTCCCATTACATTTCTTTTATTTCATTTCATTTGATTGGAAAAACAAAACTGTTGAATTGTTTCTGAAGAATTTATTTTAGAATTTTTAGAACTTTTTGATCCGGTGAATTCCAGTGCTCACCACAAAGATCTTAAAATTATTGGCTCTCCAAGTGCTCACCTTTCTTGGAAACCCTGAAAATATTCATGTGATTCAGGTTTTTTCATAAAAAAATCTCCCATCTGAAATTCCTGATCTTGACTTGTGCTAACTTAAAATTGCCAGTGACGGGAACATTTTGATCTTTGAGTTATTTTTTTCACAACTCAAGACACATGAAAAATGAAGTCTTTCTCAAGATATAAATTATGATTCAGCCAGCAAAAATGAAAAAAATGGAGACTTCAAACTGATAAATGGTTTTTTTCTTATCAGAAGGCATAGTTAGTATAGAGTTAATTTTATATTGTTAGCTAGCTTGCTGTCATTTTTCCAAATTATGAGTTGTAAACGTTTTGTTGCTTTTTTATTGTAACCGGAGTTATTATCTATAGAAAATGGTATTGTTTATAATTTTCAGATGTCAATTTTATGGTTAGCTTTACAGAGTCAGATGATGCTTTATTTTTGTGATAACATTATTCAGGATGGTATAAATTGAGTAACATAAATTCTGTATTGTGATTTTCTATCTTTTGCTCTTCTGAACTTGATGATTAATAAGTTAAATTCAATTCATCACTGATAATAGCAAGTCATATCAGTTCAAACAATTTTTTAAAGCGAAAGATTTTCATCAAACTGCGTCAATTTTGTCTCAATTTTTAAACTGTTCGTTTTTTGAGTCGCATCACAGTTCTTCTCTCCTTTTTTTTCTTTTCATCTTTTTTGTAAAGTTGGTACAATTTTCCATTAAACGATGACTCAGAGCTCTCATCTTTTCTCTCGCCTTACAACAAAATACATTTGTAGCCTAAAAAAGGTGGAGTCTCCAGTAAAAATAAGAAAATTGTATAATTTACAGTATCTTTTTTGTGCCCAACCCCGCCTATTTTCGACACGCCTCACAAAAAATTATTGAGAAAAAAAAACAAAACATTTTTTTCCAGTATATGTTATAAATCGTCCACTTGGAAGATGCTCTTAATTCTACAACTTTGTTTGTTGTTATTAGTGTTTGGACATGGATCGACAAAATGTGTTACTCAAGGAATGTGCCATACTGATTCTGATTCAGATGTTAGAATACCGTGTGGAAATGAACGTGGAAGTATTTATAATACCTTGAGATTGAATAGAACATTAGTTGGTTTGAAGAAATTCAATTATCATTGTCAACATTTGTTTGAAGGTTAGTTATGAATTTGAATAATTTGGGTGAACTTGAGTAGTTTATAATAGTTTTCAAATGCTCATCAGAACCATTTTTCAAAATTTTTTTGTTTTCTCGACCTGATTTCTATATCATTTTATGAACTTTGTGCACTTCTGTTTGCTCAAAACAAGTGCAAAAGGCTACACACATTTATTCTGTAGTATCCGGTTTTTCCCATATACAAAAGTCAACACAAAAATTTTCAGATGGCAACGAGGATGTTTGTTGCGATCAAGAGCAAGCCTCGATTTTGGTAAATCAATTGACAAATGCTGAAGCTGCCTTTGGAAGATGTCCATCGTGTATGGATAATTTTGCAAAACTATGGTGTGAATTCACGTGTTCACCAAGACAATCTGAATTTGTGAAAATATTGGAAAGCAGCACAGTCAACAATCAATCATATATTGAACGCGCTGAATATCGAATTGACAAAAATTTCATTCAAGGAACATTTGATTCTTGTAAAGATGTGATTTTCCAAGGTGATTTGGCGATTCGAATGATGTCTGTTAGCACACCCTACAATGTTGCCAATTGGTTGAAATTCATTGGCACAAAAAATTTCCCTATGAAAATCCCTATTAACACAAATTTCAAACTTATCGATCCACTCAATGCTACAGAAAATTATATGAATATTTCATTTTCAAAATGTTCGCAATCAGCAAGACCCGGACTTTTACCATGTGCTGTTATGGAATGTGAAAGAGAAAAATTGAAGGAAACTATTGTTTTAGATGATGGAAACCTACCAACAGTAAGGATTAGGCGTTAAAAATTTGAAACTTATATTAATGTTCAGGGATTCTGCAATGTTCGTGGAACATCGTGTATAGATTTGATGCTTGTCTTCATTCTTGGTTGTATTTGTTTCATTCTTCTCTCAACTTTTGTATTTGCCAGAAACACTGAAGCGGTAAATAACTTACTATTTATTGATCAACAAATAAATCACCAAATTTTTCAGAGAAATGAAGGTCGTGAAAGTCGTGTGGCTCGAACTGGAGAATGGATTCAAAGAAACTTGGAATCAAGCGCTCAAAATATTGGTGAACTTGCTGCTCGAAATCCCTCAAACTTTTTCTTTGTCGGAACTTTGTTTGTGATTTTCTCAGTGACTGGAATGGTTTATAATCGAGAAGTTAATGATATTCATGATATGTGGAGTTCACCACATTCGAAAGCAAGATTAGAAAGAGAATCATTCTTTGATACTTTTGGGTGAGTTCAGAAGTTGAAATGAATATCTTCTATGGAATTTTTTTTACAGAAAAACACAAAGATTCAGTCAACTCATGATAAAAAGTAATCGTGAAGGTGAATTTGGAAGATTGACTGGACCAATTTGGAGTCAAGATATTATGCGAGAAGCTTTCGAGATTCTTTACACTATTCAAAATTTGACCGGTGACAAAAATATAACTTTGGATCACGTGTGTTCTCGTCCAATGGGTCCAAATTCAGATTGTCTTATTATTTCACCAACAAACTATTTGCAGGTGAGATTTGAATGTCTATTTAGAAATTCTCAAAAAATTTTATTCTAGAATGATATCAATAAAACATACCTTCTACCTGAACAAAGTTGGTTGACAGGAGATTATTATGATAGTGAAGATGATTTATTGTGGAATTATCATGTTGCAGAATGTATAGAGTGAGTTTATAAATAAATCAATAAGAACTCATAAATAAATAATGAGCTGTTTAGAAAACCGCTGACTCTTAAAACAATGACTGGACTCAGTTGTTTCGGAACTTATGGTGGACCAGTTGACCCAAATATAGCACTTGGTAGAAAATCAACAAAACAACAATTTAAGGATGCCAATGCGTTTATGATGATTTTCCCATTGACACAAAGTAACGCTGCAGATTCAGTGAGAGCTGAAATTTGGGAGAAAGAATTTCTGAAATTCTGCAAGAATTATATTCCAACTTCGAAAAATATCTCAACTTCTTGCCATTCTGATATTAGTATTCGAGATGAAATTGATCATGATTCAAGTGCTGAAGTTATGACAATTGTTATCGCATTGTTATTCATCCTTGGTTATGTATCATTTTCACTTGGAAGATATTTTGTATGCGAGGATAAACTTTGGTCAATTTTGGTTCATAGTAGAATTTGTATTGGTCTCTGGAGTATTATTGTGAATATTATCAGTTGTTTCTGGTATGTTTCATCATTAATTTATTAGCCACAAAGTTATTTTTCAGTACCTGGGGAGTTTTCTCATTCTTGTCAATTCACCCAATCAAAACTGCTCTTATTGTTCACTTTTTTGTTGTCACCTTCCTTGGAGTTAATCGAACTTTCATGGTTGTCAAAACATATGCGCAATATCGAGTATCTGAAAACTACCGTAGTTCCGAACATATCTCTGAAATTATTTCAAAAGTGATGGTTCAAACATTATCTCCAATGCTAACCAGTTCATTTGCTTGCTCATTTGCCTTCCTTGTTGCTAGTTTCAGTGATTTGCCAGCTATCAGAATATTCTGTCTTTATACGGGTCTCGCAATTATTATTGATGTCTTCTTGCATTGCACATTGTTCTTATCTTGTTTTGTTTGGGATACAAAACGGGAACTCGATGGAAAACCGGAATTCATATTTTTGTTCAATTTCAAACTTGAAGATCTTTATGGAGCATATCTTGTTGGTCGTCAAAATTCAACAGACACATATCTCAGCCAACACTTCAAAAAACATATCGCTCCATTTATGGTCAAATTCTACACACGTGTTGGGATTCTTACTGTTTTTGTGATTTCTTTCATCGTCACATTGGTTCTATCATTTTTCTGCTCAATTGGATTCGATCAAAGTCATGCTTTAAGTGAATCGAGTTATGTTACACAGCATTTCCGGAATGTGGATAACTATATGAATATTGGACCACCAGTTTATTTCACTGCTTATGGAGAATTAGATTGGCACACTCCAAGAGTTCAAAATATGTTCTGCTCGTTACCAGGCTGTGATAAATCGTCATTTGGAACAATTCTTCAATACGCGGTGACAGAACCAGAGTATGTTGCAGTTCATTTGAATTCAAATTTAATTGTTTTCATAAAATGTTTTCAGAGAAACATATCTTTCTGGCCAAGTATTCAACTGGATTGACAGTTATTTGCAATGGATTAGTCGTGAATCATCTTGCTGCAAGGTATATGTAGATGATCCGAATACATTCTGCTCATCATCACACAGTGCATCAAAAGATCCAAAAATTTGCCGATCTTGCATGGATTATGATTTTGTTGCGAATAGCAAGAAAAAAGGATCAATGGAATATGAAAGACCATCTCAACATATTTTCTACAAACATCTTCGTCACTTTTTAGATGATGTTCCGACTAGTGCTTGTGTTCATGGGTAATTTTACATATTTTTTCATTCAAGATAATGAAAACATATGTTGAATTCCAGCGGTCGAGCATCTTATAAAGAAGCTCTATCAATCACACCTCGCGGGCGAATTCAAGCATCTCATTTCATGACTTTCCACAAAAAACTTATCATCAGCAATTCTACTGATTTCATAGGTTTGTAACACAGAAATTTGGTAATCACGAAATATAATACAATTATTTTCAGTTGCATTGGAAAGATCTCGCATGATCTCTAGACGTCTTCAAAAAGCAATCAATAACGAAGCAACTGTTTTTGCATACAGTGAACATTATTCATTCTTTGAGCAATATCTCACTATAACTCTTCAAATCAGTACACTTTTACTTATCACATTGATTGGTATTATGACTGTTGTTGCAGTTATGTCTGGTATTGATTTTATTGGTGCAGCCTGGTTAACAGTTTGTCAAGTCTCCAATTATGTTCATATAATGGCATTGATGTATTTATTCAACATTCCAATTAATGCATTATCAATCACTATTTTGATTATGTCATTTGGAATATTAATTGAGTTTTCCGTAAATATGCTCAAAGCATTTGCTCGATCAACTCAAAAAACAACATGTGCTCGAGCTGAAGAAGCTGTTGGAATTGTTGGTCCAATTATTCTATCCGGTCCAATCACTTCAATGACTGGTTCAACTTGTTTCTTGGCTGGCGCTCATCTTCTTGTTATTTATGTGTATTTCTTCCAACTTGTTTTTATCTCCATTGTATCGTCAGCTTTACACAGTCTGGTATATTTACCGATTCTTCTCACATTACGTGAAAATGTTTCACGCGTCGATTCGCCATCACTTATCAATTGCTCGCCAAACAATGGAAGATTGAAAACTGTGTCGATTGAAACTTCAAAATTAACACAAGAAAATCTTGAAGAACAAGAACTTCTCTTATCTTCGGATGGTAAGTTAACAACTCCTCATATAAAAATCATTTCCAAATATTTCTTATTTCAGTGAAACTCGACACATTAACCGTTCAAGATTCCCCTAGAAATGATCCACAGGTTTAAAAAACTGATCTCAATTCTATTTAACTTTATACATTTTGTTGATTAACCTTCCTACGGTTACTTGTATTTCTTAAATGTCTCCAAGAGAAATGTGATTTTGACCGGTTCAATAAATACTAGTTCAAAATGCTTTTCATTTTCACTTATTGTAAACATAATAATGAGCGTTTTTTATATGTATGCATGTATTTTTGTGATATTGAAAAATAAATATCAAAGCTAACGAAATTAATGTTTAACTTCTTCACTTTGGGTTTATCACCGGCAGAATATATGAAAATGAAGTGACGGAAATCGCAAAACAGACAACTTGGATTCAGAAAAAGTTACAGAATGAACGGAATGCACAGTTTCCAAACTGATTGTGAGTTAATTCAAGAAATCGAAACGTCTTCAAATCACAAAAAGTTATTAATTGAACTCGAAGCAGAAGTTTTGATTCAAATTAACAATAAAAAATCTTTCATCGTCAAAGTAAAGTTCTTATTTTTCATGTTAGAATAAATTTATTCTATGAAACACCGATCTGGCAACAATTTTTCGAAATGCAGTGTAATCCACAGACCTCAAAATTTAGTTTTAAAAAAATCGAGAATCGAAATTTAGTTTTTTGTTGAATTCTTTCAACGAGAATCGAAATTTAGTTTTTTGTTGAATTCTTTCAACGAGAATCAAAATTTACTTTTTTGTTGAATTCTTTCAACAAAAATCAAAATTTAGTTTTTTGTTGAATTCTTTCAAAATGTTTCTGCCTAGGGGCACCGCCCCTAGTTGGTACATCCATAATAAACAACAAGCTTCAAAAATAAAAAAATAATGAATTTTCAGTGATAAATCACACAATCATGTTCAATTCGAATAAATTTATAAACAATAAGTTTTGCTCAATTTTTCACTATTCGAAAACGTATTTTATATCAAAAAAATCAGAAATCAAACAACAGCTATGAAACGAAGTGGTTTTAAAATTACTTGGAGTGAGACGGTTTTACATGATAGTTCGGAGTTCTCTTTCTTTTTTTATTTTCTTAAACGGAGAGGTTCAATCCTTTCAATTGTTGGATAGCATTTGACAAATATTGATCCTTGAATGATTTGTCGTTGATTTGTTTTTCTACCTGCAAAAATCTCAATGAATATTCTAAAAGAACCAAAGAAAAACTAAAAACTTACACTAGAGTTAATAAGTTTCAAAAGTTGTTCCTTCTCGAAACGTTGTTTGGTTTCTTCAGTTTCTTTCAAGTAATCAATACGGCGTTTCAATTCAGTGGCAACGGTTTGAACATTCTTTCTGTAAGTGGCTTCTAATTGAAGAGCCATGCTCTCCTTGAGAGCTGTTGGAAGAGCTTCCTTGATGGCGTTCAAGGATTCGGTTTCGGCAGCCGATGTTTTACGGAATTGAACAGCGTCCTTAAGATCTTCTTGGATAAGTCCCTTGAAGAAGTTGACACGTTCTTGATAACCTTGGTACAAGGATTGATCGATTTTGTCTGAAAAATTGTTTGAATTTGGATCACATAATGCAAAAAAATTTCAAGAAAAAACTTACATCCAGATGTGTTTTTGACCAAAAGATAGAAAAGAATCCATCCGACAGTCATGTGTCCTTGTTCTTCAAACACCCACAATTCCTTGTTGAGAAGGAAGGCGAAAAGTCCTCCGAAGAAAAGGTATGGTCCGGAGACTCCGGTGACATTGTTGAAGGCGGTGAACCACGAGTCTGGCATCATCAAAAGACGAGTCTTTGGTGGGTACATTGGTCGGGCTGGGTATGGGTAGTTGACCTGGAAATTTATCAATATAAGTTTCTGGTTTTTTGAAATTTTGAAATTTCTGAAACAGCAAACGTTTCTGTTGAGAAGATTTGTAACTTTGAAGGAAAATTTAATGAGCTTTGAAATATCATTTCAACATTAACTGAATTTTGAAACAATATTCCACTGTTTAAAATTTATTGTATCCTGAAAGTTTTGAAATCGCGACACAATTTATGTTCAATGAGAATTTTTCCAAGTCTAACATATTTTCTAAAACAGTTTTCCTCCCACAATCCCTCCCTTTACGATTAACTAACCAAGTCGCGATCTGGATGTTCTTTGAAGTCTTTTGGAATAGCTGGGAGGACTTCTGGTGCTGACCATTCCTTGTTGGCATCATCAAAAGCTGATTTTGGTGCATGAGCCTCACCCTTGAGTGGGACACCTAAAAGCATACATTTTCAAAATTTCCCCAAAATTTATTGAAAATTACCTTGGAAGCGGAGAGCAATCTTTTGGAAGTAGTTTGGTGCGTCATCCGATGCTGCGTTGGTGGAGGCTGCTAAAAATAAACAGATAACTCTAGAAAAACTCAAGATTCAATAGAAACTTACGAGCAGCATGGGCGAATCTGGCTGGAATGATAATGACACGGGCATTTTGTCCCAAAGGAAGACAACGGCTCAACGACATGATGGTACCCTTGAAAAATTCAACACATTTTTTGAAAAATCTTGAAAAGAACGCGCTGAAAATATGAATCCAAAAATCCAAAACGTTGAAAAAACACACAGAAAGTGTGCCCGCCCGTCCGTCCGTTTTTCGTATCTTTCTTTTTCTCGTCTCAAGCGTTTCGAGACCAATTTCTCTGTCCCTGTGAGTGTTGTGTGCGTAGTGTCGTTTGCCTGTTGTTTAGCAGAGATTTATTTTTTTGCTTGTTTTTTTTCGAGCTTCACGTGGTTTTTTTTCAATATTTTTTTTTGGTTAATTTTAAGATATCATTTTTCACAAAATATTTATTATTATTATTATCAGCATGTATGCAAGTTTGCACCCGGGCAAGCAAAAATTGTACAAAATAAGTTATAAACGGGCAAGGCTTCCATATTCTTTGTCACTTTTTGATAGAAAATCTTTGATGATTTTGTTGAACGCGTTTCTGAATCGGGATGACATTAAATTGTAGAATATTGGGTTAAGAGTAGCGGATACATATTGAAGAAGTCCTACAAATTTTTGATGGTTCTGTTTCTTTTTTTTTCCGAAAGTGTCATTTTACCTGTAACAGAGAAAAGAAATTTGCAAAAAGTTGAATTGTTACAATATTCTTTGTTATATTGAATAATGAGACGTTGAATATGATATGGCAAATAGCAAAGGAAGAAGACTGAAGTTACAGTAAATAACATTTTGATAACCATTTTTTGGGCTTGTTGACTTCTTGGTGGTTGATAATTCTTGACGTGAACCGTCAACGGGAAACTATGATTCGCATTTTGTGATGATCTTGAGAATTGGAATTGAATGCTGTCCGAAGCGGTGGTTCCGACTGGGGTATGAACTGTGGTTGAGGCACTCATCTCATTCAACGTGGCTAGAAAAATGGTAATTTTTTGTTGGTTTGGATGTTTTTTTTTCTTTTTTCGAACCTAGGATTCGGCAATAGCAGAAAACAATGAAGAATAGAGGGAGAACAAACGTTATAACCATGATTGTTTCTACTGGATAACGCAGCGGTGAATCTGGATTTGTGACAAGACTGCAACTTCCAAATTGATGCGGATGACTATAACCACAGAAATCAGTCAAAACTCTTTGGAATTTCATTCCGATGTAGAGTGATGGTATCGCTGCAACGATCCAGATTGTATATATCAATTTCATCACTCTTCTCCGATCAAAAACAGTTCGGTGAGTGAAAGGATAACATATAGCTTGGAATCTTTCCGCGGTCAGTGAGACTATTGTCAAGATTGATGCAAATGTGAATAATGAGATGGTTGTGCTTGTAAACGAGCAATAACCATAAATTGGTGGAGGATCACCATTTCTCCAAATATAAATGAGATCAAATGAAACTCCAACAACAATCAGGCAGAAATCACTGATTGCCAAGCTCGCCAGAAAGCAATTTGTATGCGAATGAAGTGAAGCTGTCTGAAATTCATTCAAATTCAGCGTGGAGAGTTGAGAGAAATTATCTCACCTTGAATATGACAATGACGGTGAATAGATTTCCAACAAGACCAACACATCCAACAATGATAAAAATCAAAGTAAGCACAACTTTGATAGCCAAATGAAGAGGGGCACTGAAATTCTATTTTGGATAGAATTTTGAAAGTCAGATGACTCACCCATTAACTAATTCGTTGTTAGAATAATCAAAAGCACTTTCCAAAGCAAGAGCAGCAAATTTGATCACATCTTTATTGTCACAATGTGAACTTAGAAGAGTGAACATTGATTGGTTCTGCAAAAATTTAAAAATAACTAGACTAATTCGTTTTGTCTCGTGGTATAAATATCTGGTTACCTTGAATATGTCGTCAGAATTATTGAATAGATTCCGTTTGATGTTTGTGACAGTGTCAAATATGATGTTATATTTCTCGATTGTTTGATTATCAGCATCCATGTTTGTCTGAAAATGAGAAAATATGAGAAATTTCAGAATATACTTGGGTATAATTATGTGGGAAGTTTCAAGAAAAAGTATAATTTAGGCGAACTTTTTTCCAAAAATAATAATAGTGTGAGGTACAGTAATCCGATGGAACCTACTCGGAAAAATGGAGCATAAATAAACTCGAATTTTTCTGCTGGTGTGACGAAACAAAGAGGAAGAGGAAAAAATGGAAAGAAAGAATCAATTTCAAGCGGATTGTTCTGACAAGTGGATTTTTAGTAGTATTTACACTTCCGACACACCCTTCAAAATTGGATGGTCCAGAAAATTGCAAAATGAGAAAATGTCTTTATTTGGGCATCCTTTAGAAATTATTTGATTTCTAAAACAAAATCGCAGAAAGTATCGGATTTCGCAAAAAAGTTTCTTTTGCATTCCGTTTCTTTCCTAATTCCAAAGAGCAGAAGTTTTTTCTTCCATTTTCAAAATGAAAAAAAAAAAAACGAAAATGAAGATGAGAAAAAAACATAACAAAATGCTAATGGGATGGATAATAATGCACTATGTGAGATTCATTTCTCCAACTGGAATCGTTTAGAATAAAATGGGATCAGGCAAAAAAAAAAACGAGTGGTTGAAAATACATAAACATAAACCAGATGTTCGCGAAAAAAAGAACCAGTCAAAAAATATGTTGCTCGAGGAAACGGTCAATGAAATGAAGAAGGCGAACTTTGATAGCGGCTCATTTTCTTTCAATCAATGGAAATTGAATTGACCTAATTATTTTTGGAAACAAAAAACATTTAGGAAAACTAGGGTGCAAAAAATATATGTTGGGACTTTATTTTGGAATGGGACCTTTGTATGTGGAAGCCCATTTTCACATACATTCGGGGTTTTTTATTCCGATCAGACGGTTTTCCGGAAAAATGCTCCTGACCAGAAAAACTTCTGATCATGAAAAAGTGGGGATCAATGATATATTTGACTTATGAGGGTCTCTTCTACGAATCACCCAAAAACTGAATGTACATAAGAAACATTGTTGAAAAACTGAAGAAGCATAAAAGTACTAACATAAAAATTCGAATAGGAGAAAAGAAGACAAATTTTTGTATGTATGTGTGTTTAGTGAAATGATATCTGCTGTTTACTTCTTCGTTTTTTTCATTCTTCAATGACCCCAAAATTTTCACACGGTTTGTTCGATGTTTACGTTCTCTGAAATTGTGACAAGAAAAAAATTATATGATAGAAGGGGGAATACTGTTTGATCGTAAAAAAACTATTTTTGGAAATATGTTGGGAAAGCAAACTAGAAAATATGAAGAACAAGAATCAGAAGAACAGCTGAAAAATAACAATTCATAATACATTTGAATCAGGAATTTTCAGAGAAGAGCGGAAATAAGATTGGGAAAATTCTGTATTCCAAAGTTACAATAAATTAAAAAACATGAAAATAGTGACACATAATCATCATTTGCCATTTGCCTAACTTTCCCAAATTGCTCAATTTAATGTCCCTGCAATAATAGGTCACACATTCAAATGCGCTCTATTGCACCTGGCTGTTGTTGTTAGCATTTCATAATTACCTTATTGTTTCTCGCTTCTTTTTTCTTTTTTCTTTTTTTATTAGATAGAAAAATTTGTTTATTCTTTTCAGATAGTTTAATGTCAAAAAATGACTCATTTGTTGAAAAGATCAGCCAGCAATTGGATGAATCTCAATTAAAATCCAAAGATTTTTCGGATTTTTGTAAACATTGTGAGTTTTTTTTCATCATTTTTCATAAAAAAAAGAGAGAAATTATATAAACAAAATTTTCAGATGCTGCACTATCTGCAGAAGCGGAACAAAAAGCAAATGTGAGAAATCAAAATGATGAGGGAAGTCGGTTACAAGATGAAATTGCACAATTGTATATTGACAAGGGGAAAAATGATCAGATGTTGATTGATGCGAACACGCGGAATTTGAGGATGGAAGAGAAAATGGAGGATTTCAGTCATTTTTTGAAACAAATGGATGAGAATTATAAAAAGAAATGTGCAAAGTATGCTCAATTAGAAGTGGAATTTAAACGGATGAAAAGTGATCATTCAGATAACAAAGATGAAAGATTAGCATTTAACGTAAGTTTGAATATTATAAAATTGAAGGGAGGTCAGGTAAAAACCTATCTCACAGAGACATACATTCAGGTAATCCTGGAATTAAAATGCCAAAAACCTAGCTGAAACTTTTTAGATTTATTTCGTTTCTGATCTATCCCCTTCCCCAACATTAATGTTAAAAACCTTGAACTCAACTGATTTCAGACAAATGTTGCACTTCTACGCGACCAAATCCAAAAACTGGAGGATGAACGGATCCAGCTTATGAATAAAATACGGCAATTGAATGAGCAAAAAAACGAGATCCAAAATGCGGAAACACAATTAGAAGAGCGACGGGCAAGCTTGATGGCAAAGGATAGAGCTAATTCTCAAAGTATTGTACGCAAAGATCAAGAGATGACGAAATTGGCTGCTCCCGAAAAAGAGATCAAATCCGATTTATTTTTAGCCGACACCATTCCAACTATCAAAATGTTCAATATCGTATGTTTTTAATTTCATTTGAAAAACACAGGAACGACTCATCAAATTAATGATTTATTTCAGAAAATTGATGATGGAGAAGTCAATGACGTCAAATGGATTTCACAAGACACCTTTGCAACAGGAGGATCTGATAGATGTGTGAAACTATGGAAAACTACCGATGATGAACCATTGAAACTGTGAGTTTTGAAAAAAGTTTCAAAATTTTCGAAATGAAATGTTTTTTTTAAGAAATTCGCTAACTGGGAGTAGCGCTTCGATTACACAATTGGATTTTGACCCACAGCGAAGAAACTTGCTGGCTTCATCAAATGATAAAAATTTGCTTTTATATAATATGGACTTGTTGAGGCTGACGGTTAGTTTTTTATTGAAGTTTTGTCATCTTCATCTTATAAAAACAATCTTAATTCAGGCAACTCTCTCTGGACACAGTGATTCTGTAACATGTACCAAGTTTTATTCAACTAATGGTGCTATTTCTGGAAGTGCAGATAGAATTCTAAAAATTTGGGATCTCGCATCCCAACGATGTACCCGCTCTTTCTACCCGATCTCAAAAATTCTTGATCTCGAAACTCGTTTCGCCACAAGTCCTGCTATATTTGCATCAGCTCATCATGACAAAAATGTTCGAATTTGGGATGGAAGATCAAGCGAACCTGCACAATCAGTTGTTTTGGGAGGACGTGTCACCTCACTTTTTATGTCAAAAACTGGGCAAGAAATGTTGTGCTCGACTAGGGATGATACGCTGTCATTGATTGATATTCGAACTTTTGGTATTGTACATAATTATAGTTTTGAGAATTATCATACAAGTTCGGATTATTCAAGATGTGTCATTTCACCAGGTGGTGATTATGTTGCTGCTGGGTGAGTAAAAAAGATTTTGAAAAAGACCATTAAAAAAATATTTGTTTTTTCCAGTGGCTCCAATGGCGCTGTGGTCATATGGAATAAAATGACAGCCCGTATCGAAAAAGTTCTCCAGTCAGAATCAGAAAGCACAGTTCTCTCAATTGCTTGGAATCCAACTGGACAAGGGCTCCTTTCCGCGTTTCGCCAGAAAAACGTGGCTTGTTATAAATAATTATTTTTTGTTTGTAAATTTTGTAAAAAAAAATCGAAAAGAAGAAGGATATTTACGGTTTCAAGATTCTCAGAAAAAATGTACCCAATCAAAATTTCTACTTTTTTTTAGATATAAATAAATATTTGTTGATGTTACTGAACTATTTTGTTGCGTTATTTTGATGGGAAATTGTTGATAAAAAATTTTTTTGAAGTTCATGAAATTTAATTCTGAAATTTCTCTATCCAAAATCAATTATGTTCACATATATTTAAAACTGATGAGGGTTTCGGATGTTGCTTCTGATCTTAGCAACCGTATTTTTAATTTTCTACAAGCTGAATATTTCCAAGTTCTAGCAGACCGGTGAGAAATCTAATAAAATTAAGGAAATCATTGTCCCAGAAGCAGGAATCAGCCAGTCTATGATTCTTACAACAACTTTTTCTCAAAATAAATAGGTTTATTGTATGGAATGCATGTGTAGTTTACATAAAATTATGGCGGCGTAAAACAAATATAAATTAAGTGAATCTGCATACTATCTTCTTATCTAACTATTCGAGCGAGGTGAGCATAAGAAGTTGTTTCAATACTTTGGTCTGTGATGTTTCACGGATCTCGCCGGCCAGGAACATTTCATCGACAACTGTGTAGACTTTGTAGAAGTTGAAAACCAAATCCAATTCGCAGACATTGTGGAAATATTCGTTGAGAACCTTTAAAGAAAATTTTTGTTTTTTTTTGTATAATTTCTTCTTTTTGCTAAATTGACTTTCAAATAAACAGATTATCTTTTAAAAAATCCCCAGATAACACATACCTCAACAAAATTATGAATCGCTTCCAAATAATACAAATTGTTATCAGTAATATCAACACAAATGCAAAAATACAATCCAGCATATCTTCTGTATACAATTTTGAAATTGCGGAATTCGACAAAGTTGGTGTGTTTGGCATCACGAACTGTTACACAAGCATGAACTTCTTCGATCAATTTCTGAAAGAACAACAATATTCAAAGTTGTTTTTTGTTCAGAGAAAAATTCTTTTAAAAAACTTTATTCACCTGTTTCTCATCATCATCAAAATGCATATACCATTTGGCAAGTCTTGTTTTTCCAGCGCGGTTTTGAATCAAAATGAAACGAATCATCTGAAAATTGCTGAAATGAGTAATGAACGAAATAAAGAAAAAACAAAAACAACGGAAAAAAATAAAAGGACAATATTGATTTATTGAAGAGAGAAGGGGAGAAGAATTCGCGTCTCTTCGCTGCGAGATATCGGCAGAGAAAAAAAGAGTGTGGCTTTGGCGAGAGAAAAGCGAGGGAATTCAAAATGTGTTTTTTGAAGCAGAGGAACAATGAGTGATTGAATGTGAGAAAAAGTCTAGCAATGTACTGATTCAACATTGAGCATTCTGGTTTTCTTGAGTTTTTAAGTGAAAACTATCCCAGTAAGAGCATAAAACATATTTTTCGACTTCTTGTTAAAAACCTATATACAAACTATAGTAAATGAGAAAAAGTGCAATAAAAAACAATTTAACTTGGTCGAAAACAAATTCTGCCGTTAGTTTTTTAAAAATTAAATTGAGCTATGAAGGTTTTAAAAATAAACTTCATAATAAATCAATCCATGTATTTTCAAATTGTCTTGTTTCTAGACATAACTTTAGCTCACTATTTCATTGCAAAAATGCTATGCTTTTTCTCCATCAGCATTATCACTGTAAAATTAAAATATCCAATTGTTATTAACTTTGCGTCGGGGGATTATCGAGAAACAATTTTAAAGATTTTTAGAAAGAAAACTTTGATTATTTCCTATAGTTGGACATGGTTTGGAAAAAACTCGAGCGAAACCAGTTTTTTGAGTTCGCTCACTTGTTTGGGTTTTGAGTTCGCTCACTCATTTCAAACCGGTTTTCGCTCAAATATCGCTCATTTCTGATTTGATTAGAATAGATGGATTTTTAGTTTTTCGGATAAGGGAAATCGATTGGTGATAATAATTCGGCCCAAAAACCCAAACTAAAATGATCATAACTTTTTTATTTTTCAAGCTTTTTCAAATATCTCTGGACCATTGTGACGTGCTCATCCTCAGCTAAATTTTTGCTCTTCGGATTTTGAATGTTGGTCCGAAGAGCAAAAATTTGGCTGAAGATGAGCACGTCACAATGGTCCAGAGATATTTGAAAAAACTTGAAAAATAAAAAAGTTATGACCATTTTAGTTTTTGTGACTCGAAAAGGTATAATGTATTTCAATTTAATTTCAAACAAAAATCCATTTTTCATGCCCTGTCCCTTTAAAAGTCACGTTTAGGCCGAATTATTATCACCAATCGATTTCCCATATCCGAAAACCCAAAAATCCACCAATTCTAATCAAATCAGAAATGAGCGATATTTGAGCGAAAACCGGTTTGAAATGAGTGAGCGAACTCAAAACCCAAACAAGTGAGCGAACTCAAAATTTGAGTTTTCGCCCAGATCATTTGAAAACTCACTCATGTCTTACTATATTATTTCCATAATTTTTATTGAAAATACACAAATTTGAATATTCTTTCGTGTATATGAATAAAACTTGACGGTATTTTTTAAAGTTAATTCTGCTGAAATTGAATTCCACATATGAAAAAACAGTGTATGAAAGATTTCATCAGTGCTTGAAATGTTTCTGATATGTCTGTTAATTGGGAATCAACTAAATAAGCACTATTTCAGAGATCAAATGAGTGGTAAGTTATTAAAACCTTGATCTATGAGAAACTAGATTTCGAACTGTTTTTTACAAACACTTTTTTGTTCAAAGCCGAATTTTGAAATATAAATGTAATTATATTCACAGATTAATCTCATGTTCAAAAGTTCATTTTTTGTATGATTTTCAATTAAAAACAAATCTGTAGTTTGATGTTTTTCGCACTTTCAATTTTCAAAGATCAAATTCTTTTTTCATTGTCAATGTCAAATAGAGCAAAACATGACACAAGTGAATTTACGCAATTTTTTCACAATATCACGGAAGGATTAAGATAATATTACAAAAGAAGGAAAAGTCGAACACTTTCCCTTCACAAACAATGCACTTTTAATCCACCACACTCTTTTTTTTTTTGGTTATGGATACTGTTATTATTAAGTCCCGCCCTATTTTGAAACAGATACTGGACATATATAATCGGTCAATTTAAAGCTGTTTATTTAATTTTTTTGTAACAAAAAAATAGCAAATAGTATTATTTTGTCTGGTAAGTTGAACGGGATAACAATATTTTTTTTTAATTTACAAGATCAGTTTCAAAAAAGTTGAGCTTTAAAAAGACTGATAACATTGAGCTAAAATATAATGAATAAATTTCCAAAATTCCAAGAAAATTAAACTTGATAATTTCTTGAGTTTCTGTTGAATAACATCTTTAGAATACCAACACAATTAGTAAAGTCATCTGATATTTTTGATTTTCCACGTTATGGTTTCAAAACTAAATTTTGATAGAAATGTTTTAGAATCAGAAACTTTAAGTCGGAAGACTATTGTAGAAGCAAAAAACACATTCACTAAAAATTTTCCCACTACTGTATTTTTTCTGATGACAACATTTTTTCGATAGTCCAAAAGTCATTTCACATATCTCAAATGCTTAATGTAGCATATTGAAATATTCCCATCGTCATCCAAAAAAAATGTGATTATAATTATATTCTGCCCTGTCCATCCCTTTTTTCTATACTCACAGTTATATAACTGTCCATTTCGCCCAACCTCATATCCGTCGTCACATACCAGTTTTTTCGGTTAAGCAGCACATGCAGGCGATTCGAATTTTTTTGGACCGGTGTTCATATAGGCTTTACTATATGCTATTGATGCTACTAGTCGGAAATTTCTTTGTCATATCAATTACATTCCGCTTGTACGGACACTTATTGTCCAACCGATAATTATTTTATTATTCATTTTTTTTCATTGAAACTGGCTCTTCATGTTTTTGTTTTTGTTTTGGTCAATTCATGTTTTTTTTTGTTTCAGAGAAATCATATCAGAGTGGATGGATGGACTTAACGAGCCGAATTGTTCTTATTATTCAAATTCTCACAGGTAAATTTTAATTTTAAGTACATTATTTTTCTAAAGGCAGGCTAAGATTCACATATAAAGTTGAAATTAGAAAGTGGATATTTTTTCGGATACTAAATTTTTTAGAACAAAATGTTTATGTAAGAGAATGAAAAACAGGTAAAAGCAGAAAACAATAAATCAAAAGTTAAGAAATTTTCAAATACGTAAAATCAGCAATAAGGTATCAATTTTCTTGAAAATTCTAGAATTGTTATTCATTTTTTACGTGAGTGGGTGAATAATTTTTCTAGGCTTATAGAAAAAATCCTTTTCACACTTTCACGTGTATCAACATTTTTTAGTGTCTGCGATTGTGAGAGATACACGAATACCCGACCAGAAAATTGCCACAGAATCCAAAATGTTCGAAATCGACAAGACAAAACTGCAGCACTATTGGCAATATGCAACTGCAAATGCTTTAATCAAGGTTTGTTCTATCATAAATTAAAAAACAACATTCTTGTGAATTTCAAAGCATCAAACATTATTTCCGGAGTTATCTAATTCAGCATTGTTAATAGTTGAAAACACCCAAGCCTCATTAATTTTTCAAACCTATTCATTTCCTGCTTTACTTTTTTCTGAACAACATAAATCCTCATAAAAAGTTTGCATTTCTCTAAAAACTGGTTCTAGCTGTTTTTCAAAGATACATTATACTTTTTTTAGTCACATACACGGTATGTTCTTCAAAGTTTGCCAAAAATCGAGAGAATTGTATTCGAGCAATGTGCAAGAGATGCGAAAACAGTGATACAAATGTCAAAATGCGCTGTCCGCGTGTTTGATGCAAAACAAAATGCAGAACTATTCAAAACTACTACAACTACAACTACACAAAAACCAATGTTTAACAGTCGATTTTATATTCGACCACATATTAAGAAAATTCAAGTTGCTCCAGCTAAACAAACTCATGAAATCGGAGAAAATAGAGGCATTTATTATTATAGCTCAAGTCAAAATCGATGGGTACAAAATCCAATTCGACGACAATCTAGAAATCGGATTAAACGAAACAGTGATGATGAAATTATGAATGCTTATGAAATGTTTCTTGCTGAACAACGGAAATTGAAAAAAATGGAAACAAGATTGCATTCTGCTACAACTCTCGAACCAATGAGAAATTCTTTTGGAATTCTTCGACACATGAAAATGAATGATACAATCAAACATCGAAAAAAACGAGGAATCGATGAAAAAGTTCAAGAAGATGACAAGATAGCTGATTTTAAGCCAAGTATAGACTTTAAAAAATTAGCTGCGAAATATTTTCAACATCTCGTTTGTGAGTTAATAACCCGTTATGTACATATATCCATAATTTTTTCACATTTTTTTAGCTGGTGGTGGTTCTCGGAATCATCTTGACAATATTCGTCGAATTCGAAATCATTATCTTCGTGTTGAAAAATGCAATGGCTATTTCAAATTAATGAACGATGAAAACAGAAAGTAAGTTTTTTCAACAGTTTTTTCCACATGTCATTGAAATGTATGCACTTTGGTTCATTTCGAAAATCCACTTTAAAAAAGTGTGAGAGTCAGGTTTTGGATTAAATGTGATTATTTTAAAAACCAGTTATTTCAACTCAAAATGATGGTCATTTAAAAGTTTGAGTTAGCCGAGAATTGACAACCAATGAACTTTGATGGGATAATAGTGATATGAGGCTTTTGACTAGTTTTTTTTTGAAATTTTAATTGTGAAGAGTTTTTTGAAGAGAAAAATGGCATTTTGAAAATTGATAGCTTTCATGAGGAAAGTACAACAATTATGAACGGTTGATTGATTGCGAATGTGTTATTTTGGTGGGAAAGTTGAGAATGAAATGAAAAATTTTGAAACTGCATATGTTACAAACATATAAACAATTATCAAAAAAATAATTTTATTATGAAGACTACAAATGTATTTTCAGATTATTCGATGAGATGAATCTTGGGATTAACAGCAAAACTCCAACAGTCAGAAATGATGAAGATGGTTTTGAACAAATCTTACAAATTATTAATCAATTTTCGGTAATGACATATGTATTTCAAAGTTTTTTCTGTAGCTCTTTTTTTTTCAGGCTACGGAGTTGTCCCATGAAAAATTTTCATTTTTATCACCTCGGATTTTATCAATTATGCCGGAAGGCAAAAAACGAAATCATCTACTATCTCCAACAATTTTATCTTTTCAAAAAGATGGATTTTTCTCACTTCCGGATTTATTTACCGTTAGTTTACCCCAAGTTTTCAGAAAATTCTCAAAATTTCAATCTTCAGATTGTTTCTTCAAACCAACGATACAATCAATTGATGCTGGAAGGAATTATGGATCTCAGTGGAGCTGGTGAAGCTGTAGAACAGCTTCTGACAAAAATCGAACCAGATATGAAATATATGGAGGAAGTTCAATACCCAATGGTTCAAAAAATGTCGCGACAAGATATTAATTGGCTTCGAGCAAAAGATACGTTCACACCGGAACAAAATTTTGAATATCAAAAATACGGTTTTGCTCATCTTAATGAGGATCAAATTCGTTTGATTTACTCGGAAAATCCAGGATTATATTTGGGTATTGCGAATTTGACAAGAGATGAACGAGAGGCACGAATTGAGAAAGAAATTCGGAAATTGGCTGCTGAAGGAAGGCCACAATGGCCCTTTTGGAATTCTCGGGTGAAAAGAGCAACTGAAGAAGGTGGAGAAGCTGGAGGACATGGTAATATCATAAATTATCCCGAAGGAGAAGAGATCAATGGTGTAGAATATATGGTTTTGAAGGTAATTTTGAAATTGATTTCGTTAATATTCACATGGGTTTTGATTATTCTGAAACTTTATACATACATTATTTTCAGCCACATGCATTCGCAAATTTGGTAAATTTCGGTGTTTCGATGGAAGCAATGATACTTTCACCACACGCCTTCATTTCGGAAATAATGCGACCAGAAGCCTTGAAACTCGATGTCTTATCACCTCGAGCATTTGTCGCTACAGTACTCTCACCATCTGCTCTAATTGCTCGAATTCTCTCACCAACAGCATTTCGAGCAGAAGTTTTGTCACCTCGAGCATTAACAGCTTGGGTTTTATCGCCTGAAGCATTAGTCGCTGAAGTATTATCACCAAGATTTTTAGAACCCAGGGTTCTTTCTCCAGAAGCACTTGTTATCGATGTATTGAGTCCAGGTATTCTAGCACCTCATGTGATGTCTAGTGAGACTATTGGAGTTATGGTTTTGAGCCCGAATATTTTATCACCACGTATTGCAAGTGATGAAAAATTTTTGGTTGAGGTGAGTTCAAAATGAAAAAAATATTTTGGAAGTTCAGAGTTTGAGAAGTTGAACAATGATAATGCTTTCAGATCTTGTCTCCACATATTCTTGGTGGTCCTCACAGTGAAGAAGAAGAAGAACACGGTGTTCTTGAAGTCGGTGATGGTGGTCTCGGTCACGAAGGTCATAATCACCCACCAGGTCGAAACAGCGGTCACATCAATTCTCCCGCTTCTCAACATTCTCATGATCACGGCCACGGCCACGAAGCTGCTCAAGGTATCCGAATGGCGTCTCACGACCAAGTTGCCCGGCCACCAAATCCATTCTAATCCGCTATATGTACAAGTTCCACTAGTTCAACTTATTATGTATTTAAAAAATGCTGTATGACACCACCAAACTGTTTTTGAAACCGGTTTTCTCTCTCTCTATGACCATTAGGATAGAATTTATTCATTTTTTATTGTTATTTTTTTTTCATTTTTACCTACAAATATTCACAACTTCAACAAATTGCTTATGGGTTATCGCTGATTTTTGCTTCATTTTCAATTGAGCTCATTTTAATTGATCGACACAATGACAATAAAATATTTATATTTATTCAAGGAACTGAACAAAACCACTGATATAAATATAGAACATTGTAAGAAAAATGATAATAATAAGGCACGAGAAAATGATGAACTTCACTGATAATTGACTCTTTGGCGGCTTCTCATCACGACCTTTCACTTCTGAATGGAACAAGTCGTAAAAAAGTGAATACGGAACAAGATTAAAAAAACATACCTAGAGTTATTGTCGAGCAAGGTCGTCGAGCTTTCCCAATTGTGACTAAATAATCAGGACGATCATAACTGGAAAAAACTATAGATTTAGGAAAATGGGGAAAAAATTTTCTGAAATTTATTTTAGTTGTTCGATGAAATTCATGTTTTAGATAGATGTTGACGATTTCACGTTGTCTCAAATTTCCAAACAAGTTTCTAGACAATAAATTTTGAAATAGTACTTTGCAAAAGAAAAACTTTATAAACTGATCGTTTTGAAACAAATTGAACCAGAGAAACATTTGAACTTTGTTGATATCAGTTTTATTTTTATCGCAAAATAAATTGTTCCGATTTCCGGCTATAGACCATATGTATACATCGTTTTTTTTTTCAAAAACATATGTTTTGTTCCCAAAATATTTTTTGATCAAACGCGGAAGATAAAAAAATAAAATTGAAAAAAAAAACAAAATATCTAACCAACCTATCAATAGGAAATTTCGACAAGTACGATTTGCGCAATAATTCTTCGCGATAAAGAACCGGATCGAATTCCGATGAAGACAAATAACTTGGAGGTGGGAAAAATATAGTGGAAGTTGGTGTTGGCGATGATCGAGGTGTGATTATCTGAAAGTGAAAGACAGAAAACACATACAATCTAACAACATATAAAAAAATTGTACAACTTTTTGTTTGACAAGTATTATTGTAAATAATTCTCTTTTTTTTTTGATTGTTGTTAATTTTTCTAACATTTATTTCTTGGAAGAAACTTCTTTTTCAAAGTTTAAATGATAATGAAATCGGTCAAAGAATGAAATGTAAGTATTGTGTTTTGAAATTTCAATTTTTGAACATTTTTTTAATGTTTTTTTAGTCAAAAAAGGTTAATAATTCCCTAAAGTTGTGAAACACCTAGAAAACTTTCTGTTTTTTTCCTTGAAAAAATCTTTTGAGCGCATTAGAATATGATTGACACCTAGATTAACTATTTATCTCTGGAACATTTTTAGATAAGGAGTTTTAAAAGTTAAATGTCAAATGTCACGCATTTTTTTTTGAAATACAATATTCTGATTATTCTAGATACAAAATAACCTCCCCTAGTTTTTAGAATAACTTGAATACACATAATAAAAGTTATTTTTAGACGAATTAATAAAAGTGCAACCCCCGCTAAACTTAAAAAATATAATTTATTTATTTATTCAAAGGTTTTTTTAATTACATCATTAGAATTGATTAACTACTAGATTGACTATTAGAATCTTGAAAATGTTTAAGTAAGGAGTTTTAAAAATTAGAATCTCACATCATTTATACGATTTTTTTCAAAATAAAATTCTAGATACAAAACAACCTCCCACATATTTTTGAATAACTTAAAAACACATCATTCAAGTTATTTTTAAATAAATTAACAAAAGTGCAACCCCCACTTAACTTGAATAAAAAACATTGTTGTATTTATTTCGAAATCCAAAAAATTTACCTGTATACAAGAAAGCGATGATTTTTGTGGCATTTTCTAGTATAATGACTTTTTCTTTGAAAAACACACACACACTAATAACGGCAAAAAGCGGTTTTGTTGTTCGTCAACTCGAAAAAAGATTATCCCACCAATTTGTCTCGAAACTGTTCTTTTCTTGTTTCTCACTCATTCATTTTTCAAAACATTTTTCATCGAAAAGCATTGAAGTTTCAAATTTTTTTTGTTATCTATGGAGTTTTTCTGTGCCTGACTGAGGGCTCCACCTTTTTTTCCGCAGCACAAAATATATAAAAACGCGGTTGAATCTGTGGGTTGATGATAAACTGCGTGGGGGAATTTTTTGTGTGTGTTATTGTGGTTTGCTCATAACAAAAAAATGAATCATTGTTTGCCAGATGTTGAGAATTTATATAAATTCTGAAGATTTTGTTTTGAACGTTCAGTATTGATATCTATCAGACAATGTTTATTTATTTTTTGTTTAAAAACATTTTTCTTTTCAAAACCAAAAATCAAAATTTTTTTTGTTTATTTTCAGTTTATTCCAAAGTGTCAGAATTCATAACACAAAAACTACATAGTTTCTTCCAATTATAGCCAATTACTGTTTTCTCTCATCAAAGAAAACAATAGCACTTTCTCTCAAAAAACACAATTTCATCTCCCTGGAACCTCTTTTCGAGAAAGATCTGTACTAACATTTTATTTTTGACCAGTCAAGTCAAAACATTTTTATCATCAATGAATGAACAAAATGTTCAAGATCACAAGATACTATAAAATTGTACAAACTACTATCTATTTTTCGAAATGAAATGACAAAAATGTTTTCAAAAATGTTTTTTTTTTCGAAAAAAAAAATCACGTTGTTTATGTAACTGTCAATAATAACAATAAAATGCGATCAACCGTATCATAAAACTATGTACAATAATTATAAATATATAAAAATTGTTGTTTTTTGGCTTTTCCGAATTCAAGTATGTTCTATTTGGTCTTTATTCTCACTAACTTTATTTCATTGTTCTTGAATGTTCCTCAAAAAATTGTTGACCTATTGTTCCACTTTTACATTATTTAAATTGCCCTCCCAAGATTATGCCATTTGAAGAAATTTATATTTAAGTGAAAGTTATTTCGCTTTTTTTTGTGTTTTTTGACTTCTTCTTTTTTTTCGTTTTTTTATTTTTGTGAAAAAAAGTTGTGAGAGAACGGATATTTCTTATCTTTTTCTTCATTTTCTTCCGGAGCCTAAAACTTTTTTGTTTTTTGTTGAAAAAAAAATGTTTTTATAGAATCATCATGTCGACGATTGAAAAACCGAAGAAAACAAAAAAATCGAGAGCTCGCCGAGTTTTCAAAAAAGTGAGTCATTTTAAAACTTTGGATAAATCTTACCATGAAAAAGGGGTTTTTAGAGGTTCCAATATTTTCATATTAACCCAAAAAATTAAACTGTTGTACCCTCTTCCTCATATCAAATAACTTTTTCATTTCATTTTCAAAAAAAAACCAACTAAAAACTACAATTTTGAATCAATAATAATCCCATTTTTCTAGTTTTATAATATTTTTTCTGTGGTTGCTAACGAAAAATCCAAAAACCCAACAATTACCACTTTTTTCTTTTTTTTTCACTCAACTTCAATTATGCATTCGTTTTTTCCTCACTTTTTCTTGCTCATTTTTTCAGCTTTTCTTTATATTTTTTCTTTTTACATACACACGAAAAATATTAGTAGTCAGAAAAAAAATAATATTTTTGAAAAAAAAAATGATTTTATATGTATGTTCATTTCGTGAGTCATTTATGCAAATATATATAATTCGTAAAACTTTTTGATTCTCAAAAAAGTGTGAGAGATTTAGAGAAAAACGTTTCGAGAGGTAAATAATAGTCATTTCATTTCAAGAGCTTTAGACCAAAGAAAATAAAAGGGAAAAGGGAACAGCTGTTCTGAACCTTGTTTTTCTTTTTGAGTTTTATTGATTTTCTTGCTCTTTTCTGGGAGGTCAAAAAACTCCAAAATTTCGGTTACTTGAACATGATTTTTTTTTTCCGAAAAGATTATTTTTTTTTGCTGTTTCTTCAGAAAAAGTATTTTTTTGCTGTGTCAAAGAAAACACCAAAAATGACGTTGTTAAAAAAGGAGCTGTTTTCTTGTTCTTTTTTCTCTCTCTCGCATTTCTGAGCACATATGTATACATACACACATAGAGAAAATTTTTGCTCATTTTGCTCTTTTTCCTTCTACGACTTTTCCTTAAGTATTTGAATTGAAATTTTTTCGAAAGCCTTTTTTCTTCTTCTTCCTCTAATGATATTTGATATTTTTTTTGAGGAGGGAGTGAGAGATGAAAATTCATTTCCGGTGTTGAGAAAAATTATATTATATTGAAGTGTTTCATTTTTTTTGAATTTAATCCTTGAACATTTTTATTTTTTGCAGATGGGTGGTGTTATATCATTCATTTCTCTACGACATCACGGAGAGCACAACATGGTTCCAAGTAGACAAGTTAGTTTTTTTCGGAATTTGAGAGAGAAAAATGTTCGTGTTTGGAAAAACACGAACATTTGATAAAATTTCGAAATTTCGAAAGTTATGCAAACATGACTCATTTTCAGAATGATCGAAAATTTTTTGAAATAGGAACAAAATTGGAATTCGGTTTTAATTGAAAGTGGAGTCAAAAAAAATATCAAAATAAAGAATCAAGTGCTTTCCGGAATGCTTTTATGAATTACGATTTCAAAATAAAAAAGAGACCCAAAGACAGTGTTTCATTGTTTCAGAAAATATTATTTTCTTTACTTATCTCTTAATTTCCATTGAAAAAGTCCTTCGAGAGATGTACTAATTAGAACGTGATTCAATGAATCTAATTAAGTTTTATCCTGCACTCCTTCTTTGAAAAGTATACTTTTTTCAATCCACTTCTCTTACATAATTTTAAGAACATTGTTTCCAGATTTGAATTCTTAAAAAGAAAACTTTTCTCTCTACTATCCCCCTGTTTTTTATAAACGTATGATCTTCAAAACAATATCACTTTTCACTTTTTCAAAGACCAATCATCACATAAACATTTTTCATTTTTTAATTATCGAAAATCCGGAAACTCTCTGATTTTTATCCCTCAAACTTCAAAGTTCATATAAATATAATCATCGTTTTCCGGTCCCTCAAAACCAACTCTCATTGTTTTCCCTCGAGACATTCCGCAAAAAATACATTTGTTTAGGTGCGAACAAGAAATGGGCTTGTCGAAGGATTTCGGCTCAAAATTGATGGCGAAAAAGAGGTCGATCTATTTTTAGGCATTCCATTTGCGAAGCCACCAGTTGGTGAATTACGTTTCAAGGTTAGGGGTTTGGATGAATAAATTGAATTTATCTCGACATCTATGCATTTTTTTATAGAATCCAGAGCATGCTGAAGATTGGGATGGTGTAAAAAAGTGTATTAGATTTGGACCACGAGCTCCACAAGCCGATTTTTTCTGGGAACGTTTCACATTAGGAGTTGGAAAATCTGAGGATTGTCTTTATTTGAACGTTTTTGCACCAACATGGAAAGCAGAAGAAGTGTCAAACGGGGTAATAAAGAGTTTGGGAGATTTTTTTGAAAAAAAAAAACAAAATTGCTTTCAGCTTCACCCAGTAATGGTGTATGTCCACGGCGGTGGATTTTTGATTGATTCTGCTGTGAAATATGGTGATGAAGGAATTGCCAAATATCTTTGTCGCCATGGTGTAGTCGTTGTCACCATTCAATATCGATTGGGACTTCTTGGTTTCTTTTCAACTGGTGACGAAGTCTGCCCAGGAAATCTTGGACTTTGGGATATGACAATGGCTCTTCAATGGGTTCGAGATAATGTGCATGCTTTTGGTGGAGATCCAAGAAAAGTCACAGTTTTTGGACAAAGTGCTGGAGGTGCTAGTGTTGATTTGTTATCAATTAGCCCACATTCAAAAGGTACGCAAGTTTGAGAATCTGTAATAGCCTTCAATTAGCTTGTGATAGCTACAAAAATCTTGACACCCTTTATTATTTTTTCGAAAAGTACATCTATAATTATTACGCAATCTATAATTATAGATCTCTTTCATCAAGTGATTCCAATGGCTGGAAATGCCGAATGTGAATGGAGTACGGTAGGAAAAAATCGGCTGACTCACGCGTGTCGAGATTTTGCTTATAGAAAATGTTGGGATGATAAGGAGAATATTGGTTAGTCAATACCAGGAAATTTAGAAAACTTTTTTCATATGAAACATTTCAGAACAAAATCCGAGTGAGAATATGCTCTCGTTTTTACGAACCAAAAAAGATAAAGAGTTTGAGAAACGTCTTTTGACTCGTAAAGGAGTTGATGTGTCGAAAATCGGGCTCGATCTTGCTCCAGTTATTGGCTCAAAGCCAAGTGATTTTCTGCCGAAAAGTTTGGATGATTTGAGAAAAGAAGCGCCGAAGAAAAATATTATGATCGGAACGTGTGAACATGAAGGATTACTTTTTGGTTAGTTATTTGGTTTATTGTTTTTATAAGCTTTAATTTTTGATATGAGTAAACAATACATAAATAAGATTTTCAGCTAGTCTTGGACCAAATAATTTTGATGAGAAGGGAATTGATAAACTTCTTGCACTTTTGATCACTGAAGAAAATCATCAAAATTTCGAGGAACTTCGAGAAGAAGCAAAAGCCCTTTACATGAAAAAAGATGAAGAAGATAAAGAGGCAATAACAAAAGGTTATATTGAGGTAATAAAAATTTGTTCCTCCTCGAATTTGAAAAAAAAACATGTTTTTAAATTGCAGCTCTACAGTGACATATTTGTAAATAATGGAACATATATTTATGCTGAAAAAATGACTGAATTAGGAAATCGTGTTTTCATGTATTCATTTGATTACTGTAATCCAAGAAGTTTTGGAATTTTATCACTGCGAGCACCGTTTCGAGCAGCTACACACTGTACAGAGTTAGCATATATTTTTGGAGTTTCGATTGTTTTTAATTATCGATATAATGAAGCAGATAATCATATGTTGGATCTAATGACAAGAATGTGGACTAATTTTGCAAAATATGGGTGAGTGAATAATCCTGGTTCTCAAAGTGAATCCCTTCTATTTCTTCTTCTTCGAATTTCAAACTTTTTGATCAAAGTTTGATCGAGAAAGAATAATCTATAAATACATTTATTGGGTTGTAAACAAAGGGATAGAAGACATTTTTTTCCGAACGTGCCAACTTTTTCGTATTTTGATTTCTTGAAAAATAATGATTGACAGACTTTTTTGATTGATTACTGTGGTTTAATGAAAGCATAGAAATCAATTTTTTTTTCTGATTAATGGTGGGAATTTTGATAATGAGTTATGAAAATATTAAAAATAAAACATTGAAAACAAGATGACTACTTTCAGGCTAGAAATTTGAATACAGATTCACACATATAAAACAATATCTTCTTTAAAATTTCAATTTTTCAGAAATCCGAATGGACAATATGAGGACTCAACAGTATTTGATTTCAAATGGGATTCAACGAATAAAGAAAACCCCACGCAATTTCTCAAAATCACCGATAAAAAATGTGAGATGCAACAAATCTATCACAATCAAAGAGCAGAGTTTTGGAAAAAAATTCGCATCAGTGCTAAAAACTCATAGATCTTTTTTCGTGTTCTTCTTATTTTCATCCTCTTTTTTTGTTTCTTGATATCCGAATTTTTCTCATTTGATCATTTTTATCAAACCTGTTGTGACACAAAACACACATTCTGCGGGTTTTTTGGCGGGTGCAAAATTGAATTACCATAAATTTATTTTTTCCTTTAGCTTCTTGTTCTTCGTGTAAATATGAGTTTCTTCCTGCTTTCTTCGATAATCTTTTCATTGTATTATTTTTGTTCTATTGATAAATAGAAGATTAGAAAATTGATTAGTCATTTTATTTCAGTCAGTCAACCCCTCCATTTCATTTTTTTCATGCAACTTGTATTTTATTTTGCCAATTCCTAGTCTGTTTATGTTCGAAAATATTCCAGTAAAATTTTTAATAACATTTTTTGCCCGAAGCTATAAACGTGAGGTATAGTATGAAAAACATCCACTTTCATTCTCATTTTTTTGCCTGTGAAATGAAGAAAAAAATAAATTTCTTTTCGAGACCTCATCTTCTACTTTATGTGAAGAATATAAAACATGATCAGCTCGTTTGCCGAAGCGAAGTGCCTCATAATATGCGAAAGAAGTGTGTTTTTTCTATTATTTTTATTTTTATTTTGCTTTTAACAACACACATTTCAGTAGATTTGAACTCCTTTCATTTTTTATAGTTTGGTTTGGTGCGGTTTTCAATTTTCCAAAATAAAAACGATTTTCAAGAAAAACAAGAAGCCTTTGTAAACTTTCAGAAAATCAGATTAAAAATATTTTCCAATAAACATTTTGTTTCAGTTTCATCCCTTTCATTTCAAAAAACAAACCATTGTTCTGATAAATCAAAGATAAGAGAACTCTGAAATCCAATCCACTTTTTTATCTCAAATTTCAAAACTTGTTTTTTTTGCTAACTCGCGTTTTTTGTGTGCTTTTCTTTTCTGTTTCTGTTTCCCAACATAAAAAAAAGATTGTCCCAAGAGTCTAATAATGTTACAAAAATCACCCAAATAATTGGCGCAAGTCAAGAAGATGTTTACAAAAAAGTCATAAAAACTTGGTGTTTTTTGCGTCTTCTAACAACTCGAAAAAGCTGTCATTTTTCAGAAAATTTTTCTTTTGTTTGTGGGGCGGCGCGTGTTTAAAAATGAATAGAAATTTGCATGTTTTGATTTCTCGGAAGTCGGCGTAAAAAAAGAAAAGACGAAAAAACAACTCGAAATGTTTTTTGTTTTCTTTTTATTCTTCTTCTTCTTCTTTCGTGTTTCTCCGATAAACCGCTTAATTTTCAGACGTTTCTCGCTTTTCATACAAATAAATAAATGAATAAAATAAACCTGGTACACGTGAAAAATCTCAGTTTTTTATTTCATGAAGCCTTAGAAATAATTTTGCTTTCCTCATTTGGTCTAATTCATTCATTCATTCTTTTTCAACTAATCTTGTATCGAGTTGATTAAAAATATACTTCCCTTTTTATATAATTTTTTGTTACATTTTATTGGACACTTTGTTTTATTTCCAAATTTTTATGAAATGAAAAAACGAATGAACTTTCTGCAATAATATTTCATGAACTATGCTGAAGATTTTATAAAGAAAAACCTAACTCGAATATTCAACTCTCTTTTTTGCTGTGATATTTAACGAATAATATTGTTCTCAAAATTTTTTTTTCAAAATTCGAGTCTTGAATAGGTACACGTATTTCTGTTGGATTTTTATGAATTTAGAGTTTCAAAAAATAATAGATCAAAAATACTCCTACAATACAGGCGAGCAACCTTCTTGCTTGAATGAGAAACCTTTGGGCTAACTAGATTCTTTTCAATGTTGTTATTTCTCTTGTAGAGTGCATTCAGAATATCTCGAACTTTTTACAAGAATGACACCTTATTATTTAACTCTTCTTAAGAGCAATAAGTATAATTGCTTTCCAAATACTCAGATCTAAATATTCTCTTCTTTTTTCACCACCTTCTCTAGACAATTCTACACCCACAAACATACATACATACATAAGTGTTCAAAAAACACCACGTCATTATAATTTCATAGAGGATCCCAAAAAACTTTTCGTTAAGCCAAATTATTGTTCGTCTCTTTCAACTTGAAAAATGTGTTTGTTTTGTTTTTCATACGCATCTCGAAAAAAATAAGTTCATGTCAGATAATTATTTTTATTTTTTTTCATATACATTTGTCATGTCGTATTCAATATTCTTCATACTTTTTATTGAAAGACAACTAATACAAGTTTTGTGTAAATATGATATTTTTATTTTTCAACATGTTTTTGCCTTTCCGACTCTCGATTTTCAGATGGATATTTTCAGAATATAGAAAACAAATATAGAAGATAAATGAAGAGTAGAGATATGTAAATGCTCTATGCCTTTTTTCTCGATGATATATGTTTTCTTGTTTGGTTTGAAACAAAAAAAACCTAAATTGCTGCTTTCTACCATTTTTTGGAACAAATCCAACAATTTGTCCACTGGGAATTTTTTGAAAGGCTTTCAGTTAGGAAGAAAAAAATAGAAGTTCAAATATTCTATTATTATGACTGACCTTTGTCCTATTCTAATAATATCCATATAATGAATTTTTAATTTTTCTGTTTTCATTATAGCAGTACAAAAAGTGCGTAAGGAAATATTGAAAATATTAGAAATAGTTATTCAAAATGATGAATTTCATGTGATACTAATTTCTTTTGAAAAATGAATTTATCAGAATTAAAATATATTACCTCTGAAATATATTTCAGTACTCAAAATTTATGTTTTCTTAACTAGCTAGATTACAGAAAAAGTTTTGAAAATTCATACTTTTAATTCTGATTTTCCTCAATTTTACTATATCTTTTTTAATATAGTTTTAATCAGTTTGTAAAATACTTCCGTGTTAAAAAGTAGAACAAAATCCTATTCAAAATTGATCAGATTAATTTTTTTTCAAGTGTGTTTTGGTGTGTTTTTTCCAAATTCAATGATCTCTAATAATAAATCAGAAAAAAAGTATCACTAATTATTCATATCGGTCAGGAAAATGAATGAATTCATTAAAATAAAATATTTTCTTTCCAAAAAAACAAAATTTATCTTCATATCTCACCACGTCATGAATGTAAGCATAAAAAACAAAACAAAGGCTCTATTCAATATAAAACAACGCGACTTCACACCCTTTTTCGAATATCCAATTATATATTGACCCTTCTTTTTCATTTTCCAGTATTCCCTTTTTTGTTTTGAACGTTTCAGAAGTTTGATCAACTCAACTTTTTTTCGTGCTTGTTTTCAGCTTTTGCCGAAATCATAATAAATCAAAAATTTTATATTTCCCAGATTGGGGAACTTGTTGTTTTTTTCGAGTTATTTTTGACTTATGACTCTATTTTTCTTATGTTAACATAAGAAAAGACAACTTTCTTTGCAAATGGACTTTTTCCTTGAAGTTTTCAAAAAATTCAAAGTGTTTGAGAAAGTTCAAAAGATCTTGTAGTTATTTATTTTTCTTTTCAAAATGTTTTCACCTCCTTTTGCAAACTGAAACTGAACAATAAAATAAAAAAGACAAGGAGACTAGAAAGGAAGAAAAAAGAAAAAAAATGGTTACTCAATTAGATGACTCTTCTTTTTGTTCAGATATTTTTAGACAACTCACGTTCCAGAAGAAGAAATTTCTCTTCCAGCTTACTTATTTCTAGTCTGCTCAAAATACGATACATGTTTTGATGATGAGAAATAAGGAATACGGAAAAAAGAATAGAAAAAAGGCGAATTGAGCTCAGCCAAACAAAGAATTGTTTTGTTTTATTCTCCTTGGTTGCTTTTATTCTGCAATTTCATTATCATCTCCATCATTTTTTGTCTTTTTTCAGATTTATTTTCAGTATTTTCTCTTTTCCTTATTTTTCTTTTCTCAGTTCTTCTCTCCCAATTCCAGAAGTATTATCAATCCCGATTTTCAAAAAAAGAGTCTTGCAAACCCTAGAAACCTCTAACAATTGCTCATATTAATAATTTACACTTGCCAGTTTGTCCACGCGTTTTTTCAAAAATTCTTTATTTTTTGTTTTGTTCTCAAACTGAAAAAAACAAAAAATTAGTCATTCATCTTTATTTCAAAGAGCAACCGGTTCCTTTGAATAATTATTGAATGGCGTGATGAATTTTGGGGTTAGGGCAGGGTAGACAATGGGGAAAAACAAAACGGGGAAGCGTGGGAAACGTGTAATTTCCAACTGTGACTCAGTCTTTCTGTAATTTTGAGTCTAAGTATTTCAATTCTGATAATATCTCAAAAATCTGTGTGTTCTTTTGAAAACTCATAATTTTTGTTGGACCTTATTAGGAGAAGTAGTTCAGTGGCATGGTGGCTACTGTCGATCTCTGGGTCACGGGTTCGATTCCCAATGCCCGCTTTTTCCGATTCAGCCACGTTTAACTTACATTAAAATTGAACGAAAATATTTGATATTTTCAATCTTTTCAAGCATAGCTTGCAAATTCTAAAAATTAAATCTACCTATCTTCGATCAGAAAGTGTTTACTCATGTTGCCAAAATTTCATAATCAAATTTCTAGAACACATACAAACAACAAATTTCAATTTTCCAACAATGAATACGTATGCATTTTCAACCTTTTTCCCGGAATTCAATTTAGCAAAGGTCATTTTTTCACATCTCGAAAAAAGTTATGAAGCCACATTTTCTCGGAATTCTGTTTATTATCATATAAAAAATTTTGAACGAAAAAAAAATATTTTTATTTTCGAACCGTCAACATTCATTTTCTGATCTTCCCCCATCTTCTCAACTTCTTGTCATTTCATTTTATTTCGAAAACAAGTCAATCTTCCCAAAAAAAACATAGACACTGAAAAAAACAAGCCCAGAAAAAATGCAAAAAATGTAATAGGTTCGGTCGGATTGAATGGGTTGTGTGGTATCAACTCGTAGCGCACAAAAAAAGAGCAACCCGAGGGACTAGTTGTCTCTC